AAGGACAAGTCCACCAACAAGGATCAGTCCATCACCATTGCCTCCGGCTCTGGTCTGTCGGACGCTGAGATCCAGTCCATGGTCGATGATGCCGAGAAGTACGGTGCTCAGGACAAGGAGCGCAAGGCCGCCATTGAGGCCGCCAACCGCGCCGACAGCGTCCTGAACGACACCGAGAAGGCTCTCAAGGACTTCGAGGACCGTCTGGACAAGACCGAGGCCGAGCAGATCAAGGAGAAGATCGCCAGCCTGCGCGAGTTCGTCGCCCAGAACCAGACCGGCGAGGGCACTGCTACCGCTGAGGAGCTGAAGCAGAAGACCGATGAGCTCCAGACTGCCAGTCTGACTCTGTTCGACAAGATGCACAAGGCCCAGAACGAGCAGCAGCAACAGCAGGAGCAGCAGGGTGGTGAGCAGCAGGGCGAGAAGAAGGAGTAAATCTTTTGACTCTCAACCTGACTTGTATTTTTTACTTTCTATTTTCCTTTTGTGTTAGAGACCCTGATTCCTGTTTGGCACCTCTTTTCGCATTTACTGTACACATACTTCCCACAAGGCCCTTGTTTCTCTGATCTTTCTTTTGGGTGTACTGGTGTTTTGATTGACAGCCCTTTGTACGATTTTTTTTTTCTTCTTTTCCACTGTGCCCTTGATACACTCTGCTTTGCCAGAGTGTATCGCCGGGATTGTCTACAACTGTATCTAATGACATGACGGCAGAAGGGGGGCCACCAAAAAAAGGATGTGGTTGTGGGCTTGGGTTTGGTGCATGTGACAATAGAAATCGGACACTTCTCCTCTCGCTTTTATCATTATCATCTTCATGTAAAGCCGTTGTTGTGTAATCTGCATTGCAACGAGGACTGCCTTGGTCTGCATGCAACCGCCGGTGGAAGCATCAAAACAAGACCCGTCAAAAGGCGATAGGTCGGAAAGCTCGGTTCGCCTGCAGCGGTCTGCTTCGAGCCTCGTTTGCTGTATGATCCTGGGTTGGCTAGTCTGAAACCCCTTGACCCTCCCTCTCTTGCTCCCCTATTATTATTGTGGATCGCAAAGAAACGTTGCCACTAACCTATATTGTCTGCTCATACATGATCTGGCGTGATGCCAATGGACCAATAGTCTCTATCGACTCGATTCCTTGCATGCCAGACGCAGACTATTTGCTTATATCGTGGTGGATAGGTCAACATTGTACTTTGGTCCGTCCACTTTTTAGGGCAGCGCAAAACCCTCCTCCTCTTACTCCTCCCATGAATGAAGTCATTCGACATCCAGAGGTAACGTACAAGCGCGCAGTGGCCAAGTTCTCCGCCCAGTCCACGCGCAATCACATCATAGCGACGCAGTCTATAGTTAGCTAGCAAGGAAAAAAGGTTCTGAACCTGCTCGTTCCGCCAATCTAGACTCGCACCGGGGTGATTGAACAAAGCGTTCACGCAGGTTTGTTGGCGGCGCAGCTCTGACGGGCAAATCACCGTTATACACACCAGCCGGCGGGGGTCGTCCGGGTGCTTGGGGCTTGGGGCTTTGGCTTTGACTTGGTCTTGGTGGTGTCGGTGGGTCTCATGTCTCTTTTTTTTTTTTTTTTTTTTTTTTTTTCTCACTTTCCGGGTTACGAGTGCCGCGTTTTACTCCAACACTCAGTACATACTAACAAAAGGTCGTTAGTACTGTGTGTATTCCGTACAGTGCGAATCCACAAGTGGAAGACCTAATTATAATTTTTGTGCGTTTTGCCCTACCATCATTCGTCGATCATGTCCTGCGAGAAACCATCCACCTTAGCGCGCCCCTCTCGCTCCCCTAGACTGGACTGTCCACTGATCCACCATTGAGCCACATTCCCTTCCCTGCTTTTTTTCTTTGCCTTTCTAAGCGTAGGGCGTCTGCGTCGACCGATGATAGTGTGTATTTCTGTTGACTCCATCCAAGGTCACTTGACCGAATAATATGTAAGTTTCCCCGGAGAACGTTGGCTAACGGGTGTCAGCGTGATGGTTAGTCAAAGGAGGACGCGGTTCCCATAAGTACCTATAACTAGAGCAGAGCCTGATTATTATTCACGGGCTGATATGGTTCGACCTGAAAGCCAAATTATTAACACTTTGCCCGGCAACAAAAATCATAATTACCAGCGGCGTCCGACAACTTAACGACGTATTATTGTTGTCAGAGTTACATAATGATCTCCGCGACGGGGCTTGGCAACAACGAGGATTAGATCGAGTGCATGCGATTGGCGCCCTCAGGATCCAAGTGTTGTCACTGCCGCGAGATTGTATGCAAATAAGGGGCTAAGCTCTGGCCCAGCCATGTCTGATCTCTCCAAATGCCATTATTATTATTAAATGACAGATCATCTTCCCTTCCCCTTTTTTGACTAGGCGCTGTCTGTAGGCCTAGTTAACTAAAACCAAATAAAACACAATTATTGACTCATCACCCCTGATTGTGATTGTGATTTGATTACATGCCACTAGCGCCCGGCAAATCCATGGGTGCCACTGTTGTTGACTGACCGCACATCCCCTGGTTTTACTTCATGCTAAACACGCTAGCCTCAGTACAATTAAATTAAAATGATCATCAGCGGTGTTGTGGGACATGTGTCGCACACTGAATAATATTCCTCCATCTTCAGGTCTGTCATAATGGATAATCATAAATAGAGGCAAGGTGAGGAGGATAGTAGTAAACAGTGCTAAAAGTACGATCCCTTACTTACGATAACAGCAGCAACGGGGATGCAGTCAGTCGCGCTTATTTGACGATTATTTTTAATTTTTACTGGGGATGTCAATCATTGCCTAACCGTCAGGCCCATAGATCGGAACTTTCTCTGTCTTCCCTGCCTTTCGATCCTAGCCCTTTCATCCACTTTGTTTTCTTTTCTTTTCTTTTTTTCGAAGTATTATTTTTCTCCCCTCTCCAACCTCGACTTCCGTAGCGTACTTGAATATCCCAAGTATCTACAACCATGACAGCTGCACCACCGGTGCTTCACCATGGCCCCGACAGTGGGATGAACGGTGGTCCGACACATCTCCAGCACAACCACCCTCGCTATCACCCGATTGCCATGAACCCCAATCCGCCTACTCATCCGCCAATGCCTCCGCCAGAGCAGATGGTGCAGAACCACCATTTCCGTCATTATGCTGCACCGCCGTTGCATGAGCAGCATCCGCCAGGACCACCACCGCTGCCTCCCAGCCCGACGTCGATCGACCAGATCGAGGCACGGCTCCGGCAGCTAGAGCACGAGGAGATGAACCGTATGGCAACCCGCAGCCACATCCTAGCGGTACGGAAGCGCGAAGATGAAGAATTCCGCCGGATGACGGAGAGTGCCGAGGCAGAGGAAGAGGTAGATTTTCTTGATATCATTTGATTTTTGACCCCGGACATGGTTAACATATACATCCCCAGGAGCTTCGACGACAGCGCAAAAGACTCAAGAGGGAGTCCATGGGCCTGGGCGTCAACTCGGCGGCCGACTCGCCGCCGCTGCGACCTACACCTCCACGGCGACTATCAGAAACCAATGCGGCTACAACCCTGGCCTTTTTCAAACAGCAATCCCCGCCAGAACCCCGCCAAACACCTCTCCCGTCTTCTTCTACGCCGGTGCCTCCATCTCATGCCCAGGCACAACCACCACCACCTCCTAGTCCGATGCCTCCGCCACCACAACACCATCTTCACGCACCACCGCCGCACCACCATCACCACCACGCACCTCTTGCGCCTCCTCCTCCCCACGGCCCACCACCACCACAGCACCACCCGATGGTGCAGGTGCACCACGAACCCGCCAATGGCACGGGCTCTATCCGGCGCAAGCAAAAATACACCATCAAGAACGTCGAGGCGTGGGGCGAGCGCCACGGCCGTCCCGCCTCGCACGATCCCTCCGGCCGCGCGCTGTGGAAGCGTCCCTCAGATGGAAGTCTCGTCTACCTCACCTGCCCGATCCAGGGCTGCAGCAAGGCGGACTTCGTCACATTGCACGGGTTCATGTGCCATCTCACTAAGAAGCATAAGGACCGCTCACTCGGCAGCCAGTCCCGTGCCCTGGAAGTCTGCGGTGTCGTTTTCGATCCCAGTGCGCCTTTGCCTCCCGTTTCGGGAAAGCGTGCTTCCACTGAGGAAAAGAGCCCGGTGGAATCTACCGCCATGGATCAGGACCAGGACCCCGACGATCATGACCATGATCAAGACGACCATGAAGTAGATATGGACTCCGACGGAGCCGACGACATGGACCGGGACTCCTCGTCATACCGCATCAAGTCTGAAACAACCGACCGCCCCATGCCTGACGCACATGAGTCCTCCTCTACCCCAGCCGCAATGGCCAACACTCCCAACAGCACCACCATCACGCCTCCTAAGCCGCAGCCGCACACCAACGGCTCCTCCGCCAAACAGTCCATCTCCTCCATCATCGACCGCAACCCCGAAAGCTCCGCCGAGAACAGAGAGGCATTGACCGATGCCATGGCGCAGGGTCTTTCGCCCTCTGCGCCGGAGTCTTCGGTGCCGCTGAAGCGGAAGTATGAGTTTTCGCCGCCGGCTGCGGAGAAGGAGAACGCTGAACCGCGAAGGGAGGAGGGGAGTCGTGTTGTGTGATTCTCTTGTCTGGCTGCCAACTAATAATCGTATAGCGCTGCCAGGCTATTATTAATATGGTTCTTTGTTTTGTTTTTGTCAATACCCTCTTTTTGTATCTGGGTGGCTCGTTGCGTCTCTTGTGCTGGTTGGATAGCGTGTCATGTTGTGGAGCGGTTCAATAATGTTGGTTTTTCCCTAGAATGGCATTTCTTGTCTAATACAAATGCATTTGCATGTCTCAAAATGGATACCGATGTAGAAAGATAAAGATGTTTCACAGTATAGAGAGTCAAGCTCGGGAAGACCGATTTATGTACTACCAACTATTGCCGAACTCCAGTGTCTACAGGAAAGATATAGATATGAATATTCCAACATGAAGGTCAAGTTTCAGATCTATTCCTCACTAGTAAAAGATGCACCATGAACCCCGTCCCGCCACGCAACCCCTCCCCCAAGACCTCATCACTCACCCTCCAGACGCGGAACTCGCGCAGGGTCTCCCGCAACCAAGCTTCGAACACCTCAGGCGACCGCTGCTGCTGTGCAACGATGCAGATCGTGGGTTTGCGCGCAGACGAGCTCGTGGTCGAGGAGGAGAGAATCGGCTCTTCAAGTGAAGTGGCTACACTTACGCCAGGGCGTAACCGGCAGAGTTCGGCGCAGGTGCGCACGAAGGGAGTGATTAGGGCTTCGTTGTAGATGCAGTCGCAGGAGAGGAGGAGGTCGAAGCCTTTATCTTCCTCTACTTTGCCGGCATGGGCATTGTCGGACTCGATGCAGCTTTTCAGTAGCTCGGGTTGATCCAGTTCCCAGTCCAGGGTTGTGAATGTGATATTACTCGTTACTGCCCCTGCGGGCTGTTGTTTTTGCTGTTGTTGCTTTTTCCCCTGTCCGGGCTTACCTTTTGTTTTGGTACTGCCTTTGCTTTTCGATGATGATAATGATGCTGACGGCGCATTCAGTGATGCATTGGCGTCTAGATTCGTTCGGAAGAGTCGGCGCACATACTCCTGATCAGTGGCGATATAGTGCTGTACGGCCGGCGCCAGGGCCAGGGCGAGGAGAGCGGAGATGCCGCAGCCTAGTTCAGCGACGACCGAGGCGGCGGAGAGGAGCGAATGTGTCCAGAGAGGATTGGAAGGGGAGGAAATCCATTTGGCGAACAGGGGAGTGATTTTCCACAGGACTGTTTACGGTGGGGTTAGTATATAATTGTCGAAGAGAGCTCTGATCGCAATGATCGCAACCCGGACGTCAGAAACCGCCCTCGGCTCTCTCATGTGGCGCTCGGGAAATTAAGAACTGGGGAGCGGAGCTAGGGAGCGTCCGTGCTCCAGGGTCTCGTTTTCCCCGTCCCAGACAAAAAGGTCTGTGAACGGGAATTGGGGCTGCAGATCAGGGATATCCGAGAGGAACTACTCACCGGCGCCAGTCGTGCCCCCGGCTCGACTGGAGGATAGCAAAGTGGGCGACTGGTGAATGCAGTACTCGTGCTCGCCGATCACTAGGTCAACCGTTGCCGCGCGGGAGTCGACGAAGCCTAGGTTGGCGGAGGGGATGTCCTGTGCGAAGAGGAGAAAAGCTTCTGCAATAATGCTGGGTCAGTGCGAGTTCTGTCAGGGTCTGTCGGATACTGACCCTCCTCAGCGTCGGTGACTTCCTCGCCGATGGCAGCGATGAACTGGTCCATAGGATGTCGTAGAGGAGTAGTCGGGAGACAAGGTTCCCAAGGTGCAAGTACAATAGTCGCTCCACTCTGCCCCAACAAAAAACAACCCGGCACTGATCTGCTCGTGAGTCGGCAACGGCAGTCTCCTACTGCATTAGTATTATTGTTGTGCTTGTTCTTATTATGATGGTTAGAAGGGAGGCATATTGAAAGTAAAATCATTAATTATCCTCTACTCTGTCTAGCTCGATTTCATGTCGAGTCGGACCGTCTAGTCCCCGTCCAAGCTCCTTCGTTCCCCAGCCACTTGGTCCTGCAAGTCTTTCTTTTCTTCACCACCTCGACTTAGCTCGACTTAGCTCGACTTCTTCTCCCTCTCTCTCTACCCCTTGCCACAATTATCATTCTCTGGTGCCTGGTGAGTCCCTCTGCCCTGGCTCAGCTCCGCCTCCCCCAGCTCCGAAGCTCTCGTGTTCCCCTCCCCATCTTCCCCGGAACTAACGTCACCAAGGATTTTCCACACCCAACCCTCCCAACTTCCCCCTCCCACTTGAATCGCTCACCCCCTGAGCAAGCTCCGCCACAATGTCGAAGCGCGATCTTCACATCCAACCGCGCATGGTCAAGAAGGGCCCCTTCTCCGTCGAGGCGCCCGGCTATGAGCGCAAGGAAGGAGAGACCATCCCCCGACGACACCCAGCGGCCAAGGACGGGCTCATTCTGCGCCCCTCAGAGGATGTCGCAACCACCTACGACAACTTCCGTCGCTCGGCCCGGCTGTACGGCAACTCCAAGGCCGTCGGCACTCGTAGCCTGATCAAGACCCATGTCGAGAACAAGAAGGTCAAGAAGATCGTCGATGGCGTGGAGAAGGAGGTTGACAAGCAGTGGACCTACTTTGAGATGAGCGGCTACACCTACAAGACTTTCCTCGAGTACGAGAAGCTCTGTCTCGAGCTGGGCTGCGGTCTGCGCAAGCTGGGCCTGGAGAAGGACAGCAAGATTCACCTCTACGGTGCGACGAGGTAGGCCGAACCGGAACCTTTCCCGATGGGAGACGCGCATTCACTAACCCATTTCGTCCTATAGTGCACACTGGCTGGCCATGTCACACGGTTCGCTTGCCCATCTAGTTGATGAGTTTTTGTTTTACTGACGTCACATCTAGGCGCTGCCTCGCAGTCGATTACCATTGTGACCGCGTACGATACCCTGGGCGAGGAGGGTCTGAAGCATTCCCTGGTTCAGACCTCCAGTAGCGCCATCTTCCTCGACCCCGGCCTGATCAAATCGCTGTGCAACGTTCTCAAGGACATCCCCTCGATCAAACATGTCATCTACAACACGGATACGGAGGTTTCCCAGGCGGACTTGGATCGTCTAAAGAATGACTTTGGCCATGTCAACGTGTTGAGCCTCGAGGAGCTGCGCAAGTCCGGCGAGGAGAACAACGTCGACCCGGTCCCGCCCAAGCCGGAAGACCTTTGCTGCATCATGTATACCTCGGGCTCGACGGGCCCGCCCAAGGGTGTTCCCCTGACGCACGCCAACGTGATTGCTGCCAGTAAGTCGGTCGTCGCCGTGAAATATACGCAAGCTAATTCCCTCTCCAGCTGCTGGTGTCAACGAGATCGTCGGCCCGTACATCGGCCCCAAGGATTCCCTGTTGACTTACCTCCCGCAGGCGCACATCTTGGAGTTCATGTTTGAGAACCTGTGTCTGTTCTGGGGTGGTACGATGGGATACGGTAACCCTCGCACCTTGTCGGATACATCCATGCGCAACTGCCAGGGTGACATTCGCGAGTTCAGTCCCACTATTTTGGTCGGCGTGCCCGCCGTGTGGGAGTCGGTCAAGAAGGGTGTGCTGAACAACCTGAACAAGAACAACTTCATTGTGAAGAACATGTTCTGGGGTGCCATGGCGGCCAAGAACTTCCTGATGACCACTGGCTTCCCCGGCGCGAACCTTGGCTCTTCGATCTTGGATGCAGTGGTTTTCAAGAAGCTGAAGGAGGCTACCGGTGGCAAGCTCCGGATTATGATGAACGGCGGCGGTCCCATCTCCAAGGATACCCAAAAGTTCCTCTCCATGGCGATCGCTCCCATGATCGGTGGTTACGGTCTGACCGAGACCTCCGCCATGGGCGCTCTGAACGATCCCATGGCCTGGAATCCCAACGTCCTCGGCGACGTGCCCGCGTCGGTGGAAATCAAGCTGGTGGACTTCCCGGATGCCGGGTACCTGACCAAGCACAGCCCACCGCAGGGTGAGATCTGGATCCGCGGCGGCAGCGTGACTTCAGGCTACTGGGATAACGAGCAGGAGACCAAGGAGTCCCTGACTGACGACGGGTGGTTCATGACCGGCGACATTGGCGAGTTCGACCACAACGGCCACCTGCGCATCATCGACCGCAAGAAGAACTTGGTCAAGACTCTGAACGGCGAGTACATCGCCCTGGAGAAATTGGAGTCCGTGTACCGCTCCTCCCCTGTTGTTGGCAATATCTGCGTCTTTGCTGCAGAGGACCAGGACCGCCCCATCGCTATCATCGTCCCGCTGGAGCCTGCCCTGAAGAACATTGCCAGCTCCAATGGCATCTCCGGCGACACCGTCGAGACTCTTGTCCACAACGAGAAGCTCAAGTCCATTGTTCTGACGCAACTGCAGCAGGCTGGCCGCGCTGGTGGCCTTAGGGGCATCGAGATCGTCAGTGGTGTTGTCCTGTCTGACGAGGAATGGACTCCCCAAAACGTAAGTGGCCGACCTTTGATCATCACCAAGTAGCTTAGTTTCAACTGACATATTTTATAGGGCTTCATGACTGCCGCACAGAAACTGCAGCGCAAGAAGATCGTCAACAAGTACAAGGCCGACATCGACAAGGCCTACGGCAAGAAATAAAGGAGATATATCTCCTGTGTTTTTGATATATCTTTCCGTTGATTGATGTCTTTGCTTTCTGCTTGTTACCCTCTCCCGCGTTTGTTTTCATGTTGAGTTAGTTAATTGCTGCTTGTTCCGTGTTATCCCCCCCTGTTGATATGAGTGTTCTTCTGATGCGGACGACATGGCCTGCCTGCCTGCCTCTTGTGCCCCCTCTACGACGTAGATGAGATAGTAATGAATGCGGACATGTCTGACTTAGAAAGTCTTCTCGGTAGCATATCGATTACCTCGAGGATAGCAAATAACAAGTAATCAATCTTTCACAGAAAACAGAGATGAAATCTCCATAAATGATATGACATACCCCCGACAATAAGTAGCAATGCCCGCCTACCTATCATCCACGACCCCCATCAACAGTCTTCAGCGCCGGCGTATCCGCAATGCGAAAAACGTATTTTACCGCGCTCGCCTTCCCACCCTTCAAATCCGCCAACGCGCCCTCAACTCCATCCAACCCACCCTCACGGACCTGATACGGATGACCCCGGAACCAGCCCTCCGCGAGCCCCCGACCAAAATACCGGAAATACACAAATCCAAAATCAGGGTCCCCCTCCCACGCACCGGGCTGTCCATGCACACTTCTCACATTCGTTTCAGTGATCTGGAGCGTAGGCGGTGGCTGTATAGACGAAGAGAGCTGGGACTGAATCGGTAGAACAAATGCAGCGCTTCCTTGGCCATGCACCACGCGTAGCACGTTATTGACACTTCCATGTGCGCAGACTGTGTCAAATGCATGATACAATTCGTCAAACCCGCGCTCGCGCAACGCCAAGTGAATAGCATCGATTAGCGCATCTGGATCTTGTCGATAATCAATGATCGTATCGCCCTTAGAGCGGTCGAGCAGGGTATCGACGTATGTGGTTCCTCCTCCTGCGACCGCGATGAGAGGGTGGATGTTTGCACGCACTGCTAGCTTTAGTGCGAATGAGCCCACGGCTGTGGCGCCGCCGTATATTAGGACTGGGGTTGGCTTTTGGTTTTGGTTGTTTTTCCATGGATCTGGGAGGTTGAGCCGGGAGAAGAGGCCGAGTGCTGCCGTCATTCCTGCGAGGCTGGTAAGATGGACAGGGTTTAGTATGGAAGCTATGGTTCTGGGATACGTGGAGAGAAGTGTACTATGGTATAGCACTTACGGAATTGTTGCGGCCTCTGCAGAGGAAGACCTAGTTAGCATAGGAAACTCCAGTAGTTCCAACGGATATACTATACACACCTTCAAAAGATGTATTCTCGGGGATATGAAAAGTCGTATATGCCCACGCCACAGCATACTCGGCATAACTACCCCCAGATGTCATGATCTCATGAAACGCAGCGACGCGGTCCCCAGGCTATTTGTTTTGTTGTATTCCTCAGATCAGTTACTAGTTTCGGGCACAACACTACTCACCTACCCAATACTCTTCGATGGATATTCACCTTGAATTCAGTCACGTTCTTCCCAGTCCTGTGCACAATCCCGGCGATGTCGTCGCCCTGGTTGATGTGCACGTCAAACCATTCGGGCCGCTTCCAGTCCTTGGGATTGCTCCCGGAAACCACTACTTTGATCACGACCTGGTCGTCATTGGGAGTGGGGATGGGGGTGTCGATTAGCTCGGTTTTGGGACCGGGGTGGATCAGTAGTTCAAGCATCTGAGCTGAGTTGGTTCTGCGGATATTTGGTTCTTCGAAGGAGAGAAGGAACAGATCCTTGGGTCTCTCGGATATTTAGAAGGTAGAGAGGGCTCTCGTTTATAGGTGACGTTGGTTCATTTAACTTTCATTGCCAATGTCGTGGTTAGAATTCGTGCTTTATCTGTATTACAAATCCAGCATGAGGCTGCTTGGCCTATCTCGGATATGGTGCCGAATGAGAGGGGCATAGAAACTAGTAACCTGCCTCGTGCTGATCATTATGTAGATCAATAGGGCCTAAGGTTACTATTTTCAAAGATCAAAAAGCATTATTAAAGTCAGATAAGTCATGTAATTGTAACAGAATGAAGATAAATTTATGTAGAAGGTGTATATAAAATCAGCAAAGAAATTGAAATGAACAAGGGTGTATATTGGCCTTATATCCATAACGAGACATTCCACTCGGACAGACAAAGAAGGCCATACTGCTTCAAGAATTTTTCCCTCTCCAGTCCCCGCTCGTGTGCATGTTTAGTACACGGCAATTTTGAAATGGAACTCATAGGTCCCAGCTCTCATACGAGGCCCTGTCATAGACACAGACGAAGGTGGAGTTGCTCTTCCACAGAGGGCGCGAAGACCACTGGTACAGCATCTGGGTCTCGCTTTTAGGGCTTTGGGCGGTGTTAGGGAGGGATTAGGCTTTTATTTCGGAAAAATTAAGGTTGTGTATAGAGACATCGGACTTAACAAGCACGGTACGCTCACGCTCAACTACGTGCCCCCCGTCGCCTCCAGCGATACCTTTCCGCCATAAAGGAAGTCTTTTCCAGTCTCATGTCCCTTTCGGATCTTGGGATCCATACTTGTTTATAAGAACCAGATGGGGTTGGTCAGACCAATCGCTGAATCGTCAGTCACGTTCCTGACCTCCACTCTCACAAACTTGAAGTCGGTAGGAAGCTGGTGATGGAGGGTCTTTCCATCTCTGATAGTGGTGTTATAAAAGTACCCCTTATCAGAGATAAAGCAAGCCTTCTGGTCGTTCATGCCCTCGACAGTAAGGAAGGCCTGGGCACCTCTGGAGCTTCCGTGAACCTTGTCGCCGATCTGAGCAACGGTGTTCTGCACGTTGACGTGGAACTCCATCGACTTGCCAGGACCTTCAACGACATAAGCGCGGGCATTCTTGACAGCCGCGACGATAGCAGACTGCTTGCGGCCGCGAGAGTTGACGACAGTGGTGGGAACTCCGTTCATGGAAGGGGGAGAGTGGGCGTCACTTCCACCGATGGCGGCGGTAAACTTTCCAGCAACGAGGAGCTCGTGCCATTTCTGAATGGCCTGTTGATCGGTTGAATCAAAGTCAGCATTCCAAACTTCAATGGCATCGTTGTGGTCCCAGTCATCGAAGCCCCAGTTGCAGGCTGCGCAAGCAGCGAAGGGGTGGTTGACGGAAACGAAGCCACCGGCGCGGTGAACCTGCTCAGTAGCTTCGGCGAAGCCCGCGACATCCTGGTAACGCCAATCAATGAGCTGCTCGCGGTCGAGGCCGGCAGCTTGCCAATGTCCGTGGCGAGTAGTCACCTCGATGGCGCGGCAGATCAGGAGATCCGGAGCCAAGGCCTGCTGGTAAGCGCCGATAATGTTGTTGCTGGTGTCGGTGTTGTGGTCAGAGAAGAAGATGAACGAGAGATCCTGAGCCACGGCATGTTGGATCTGCTCATCTGGGGTGTACTTTCCATCGGAATAGACTGTGTGCATATGGAAGTCCCCGCGGAGCCACTCCTGTCGCTCGAACTGACCGATGGTGTCAAAGTCGACTTGTGCAAAAGTGGGAGAGAAGTAAGTGTCAACTGGGTCGAATCCCATGACAATTTGCAACTGCCAGTCGATACCCTCGGGAACGGAGTTGTAGGGACCAAGAACTACGTTCCAGGTACCGGGCTCGATAGCGCCTGGGTTGTAGCCAGGGGTTGCCCAGGAGGGAGTGATGGTGAAGTTATTACGGAAACCGCCTGACCATCCGCGAGATCCGAAGGTGTCGTTGACAGTATTCATCAGCTGATATCCACGCTGATCGAAAACGCCCAGGTCCAGGGCATTATCCTTGCCCTGGAGAGAGTAGGTCTGCAGGACATAGACCGAGGTGGTTTCGGGCTCAACTTGGAACGGGACGTAGACAAAGGACATGACCTGGGAAGCATCAATATGGCCAGTCAAGTTGAGGGTGACGGGAGCCCGAGCAGAGACACCAGCCACGAGGGCGGCCACCAAGGGAAGAGTCGTAGTAGCTTTCATGTTTGATGACTTCGCCTCAGAGAAGTGAGACAGAAATTGCTGAAGTTGGGACGCCACTAGCTGTAAATAGAAAAATCGCCCTCTTTTATATGTATGTACAAACGGACGAATGTAACTATACCTGCCAATTGATTGTTCAAGTTGAGGTTACCCTGTCGTATCCCACGTGGATGGTCCATCGATGAATTGCCGAGATATACTTTGCCGATCGCAATTATAAGTTCATCTGGTTGGACCAAGCTTAAAAGGTGTCAAAGATTATCAAAGATGTTCAAGATCGTTGACAGAGATATTAGAATTGTTCAGGCTCAAAGTTGAATCCTCCCAACGATGGCCTCGTTATTGTTCATCGCGTAAACAGCAAGAATTAGATGAAGCGGTCGTTGATGACTCTTCAAAAGTATTCCGTATTGATAACTGCCTCTAAGGAGAGAACCAATTCCCTGTTTCGTTTAGGTATTATGAATAACACGAGCGATTCGAGCCTTGGCATATTGACAGGATCGCGATCGGAGAGTTTCTTAGCCATTGCTCGGCCCACGTGAGCTTTTCCGGCCCACCTGTCAGAAGCCCCGAATGTCGGGGTTCCGGCTCCACTTCAAGACCCTGATACATTCTAGAAAACCGTAGACAGCGATCGGGTAATGCTATCTCGTTGGAATGGTACCTGGTATTCATCACGGGACCATAGTGTAAAGTGGCTAGTGCAAAGTGGAATAGCCTGGCTTTGTAGAGACCGATATGAGGCAGTGGTGAAGCTGTTACTAGAGACTGGGAAAGAGGATGAGGACTCAAAGGACATTGAGGGTATAACACCACTCTCCTGGGCTGTGGCTAACGGGCATGAGCCCGTGGTAAAACTACTAGACAGGAGGCAGCAGAGGTAGGCGAGGGGATCCGCTTCTGCTCTCCCTGGGCCCTATCATGTATATAGACTGGGCAAACGCCAAGCACCACTAGACGACTCTTGCTCATGTGCCGGGTCGGCCAAGCCTACCACTCGGCTATTGAGGGAGAAATGACTTACTCCGAACCACAACACTTTCCTTAGGTTATTCAAGCCAGCCCCAGGGAGCAGGGACTAATCGTAAACGTTAGTCTGGATGCGTCGTATCCACCCAGAGAGAAAAGTATCCTTCTCATAAACCGGCTTTCTAAGTCGATGGTCGCACGGGGATTCTAGCTTAATTAAGACGATGCTTCGTGGCCGCCTAGCTTTGATGGGAGGAGCTTTGATGCTACCAAGTAAACATGGGTTAGCTCGATTCCTTTTGATTGCGCCCTTCTGCAGATAGCAGCTTCAAGCGATCCGAGAGGTGGTTGGTTCGCCACTATTCCTCATATAGTTAAGAAACACGAGCGTAGGTTTGGCTAGGGTGGGATTCATGGTTCATTGTCACCACTGGTGAAAATGGCGAGTTGTCAAGGAAGACAACTCGGGCATTTCGAGAATGTTTGATGTGGGACACGAATAGCAGCTGTCGAGCTCTAAAGAGTAGTAAACACGGACTAGGCTAATACAATAATCCGGTCTTTTACAGTGCAAGGCCTTGACCATTGACCGGAGATGTTCTTTACTTCTAAAAGTAGTTTAGCGCTTCTTGCATTGTGAGTTCGAGAAACCATGAAAGAGTGAAGGTGGTGACACCGATTTCCGGAACCAGTGTATAGGTGATGCCTACCGCGTTAGATATTTTCCGCGGCATCGTAGAGCTGGCGTCATCTTTTCTTCAGCCTCGGAGGACTAAAATCGAACGCGCCATGCGTGGGCCCATTCCCCGGCAGATTTTGGGCGTTACGTGCGAGATTGATCTAGGACAGCAGCATCGCGGATGGATTTAGGGAAGTTTTCGAGTTTGCGGGCTTGATGAGATTACATACTGTATAAGGAGTCGCAGTCCTGAAAGAACTCGAATCGCCTAGGATCCCTCGTCAGTATTGAAATATATAGTTGTCGCTCAGCCACCATATATTTTCCACTTACCAGTAACAAATCAACTGTTGACCTGTATACTGCCGTATGCCTGCCTTTCTGTTTGTTCCCTTCCATCAAGAAATCTATAATAACTTATGGATGCTGATATCGTAATTCGCATTGACTCGGTGTTAGGGCATGGCTTGTGACTTAATACTGCCGCCCAATGCCGCCCGCATTGCCCTGCGCGGGACACAATCAAGTCGCCCTCCACTGATTGAGAGCTCGCTTCCCCACACTCCTTTGAATCGAAGCAGCAGTAGCAGCAGATTGATGCTCGCTGGTCCTCGCGTGGTTTAGCGCAATTGCTGCTGGAAACACCTGTGCCCACTGCATCGTCTTGCACCCATTTCGGGGTGAGGTGGGCTGTATCGAAAGCATCGGACCGCTCCGCATACATCTTTTGACCCGGTGTGTAGCTCCCAGCGAGCTATGGCGGACTTACTGGCCTCGGCGATGGGTCAGTTGAGGTTGAATTCCAGTGATCTCACCCCGTCGGCCTTTGATGCGCGACTTGTAGAAGAAGAGAATGGCAAACATGACGACTTGAAGCCTCGCAAACGAACCCACCCAAATGCCGAGGACCTCTTGGCGGAATTGGAGAATGATTTCTTGACCCCGTCACCACGGTTTAGTACCAAGTGGTTGAACCATCTGCAAAAGTGCGTTGCTACTTGAGCTCTCTGTACTTCCGTCTGTGGCTAACGCTCCTCATGCAGGCGATGGGATGTCTCGACCGACTACACCGACCTCTTCGAAATCGCTCCCACCCAGACGCGCACCGTTACTCGATTCACACGGGAAGGATTGGAAGGACGGGTGACTGGATATCATGAAGTTACGGTTCCTGCGACGAGCACAAATGCAAAGAACTCTACGTCTCTCCTTCGCCGACCTGCAGGCCGTGCCGATTTTGTTAGGGGAGCGGCGGGTTTCTTTCCCTTTGCGCCGGGTGGGTTGGACGCGGTCGAGGCCCTTGCGGCCATGGAGGCAGATGATCAAACGGCAGAGCAAACGCGAAGTGGTGGGAAACAGTCTGGTCTTGACCGAATCATCGATTTTGGGTCGGAGGGGGGTCTGTTGACCGTTCCACCGGGGTTCAGCCGCGGCCTGAAGCTTGAGGAGGCAAAGTCCAAGGAGGGCGTCGAGGGAGACAAGGAAGTCGAGCATGCTCTTCTCCAAGAGGAAAGCCATCTGCAAGTTGACGAAGCCGAACCAAAACCCGATGTCGACCCACGGTCAAAGGTTGAGGGTGAAGACGATATCAGCGATGAGGAGGAGGAAGACATTGATGCCTTGCTTCCCGTCGAATTCCCTGCTCTAGAGCCACACAACCTATTATTGACAGGAGTTCAAAAACAAAGGGGCAGAGAATGGGCTCACGTTGTGGATGTGAACAAAGATATTCCTAACTTCAGCGAGCTCGTCCCGGACATGGCCAGAGAGTGGCCCTTCGAGCTGGATACATTCCAGAAAGAAGCTGTCTACCACCTTGAAGGTGGCGATTCGGTGTTTGTTGCAGCCCACACTTCCGCCGGCAAGACTGTTGTGGCTGAATACGCAATTGCTTTGGCGGCCAAGCACATGACAAAGGCAATCTACACGTCTCCCATCAAAGCTCTCAGCAATCAGAAATACCGCGATTTCCGAACTACATTCGATGATGTTGGAATTCTGACTGGAGATGTCCAAATCAATCCAGAGGCAAGCTGTTTGATTATGACAACTGAAATCTTACGAAGTATGCTTTATCGCGGAGCTGATCTGATTCGTGATGTCGAGTTTGTCATCTTTGATGAAGTACACTATGTGAATGATCTTGAACGAGGTGTGGTCTGGGAAGAAGTTATTATCATGCTTCCTGAGCATGTCACTCTGATCCTCTTATCTGCCACTGTCCCCAACACATACGAATTCGCATCCTGGGTGGGTCGCACGAAGAAGAAGGACATTTATGTCATTTCGACTCCCAAGCGACCCGTTCCGCTCGAACACTATCTCTGGGCAGGGAAGGACAAGTTCAAGGTCGTCGATTCAAACAAGCGATTCCTGGAGAGTGGTTGGAAGAAAGCGAACGATATCATGTCAGGCCAGGATAAAGTCAAAGCTCAGAAGGCTGCCGAATCCCAAGCGCAGTCCCAGGCTGCGCGTGGAGGAGCCGGACCTCAAGGACGAGGCCGCGGACAGCCCAATGGCAGAGGCGGCGGTGCCCCTAGAGGCAACGGGCAGCGAGGAGGCCCACAGCAACGGGGCAGAGGGCAAGGGGGACGAGGACAACCCTCTAACCGAGGCACAGGAAATATTGCTCGTACTGGCCGCGGAGGCGGCAGGACGTCAGCTGCCCAGGACAGGAATGTTTGGGTGCACCTGGTATCCCATCTGCGCAAAGCGGATTTACTCCCTGGATGCATTTTCGTCTTTTCCAAGAAGCGATGTGAAGAAAATGCGGATTCTCTCTCCAACCAGGACTTCAGCACTGCTTCAGAGAAGAGCTTGATTCATATGTTTATTGAAAAGTCTCTCACCCGGTTGAAGCCCGAAGATAGAACGCTTCCACAGATTCTCCGGCTTCGTGAACTGCTGAGCAGAGGGATCGCTGTACACCACGGGGGTCTCCTGCCCATTATGAAAGAGATTGTTGAGATTCTGTTTGCCAAGTCTTTGGTAAAGGTTTTGTTCGCTACAGAAACGTTTGCCATGGGTCTCAATCTGCCGACTCGAACGGTTGTTTTCTCGGGATTCCGAAAACACGACGGCAAGAGTTTCCGCGACCTTCTTCCTGGTGAATATACGCAGATGGCTGGGCGTGCTGGACGAAGAGGTCTCGATACAGTGGGCTACGTTATCATAACTACCAGCGGCAGAGACGAGGCACCCCCCGCTGGTGCTCTGCGGAAGATGATCCTTGGCGACCCGACCAAGCTTAGATCTCAGTTCCGGCTGACGTACAATATGATTTTGAACCTGCTACGTGTGGAGGCTCTCAAGATCGAGGAGATGATCAAGCGGAGTTTCAGTGAGAATGCCACACAAGCCTTGCTCCCGGAGCATGAGAAACAAGTCCAGCTCTCGGAAGCCAGTCTCGAGAAGATTAAGCGAGAGCCCTGTGAGATTTGTGATTTGGATCTGGCAGCTTGTCATGCGGCAGCGATGGAGTACCAAAGACTCACGAATGAGCTGCATGCGGGCCTTCAATCATCGCCTGTAGGAAAACGGCTCTTTACAATCAAGCGACTCGTGGTTTACCGAAAGGTCAGTTCAGTTCATACCCTTCTTCATTATCTGATACGTGTACTAAATTCAGTGCAGGACGGATTGCGCACAGCCGGTGTGCTTGTCCGCGAGGGAGTGACTGGTGGGAATATACCCTGTCTGCAGGTGTGCGAGATTGGAACCATCAGCAACAAGCGCCACCCAAGCGATATTCTCCCCTTCTTGCCAAAATTCCGGCCCTTCTTCCAGCAACTGCCCTCCAGTTCTGCGAATATGCACTTGAAAACATGCAAAATCCCGCTCGCCGATCTTGAATGCGTCACAAACACCCAGGTGAAGCTTGGCGGGCCGATCTGGTACTTGAACATCAAGAAAGGTATATACCCCCGTCACAACTCTGTGTTCTCTATCTAATATCTTTCCATAGAGGCTGTGAAGTTCGCGGATAAGGAGCTCACCAAGTACACCAAGTCATGGACCGACCATACGTGGGACGAGCTGGATTGGGCGCGAGTCAAAGAGTTGCAAGTGCGAGATATACTCGATCAGCGACAGGCCCAGGCCGACATTGCCCAGTCCTGTCACAGTTTGAAGTGTCCTAATTTCTTGAAGCATGTAAGTGTTGCCGTTCTCATGTGTATCGCTCGCGCTGACCCTTTTCGTGCAGTTTGAGATGCAACATGACGAGTGGCAGGTCAAGGAGAATATCTCGCAGCTCAAACAGCTCATGTCGGATCAAAACCTCCAGCTTCTGCCGGACTACGAGCAGCGTATCCAGGTGTTGAGGGAACTGGGATTTGTGGACGAGCAGTCGCGTGTGCAACTGAAAGGCAAGGTAGCATGCGAGGTATGTTTCTCTCTCTCTCTCTCTCTCTCTCTCTCTCTCTCTTGTGTGTGTTTTTATACGATATTATCTCCAATTACTAACTTGGCATCAGATTCACTCTGCCGATGAGCTTGTTCTCACCGAATTGATTCTGGAGAACGTGCTGGCAGAATTCGAGCCGGAAGAGATCGTCGCCCTCCTCTCGGCCTTTGTGTTCCAGGAAAAGACTGACAACAAACCCACATTGACCCCACGCCTGGAAAAGGGCCAGGAAACGATCGTGCGAATCTCGGAGAAGGTCAATGACTTCCAGGTGCTGCACCAGGTCATCCAGTCCAGCGAGGACTCGAACGACTTCGCCAGCCAGCCGCGCTTTGGGCTTGCCGAGGTCGTGTATGAGTGGGCCAAGGGCATGTCCTTCAACCGCATCACGGATCTGACGGATGTGATGGAGGGAACGATCGTGCGCACCATCACGCGGCTGGACGAGACGTGTCGTGAGGTCAAGAACGCTGCCAAGCTGGTGGGCGACCCGTCGCTGTACACGAAGATGCAGCAGGCGCAGGAGCTGATCAAGCGGGATGTGATTTTTGCAGCGTCACTGTACATGTAGCCGCATGAATCAATAGTAGTTGCTAGCATGTCTGGTAGTAAATCGACGTCTCCCATGTTCTACTCTGCGTAGTCGTAAATACTCGGTCAGTGGCTCCCGCTGATTAGCGGCGGGGCGACCGCCCAACCCAAACCCTGGGTTGGTTCCCTCACTTTTTTTTCCCTTCCAGATCTGTTGTTGCCCACCCGCTTGTCCCTGGACTCCCTGTCCGGTCTTGTTCTTCTACTTGGGTCCTCTTGGTCCTGTTTGTTCCTCTTCACTCTTGGATTCTCACCCTCCTCTTACCGCCTTCCTCCTGCTCTTCGGGGCTGATTACTCGGCGTTTGGTGATTTCTGGCGCTGGGGTGTGGTGCGATAATGGATGTCACAGCCCTACGAGACCGCATCCAGTCGACGCTGGACGCAAATGCGGAAATTCGTCAACAGGCGGAGCTGGATCTGAAATATGTATGTTGTGTGTTGCTGGACAAGCTGCTGGCGGGGCAGCGAGGGAGGGAGGGAGAGAGACATAGAGACAAACTAACACACGTGGTGCCCCATTCTCTAGGCCGAAACGCAGCCCGGGTTCATCAATGCCCTACTGGATATTCTGCAGGGGGAGCAGAATAATGCCATTCAACTGTCGGGTGAGTACCGTTGCCTCGAGGGCGGATTTTTCTGTTAGTTTTCGCTGACTCCCTCATTTCGCACAGCCGGCGTGTACTTGAAGAACCGCATCACCCGAGGATGGTCACCTGCCGAAAACACCTCCCACTACCAATCGAGAATCCCCGCAGAGGAGAAACCGGGGTTCAGGGAGCGCCTGATTCCCGCTCTCGCATCCGCACCGGCCAATGTCCGTAACCAGCTGGTTCCCCTCCTCCAAAAAATCCTGCAGCACGACTTCCCCGGGGAATGGCCGGGATTCTTGGACTTGACTCTGCAGTTGTTGGGTACCCATGAAGCCAATACCGTCTACGCGGGCCTGCAGTGTCTGTTGGCCGTCTGCCGCACGTACCGGTTCAAGGCAGGAGAGAAGCGCGATGAGTTTGATAAGATTGTGGAGCATTCGTTCCCGCAGCTGCTCAGCATTGGATCTAAACTCGTCGATGAGGAAAGCTTGGAGGCTGCGGAGATGCTGCGCATCGTCGTGAAGTCGTATAAGCATGCAATTTATGTGAGTGCTCACCATCCAACCCCAATTCGCATCCATTCTGACCAATCCCGGGGATTAGTTCGAACTCTCGCCGGCTCTCCAAACTCATCAGGCAACTGTTGACTGGTGCACCCTGTTCCTGCGAATCGTTGCCAAGACACCTCCGGCGAACGGAATGGGAGATTCGAAGGAAGAGAGGGAGCTGAACCACTGGTGGAAGTGCAAGAAATGGTCATATGCCAACTTGAACCGTCTGTTTGTCAGGTAAGTCCTCTCTCCATTGGTCCCCAACTGGGTTGCAAGCCTGCTCACATTACGCCTTCGCGCGGTAGATACGGCAACCCTACCACCATGACCAAATCCTCCACCCCCGACTACACGCAGTACGCGAAGACCTTCATCAGCACATTCGCTCCCGAGATCCTCAAGGGATACCTGCAGGAAATTGACAAGTGGGTTTCCAATACCCAATGGCTCAGCACGCCGGCACTCTCCTATACCTTGGCCTTCATGGAGGAGTGTGTCAAACCGAAGGCAATGTGGGATCACTTGAAACCGCACATGGACAACCTGATTGCGCACTTCGTTTTCCCGATTCTGTGCCAGTCGGATGAGGACATCGAGATGTTCGAGGATGACCCGTCGGAATACCTCCACCGGAAATTGAACTATTACGAGGAAGTGTCGGCCCCCGACCTTGCTGCCACGAATTTCCTGGTCACCCTCACCAAGAACCGGAAGAAGCAGACCTTTGCTATCCTCACCTTTGTCAATGGAATTGTGAGCAAATATGAGTCTGCCCCGGATGACCAGAAGCTCCCCCGGGAGAAGGAGGGTGCTCTGCGGATGATTGGCTCCCTCGCATCGGTTATTCTGGGCAAGAAGAGCCCGATTGCGGACCAGGTCGAGTACTTCTTCGTCCGTCATGTTTTCCCCGAGTTCCGCAGCCCCCATGGATTCCTCCGTGCTCGTGCCTGTGACACTTTGGAGAAGTTCGAGCAGCTTGACTTTAAGGACCCCAACAACCTCATGGTCATTTACCGGAATATCCTGGAGTCAATGACCGATTCGGAACTGCCCGTCCGTGTGGAGGCTGCTCTTGCTCTGCAGCCTCTTATTCGCCACGACATCATCCGGACCTCGATGCAGCAGAATATCCCGCAGATCATGCAGCAGCTCCTGAAGTTGGCCAACGAGGTCGACGTGGATGCTCTGGCCAACGTCATGGAGGACTTTGTTGAGGTTTTCTCTGCCGAACTGACGCCCTTCGCTGTGGCTCTGAGTGAGCAGCTGCGCGATACCTACATGCGTATTGTGGGCGAGCTCTTGGAGAAGAACTCCAACAAGAACGGAGAAGAGGATACCTATGGTGACTTCTTGGATGACAAGAGCATCACCGCGTTGGGCGTGTTGCAGACCATTGGCACCCTCATTCTCACTCTGGAAAGCACCCCTGACGTGCTCCTGCATCTCGAGACTGTTCTCATGCCCGTCATCAGTATCACGCTCGAGAACAAGCTCTATGATTTGTACAATGAGGTTTTCGAGATCATCGACAGCTGCACCTTTGCCTCCAAGTCCATCTCCCCCACTATGTGGCAGGCATTCGAATTGATCCACAAGACTTTCAAAGCTGGCGCGGAGCTGTATCTGGAAGATATGCTGCCCGCGCTTGACAACTTCATTGCCTACGGCTCAGAGATGCTCGTACAAAACCCTGCGTATCTTAATGCTGTGGTGAGTATGGTGGAGGATATCTTTACCGACGAAAAGGTCGGCGGCGTGGACCGGATCTGCGGGTGCAAGCTCGCAGAGACCCTGATGCTGAACCTCCGTGGTCACATCGACCAGTACATTCATATCTTCATCACCCTGGCCATGCGGGTCATCGATTCAGGAGAAGCCCGGACCAAGTCCTACCGGATCCACCTGATGGAGATGGTTATCAATGCCATCTACTACAACCCCGTTCTCAGTCTCCAAATCCTGGAAGCCAACGGCTTGACGAACAAGTTCTTCAGCGCCTGGTTCTCGAATATCGATAACTTCCGGAGAGTTCACGACAAGAAGCTGTCGATTGCTGCCATCAGCTCGCTCCTGACTCTGCCGGCGGATAGTGTTCCAGAGAGTGTTCAACAGGGCTGGCCAAGATTACTCCAGGGTGTGACAAGGCTGTTCCAGACCTTGCCTGCTGCCCTTAAGCAACGCGAGGACGCTACCCGAGAGTCCGATTTCACGCTCGAAGACGATGATGAAGACGATGAGGACAACGACTGGGATGGCGAAGTCGAGTGGAACGAGGACGAGGCTGAAGAGGCTGTGGATGGAGATGTAGCCGACGAGAGCGCCGCATACCTCGAGTTCCTCAACCAGGAGGCGGCGAAGTTTGGCTCGTTCGCTGATGATGACGACGACGATCTGGACGAGGAGAGTCTCCTCGAGACACCTCTTGACAAGGTGGAGCCTTACGGCATGTTCAAGCATGTTTTGCTGAGTACGTGACTCCTTTATACCTTCGCATGCTTACCTATACTAACACAATCTCCAGACCTTCAACAAGAGCAGCCCCAGCTCTATGAGAACCTGACCAAGGTCCTTGGTCCTGAAGAACAGCAGGTCATTCAGGCTGTCTTCCACGAAGCCGACGCCAAGGCCATGGCGGCCGCCGCCAATGCCGAAGCCGCCGCCGCGGCGGGCATGCAGTCCAATGGCAACCAATAGACTTAGAGTCGGCCTGGGAGGTTTACTACGGTTAGAAGCCTGTTGCCCTCCTTGCACATTGGTTTCACTTGGAAGGGTGTGCTTCTCATCCCGTCTCTACATGCCCACGAGCGATATGCCCTCAATTTCATGTTTAGATCATCTACTCGATCTGCTGATGCTTTTCTTTGCCTCTTTTTCTTTTTGTTTTCTTCCATCTGTCTTGTCCTGTCATGTCCCCCTCATGTCTCTGATGTATGCACAAAAGTCCCCCTTCTACCTAACCCCCCCGTTTCTCCCCTGCCCGCCTCCACTTAATTCTCTTCGATGCACAGATTCCCTAAAGACGAAGACTCTTCCCCATGGCAATATGTTTTCAAATCTGCATGAATTGTTGTCAACTTTTGGAATCGTAAAGAAATACTCACTTTTCGTGAAGCTTTTCGCAAGGCCATCTGTCGGCTGCGGATTGCGTTGCCTGAGTTTCTCTATTTATCAGAACATCAATATTTTCTGGTCTCCGTCGAATATACTACGTATGCATGCGGAACACTGTGTATTCGGTGTATAGTCTGTCTACTCATTCTTATCCAATTTCAAGTATCCGGACAATGCACAATAGAGACCATCACGTGACCAGTTCCATTATGCAAATGATGTCACTGGATAAGATAGACTTGACTTGACAAAGGATAGCTAGCCCTAATAATTAGGATACCTAGTGGATAGAAGACGGAACTAGCTTATGAGCACGGAATTAAATTAAAACGGCCAAGAACAAGAAGCGGGTAAATAGCACGCCTGAAAGGAGACGTCATCATGATGAAGCACCTGGGATGTTTCGGTTTAGGGTTCTTGCGGCTGATAACGTCAGGCCTGGACGTCAATTCAGGGCAGTTGGTTAAGCAAGTATTTAACCTTGAATATTCTTTTCTCTCACATAAATCAGTCTCTCTATCTCTACAATTTGATACCAACGCAGGGACTATCCACAAACTATACCTGCTACCTACCATACCAGCCAGTGAGTTGACCTCGTACCGACCACATTTGGTTCCCAACAAGCATTTTACACTGGAGCACCGTCAAGTATGATGGCTAACTCCATTTAAGAGGGAAAAGGTTTCAATCAAAAGAAAATGTCTGCCCGTCTCTCCGGCCGTCAATCCCCTCCCGAAGAGCGCCAAAGCGGCGCACAGCAGCGCGATCCCCCGGGCAGTGGCAAGACCAACGTCGGGGACCACCCTCCGTCGGGTTCTGCACAGCAGAAATCTGAAGAGCATAAGAAGTTCCAGCTGCAGAGTAACCCGGAACACCCGTTGGAGAAGATTGAGGCGGATAAGTATTCCAAGCGCGGTGCGTAGAGGGAGGGTATTGTCTGGGATGGAAATGGGAGAGATATTGTTCGAACGGAAGTGAGAGAGAATCTGTCTTGTTGATTAAGAGTACCCAAGAATGTGAAGTCGTTGCCTACATGGACTCCATATGAAGAAGATCAGTTGGAATACTAAGTCTATCTAATCTGTCTATGTGCTGGTCCACCGTTTCATCCATGATTCGATGTATCTCAGTATCAATCCCTCAGTAACGGGGTCTTTGATAAGGGCCAGTGAAGAGCAATCTTTGACTGTCCGGTGAGTTTCAAAGGTAAGACCTTGGACTTTGTCTTGCCGACCCTGTTTCGTAATGGCAGTAGCCGACTGTGGCTGACCATAACCCGCATACTTCGATCGCCAGAAATCGAGTAGTTTTATGCTTGGATTCTTCTCTGGATCCGGTTCACTACCCGCCAATTTCTGTAGCCATTCCTGCGGTGACACAATCTCAAAGCCTGGCAGAGCTGAACCTTGCTTCAAAACGGGGAGCAAGTCGTGCTTCCAGCTAAATCTTTGTGGATTGACCAGATGATACACCTGGTCGGCATCCGATGAAGGCTCGCCAGGCTTAAGAGCTAGTTCTGCAACTGTTCGAGCGCATTCATCGACAGGTAGCCAGCTGGTTTCCTCGTCCAATGCCGGCAGCGCACCGGTACTCAACGCACTGCGGAACATGAGCGCCACAGCTTCGGTGTCATTCCACTGCGCAGTGACGGTATCGCCGCCAAGCTGACCGATTCTCAGAACCCGGGCATGCATACCAGTATGCCGCATAGCGTTGCGGGTGATATGCTCCGTGACCAGCTTCGATCGCCCGTAGCCTGTAGTCTGTGCGTGCTCCAGATTCTCGATAGCGGTCTCTGGAACGGAAGCCGGCTTGGGGGTGTTGCTTGCGGTGCTCACGCTCGAGCAGAAGAAGAACCGCGCCGGAGTGGGTAGCTTGGAGCGCAGACAGAAATTGATGAGGTTGTATGAGCCGCGGATATGCTGTCCCTCAAAGGACCGCACGCCCAGGTTGAAGTTGACAGCCCAGGCACTGTGGATGACGCACGTCAGGGATGAGAGAAGGTGTTCGAGGACATGGGTGTCCAAGCCCAGATTAGGCTGAGACAAGTCGCTGGGGACTGCGCGAAGCTTGCCGGCCTCATCGTCGGTGAGAGAGATGCTGCGATCTGATAGAGCGTTCATCAGACGGGCACCTGCTGCAGCTTGCCCTGGTGCCCGTACCAGGGCCCAGATCTCGGACACTGTTGGTCGTTTGAGGACTTCCGAGACGATGAAAGCCCCTAGGTTACCTGTTGCGCCAGTGATAAGCACGATTTCCTTCTCTGGCTTTGCTGTCATGGTCGGGAAATGCTGCGTAAAGTGGGAGTATTTCTCGATCATCTGCCGCATAACCTGATATTCATCTTCCTCTTCATATTCTTCACCGGTGCGCAGCTGATACAAATGCTTCGCAAGAGCGCTGATGGTTCCTTTCTCGAAGACAATGTTCTGGCTTATATTTTCCCCTTGCTCTCCAAGGTCAAGATCACGCACAATGTATCTCCATATCTGTGTAGTCTGCAGGCTGTCGACACCAGTCGAGAAGATATCGGTTTGAGCAGTCGGCAGCGGTACACCGAGGTCGTCGCGAAACTTCGACAGTAGCCACTCTTCTAGTTTCGGCACATCGAGTGCAAGAGTTCCCTTCCTCTGACCGCTGCCTTCGAACTTGGCGTAGGCAGCTTTAATGTCATCCTCAAACAGCTGATAGACCTGAGCGCGAATGCAAGTTCCCTTATCCGTCTTAGGGTAAAGAACATCGGCACCCTTGACCACGACCAGTTCCTTGGGGATGCGGGAAAAAGTCTCGGCACGAGAATTTGCAGCCTCGACGGCGGGCCATATAGCTTCCAAAAACTCATCGTCGCTCATATCCGGTGCCTTGTCAGCAGCACGGAAGATCAAGGCCCCGGGAACAGTTCGCTGAAAGCCAAAAACAACGCACTCCTGCACGAGTGGTTCCTCTCTGACGCGACCTTCAATGGGGATAGGAAGCACCTTCTCGCCATTGACAAGGGTAATTCGATCATCCAGTCGACTCAGATACTTGTAATAATTGCTTTTTTGGGGGTCTGGGTGTCGTGTGAACAAATCAGCTGTTCTGAAACTATTCTCCGGATTCTTCGCGCTGTAAGGTGGTTTTGAGTTCGAAGGCCCTTTGCTTGGAAGACCGTCCAGCGCTACACATTCGAAGACTCCAGGCGATATTTCATCCATGAGAGTATGGTCGGCAACAGGGCGATGCAGGCGCATGTATTGCCACTCGGTATCACCTGGAGAGCGGAAAGAGGTCATGATTTGCCCTGTTTCAGTTGCGCCGTAGTTCGCAACCAGATTGACGCCCTGCGCAACAAGACGGTCGCCCAGATCATCTGGACAACTGGATCCCCCATACAACACAATCTCCGCTTTGGCCAACGCCTGTATGCCTTCCGGCTTTTCTGCCAGAAGTTTGATGACATAGGGCACGGCGCTAATTTGCTGGGGTTGGGCAATTTGCAGGGCGTCGTAGAGGTTTTGATACGTGACTGGGAGAGAATGATTTCCCAAATAAGCTGTCGCTCGAGTATAGAATGCTCGGCCAATCTCCATAAGTCCATGGGAGTGGAATAGCGGACTGATATTGAAGAGACGAAAGCCGAAACTCTTACGGAAATTGGCCAAGGACTGGAGGTTGGTCAGGAAGATTGGTTTCGGGAAGCCCGTACTTCCAGAGGAGTGCAGAATCCAAGCCATCTTCTTGCCCTCTCGCGCTGGATCCACATTTGGGCGCTCGAACCGGGGGAAGCTGGCCGGACGATTAAACCAGTTTTCTCGTTGCAATATCGAAAAACTGCTGCATCCGGGCCGCTCCATACAGATATCAGTGACCATCTGCTGGTATTGTTCTGCAATGATGAGCTGTTTGCAGTCTGCCATGTCCAGCAGGCGCGCGTAGGCTGGAGCAGTGAGACGAGTGGACAAAAAGAGCACCGCATAGCCAAGGCGATTGATCGCGAAGAAAGTCAACACTACTTCAAAGCTGGAGCCAGCAAGCAGAGCAATGACAGGTGCTTTATCCAGAGCAGGGTCCTAGGTAACAGTAAGTACTGGTCCAAGCAGCAATAGACATGGACCTACCGCTGGTGGGAGTCCTTGCTCCATGTAGTAGCGGACGGCGGCATCCGTATAGCGGTCGATATTACCAGCCGTATGCTCTTCAAAGTCGGCCGCTCCCCGGACAGGATAGCAAATTAATGGTCTTTGTGCTTCATCTGGCTGAGCAGCATGAGACTTGAGCAGGCCATCGATGGTCATGAACTGCTCGATAGGCGGATAGCCGGCGTGGAGAGTGCCGTTAAGCAGGCGAGTAGCAATATCTTTGGTTTGAGACGGTTGCACCACCGCTGTGGTAACAGTCTCAGAGGTTGATGCCATTTTACGTTGAGCAAATGACTTAGATGTCTCCATCGTGGCATTTAATATGTACTTATATGAGTCTAAATCCGAACCCCGTGGCCATCCCACGTCCGGGTGTGGGGGCTTTCGGATATGTATCCGTTTGAGCTTCTCCCCTTCCTGACCCGGAAAAAAAGCCTTAATTTAACATTCCCGCCTGTTGGAAGTCCATACCCACTATTTTTCAAAAGCATTTTTTCTTTTTGCCGGACTTTAATGAATTCTTTCAATTATGGGATTTGGAGTTTCTTCGTAGTTACCGGTACAATGCACGGAGTGTAATTGCGTCATACGCACTTAACTACGAAGGATTACAAGCCCACAAATTTTGGGAACGTAGAGGATATGGCTATCTCTATACCACGACTCCAGCAGAGCTATATGACAATACAAAAGTCTCATCTACTTAACCGAGGGATCTCCTATTCACTCCTCCTCTTCTCTTCTGTTCTATGTGATGTGCTCTAATAAACTATATGTAACGAAAAGAAGTGCACAGATATGTTTATTCGGTTACTTGATTACGATACCTCGCGAAACAAGTAGACAGACAGGAGGCGCGCGAGTAGTCAGATCACATCGTAAGCGTAAAGGCGTCTGAAAAGTTAACTACAACAAAAGTGAAACCGGAAAGACACAAATTCACAGCGCACATAGCATGGACATCATCAGCGTAGAATAAAACCCCAGCAAGCACTCAAGTCGGAGGCAGCAGAAGCACTTTTTCCAAATCAATTCAATCACGCCTTCGGCTCAGCAGGCGGTGCCGCACCAGCAGGCTCAGTTGCCAGCCCGGAGCTAGCAGGCTCGCCACCCGCAGCAGCCTCACCCTCCGTCTCACCACCCTTGCCCTGTTTCAGATCCGCCAGACGGCGTGCCTCATTGTGAATATCCCGAACCTGCTTATCAGTCTGCACATAGAAATCGCGCAGCTTCTGACCAGAGGGGTGGTTGAGCGCCTTCTCAAAGTACGAGTTCAGACCACGCCAGCCCGTCGCCGCCTTATCAGTGATGCTGTAGTTCTCGTCAAGGCCCTTCGCGCGCTCAGTGGCATTGAACTTTTTGTCGAAGTTGGTTAGCGCGTTGGTGAACCTGGTCGAGAAGCCGTGCTTCTGGTCTAGTGCGATCGCCTTTTGGATCGCGTTATCGCTGACCACGTAGCCGTGCGCTAGGTACTCGGCGATAATGCGCGAGCGAGGCAGGTCTTCCTGGGAGATCTCATGATCGCCTTCTTTGGTGGTCTCGCTGGCAGCTGCGGGGGCGGCGACGTCGTCGAGAGTCGCAGCAGCTTCCACGTGCACGGCAGAGGTGCCCAATTGGGTCTGGTCGAGGAGAAGAGCGGTCTTTGCGGCTCTGGATGGCGCGACACGCGTTAGTGAGATCTGGGTGAAACGAAACGGAGTGCGGGGTAGTTGGGAGAGGGCTTACGCTTCTTTCTCGAAGGTGACGCTGGCGGATTTCGGAGCGTCGGGCTCGGCGGACGAGGGGGTGATGGTCAGCGCAGTAATCTTGCCACTTCAGGATTGAGGATATTGTTAGTGAGGGATTTTGGTTTTGCGGGGTGCAGAGCTCCAAGGGTCTGACGATGACGTACCAGAAGCTGAAGAAGTCGCGGACTTCTTTCTCAGTGGTGGCGGGCGAGATGCCCGAGACGTGGACAGTTGTTTGGTTAGACATGGCGTAGCAGTGGGATGGTAGTAGACGATATGAGAATACTTTTTCAGGAAGAATGAGAGAGGAAGAGGGAGGTTGCAGGATAATGCGATGTATTTAATCAAGCTAGCAACGCCTGCGCCACAGGGTGACGTCGGCGGGGCTGCACCGCCACAGATTGCATATAGTTCATTGGATCCGTAAGAGTGAATGAATAATGTGCTTGCCTGCAAACACTGCCCGAAAGAAGAGAAAACCGCTGTCACAAATTCGAACAAGTAACAAAATAGAAATTCATGAATCAATCAGCAAGCGCACCTCCGACGACGCTGACGCAGATAACCCTGAGTCAGTTCCCCCCGGCAACGAATCAAGCTCCTTGTACTTTTTCAAGGTGCCTTCCAGCTCCCTTACCCGTTTCCGCAGCTGGTCATTCTCACGCTTGATGACATCCAGCTCCGACTTATGGTGCGCGGCCTCCTCGTAGCGTGCCATGGGATTCGAGGCGGGAGCACCGGACTGCGGCTGCGAGATCGAGTTGCGATACGGGTAGATTGAAGGACTATTCCCGTAATAAGGAATGTGAGGGTCGTTGTTGTGCTGGTATTGCGGGAAGGAAGTAAGTGAGCTGACAGATGGGCGCCGAGATGTTGTGAGCGATGGCTCGCGACTGCGCGCTCGGCGGGGCAGGTCAGAGTGGTTTCGGGAGGAAGAATGGAGATTAGTCTCGCGCCAGGGAGCGATGCCCGCGACGTTGGCGGCCATGGCACCCTGTGCGGCTTGGGCATTGGACCCGAGGCTGGATGAGGATCGGTGCCGGCGCGACCTGTTTGAGTGTGAGGAGGACCTGGCGAGGGGCGGAGAGGACTGTACTCCGTCTGCGCTGGATGGCTCGTTCAATGTCGAGGCGGAGGATGTAGTCGATGCTACCGAGGCTGTTTGTTGCCGCAGAAGAGACAGCTCTCGAGTCAGTCGGTTGACCTGGATCATATTAGCTCTTTGTTCTCATGGCATCGAGAACGATTTTCGCTTACCATTGCTTCTTGCTCCTTCTCCAGCACCAAATGAAGGTCTGAGGGTGTCAGCGGTTTAGGATGTCGGAGTGGCCCTGGCCATGTCAGCGAACGCCTAACGAATATTTTTTTCTAGAGTTCCTACCCTGTGCCGTGCTAGTGATGCCATTTTCTGCTGATCCGAGCGGCGGACTGCCGGGACTCAGCTGGAGAGGGCTCGTCGGGACCTCGCTGAGGCGCGACAGAGGGGAATACGACGCCAGCATGGCAGGCATGGCAGGCATGGCCGTCGTCACAGAGCGAGAGCGAGAGCCTGGGGTTATACTGGTGTTATCGGGGGCCATTGGGGCGATGAAGTCAATGACTGACGAACAAAAGCATCGGCGATGGGTTTGGTTGGGGGCGGGCAACGTCACGGTTCGGAGCAGCAGCAACACATCCCTTGCGGAAAAATATGCTGAAACATGCCCGAGGGGGAAAATAATGAATGGCCCCTGGACCGACCATCTGCTCGACAGACAGGTTTAGAGGAGAAACCTTGGTATACCCAGCTAGTGAACTGCTTAGTTTCCCTGTGCAGACAAGCTCCTGACTAAGGCCTGCCCAGAACAGCAAAACAACAACTTTGCCTTCTTCCTATCTTTATCTACTGATCCATACGAAGTCATGTCCTCCGACATTCCTCCCTTCGCCAAACCCCTGGCTCCGTACATCCACTCCCGCCAAGACGCCCTCCGCATCCGCCAGGCCTTGACGTCTTACCTCCGATCGCTCGTCATTTTTGTCCCCCACGCGGAACCATCCGCCCACCACGCTCACTCCCATCTGTCATTGTGCGCGCCGATCGACGCCGTCGCCGAGGTCAAACGGGTGCCCGCCGATATCTCAGGCCTAAGAAAAGATTACCTCCAGGCACTGCAGGCCAACGTTGCCGCACGCAAGGAATGGAGCTCCGCGTCCGAGGAGGTTGCCTCTCGTCGACGGCGCCAACGCACCCCCAAGATCCATGACGAGGATGATCTGCAGGGCCCCGGGGCCGAGCTGCGCGATTATCTGACACTGCTCCGCGATCGACGCCGTCATGCGAAAATGCGGGTGTTTCAGCATTATCTCGATGAACTGCAGGCGCGGGAGGCCGTCGACGTGGACGCCATGGGGGCAGCGGTGGATCCCAGCCACCTGCCAGTAGATGCAGAGGAATCTGGTCGTGGTGGTGATAGCACGGATCTAGATGCACGTGTACATCATCTGGAGAGAGCTGTCGTGCGCGCAAAGACCCAGCTCGATCGGGAGAAGCAGTTATTCAAGAAAATCAAGGCGCGACACGACGCTTCAAATGACAAACCCACGCCTGCGGTCAAAGTCCGTGCACTCCAACGAACGCGAGATGAATTGGTACAGTGGGTGGAAGAACGCCTAGTCAGCGAAGGCGATCCAAACGACAGCATACTCCAGGAGCTACCACCCGAGGAACTCGAGGAGGCTCAGCGCGTGCTGGAAGACCGCAAGATGCAGATTGCACAGCAATATGCCTCGTACCTACAAGCTCGGCGAGAACTGCTGGACGCCGCCGCCAGAGCGTGCCAGCCCGTTAATCCCCCCGCAAAGGCTCCCTCTCCATCAGTCCCGAAAAGTGACCTCCTAGCGGAGGAAACTCCTCCACCAAACCCAGTGGATGTTCTGTCCTACGCAAACGAAACCCTCCTCCCTCTATCCAAAAGTCAAAAGGCACTCGCGCTCCAGAAATCCTACTTATCTGGGCTCCTCAGCAAGGAAAAGTCCACCACCCTCCGAGCCCTCAACCGTCTCAGAGACGAGAGCCACCTACTACCGGAATATCCGATTCTGGCTCGCCAGCCACGCTTCAAGCACGCCGTTGCAGCCCTCAATTCTCGCAGCCCGCCTCATGCTTCTCCAAACGGCGAAACGGACGAGACCGTCGCGCTCGCCGAGGCATGGGCATTTGCCTCTGAAGCTGCATCTGCCAGCGAGCGGGAATACACCCAACAGAAAGTGGCATTGGGGAAGGAGGTGGCGCAGGATGCGCGCAAGACGCTGGCGGAGGTCTACGGCATGCTCAACCAGGACCTCGACGAGGTGTTGCGCGAGGATGAACGAACTGAGCCGGAGGGGTCTGATATTTGGGCCTCACAGGCGCAGCAGTCGTCTCGGGGCAGAGGCAGTGGGGGCAGGGCTGAGAAGAGACCCAAGGGGCCGTGGACTGGACTGAATGGGAGGGTGGGGTTAGAGTAGTTGGTTCGGGTTATCAATTCGTTCAATGTCTATCCCGTGTATGAGTAATGCAGAAATTACTTCCGTCGTTGCGCCTTTGTTCATATCCATGCTTATATCACAACACATGCGACCATAGGCTGTGTGTCGAAACCCAGGGCCTCCCGTCAGCTCGGCGGCCCTGAAGTGACATACCTCGTCAATTGTCAATGCACTCTAGACCGCTTAACCTGATTAGGAAAGCTATAAACCATCAAAATAGACTCCGTCTAATCACTGCTTACACTTGACAGTCACATCGAGCTGCGAATAGACACGAGATGATAGGTCAGTTGCCGGATAAACATGGCTAGACAGAACAAATGAAGCTCATTTGTCAATCCCTTTCTTAGCTCAATTTTAGTCAAGTATTAAGCTTTCGGTTATTCTTGTCGTTAATCTCTGGAGCGGAGGTTCCATGCTTGATTAATCTTGTTAGCTTCGGCTGGAAATCCCAAGAGGGTTAAGACCCATTGGGTGCAGGATGTCAGAGTAGGATTCCCTTTTCCTCCACGATAAAGAAGGCGGCATGGTTATCCGTGAAACTTGCTCTGCTGTATATTCCGTACACTGGCAGCCAAGTAAAGTACCGAAACAATGCGGTGTAATAAAGTTTGTTATGTGATATTTAGACGCGCATAGCAAAGAAGCAGTGAAATTGACTTCTCTGGTCTCCTCTTGGTCTATCCAACAATACCACCTGAGCAGAAACAAGATCAAGTTCATCTGCAAGCTAATCTCTTATCAGGATAGGTTATGCTGCCCTCGGACTCGCGTTCATTCCCCCGCCGGACTTCCGACCGTGCGAGAAGTGAAGGAGCAGCGGGGTACAGCAAAAACAAGCAGGATGCAACACTCCCAATGCCCGAGAGAATGTATATTAATCTCCTGTCTCCTAGTTTAGTAATTTTTATGATCGTCCTACACTTCCTGAACAGTCTTGATCGTCTCTATCGATCGTCACTAGTAATTGATTTTCCCCCGTCATGCATATCAAAGCCGGCTTGATAACAGGAGCTTGTCTCCTAGCGTTTACACTTGGTACCAATGCCAAGCCTATAAACAAGGCTGCTACAGGGCACAGCATCAAGGCCACGACATACAAGGCACAGGCTTTCACATCTGCCAGTCCGAACGACGTTAGCTCGAGTGTCCTGGAGCTAACCAAGATCAAGTCTGCGAAGGGAAACAAACGCAGTGCTGCCAGGATTTTATTCGGCAAAAGCTCTCCGCTGATCTCCCTAGAGGTTGGTGAGGAGTTTGCAACCGAGATCGATATTGCAGGACAAAAGTTCCAAGTTATCGTAGATACCGGCTCTAGCGATACCTGGGTTGTTGAGAGTGGATTCGAGTGTGTGTCTGTGTCCAACAGCAGTGATGTTGTTCCCGAGTCCGAGTGTGGTTTTGGTCCCACATATACGTCTGGCTCCTCCTTCAAGCAGATCTCTGGAGAATTCTTCAACATCACATATGGCGATGGCGAGTTCCTAACTGGTGTCGTGGGCACCAATCAGGTCACCTTAGCGGGGATAGAGGTGACCCAGGAGATGGCTCTGGTCAACTATGCTGGGTGGTACGGCGATGGGATTACTTCTGGTCTGACAGGTCTTGCATATCCTGCTCTGTATGTGTAGTTCCCTCTCCAAAACATCTGACTTAACGCTGACATATTTATCTAGCACGAGTGCGTATTCTAACTCGACGAAAAAGCAGATTGAATACAACCCGATTTTCACAACTATGTATGAGGAGGGCAAGATTCTGCCGCTCTTCAGTCTGGCCATCCTTCGTGATGTCTCTGGACCGTCTGGATATCTTACCCTTGGAGGTCTTCCTCCGATTCGTTTCGTGCCCGACTTCACTAGTACACCTATCTTGATTACCAACATCGAGGGGTATCCCACTTCCTTCGACTTTTACAGCATTAATATTGACGGCCTCCAGTTGAAAGGCAAGGAAATCACTGCGGCTGGAGGCTCTAGCATTCAATACATTGTATGAGCTTTCCCTCTCAGTGACGAGCTGTCGCATGGATTATCAACAGAATTTGCTAATTGTCCACCGTGCTTAGGTTGATTCCGGCACCACTCTCAACTACTATCCCACGAAGTTTGCGAACCGAGTCAACGCCGCGTTCGACCCTCCGGCTATCTACAGCGACGATGTAGGTGCCTATGTTGTTGACTGCAACGCCAAGGCACCCAAACATGGTGTTACCATCAACGGCAAAACCTTCTATATCAATCCGCTAGATATGATTCTCGACGCTGGAACGGATTCAGATGGCAACACAATTTGCATCAGCGGCGTTGATGACGGCGGTGCTAGCTTGACGGAGGATGTCTTCATTCTGGGCGACACTTTCCAAAAGAACGTAGTGACGGTCTTTGACGTCGGTGCTGCAGAGATGAGATTCGCGGCCCGGGAATATTATCCTTCTAACGATCATTATTGATTGGCGTGAGAGTGGAAAAGTAGAGCGCCAATGGCCGTAGCTCAATGTATTTAGTACGATACTATCAAACTGAAGACCTTTGAGACTATCGTTTAATATCTACAAAAGAATACTGTGGTAACTTAAAGACCCCAAAGACAATATTGTCAGCCCTGGGCATTCCTTCCCTCAACACGACTACCAATCATCACCGAACCTAGATTACATGTCATACGAACTTCCCCTCCTCCACAGGCGGGGCAGGTAGTCAAGAGATAAGCGAGGCGACGCCTATAAGAAGGGAGGCGAGGGAAGACGGCGGGTAAGCTAGCTAGCTTGAAGCTGACTGAGTTATAGGGCAGTGCAGGCATCGATTAGGGTTCTCAGTGAGCGGCTCACCCGAACTGGGTGATCTATATAGACAGTAGTCGAACCATCCGCCACTAGAATGTTTCTGAATACTTTAAGTTGAGGAATGTCTATTATACTCACTCCCGTGCACCGCGAAATAAATGGATTGCAGCCAAAAGCGAAGGGAAGAAGACAGGGGCTCGGAATGAATGGTGAACCTGGTATGTGTAACAAGCATGTCCAATGGTATTCCAAAAGTTTGAAAGCGGGTATTGGGTCAGTCTTTTGGACCACCACTGTAATCTCTATTCTGCGACCCAGTACCTGGTGCTCGAGGTATCAAAACGCTTCTTGATCTGGGAATTGGACGAAGAATAGAGCTGGACTTTCCAAGCTTCCGGGTTATGCGAAACACCTTAGTCAAGGAAATCCCGGACGCTGAGGCATACGACAGCGGGCGTTGGCCAGGGAGGAGTGTGGCGCAAGTAGTTGGTTAGGGGAGAGTTATCAATCCGTTCCGTGTCTATTGTACTCTCGATCTGAATATCTACTATATTCCTAGACGGGTGTCCCAAATTGCATCATCGCGATCCACAGATAAGAAAAAGGCTCCACCGGAGTTTGGCGAGCGTTGGGGTCCGGCATCGGCGCGATCCTCGTGGGAGGGAGCGTGCCCTCACTTCTCCAGGGCAGACCAGAATCCATATCATCTATAGTAAATATATAACTATATTTCAGCGGAATATGATAATTGATATATATCCCTCGTATCCTATCCATTGAGGGTACACACACTATGTTCATCATGGTGGAGGAGCACACTAGCAGATGGAGCCCCGGTCAAGCCCACCAGGATTGACTCATCCCGGCCAACAGAAAAAAAGGGAAGAAAAAGGAAAGGCAAGAGCGAACAAATCAACACCATCAGAATTCGCCCACACTCGTTCTCTCTTCTTCTTCACGAACTCCGATTCCCCTCTGTCGTGTGCTTTGGTTCTCGCGTGGAGCGGACGGTGAGCCACGGGCCAATTAGCGAGTGCGGGAAGAAAAAAGATCGAGAAAAAAAGTGTAGACCGAACACTGCTTCCTCCCGACCCCCAATTCTCTCAACCAAACCCCCCAATTGAACCATCTCGGGCAGTGCGCAATGGTTCTTGCTGCTCGTGGTGGGCAAGCAGCCTCTCTGCTGCGCCAGCGCTGCCTCGCTGGGGCTCGCCCTGCGCTGCGCCCATTCTCCTCCTCCTCTTCCTCTCTCCGCTCCGTGACCGCATCCCCAACCGCGACTCTGCGCCTGCAGAAGCTCACGCCCGCCCGCTCCAACCAGCTGCGCTCCTTTTCGACGACACTGCACCGTCTAGCTGCTGATGCCCAGACGGCGCCCCAGGCCGAGTCTTATCTCGCCAGCGGCGTGGTCAAGCCCGGCAGCAACCTCGTCGATGTGAAGAAGGTGCTGGTCATCGGTAGTGGTGGTCTGAGTATTGGTCAGGCCGGCGAGTTCGATTATTCTGGTATGTATGAGTGAGAGAGCGTCCATGCTTGCTTGCTTTGCCCGTGGAAAACCCCCAGCGCAGTCACTGACTCACCGTTCTGCGTAACAGGCTCCCAGGCCCTCAAGGCCCTCAAGGAGGCCGGCGTCCAGTCTGTCCTGATCAACCCTAACATCGCCACCATCCAGACCGACCACAAGCTTGCCGACGAGGTCTACTACCTGCCCGTCACCCCGGAGTACGTCACTCATGTCATTGAGCGCGAGCGGCCCGATGGCATCCTGCTCACCTTCGGTGGCCAGACCGGCCTGAACCTGGGTGTGCAGATGAATCGTATGGGTCTCTTCGAGCGCTACGGCGTCAAGGTGCTCGGCACGAGCATCCAGACCCTGGAGACCAGTGAGGACCGTGACCTGTTCGCCAAGGCCCTGAACGAGATCAACATCCCCATCGCCGAGTCGATCGCTGTCGGAACCGTCGACGAGGCCTTGGAGGCGGCCGAGACCGTTGGCTACCCCATCATCGTCCGGTCTGCCTATGCTCTGGGTGGTCTGGGCTCGGGCTTCGCTTCCAACCCCGAGGAGCTGCGCAACTTGTCCGCCCGGTCGCTCACTCTCTCTCCCCAGATCCTGGTCGAGAAGTCCCTCAAGGGCTGGAAGGAGGTCGAGTATGAGGTCGTCCGTGATGCCGCCAACAACTGTATCACTGTCTGCAACATGGAGAACTTCGACCCTCTGGGTATCCACACCGGTGACAGTATCGTCGTGGCCCCGAGTCAGACTCTGTCGGACGAGGAATACCACATGCTCCGTACCGCTGCCATCAAGATCGTCCGTCACTTGGGCGTCGTTGGCGAGTGCAACGTCCAGTACGCTCTGCAGCCGGATGGCCTCGACTACCGTGTCATTGAGGTCAACGCCCGTCTCTCCCGCTCGTCTGCTCTGGCCTCCAAGGCGACTGGGTACCCGCTTGCCTACACCGCCGCCAAGATCGGTCTGGGCCACACTCTGCCCGAGCTCCCCAATGCCGTGACCAAGACTACCACGGCCAACTTCGAGCCCAGCTTGGATTACATTGTCACCAAGATCCCCCGATGGGATCTGAGCAAGTTCCAGCACGTCAACCGTGACATTGGTAGCGCCATGAAGTCGGTTGGTGAGGTCATGGCGATTGGCCGTACCTTTGAGGAGTCCCTGCAGAAGGCTATCCGCCAGGTCGACCCCAAGTACATTGGTCTCCAGGGTGACCACTTCGAGAACCTCGACGAGGTTCTGCAGAACCCGACTGACCGCCGGTGGTTGGCCGTCGGCCAGGCCATGCTCCACGAGAACTACTCCGTGGACAAGGTGCACGACCTGACCAAGATCGACAAGTGGTTCCTGTACAAGATCCAGAACATCGTGGACTGCCACAACGAGCTCAAGGAGATTGGAAGCCTCTTCGGTATTAAGAAGGAGATCATGATGAAGGCCAAGAAGCTTGGTTTCTCCGACAAGCAAATTTCTCTCCTGGTTGGCTCGACTGAGGATGACGTCCGCGCTCGCCGCAAGTCCTTTGGCGTCACCCCGTGGGTCAAGAAGATCGATACCCTGGCTGCCGAGTTCCCCGCGGACACCAACTACCTCTACACCACGTACAACGCCACCTCGCACGATGTGACCTTTGATGACCACGGCACCATCATTCTGGGCAGCGGTGTGTACCGTATCGGTAGCTCTGTCGAGTTCGATTGGTGCGCTGTCAACGCTACCCTCTCCCTCCGCAACATGGGCAAGAAGACCGTTATGATCAACTACAACCCGGAGACCTACTCGACCGACTTTGACACTGCCGACAAGCTGTACTTCGAGGAGCTGAGCTATGAACGTGTGATGGATATCTACGAGCTCGAGGCTGCCAGCGGTGTTGTCGTGTCTGTCGGTGGCCAGCTGCCGCAGAACATTGCTCTTCGCCTGCAGGAGAAGGGCGGTGCTCACGTTCTCGGCACGAACCCCGAGGACATCGACAAGGCCGAGGACCGTCACAAGTTCTCCCAGATCCTGGACAGCATTGGCGTCGACCAGCCCGCCTGGAAGGAGTTGACCTCCGTTGCTGAGGCCGAGCGATTTGCCGAGTCTGTTGGATACCCCGTCCTGGTCCGTCCGAGTTACGTCCTGTCCGGTGCCGCCATGAACGTCATCTACAGTGTTGACGAGCTGAAGGAGAAGCTCCTCAACGCTAGCGCTGTCTCCCCGGACCACCCTGTCGTCATCACCAAGTTCATCGAGGGTGCTCAGGAGATTGATGTTGACGCTGTCGCTTCCAACGGCAAGCTCCTACTGCACGCCGTCAGCGAGCACGTCGAGCCCGCTGGTGTCCATTCCGGCGACGCCACTCTCGTTCTGCCCCCCGCCAACCTGGAAGAAACCATCATGTCCCGCGTGAAGGAGATCGCCGAGAAGGTCGCCAAGGCCTGGAACATCACCGGCCCCTTCAACATGCAGATCATCAAGGCCGACCAGGAGGGCGCTGAGGCTCAGCTCAAGGTCATTGAGTGCAACCTGCGCGCCTCGCGCTCCTTCCCCTTCGTCAGCAAGGTCCTAGGCAAGAACTTCATCGACGTCGCCACCAAGGCCCTCGTCGGCCGTGATGTCCCCGAGCCCGTTGACCTCATGCAGGAGAAGCGCGACTACGTCGCAACCAAGGTGCCGCAATTCAGCTGGACCCGTCTCGCAGGCGCAGACCCCTTCCTAGGCGTGGAGATGTCGTCGACCGGCGAAATCGCCTGTTTCGGCAAGGACCTCGTCGAGGCCTACTGGGCGTCTCTGCAGTCGACCATGAACTTCCGCATGCCCGAGCCCGGCGAGGGCATCTTGCTGGGTGGAGATATCAACCAGCCCACCCTCGCCAAGATTGTCGAGTACCTCCAGCCCCTGGGCTACAAGTTCTTTGCTGCCAGCCCCGAGGTCAAGGATCACATCGAATCATCCGCTAAGGACGCCGTCACCGTGCAGGTAATTGAGTTCCCGAAGCAGGATAAGCGCGCTCTGCGTGAGGTCTTCCAGAAGTATGATATCCGAGGCTGCTTCAACGTTGCCAAGACCCGTGGCAAGACCCTCCTCGACGAGGATTATGTTATGCGCCGGAATGCTGTTGACTTTGGTGTGCCTCTGTTCATGGAGCCCAAGGTATGTTTGCCCTCCTCGTCTCTAGCAGAGCACAAAAGACAGTTTTACTAATGAATATCTAGACTGCCCTTCTCTTCGCTCAGTGCATGAACCAGAAACTCCCCCGCCAAGAAGGCACCCCCAGCGAGGTCCGCAGCTGGTCCGAGTTCGTGGGCGGCAAGCTGCTGTAAATTGTTCTTGAAACCCCCCACACCTCAATTTTCTCTTGCACAAACAAACAAAAGCCCCAATCAATCTGTCGACACAACAATTGAATTGTGTGTGGCATGGTGAGTAGGGCATCTTATCTTGTTGATAACTAGATGGCGTGCAGTTTCTTTTCTGTTATACTTTCTTCTTTGTTTTTGATTTCGGGTTCCTTCCGCGGTGAATCAACCGAGGGGGAAGGAAACAGAGCTACAGTGATAGTACTATGGTACTACATGTATCATGCCCTCCCTGATGATTGTTCTTCTCCCTGGCGAAATGCTTTAGTTTCTCTGTTCGTGTTTTGCTTTGCTTTGCCTGTTGGGTTGTGTAGTACTATAGTTAGTACTTTTGGAGTGGTAAAAAGAATTTAGGTCTTCCTCTTTACTCTATCTCTTGACCATAGTGCGTGGGTAACATACTCTCGCTACACCCATTGAAGTTGCACGATCAAGTAGGTACTTGCCACAAGTCAGTAGAAGAGCGATGGACCCTCCAAAACGAGCAGCTAGAAAACAAGAAGCCCTGCGATGTATGAGCTACAGCTAACAAGCAACCTACCTACCCATCCAACCGGTCATTCCCATCCCCCTCAACACCACGTATAAGGGCAGCTGCCTCGCCATGACACTTTCCCAACCGATTCTCTCCCCTCCAATTCTTCTCATCCTCAATAGCTTTCGAGTCCCACTTCAGCCCAACGCCCCAGATTCGATCCCGCGGAGCACCCTCAACGAATGTCCGCCCCGAAGCAGCCACGTACAAGCTCTTCAACTCCGGATCCGCCTGCGCACGAATCACACACCCGGCCATCATGATCGGGACAGATGCCGCGTTCCATACATCCTGCCGGAACCCTAGCACCTTTCTGCCTAGGGCTTTTTGCGTCCGCGGGACGTTTGTTCGGAGGATGGTTGGGAGTCTCGCCGCCCAGGCCTGTTCTTTCTCATCAGACCCCGTCGACGAAGAGGCAGATGCAGATTCGGGAGGAGGTCCAGATTTAGAAAGAACATCCCGCTGAAAGTCCCGAAACTCCTCGTCTTCAACCGTCCCCGTCCTTTGAAACATCCGCGACCCGCTGTCATCAATACCGCATTCAAACAACCACGCTTTCATAGCCATCATCCACTGCTCACCGCGCCCGAAGCCAAACTCCTGGATCAGCAGCGTAGAATAACTTTCTGGCGATGGGTGGGAAATACCCAGTTCGTCGAGACGGGGGAGACATATCTCTAGGCCTTCTTTACCGCGGAATCGCGTTGGGCTCGGGTGCCAATTTGAGAGGACGCCGCTGTGGAAGAAGACGTGCGTGGCTGTTGCGCGGTGTCTGGGGGAGTTGAGTATTGAGGATGGTGTTGAAGTAGTTGGTGGAGGTGGGGGACTGGTCCTGGAACTGGTGGGTTTGGGGTTTGGGCTGCGCTTACGCTTGCGCGGCACTGGGGTAGGCATGTTGTTGGATTTGAGTTTTGCAGGGAGGAGAGGTTGTAGGAGAGAGATATTTACGACTTTGGAGACATGGAAAAAGAGGCTCTTCCGCTCGGCGATGCCTGCCTCTCGTATCCATTCAGGTGACTCACTACTACTGGGCCTCTCCCTATTCTCATGTTCATGCAAAATTGTACTAACGGCTAATGTTGTCTATTTGTCGAGGCTGGTTTCGGATTTGCCATCACTAGCGTTGTACATTAAGTCTTGGTCGAGCCATCAGATAATCTCGGACTTCTCTGATTGCCTAGAAGGAATGCCTGAAACTACTGACTAATCACCGCCAACGACATCAACAAAAGCACACATTAGGATTCTGGTATTGACCCTATAACCACCATATCTCAAGATGTCATCCTCTCCATCCACACCAACAGTCTCCACCAAGACCGTCTCGCGTAGTGCAGGCAATGGCATGGGAAATGGCCTATTCGCAACAGGCCACATCAACACTGGCGAGAATGTGCTGCATGTCCAGTCGCCCTTTGTGGCGGTTCTCGATACGCCTCGTTTGGAGGATACATGCTCTGCGTGTTTTGGGAGGAGGCAGCTAGAGGGTGTTACTGAGTTGAAGGGGTGTACGGGGTGTCGGGTGGTGAAGTATTGTGATAGGGTAGGTGCTTGCTTCCTTTTTGTTTGAGCCTTTAATGAAACTTGTTCCCTACCATATTATGTGTTTCTGTTCATATTGCAGTTTCTTTGGGTGATGATTACTAACTATCTATCCAGACCTGTCAAGCCAAGGACTGGAAATTCGCACATTCCCTTGAATGCTCCATTTTCCAAACTCAAAAGCCGAAGGTTCTACCGAACAATGCGCGGGCCATTTTGCGCATGGTGCATCGTGCCCAGCGGCACAAGTATCATTCCGAGGAGATGGATCTCTTTTCGAACCTCGAGACTCATCTGAGTCAGATCCAGAAGGATGAGGAACATATCGGTCGGATTACCATGATTGCCAAGGCGGTTAAATCGTGTGCGAAGACTGATTTGGATGAGGATGCTATTGCGCAATATGCTGCGAAGGTACTTGACTAGCACTTGATTCAGATGTTTTGAAGGTACATACTCTAACGAGGTGGTTTTAGCTGGATGTCAACTCATTCAATCTCACAACATTCACCTACGACCGCGTCGGACTCTACATGCACCCCTACGCAGCGCTGATCAACCACAGCTGCGACTTCAATGCCACCGTCGGATTCGACGGGGACGAGCTCTTCGTCAAAGCCATCAGGCCAATCAAAAAGGATGAACAGATCTTCATCTCGTACATCGACGTCACGAATCCCACCTCCCAGCGCCGGAAGGAGCTATCAGAGAGATATTTCTTTGACTGTAGCTGTTCCAAATGCACAGCCGAAGAAACCGAGATCCGCGAAACATCGGAGCAACTCCGCCAGGAAGAAACCGATGCCCTGGAAGCAGCACAGAAACAAGCCGCGGAACTCTTCCAAAACCCCACCACAGACGCAGACGCCTCATCTGAAACAATCGAAAAGCTCGAACGCTTCCTGCACATCTTCCACGAAACGAGCATCTGGCCTCTCCACCGCCAACCCTACCCCTCCATCCGAGACTCATTAATCCTGTCCCTCCTATCCGCAGGAAACTTCCCGCGCGCGTTCCTCCATGCTGCAATCCGATACACGAAAATAGACCCCCAGCTCTACAGCGATGCCCATCCGATGCGCCACCTGCACGCATGGGTCGTAGCAAAGCTAGCCATTTACCTATCGCAGGGCTACCAGCCCACTCCCCAGGACTTCAAGGATCCAATCCCGCTGCACGAGTTCGGGTTCAATTTCCACTATATCATCTGGTACGTGCTGGCAGATTTGACTAGTAAGCAAGCGGAAAGCTGCACGGTGCCTAGCTTCAAGAAGCTTGTCGTTTCGAATTTCGCGACTGTTGATGAGGAGTTTAAGAGGAATGGTATTGATCCGAGGAATGCGAAGGGTGCCGTTTCGGCGGAGTGGACGAAGTTTGAGGCGTTGATTAAGAGGGCTTTGGAGATGGAGTAGATAGGGCCTTGGGATGGTGAGTTATCTTCTGATTTAGAGTTGCCAAGTGGCCACTCTATGTAGTTAACTTTCCTGACCACTACGTACATAAAAGATTATTATTTCAGGTTACGATGCGGGGAACATTGGAAAAGCGGCGGCGGTGTAATATTATTGTGTTGGTGCAAGGATATAAGCGCCGAGGCTTCTTGCACCTATCTATTTCATCACTATATCTCATTCTGCCTTCGCTCCTGCCAGCAGCTGAGCGCGCGAAAATGGTGCAAAATGCGACATTGTCCTCATCTTCAACGAGCCCCAAGTCAATAGTTAGCCACTCCGCCGCGGCGCGCGACAAAAAGGACCACCAGGGCTATTGGCCAAACATTGCCAACAAATCTCAAATACCGGCATGGCTGCGTGACAATGACTATATTGTAGAGGGTCATCCGATGCCGACATATTCCTATCGACGGTCGTTTCGCCTATGGCGTTGTTGGCACATGGAGACCATGAATATCTGGACGCACATGCTGGGATCGACAGCCTTTGTGGCTACCAGCTTCGCTCTTTATCGATATGCATTAGTATCTGGGAGTCTCCAGCTCACGCGCGGCGATATTTTCGCATTTGGTACATTTACCACTTCAGCAGCCATATGCTTTGGCCTCAGCACCGCATTCTATACTCTGAGAAGCCATTCCTATAACGTACACCATTTTTGGGGCCGGATGGACATTCTCGGAATATGCGTACTTGCTTTCGGAGGCGGAACTTCTATGACCTACTATGCATTCTATTGCCAGCCCACTATCCAGTGGCTTTACTGGTGCCTGAATTGCTTCTCGGCTCTCGCTGGTGCCGTCGCGCTATTTGACACTGGCGGCGGCGGCAACAAAATGAGGACGCTTCGTGGCGGTGTCTTCACTCTGCTCGGTATCTCCGCTATGATGCCCATATTCCATAGTGTTAACCAACTGGGCTGGAGTCGCGCATGCACTGAGATTGGGGCCAGATGGTATTTTGGTGAAGGGCTTTCTTTACTGGTTGGTGTGGGAATTTTCGTCAGTCGGGTTCCAGAAAGGTTAAGTCCGGGCTCTTTTGATATTTTTGGTCATTCGCATCAACTTTTCCACACCTTTGCTGTGATCGGCGGAGCCTGTCATCTCGTCGCCCTGATAGCGGGATACAGTTACCGACAGGCGCACCCAATATGTTGAGCTGAGCTGAACATCGAATATGTAGTAATGAACCAAAGACATAGCGATTAATCTAGAAACCCCTATAGATTTCTACGTATTCGAAAGGCTTCACTAACACCTCTAGATATATCCCAGATAAGCTGTGAGTGATCTGCCGCCCATGATTCGCCCACAAATTCCTGCACTTATAACACGAGCATGTGATGAATGATGCATAGATGCGGCGTCAAGGGTCTCGCTATGCCACTTTAGGGGCGATTGGTTCTCGCTTAAGTCTGCACCATGGCTTGAAAATTTGCTGCGCTTTGGGCGCTAAATAATTGGATATTATTGGCATAAGCGTTCAGTCGAGTTATCTATTAATTAACGTTTTGGGGAGCCTCAATTCTGCTCACAGCCCCTCTCTTCCCATGTTCTAGATAACCTAGTCTTTGCAATTAAATCGTACAACTATACACACCTTTGGCATTCTGCTCAAGGTATCCTACCGTTGAACTTTGTGTCCTCTTCTTCTCTTTATTTGTTTTTCATTTTCGTAGCCCTACGAACAAATTCTTCACTCCGCCGGAATACAATATCTCGAGATCTGCACTCAATAACAAACGGCCTTTCAACATGCCTTCTTCCGAGCTCTATGTTGCTATCTACTGTAATGACAGTGGGATCTACAAACACTGGGCTCTCTTCGTCGACGGACCTACGGACGAAGAGAAGCTCGTCTTCAACATCTTGGGGTCTTCCACTCAATACCGTTTCGAAATGGAAGAGTCGAATGCTTTCCTCGACCCGACTCTTATAGAGGTGTTTCCTCTGTGTGATGTCGACAGTTCCAAAATCGATGCTATCAAGGATGCGGCACAAAACGCAGTAATACACAACGAGTCTCCAGGATACAACTGTCAGGACTACGTTCTTGAACTTCTGGATGATTTGGAGGCAAAAGGGATTATCAGTCGGAATGACGTGGAATATGCGAAGAATAAACAAGGCGTCAAAGATAAGCAGGAGGGATTAGCATAGACACAGACCAACCTGACACGTTGCCTCCTTTTCTGCAATTGCCTTCATCAGCATCTGATGCTGGCTTGTAATCAACTGAAGTCCTCCGTGTTTAATTGTGTTTAATCTTTCAGAGGAGGAAAACGAATTGTTTCCCATTTCTATCGCAATTAGTTGGTGTATGAACCTCTGTTCTGAGGAAATGTAACGCTCTAGACGTGCATGTTTCAGCAGACAGTATTCAGGTACATGATTAGGACCATTTCATGCTCTAGGATTGTTTGCGCTGCATAATGGAATTATCAAACCTCCCTTTTGTCGCCCATAGCAAATGCGGTTGTGCTGATGCGGCCGAAAATAGCCTCCCCCGCACAGTTCGGCCTATCCAAAAGGCCATAGACGAAGATACCAGAAGACTGAAAGCCCCGTATGCACTATGTTCCTGTGAAGTAGGCCAAGGTCAAGGCTTCATGCAAAGTAAAATAGATTTTCAGAATCATCTCCGGCCCCAGGACCCACAGCAACGTTCCCTGGGGGGATATACATGAAGCATACAGGACATAACAGAAGCATACTTCCAATCTTTCAGGCAGCCTGGCGCCGCGCGATCGACAGTGGAGTGAAGAACGTATCATTTCATTAAATACTGCGGTACTTATTCACTAATGCAGGGGAATAGCACCCTTTTCTCTATGATTTGTATCCTCCCCTCCTTGTCAAAGTGGTGGAGTGTATAGTTCAACCAATCCTGCACCTTGCCCTCCTCATCCATAACTGGCGACGCACTGAAATCACATGTGCGATATTGGGCTGGTGGGATATGCCCCGGTTTGTCCAGCAGATCATATACTTGAGATATTTGTCCGGGCAGGTTGTCGGGATTCTCCTCTAGCGCAATGAGAATGGCCACGGTATGAGCGGCCGGAGTGCACATGAATAGTCCTTGTGCCGGGGGAGCCTCCCCCATGTACCGCAATGCCTGGCGGCGTAGCTCGGGGAAAGGACATTTGAGCCCTGTGATGAAAAGTGGCATGAATACGCCCATCTCAAACATGAACTGCGGCTGTTTCCCTTCCGAGCTGCGTGTCCATGCAATCGCGGTGGGGGCCAAGTTAATGATTTGGGCAAATTTAGATTCGTAGGCGTCATATACACCTTGGTCAGGGTTTAGCACGGCTTCTGCTTCGATGAAGACGGTCGTATATGTCATTAGAAGAAGCGCCGTTGTACCGTCGATGGTCGAGCCACGCATAGAATCCAAGTATGTAAAGAGGCGATACCATTGAGCGAGTCGGGTTTTCAGGCACTGTTGTCTGGCCACCAGCTCTGATACCTCGTGCAGCTGACCTTCTGCTGTTCGGCGTAGATAAGTCTTGGATTCAATGTTGAGAGCCTTCAGTTCGGCAAAAATGCTACACAGAACGTTTCTCGCCTCTTGGATCGATGTGAAGCACTCGTCTGGAACGGCCAAATGAAGATCCCAGCTTTCTTCTGATGATCCATTGGCGATGAAAATCCATGTGCCCAAACGGCGGAAGATGGGTTCAAGGATGGCGATGGTCGAGGTTGCTGTTGATGTAGCACCAATCATCAGCTGCGCACCCTGTTTGTACAGGATCTGAGCAGCTTTGCTGTTCCCCTGTAAGATCTCGATCGCAATGAAGAGAATGCAGCTGATCAAGGACACCATCAGTTCTGCCGTGCCTTCGTTAATACGTTGCTGTAGGACAGCCAGCGAGCGCGAGTACCAGACTAGCGCTTCGCGATGGTACTGATGTCGCACTGCAGCTGGATCATTCATAAGCAACCAGGGCGGTGTCTCGTGAATGGGAGGTCGTTCGTAGAGCGCGCTGAGCGAGATGATCGCATCCCAAATAACTGGCTCTACCCGGCAGATTTGGAGGACCGAGCCTGTCCAGAAGGCCTGGTCCAGAACTCCTGAAAGTGATGGGCCAGCTTGGTGGAAATAGTATTCAAATGCACGACGCTCTCGTGATCCCTGATATGAAAAGGGCGTGATGTCCAGCTGGAGCCGCCCAATAGTCTTTGGGGGAGGACCGATGCTATAGCCACACCGCCGTCCTGTACTGGTACATCTCAGGCAGTGTGGTTTCACCTCGTCACACTTGATACGGCGAACTCTGCGAATCGAGTGTCAAATACAGCGACTGGTCGAGTTCCGGGGGCCAACTGACTTGCATGTGTCGCACCCGGTCTTGGACTTGGTGCCTCCGAGGCGACCAGGGCGCTTGGCGGACAGGCTCATAGCCAAAAGCAGGAGTAGACGGTTACAGTTTCTTCGACACCTCCGGTATAGGGAGCATCAGTAGGCGGTCGGGGGACGCAACCCTCGGTTTGGAATAGTGAGACACTAAACCTAGAGTGGATGCGCTAATCTGAAGTAGGAAGCATAAGTGTCTGACCAAGTGGATCCTTGATTGCCCACTCATCACCGGACGCGGGGTGTGGGAATGTGGTCAAAATCAACAAGATAGAAGATGTCTGGCATTCTGAGTATAATCGAGCTATCTCTTTAATAGTACAGAACGCATAGTAAGCGAAATGAGCGCACAATGCCAAGAATGTCAAAAAACAAAAGCAGTTTAGCGTTGCATAACTTTTATGGATCCATCCTGGAATCCCGACAATAAGTTCAACGACAGTTTTCGAAATAGCGCTGTACCAAATCTAGCGCGGATGAGTTAATCCTGAGGAGGGAGCTTTGGTACCATGACCGTATTTGGGATAGCGAATCCGGCCTGGCCGGCACAAATGCTGGTCCGCGAGTGACAACCCCTTCCACTGCATCATGATGCATTTACAGTCCGCGCGTTGCAGCAGATAAACAACCAGCACAAAAGCAAATGATACCAGGGCCCAGCATATAAGGGTCAAACTGGGGGCCTTATACGCTCGAGTTGTTTCGCATACACCAAAAACTAGGAGCGGAAGAAATGCTATCCAAGATTAGTAGAGTGATACTAGGCACACTAGAATCACCTACGGACTGTAAGGCCTGTATGGCCCCAAAGTAATGGCAAAGTGTTGAACCAAAGAAGTGCCAAGAAATACATAAAGCTCATAACTATTTTAAAAGAGTCAACAGGATATTAAGACCGATTGATAGGAAACTTACGGTTGCACAAGCCCCCTATAGGTGACTGCGACCAAACATCCTGCCTATCCTCACAGACACTTCGGGAAAGGGATAGACCAACTTCTACCCCAAATAAATGTTGAAAATATCCCAATTTAGCATCATGAAGTTCAGAACCCCGCCCTAATCGCCATAAGCGGGCAGTTCCTTCTGCAAATTCATGATTTGCATTATGCTTGGATATAAGAGCCTGCACAATGTAGTTTCGAACCTCTTCTGGGTTGCAGATCCATTGGGGATCCCGGGCCATTTGAGCGAGAAAAGATAAAAAAACAGAAGAATCCGCTACGTTGTCTGAGCGAAAAAAATCAGGGGGCGTTTCTATGCGGCCCCTTATATAGCTCACGTGTCGTACAGGGTATGCCTTGGCCGTATTTTATTAGTTAGTATTCTATATCTGCAAACTCGACTTCAAGGAGTTTGAATAATGACAACTTTGCCACAGTAATATGTTGAAACTAGGTTTATTTCCTCTTCTCCAGGAGGGCTGCATCGCTGCGCAGCCCCATCCTTCCGCGTTTACTATGGCGACCGGACCAAAATTTCCAAAGGAAGCAACCAAAAGTAGTTTTATTGCCTTCCATGTAGAAACTATAGAAAAGGTTCAAATAGTAGATCATGCGATTCTATACTCGAACGATCGAATGGGAACAATGTTAAAAGAGTGCCTCAGATCTGCACTTGGATCGCTTCAGACTAGTTTTGTGGGCTGCGGCATGGTGGACCATGATTGGCCTGCGTCTCAGCCCCTGTGACGAGATCGACTGTGTTCATCCGGGGTTGCAGATATATGCCTGCAAGACCGTGGAACCTCCGCACGAGGGAAAAGAGCAATTCAGTGCCAAAATCAAGAATGTAATGTTCAAGGTTAAAAAGTTTGCTAGAAACCATGGGACTCTGTCTACGCTCCCACGTCATTTTTATGTTATTCCCAGCGAATCGATCTGCTCTGCGCATCCTGACTAAGCCCCATAGCTGATCATTGCATCAGCCCTGAGTCGTCCAGGACATCAGGAGAGGGAAAGGGAAAAAAGGAAAAACCCCTGGCTCAAAAGAATTCTTTCTGCTCATTCATGCCAATCCAGTCTCCATGTTAGTTACCAGACACAATGGTTACTCCATGTTCTTGCTGAACTATGCGACGCAAATCCTATGTTTCATCCTCGTGACCCCTTTCGTCTTTCTCCGGGTCCTCGTGCGATGGAAATTGAGCGGCAGGCTGGGAATTGATGATGGTACGTCTCTGGTTAACATTATTAAAGCATGCATCTGCTAATTGATTTAGCCTGTTGTTTCATTGGATGGGTAAGACACAGCCGATCTGCTGTCGTGCCAATGCTTGGAGGGCAACTAACCGACTGCTAGATGTTGTTCATGGGGTATTGCGCAAGTGCTTTGCTTTGTACGTACCTTGCGGTGTTCCTTCCTTATCGGTGGTCTCAAATTGCTAATCTAATCACTAGATGGCTTCGAGGGCGGCACCAAGACGCGTGCCGACCTAAAGCCACACGAGCTCAAAATATGCATCAAGGCAAGGCAATACCCAGAGCTCACCACCCCCTATTGCTAATGTGCCGTCTAGCTGTACTATGTCCTCACTGTACTATATGCACCAACAGCCCTCTTCGTCAAGACCAGTCTCATCTATATCCTGATTAGGGTATTTCAACCCTTGTACAGAGGAATGGCGGCTCTATACCTCCTTCTCAGTGTAGTCGTTGGCTATTACACGATCATCACCTTCATCAAGATGTTCATCTGCAATCCAATCTCCGCTTATTGGACACCGTCTCAAAGAAATGATGCGTTATGCTTAAGCCAGCCCGGGGTGATCATTGCAGATTCCGTCATCAGCTTCTTGACGGATATTGCCATATTCGCGTTTCCCGTCACGTTCATCTGGCCACTGCAAATGCCTTTTTGGAAAAAGGTCAGGGTCACTACTCTTCTCGGACTCGGAGGCATCGCTGTGGCTTTCAGCCTATACCGACTTGTGGTCGGGGTATACGAGACCAAGAGGCCGCATGACACGACAATGTTTACCAGGTCCATATTGACCGCGTGGGTTTTCATTCTTCTCCGGTATTCTCGAATTTGGAATTAACCCGTTTCTTCTACAGAAACGCCGAAGTGGGATTCGGGCTGATCTGCGCCTGTCTGCCGGCCTTCAACATCCTCACCAAGCATACTCAGCAAAACTCGGCTCCCTGGAAAGGCCTGGTTCGCCGACACAAAAAGCAGCAACAACCAACACATACGATCTTTGATGGCACCCAGTCTAGTCAATTCGTTACGAGTCATTTGAGTAGCTCTGCACGCCGAGGATCGACGGATTCAATTATGGCTAGTCAGGGGCAGTCGGGCTTGTCGGCCGAGGATAATTCCGAAGCGATAATAAAGATGGTTTCGTTGAATCAGCATTGGGAGCAGGCATCGCAAAGGTTTGTGTGGGACTCCTTTGGTGTGTCGATTTTTGCGCTAACAGGCTCCTAGTAATGAAGGGACTGATCGAACCGACATAATATAGATTTTCATGAAGCAAAAATAATTAATTGGATGACCCTTCTAATTATACCAGTTTATCTGGCATATCTAGCATCCCAAGTAGGTAGTAGGTTCGTGCAGGAGAATCCAGCAGGATCCCGTGTTTGCATTTGTAGATCCAATGTCAGTTCATACTATTTCAGACAACTAAGGAGGATATATTGAGTGGGAATAAAAATCTCTAGGCCATTGCTTTTGTATAGACTGACGAATGCAAGTAAATGACACGTTGGATGCCGTTCAGTAATGGTCATTATCAATCAGGTCGTACCGGACAAAGGAAAAGAGCTCCAGCCTAGAGTTAGGCCCGCCTGATGAGAAGAAAAACTATCCAACCAAGAAGATCGTGAGAAAAGGAAACCAGAACCAGCAGCAAATCTAAGTAGTAGTACGCTTGGCAAACTCGACCCGAAGGATAAGGTGGCGGTAACCGACTGCAGGGAGATAAAGATGTTAGCAATGGAAACAGACCCCAGCAGAAACGGATGAGGGAAACATACAGCCGTCCATTTTCTCGCACGCAAGGGCAGCATCGCCCCGGTCTGCGTAGCTGATGAATGCGAAGCCCTTGGCCCGCTGGGTTTCTCTGTCCCGGGCAAGGAAGACTCGGGTGACACGACCGAACCGCTCGAAGAGGTCCCGGACCTCTTGCTCTTCTGCCAACTCGCTGACCTGTTTGTCGGAAGAAAAAAGTTAGATGAAGTCACACATGAAAATATGGCAAGTCCGGAGGTGAGACATACGTTCGTAACTCGGAGAGTCGCCAGATCGTCCTTCTCGAAACGGCCGCCCATCTTCTCGCCACCACCAGCACCACCCTTCCGCATATGAGGCGGCACGTAGCTGGAAGAGCCAGCGCCCAGACCACCAGCAGCCTTCTCGTCGTCCATGTCGGCTCCACCACCCTCGGTGGGCTCCTCGACGGGGGCCATGGTGTCCTTGAAGGGACAGCGAGCCGTAAAGTGCTCGCCACTGCAAATCCGACACTTGACCTTCTTGTCCTTGAGCTGGTCCTTCATGCTGCCCTTCTCACCACCAGCCTTCTCGTCCTCCTTGGCCTGTGCCTTCCAGTTCACGCTGGGACGGAATGCGATGTTCTCGCCGACGGAGGTGGTGTCGAATGACGGGCCCGCGGCGTGGCCCTTCTCCAAACCAAACTTGGCCCACGACCGGCGCTCCGCCACCTGCGGGTTGACATGTTCCCGGACGACCGTGGTCTTGATGCGGCGGGTGAGCTTGACTTTCTTGCCCTCTTCGTTGAACCGGTAGGAGATAACTGTCTTGGTGCCGTCTTTGTTGGCGATCACTTCTTGCGCGGGGAGAGCGGAGGGGTCGTCGAACTCCTCGTCGTCGGCCCAGGCGGCGCGGCTGCAGGTGCGAAAATTTTTGGTTAGAGCGGATCTAGAAGAATCGTGTAGGGGCATTACTCACTTCCCGAGTTGAGACATGGTGGGCGTGGGGAGATGAGTGAGAGTGTTGCTAAATTTCTGGATTTCTTTCAAACGCGATTGTGGATTTCTTTCATCGGCCGTGGCGCAGCTGTGGCTGGTGGGTTGGGTCACGTGGCCACTTTGTGCCTTCTACGGAGTAACTCTAGGTGACGATGGAAAGACCATGGTTGTGCGTGGTCTTTACCATCTGAAAGCGTGGCCTTTTCACACTGCGAGTTGCTGCACTAAGAGAGCAGAAATCCACTATACCCGTTTTGTCGTAGGTCCTACATCGTTCGATGCAAAATGCAGTCGTTGGCACAAAATTTAGTCGGAGCGTATAATAGGTAAACAGGCACATGTAACAAAGGCATCAATAAAGGAGACACGTTCTAGAAGTGTTGAACATAGTGTTAAATTTTTCGAATGAATCTGGTATTTGTTTGCAGTGATCCCATATATCAGTAGTGCAAATTTCGGAAAAATTCAAGCATCAAGCATCATTCAAAGTACAGTCCCTTCCGACGGGATTCCTCGGAACATATCAACAGAGTTCTTGTCCGCCCATGCCAACAACGCATCATAATCTGTACACTGATGTTTTGAGCCCCAACCAGGGCCAGCCTCTGTTGCCCCCTCTAGAGAGGTATCTGCAGCACACATGATGGCCTGTCGAAGATAGTCGAAACAGTGGGCGGAGTGATGGGCTATCTCATGGGTTAATTCTGCTCCGTCAAATGCCGTTTGATATTGCTGGACAAGATATGACTGGGACGGTATTATTAGCACATGATTTTATTCCATGAGTTTCCAATGATACGTACAAGGCAATGAAGCTGGTGAAAAACCGACATCATATATGCTGGCGTATCTTGAAAATGCAACTTCACGGTGTATGGCTCAGGCAGGTCAAATGACTCGTGATTGTCTATTCGTACATATCCTCTGCCAGCTATAACAGGGGGTCGTTGTTAGTTATACTCTTTTATGTAAATATATTCATCATTTCTTATCAAGGTGATTGTTACTTACTTGCGCTCAGCTCGATCCAGTTATGAAGTGTACTAATCGTTTCATTCCTGCTGGAAAACATCTTGTCGTGTAGGTATCTTGGATTTTCGGTAAAGGTATAGGTCTTTCTTGGAACTTTATGACTTTTTTTTAGTAATCGTAACATTAAAAGTTAGTATTTGTTGATAGGTGATACAAACGTACATTTAGGTATTGGAGATGCTTTTTCTGTTGTTCTATTGGAAAGGGAATTTATGAGCAAAGCAACGATCACGAAGGCCATCGCGATCTCCAAAATCAACCGCCCACGCTGTTTCCAAACCGATGGCACTTCTCGTGAATCGTTCTCCAGGAAAGATTCTTCCTCGGGATCCTTGGGAAGGAATGCTTCCTGGTCTTCATGTTGTTCTCGGATCGACTTCATGATTCGGTGGAGCAAAGTTCATTGGTTTATGAAGGGAGAATTCGTGGAGTGGGAAAATATGCTAAGAACAGCAGAATCCGGGGTATGCGGGGGATTTAGGTGGACGTACCATGAAGAAAGGCCATTTCGGGATTTTAGCCTATTACCGCAGTTTCGCCCGCAATTGCAGGGTGGAAGAGCCTAAATTCCCGATGGGGTATAGATTTCTTCAGCAACGTATTAGACTCGGGACTACGAAGTACTAGTACTAATATAACAATAGGCTAATTAAATGCACCAATAGGCGTACAGGTTCTCTAGTTTGGGGATGGTTGTGGTGACCCTGCATTTCGCTAGCGTCCTCGAGTCGTACACAGTTGTTTCAGGCGTCATCCTGAACCATCGTCAACTTCTAGCTTCAATGGCATTTTCCACTTTTGCAGTTCTGCCTTCAGTCTATAGGTAAAGGTCTCTGAATACATGCATTGATGTTATGCCTCTATAGATTATTGCTAGTGGAGGGAATGAGGGGGTGTTCGGACCTGGAATTGCCATTTGAGACCTGCTGGGGTTTGTTACAAATTTAGCCGCTGGCAAAATCTGACGGAATTCCCTATCCTCCTCTATATTGTCGGAGACCTCACTAAGCGAGAACGGTTTTCATGGGAGTATGACAGCTAGTCAGTATACTTTGTAGTCTGTAGAAGTCCTCAAAATGAGTAATAAAAGGACTGATCCCCTCGTGCAAAATTCTCCTTCTCCTTCTTTTTGTTCTTCTTCTTCTTCTTCTTCTTCTTCTTCTCAAAAATGTTCAAAAAATAGGAATAAGAAAAGGGTTTATTTTGATAGACGCGAGGAAGGAGTTGTACGAACCTCCTGTGATGAAGATGGATTTCCCCGTTAAATCTGGGATGTCGGTGTCCGGGTTATAATTTCAGTTTGCCAGGCATATGGAGTTTGGTATCATTAAGCTTCTTTTGGGGGGGGCAGGAACGTCTGCAAGTCAGGGATCTTAACCAGGGCTATTATTGTAATTGTAACCCAGACTGGACGGATTAAATATTTACAACAGCGGAGAGGAAAGCATTTCTTATTTATTCACCCTGTGCTAGAATTCTTCCATCGGGGTGGCTTTTGCCCAGCCGGCCCGATAACGTGCGCCACAAGCGAGCTGGCTCCATATTGACTGACCATGAGCCTTATAGAGGACGGAACGGAAGGCTCTAGATCCGTTGATGTACAGTATTCGGCATGGAGTTATGCTCGGGTATAAGAAGCAGGGCTAATGAGCAACCTGTATAGAACAGACGTGCTTCCCAAGCAGTAGATTAGAGTATGCAGAAATCAATTCCGATAAATCCAACATATATATATATATATATAGGCACCATCATGCACAGACAAGCGAATGCCTAATGCAACCCATTTGAAATAGAATATTACCTCCAAAGACAATCAATATATACAAAGCCTTCCGCCAAACAACTACCTCCCAAAATACCGAATCTCAATCGGGCGCATCAAGCAATACGTCGTAAATGAGAAAGCGAAGCCCAGCTCAAAGCCGACATCCCCACCAAACTGCAAAGCACCCGCGTGTTTGGCAATCGGGCCAATCCACCACGTCTGGCTCATCCCCGTCACCATACCGGCAACACCAAACCCGAACGCCACCGTCGCCGCAATGCCCAGGGGCAGCTTGTTGCGCTTGTCGTAGTGCTCAGGGTGGTAGCCGCCGAAGCCGCGGCGGAAGACGAAGTGGTCGGCGATAGCGATGCCGGAGTAGATGGCCAGCCAATAGCCGATCAGGTTCATGAAGTTCTCGAGGACGATCTCGAAGTGGGCGTAGCCGGGGATGGCGATGGCGAGGGACACGCAGGAGGCGAGGAAAGTCCAGATGAAGCGGGGCACGCGCTGGGTGTAGCGGCTCAGGACTTGCAGGGTGAGGGAGACGGAGTAGATGTTCGGGCAGTTGTTGGCGATGATGGAGAGGGCGAGGATCACGAGGCAGAATTTGCCGAAGCCGCCGAGGGGCTCCAGGACGGCGCCGATGAGGCCGCCGTTGCCAGACGCGAGGTACCCAGCGTGGTACTTGTTGTCCTTGTGGTTCAGAGACGTCGATGTGTAGATTGCGATGCCCAAGAACTCGGTGAAGAGCAGTGGGACGATCAGGCCGAGCCAGGTCGACAAGAAGACCTTGCGGCGGCTTTGGCTTGAGGGTTGGTACACGGTGTAATCGGCGGCGTAGCTTGTCCAGCCCGTCGCGAAGCCGTACACCGTCGAGCCGAAGGATAGACAGGATCCCAGCTCGGATTTGCCGACGCCCATGGGCAGATTGACCCAGTCACCGGAGTGAGCGTAGGTGCCCAGGACGATAATGAACACGATGCAAGTCGGGATCCAGCTCCAGAATTCATACTTGTGGACCACCTTGTACCCGGAGAAAGTGATGAAGAGCGTGCAAAAGGTGATGATGAGGATGCCGGCGTAACCAGGGACGCTGGAGTTGACCGCGTTGAGGAGCTGGGCGCCAACAATGGCGTTGGCTGCGGACCAGCCGACACAGGCCAGGACGTTGAGGACGGCGACTAGACGAGTGGATTAGAACCTCGCACGTGGATACAGTGCACCCAAGATATAACGTACTGCCTTTCACAGGCCACCATCCAAACCAGAAACGCGACAGGACCATCTGGCGCAACCCGAACGCGGGACCGAAGCACGAGAAGAAGCACACGGTCATGACGCCGAGGAGGTTAAAGAAGAGGCAGACGAGCATGGCATCGGCAAACCCCAGCCCAAACAGCGATATGCCCAGGACGCCGATGGCGAACGAGCTCACGACCATGTTGGCAGCGAGCCACTACAACCCGCAGAGTCAGATTTCATTTCTTGCACACACATTGCGACGAAGAATATACCATGCTGCCAATATTCAAGTAGGAGGTATCCGTGCGCTCGTCCTCGGGGACGCGCTCGATGCCACGCTGCTCGACATGAAAACGACCCGCGATGCGCTGGATGCGCGCGTACAACGAGTTACCATACTCGAAGCTTTCGCCCGGTACGGCACCATCGCTGGCACGGTCATTCACCTCATCGCTGATGTTGGAGTCAACGGGTGAATTGTCCACCTGCGTGGCTTTCTCGAGGTCCTCGTCCTTGCCGCGGAAGAACTGGGGCATGATGGGCAGGAAATGAGTGAGGACTCGAGTAGCTCCTCAGACCAGGTGGGATTGGTGATTGAATTGCAGGGGGATTAGGGAAGGGATGGAAGAGAAGAACGGAACATTTTTTTCCTTTTTTTTCCCTTCCGCGAAAGTCTGGAAGCGATTCAGTTTTTGTACTCTTCCGCCCCACAGGCCGACCCGGTGGCAACTCGTGTCGCGTGAGCCAATGAGGGTCGTGTCGGCCTTATCTGGCCCTGTGATAAGCGATATTACGGGAGCACGACGACGCAGGGTCAATGCACCCCTATCTCTCCCCATCATTCGACAGGGGCGCCATCCTTTTCCTGCTCTCCCCTCGCAGTGAGACGGGATCCGCCGATGTGCGAGCGTTTATTCCTCTGTGGATGTGAGAATGATTCTTGTGGTGTTCGACCGATATGCTTATTTGAGGAGGAGGAACTGATCGATAGATGCCGGTGAAAATGCGGGGAATGCATGCATCGGCCGGTTGGAGTAAACCGTGCCTATGCCACGAGAATCAGGAAGGTTACGGACGGGCTATATGCACGCACTTCGACTGTGTCTCCTCGACTCTCTAGATATAGAAGCAGATCTACCAATATAGTGCTACCCACCATCTCACACGTGGTATGTGCATCCATCACCCGAACTAACTCGGCCCGAGAGCTAGACAAGGGCAGACCTAGGCGCTCCGTGCAGGGGGTGCCAACCACCAGAATGGAAACTCCATGCGGCTCCAAACCTGTAGATAGCGGAGATCACCGTTCGAACCACGATTGGCGCAATCCAGCTCGGCTGAATACCCTTTGGCAACAACCAGCGTCAGCCCTGATCGTGGATTAGGTTAGGGGGTGGTGTGGTGCGTGCAACTGGTCCGACGAGAAAGGCAGGATCTCGATCTCGTAGGTAGTTCCGACTGTTATTATTCTGGTCATTATCGGGTTCATGCAAATAGTTATGTCTCTGATATGATATTATGACCGTGTTCGTCGGAGATGTTCGGGTTCCAACTTCTGGGCATGCGACGTGACGGCCGCCTGCTTTTGGTCGGTGGTGAACGGTGCTTTGATGGCGATCGTTCTGGGAGGAGAGATCAATGGAGAGTTATGCAATGGCTGACTGTCCCATTGTGAATCTGCATAGACACGTGCCGAGGTGAGTATCTGGGAAGAAGATCAAATGCAAAATCTGCCCCAAGTTCAGCTACGGCACAACTAAGCCTTGCTGGCTCGACCCGACGTAGGGTTTCATCTATTACGGTCACAAGAAGCACAATGTACCCAAGAACATCAATGTCTCATTTCGACTATTTAACGCTGGATATGATGATCATATAACACAAAAGGAAATCGATTATTTACAGCTTGGCAAGCATCTGGTTGCCCTTCTTCAGCAGCGCCGCCGCATCGCCGACCAACTCATCCACGATCGCCTTGGCGGACTTCTTCTCGTTGACGACAGCAGCAACCTTGCCCATCAGGAAGGGGCGCGCGTTGTCCATGGTGTCGTCGTCGACGTCGTCGGGCAGGTTCTCCATGTCATACTCGACGGGGATGACGCCCTTGGCGGTGAGCTTCTTGATCTCGTCCGCGCGGTTCTCCTCCCAGTTCATGATGTAGGGGTTCTTGCGGACGCGCAGGGGACGGCCCTATTACAGTTAGTACATCTGTTGTTGTTGGAGGGAGGGGGAGAGTGGGAAGAGAAGCTTACAGTGAAGATGATGGTGCGGATGTTATCCTCGAAACCGGCAGTCCGGACAGCCTCCTGGTGGGCCTTCGGGGCGCCGGCCTCATCGGCCAGGATGAAACGGGTACCAATCCACACGGCGGAAGCGCCCAGCATCAGAGCAGCGGCAACCGAGTTACCGTTGAACAGGCCACCGGCCGCAATCACCTGCACGGGCCCGCCGGTCAGAGGGCTCTTGCGGCCCTGGACCAGCTTGGCCACGGTGGGGATGAGGACGGTAGTGGGGACGTCACCCGTGTGGCCACCACCCTCACCACCCTGGGCGCAGATGATGTCGACGCCAGCATCCAGGGCCTTGGCGACGTGCTTGGGGTGGCCGATCATGTTCATGACCAGGATGCCGGCAGAGTGCAGCTTCTCGACGACGGGCTTGGGGGGAACGCCGACGGCGGAGACGAAGAGGCGGGCGCCGCTGCTGATGATGATGTCGACGAGCTCGCCGAGCTTGCCCTTGGTGTAGTCGTAGCTGACGGCCGAAAGTGTTAGTGTTGTGGTTCCGAAGTACGAGAAAAAGGACGGGATAGGGGAATGCTCACTTGGTCTTGCGGGCGCTGCCACCAACCTGGGGCAGCAGCAGGTCAACACCGAACGGGGCGTTCTTGTCGTTCAGGAAGCTCTTCAGCTCAGCGATCTGTTCCCGCAGCATGTCGGGGGTGTAGCCGACGCCACCGATGACACCCAGGCCGCCGGCGTTGGTGACAGCAGCGGCCAGCTTGGGACCAGCCGCCACGTTCATACCTGCCAGCAGGACGGGGTGGTTGATCTTGAGCAGATCGGTGATGGGAGTGCGGATTTGCTCTGTGGTCGCAGCATGATTAGTGAACAAGTCGTCGAATCGCAGGTCACATGTGACACGCGAGTAGAGGGAATAGTCAGGAAGTATGGGAAACACATACGAGGAGACGCCATGGTTGATATGGAGATTCAAAACTCTCTTGGGGTGGTGGGAGTTAGAAAAAAGAAGAAGAAGAATATGTGGAAAGTCAGGAGCGGAAGACCGACGGCTGCTATAAGGGCCTGGGGAAAGCCGAGGGGATGCTTTTCACACAGTCTGAGCCGAGGCTTTCGTGTACGGGGGCTGACTCAGCTGGCGGGGTTTTGCCATGTTGACTGCCGGGCACAGCCACCTCCGTAGTGGTCAAGCCACTTCTCCATGCTCTCTTCCCCTCGATGCCTGATTAAGCCCCTCGGCGATTGATCGCTTGCCATGATGGCAGGGGAGTGCAGTTACAATTGCTCGGAGCGCCCCAAAGAGATCCAGTTCGATGCTGATATCACTGGGACCGGGGTACGCGTTTTTGGTCCCGCTCATAGGGCTCTGTTGATGAGCTCATCTAGGTCCTCATCGGCTTCATCTCCACTGCTGGACTCGTAACTGTCATCATCGCTCTTCATTATCTTCTCGCTTACAGACCGGCCTTACATCCATTCCGGCAGGACAAAGGGGAAGATGATCCGAGTGTAGATTTCCGGCCAAATGAAGTCGATATGATGATTCTAAAGGCCGTCCGGCGCACATCAAAGAGTCTAGATGGAGTTTCACAATCTGATCCCCGGCACTGGTCTCGTTTGGAATCGTCTCTGACGAAAGTTAGTAATCTTAGGTCTCCTTCTGTTGCCGAGGCTCATTGTTGACATTCACATAGTGCGTACTTTCGATGAGTGATCTGCAAATCGCGACTGGGATTGCCATCTTGGTCAGCGGGTATGCTCAACTTCCATGTGGTCTCAGTTGCTATCATTGGCAAATCATGGGACGACTCGCGTGGTTTTCCAGCCTGACCCATCTCTCTTGCCTGACCATGCTCCGGAACTATCTTTGCAACCGATCTGCACAGCGCCAGTGGCGACTCTTATCCATGCTAGCGCTCCTTATCCTACTGGTTGTGGCAATGGTTCCCACTGGGAGCTATGAATGGTCTGTCAGTAATAACACTTATCAGTCATTTCCACACCCAAGTGATTATGCGATCTGTCACTTTTCACAACTGCCACGGGTAGGCACCGCTGCAACTGTCTCTATGTCTATCTTCGTGCTCTTGTCTACTCTTGGGTTCCTCATCCGAGTGGTCAAACTCCACAACACCCTATCCACCTTTCTTGTGGGTAGACCAAGAGAGATCGTCAGCAAACACGCACGTAATGTCCTGTGGAAATTCTACAAGCAGCCGAACGCTCAGAGGTTGCCACAGCGCATAGCGGGGAACATGGTTTACTTCCCTGCTCTAGCCTTTTTCTTGGCCATGCGCGTCCTGTTAGACCATTGGGCCTCAATGTACTTCGAGGTGCGAAACGTAGTGCCGTTCGGCGATAGGTTGATCTTCTCGCTGATATCATTTAGGTTTACTGGCTTCTAATGAGCTTTCTGTACGGCTTGTTCAGCGTACTTGTCGAAATCAATGTCTTTACAGGCGGTGACATAATTCCGCCCGTCATTCAGAACAATTATACTAACCGCTGGAGCATTGGACAAATCATGCCCGTGTTTCTTCTAGCCGTCCCTTTGGTAACGATAATTGAGCTGCTCTACCCTGGTAAATCCACCATTCTATTATCATTGGTTCCATCACTAATGGAGACAGACTCTGTAGACGATGCGAAGGGCTCTGCTGGAGAAGATATCTCATCTCAACCGGCACCACTGACATACCAGGGCAGCAACACTACCTCCACACACAATTTGTCTCTGGAGACAGCGCAGCCAGAAAATTCTCTTACCCATCATCCAGATCAAGACTATTACCATAATTCAACAGCCTTGAAGTGTGGTAATCTATTCATCATGCTCATGGAATACTTCGCAGGAGGAGCCGTACTTGTCGTGACTTGTGTCCGTGACTCAATCGCACGCTTTTTGGTGAAAAATTCTTGGCCCATACTGATCGCCGCTGCGTTCGGTTTATTATGGGCTGTCATTCTTCTTTCATTCCTAATTGACTGGACTGTGGCTCAAAAGTCATTGAGAAGATATTCCCGACAATCAACGCTTTCCGTGGTGTTGAAAACTACGAATGTCGCAACTTGTGTGGGCTTATTTATAATGGTTTCTTACCTGGCCGTTGAATAGATCAGGGTTTGATTGTGCCCTGGGGAATCAAGAGGATACAGAGTCATGTTTTGTACACGATAGAAATTGAATTCCGCCTCTAGCCTCTTCCGGAAACAACATCACCTGATCCGAACCTTAGCCGACGGCCGGGCTAATTTAAGGCAGCCAGGCACCCACATCACCTGACTGCGTGTGACTGTCTTGTTGCGGGCTGCTTGCGTCCATCTGCTCCTGGTGATCTCGCGTCTAACATGGGCTCACTAGCTGCCCGAGGCGCATTAACCGGTGTCCGTGGTGTATCTTGTTCAGGTCCATTCTCGGCTCTGCCATTGCCGGTCCATCCGCACGTGTGGATGCGAGTTAACCGATCTTCATTATTGTGTTCCAAGCGGCACGTCCCCCCGATTGATTGCCGAGATTGGGAGGAGACGCGAGTCGAACTAACAGATTGTATAGATCGAGCAGTTCGACTCTGTTGAGCTCAAGTAGGTGTTCCTCCATGTTCGTAAATGTCTTATCGGACGGTTTATCTGTCCCACTTTTTATTCTGTTTTTTTTTTATATTTTTATTTTTTCCAACTAAACGTCAACTAGAATCATTCTCCACGGCCATTGAACCATCTGCTCGAAATGGCCGCTCGAGCGCAGCGTCCTTGAACGCGAGCATATTTGCGAGAAATTTCTCCACTGGGCCGAGCAAAATGCAATCTGTACAAGGTCTGCACCGGGCCTTCATTGCGCTGGGAAGCAATGTCGGAGACCGGGTGGAGATGATCGAAAAGGCCTGTCTGGAGATGGACCGAGCCGGTATCAAAGTCAAACGGACCAGTTCGCTGTTCGAGACGACTCCCATGTACGTCCTTGATCAGGGCACTTTTATCAACGGAGTCTGCGAGGTAGGTGTAGCCGCTGTTATGTTACGGAACATGCTGACCGAGTCCCTCAGGTTGAAACCGGTCTCGCGCCATTGGACCTGCTGGATACGCTCCAGTCCATTGAAATTGCACTGGGTCGAAAGAAACTAATCGACAAAGGACCCCGGTCCATTGACCTGGATATTCTCCTGTACGACCAAGAGGTGTTTACTCATGAGCGCCTCAACATCCCACACAGCTTGATGCTTGAGAGGGACTTTGTTCTCCGGCCTCTATGCCAGTATGATTTCCTCGGGCCTCATTTGCATGCCGATGCCAACCACTAACCAACTGACAGACTAATTCCCAATGACCGCCCACCTACACCCCAAAAGAACTCACAGACATATGCCTCCTACCTACAAGCCCTACCACCACCATCCCCAATCCCACAATCCACAACCCCAATCTCACCCCAATTCCCATCCCTCCACTCCACAGACCCCAAGCGCCCCACCCACATAATGGCCATCCTCAACCTAACGCCAGACTCCTTTTCCGACGGCGGGCTACACGACACCAAGAACCTCGCCGAGCTCACAGCCACAGTCCGCACCTTCATCGCCAACGGCGCCACAATCATCGACATAGGCGGCGAAAGTACCCGCCCGGGTTCTGTTCCCATCGGCGCAGACGAGGAAATCGCCCGCGTCGTCCCAGCCATCACACATATCCGGTCCTCTATCCCCGAAGCGGCACATATCGCCATCAGCATCGACACCTACCGCGCACAAGTTGCCGAAGCGGCCTGTGCCGCAGGAGCAGATATCATCAACGATGTCTCGGCGGGTCTCCTTGACAAGGATATGCTGTCTACCATTGCGCGGACCGGGAAGACCGCGATTCTCATGCATATGCGCGGCACGCCACAAACAATGACAAAACTCCACGACTACCCCGGCGGCGTTATTCCAGACATAGCAACCGAACTCCTCGCCCGTCTTACCGCAGCAGAGGAAGCCGGGATCCGGCGCTGGCGAATAATCCTCGATCCCGGCCTAGGATTCGCGAAGAACCAGCCGCAAGACCTGGCGATCCTGCGAGATTTGGCTTCGCTCCGCACGGCCGAGGGGTTAGATTCCCTGCCGTGGTTGATGGGGCCCAGTCGGAAACGGTTTATCGGCCATATCACCGGCGTGCGGACGCCCCGTGAACGGGTCTGGGGGACGGCGGCGACGGTTACGGCGAGTGTGGCCGGTGGGGCGGATATTGTGCGCGTGCATGATGTTTTGGAGATGGGGCAGGTTGCTAAGGTTGCGGATGCGATTTATCGAGTGTAGATTGGGGTTCTAGAGTGTATTTTAGGAGTTTGGGTTGTGTGCACTCTCATTCTAGGGGAGAGATATATATAGGGACCGTCTACATGCACGACACTTATCCGACTCACGTCGTAGTCAAAAAAGACATTTTCCTCTTAATTTACTAAAACCCTCGAGTGACAGCTCAAACCACGTCTACTTGATCCAGAACTACGTTTACTTTCGAACACAGGATATCCAGGATCAGGACCAGGATCAAGACGTCAATTCGATACATAATTTTCTCTCAATAATGACAATCCATTGAACTCGTAACCCTCGAAAAAAGAAACAAACAAAAGAAAGAGAAAAAAAGAGATCAATCCCCATCAACATCAACATAAAACATTTGTTCTTTAATGGTGCACAAAAAACCGGGCGGGAAGGCAGGGGAGCAGAAAATGCGACGAACATACGCCAGGCTGCAAGTTCAAAAACCAATTTTGTCCCTCTCTCCGCCATCAGTAGTCGTCTTTTTCGCTTCATCGGAGAACCACTGTATGAAGATAGGTAGATAGGACTGACGAGCAACGCGAGAGTAGAGAGGGCAGAGAGAGCGGGACCGGGATACAAATATACGTCACGCACGCACGCTTCAGCAGGCGAATGGTGTGTTTTGCTATGTTGCTCAACGTGACAAGACGAGGCAGAAAATGGCCCGCAGCATATTTAGCTGTTCAGGTAGCTGCGAATAGCGCCTGGGATTTTACGGTTAGAAAATAACCCAAAAGGCCGTGGGAAAGAAAGACGAACCTTGTAATTTGGTAGCACCCTCACCAACCAGATGCGACAGATTCTCCAGATCATCACCAGCCGTGATCCCAAAACGGCGCACAAAGTCCTTAGCAGCCGTCTCCAGGTCTCCGTAACCGTCGTCCAGCGTGGGGAGCTCGTCCTCGGGCCGGCCGAAGTAGTTGTTGCTGGAGATGGAGGTTGCGCCGTCGAATTGGCGCAGACGCTCCTTGGCCTCGGACTGAGCGTTGGGGTCGTATCGCTCGCGGCCGAAGTACTCGTCCGAAGAGATGCCCTTCTGGGTTCCAAAGCGGGTTTTGGTTTGAGTGAGTTCTTCCTCTGTAGCGTGTATTAGTATGTGTGTATACGCAATGGAGCAATAGGGAAAACATACCGTCGGCAGCAGTACGGACAGGTCCAACAGAGCCAAATCCAGGCTTCTTCGGAGCCGGGGCGGCAGCGGGGCGCGACGTTTGGCCGAAGCCAAGTCGACCAATGCCCATGCCCAGCCGTTCGACGTCGCTCGAGTTCCGCTCGTGCGACTTGCTTGCTCTGCTCGGACTGATCGGGGTAGGCGATGTGATAGTAGTAGTCGAAGACGCAGCGGCCGTTACCTTGGCATCCTGCTCGGCCTGCTCGGCCTCGGGGTCATAACCAAGCTTTGCAATACGCTCGGCCTCCTCCTTAGCCTTGCGCTCGGCCTCGTCGAAATCAATCGTATCTGCAGTAACCACCTTCTTGGCTCCAAGCTTGGGCGCCTTCTTAGCGCCCAAAACGCTACCCTTCTTCGCTCCACCCGCAGTCGGCTTCCGCGTAGCCGCACTGGCACGAACAGCGGCCGGTGTGGGCGACGTAGGCTTTTCTTCCGAGGCAGACAGGGGAGACTTGGAGCGGGATCCGTTGGCGTTGGTGCCCGCGTTCAGGAAGGGCGAGGCAGTTCGGCTCACGACGGGTGGCGTTCCGGTTCGAGAGGGCGGGTTGCTGGGCCGCTTGATCGACGGCTTGTCCCACGAGGAAAAGAAATCGTCGTCTGGATCGCCGGCGGGAGTGTTGGCGCTGTCGGACGACGTGTCGACGGGGAGATCGGTGATGACCACTTCCTCCGGATATCTGTTCTGTGTGTCAACAACCAACACTTTTTTTCTTTCTTGGGGCGGGGAATCTCCACTGACTGTTGCGCATCCATCGTCGCCCGCCGTTTCAGCTCCTCCTTATACTTGATAGCGGCATTGCACGTGTATTTGACCTTGGTATCCTTGCTGGCCAGCGCAGCAGAACCGCCGTGCGATTGGAAGTACTTGGTCGCGGACTCATTCCCACCGACTTTCATTACCCGCAGCTGTTCCCATTGCCACTCTGCATACATAGAGTCAGTTTCTGACATGTCCACCCGCTGGGAAGGAACGTACGGTCGAGGTTTGTGGAGCGAACAAAGGAGATGTGGACACCGAGGTTACGGTGGTGGGCTGAGCAGTCCAGACACAGATAGATACCGAACGGAACAGACGACCAGGTTGGGTTCTTGGAGCCGCAGTCGAAGCAGATCTGCGAGTGACCGAACTCGATTAGCCAAGATGTCTCTCACGGGGGTGGGAGGAGGGGTGGGGTGTGTGTACCTTGTTTGCGGGCTTCAGCTTGAGCTTCTCAAAAATCTTTTGAGACTGCGCCTTGGTGGCACTCATCTTGGGGGTTATAGTAGAGCCAATGGACAGGAGGAGGAAGAGGTGAAAGTAGAATAAGGAGGTGAGAGGAGGGCAAGGTCGCTGCGAAGAGAGACAAAAAGATGCGGGAACGGCGAACGTGGTCGGTCAAGCCTGACTGAGTGTCTGGACTGCGGCGGTAATTTACAGAAGAGAATACGCATTTGCCACGCCGGTGAGAGGCCCGTCATCTGTTGCAAATACACGTATTGTAATTTTCACCGAGAACAGAGACGATCCACGTGACCTTCATGCTTTGACGATTGGCGCCGCAGCAGGAAAGTATCCGGGTTAGTGACCATCGACATGAATTCCCTCTATCTGAAGGCCCTCCCCCGGCTCTCGCCCGCGGCCTCCCTCGTGCTACGCCAATCCCCTGTCACCACAGAGATCCTCCGTCGGTACGCCACAACTCAGAGCAGCAACACACGGTCAACACGGAAGAAGAACATCACCGTACTGTCCGACGATGGAATGCTCCGATGGGGCGAGCTGTCGGGGAGAGAGAAAATGTCCCGCGCAACGCAGCAGTCCTTCAACTTTGTGATCGTGCTGGCTGGGGCTTTATTAACGGTATGCAACCAACGAGGTAGCTTTTCAGACAGGCACATGCTCATACAGCATCTAATAGGGCGGCGTCTTCACCCTTTTATATCTGGAAGTCTTCTCACCAAATAGCCGGACTTGGCAATTCGAAAAAGCGGTTGACCGCATCAAGGACGACACGCGGTGTACAAAGCTCCTCGGGGACCGGAGGCAGATCAAGGCTTATGGCGAGAATACCTGGAGCCGATGGCAGCGGAACAGGCCGATTGCGTAAGTGGTGTGGTGTGGATTGTTGCTACCATATCTGAAATGCTGATGGAAATGAATGCATACAGATCGACGACTGAGAAGGACCGACTTGGCCGCGAACACCTGCGAATGAATTTCCATGTCGAGGGACCTCTGAACTCGGGCGTCGTCTTTGTGCACATGATGAAGCCCTTGGACAAGAGTGAATGGGAGTATCAACTTCTAGCGCTGGATGTCAAGGGGCATTCGCGCATTATTCTGGAGAAAGCGTCGGAAAAGCCCAGCGTGGCTAGTTCGCTGAAGCTGTTCGGTATGCAATGGCGGTGATGGGTGGGGTTGAGTCTGAGCAACTCCTTAGTTCACCCGCACATGGCCATGACCATGCCCTAAAAGCGAGTCAGGACGTCCGAGGGATATGGTTAGGCACGGAACGAAAACTGTTCTGCAGCGCGCGTGTCCGGACTTCCTGTGTGTATTATCCACAAATCTGCGCGGCGTCTCCTGAAGACCACTGGCAGGGTCCGTCCCACAGACCGACCTTGACTGCGCAAGGCTTGTCCTTTGTATCATACTTTATGAGCTATGGCAGGAACTGTGATTTACTCAATCCTGGAGATGATCATTTTGGTCACTATTAACAATGATGAAATACATATCAACATAAAGTACAAATCGAAACTTATACTCTGGGCCCATTCAGAATGGTCTTTGCCTCCTGCGTCCTCCACCAACTCTTGCCCTCCTCACCGGGGAAGGCGAATTCATCCATGCTCTCGGCCTTCATCTCAACACTATACCCAGGCTCCATAGGAGTAACGTAGTATCCATCCTTGACGCTGGACGGGTGCACAAAGTGCTCATGCAAATGATCCACATACTCGAGCACACTCTTCTTCCCACTAACAACAACATAGTCAATCGTCGACAGATGCTGCGTGTACTCTGGCAAACCAACACCACCGGAGTGCGGCACGATGGGCACACCGAACTTGCGCGCCAGCAGCAGGATAGCCAACACCTCGTTAACACCGCCGACGCGGCACGCATCCGGCTGCAGCACCGTCAGCGCGCCGGCCTGCAGCAGCTGCTTGAAGATGACGCGGTTCTGGCACATCTCGCCCGTAGCGACGCCCACGGTGCCGTGGGCGGTATTCTCAAGCGCCTTCTTGATCGCCGCGTGGCCGAGGATGTCATCGGGCGAGGTGGGCTCTTCAATGAACCACGGCTGGAACTCAGCCAGCTCCTGCATCCAGCTAATCGCCTCCGGGACGGACCAGACCTGGTTCGCATCCACCATCAAGATATTCCCCTTGTCATATCCAATCGCCTGGCGCGCAATGGCAAGCCGGCGCTTATCCTCCTGGAGATTTCCGCCCACCTTCAGCTTGAAATGCTTATATCCCAGCGCGACGCTCTCATCCAGCAGACTCTTCAGCTTGTCCTCGCTATACCCCAACCACCCAGCGCTGGTGGTATAAGCCGGGACAGCCTGACTGCTCTCCGCCTCGCGAATCCGGTCCGCTTTTCCGCCCTCTACCTCCTTGAGCAAAGCAATCGCTTCGTCGGGGGTGATTGCATCCGTGATGTACCGGAAGTCAATGCAGCGCACGAACTCTTCGGGGCTCATGTCCGCGACGATGCGCCACACGGGCTTGCCTAGCGTCTTGGCCCATAGATCCCAGAGCGCGTTGACAACGGCGCCCAGCGCGAGGTGAATCACACCCTTCTCTGGCCCGATCCAGCGTAGCTGGCTGTCGGAGACGAGGTAGCGCCATGTCTTGCCCCAGTCGGCGGTTAGGTCGTCGAGCTCTTTGCCGACCACGAGCGGCGTGAGGAGTGAGATGGCTGAGCAGACAATTTCGTTGCCGCGGCCAATTGTGAAGGTCTGGTTTTAGAATTGGTTAGAGTCCGTGGATGTGTATGTTTATTCAAGTTCTAGTGTAGGTAGGTACATACCATGCCGTGTCCGGCGTGCGGTGAGTCCGTGTTGATGATGCAGTAGGCGGCGGAGTAGTCGCCCGCGGCGTTCATGGCATCCGAGCCGGTCTTGTCGAGCGAGGTCTGTCCGGGAATGGGTCAGTCGCCGGTCAGGTTGGAATTTGAATCAAGAACTTACCGGAAACCTCACGTCGCGCGTGGTGAAGCCAGTGATTTTGACCATGGTGACGACTTATTTCAGTCAAGCACTGGATCGAGTAATAAGTAGCTGCAATTGGCGTCGCGGGATAATTGCAGATTGGGTAGACAACAGAGGGACACGCAAACAAATGAACAATCCGACGGCAACCCGAAAAAGAGAGAAAATGCCCACCTCATATACCCCACGCCCCTCCATGGAGAAACTCGAGGGAGTGCGTCATTGGTGGATGCTCCCGGGTCTAGTTTTTCCACCAACCAGAGACTGTGGGTAATTATAGCCAGCGGAGAGATACACTAGATGCCAGTAAGTCTGGAAACAGTCCGTGATTATGTAAAATCCACCTATTTTACCAGATACTTTCAAATATATATATCTAAGCACATAATAGACATTTTATCTCCAAACTCCATAAATTAATTAATTATTTCTCTCTCTATCTATTGCACCCCTAATATCTAGTATAATACCCATTTGCACGCTTTACAGCTGCAATTCGCCTAGGCACTGACCGAATTAGGTTATCAATCGTCCCCTGATCTAAAGCATCCCATGCCTCACACATACAATCTTTAAAGAACTCCCAATCAGCCTCTGATTGACCCATATTAACTAATTCAGGATGTAGTCCAAAGATCTTTAATTTTAAAAGTCTCCAAACGGGCTCAATTGGGTTCAAATCAGGAGAGTGCGGAGGCCATTCTATTACGTCAATACCATGTATTTCAAACCACTCTCGCGCAACGTATGATTTATGAATCTTTGCATTATCTTGTTGAAAGATAGTACCGGGTTCATAGTGCTTAATAAGTCCCTCTTCGAGTGCATTCACATATGATTTCGTAGTATATCCGTTGCGAGGCGAGTCGGCGTCCCGCTCCATAATAATCAAGTTCGTACGGCCACCAATCCAAATTCCGGCCCAAACCATTTGTGAAATATCCTTTACATGAGGCTTAATATTCACAAGATCACGTCGGTATGCTTCAGACCAGAATCTAAAGACCCATCGGTCGGTAGAATTAGTTGAACGTTGAACTGAGCATTCATCTGAAAAGATAATATTTGGTAATACCCTATATCTCCCCCAAATTCGGGCGAATCGCTTCCGTTTTCGAGCAGTATCATAGTTTAAAGGTATCCGCTTGCGTGATTTGTATTTCTTAAGGTCGTATTGCCTTAGAATCTTGCGAATAGTCTCACGACACGGATTTCCGGGTACGTTTGCAGAGAGGACCCTATAGCTCCACCACGGGTTCCGACGAGCGAGATGAAAGACATATCTGCAATCAGATTGGGTAAAGACTTTAGGGCGACCAGTACGAGGGCAAGATTTAACGTCTGCGCGCTGTTGGAATCGATAGCGTGTTTTGTAGATTGTGCTGCGAGAAACGCCTAAATCAGATGCGATTTTGGTAGGCGATTGCCCTAGTTCAAGGGCATACAAAATTGCAGAGCGCGTTGGGCCACATAGTTCAGCATTTGGCCTTCGATTTCCACTTATTTCAGTCCCAAACCGACGCATGGTTGTTGAGTAAATAAAAATATAAAGTAGGGGACGCGTCGTATACGCGCTAAAATTTGGGGCGGTGTTTCCAGACTAAATTGACGCGTTGGGGTATCTACAGGTTTAGGGTTATGGTAACAATACGTAGTGGGATGGTTAGATCAAGGTTCCTGAGAGTTGCTAAATTGCTTTTCTTGATGAACTCCAGCCCTAGCAGATAATACAAGTCCACGGCTACGCGGACAGCCCGCGCTTCTCGCTCTCCGAGAAGAAAATGAGCATCCGCCACAGCTTGCGCACCAGCACCTCGGCCTCCTCGTCCAGCGCCTCAGCCAGCTGATCTACCAGTTCCTGAGGTGATCCATGCTGGCGCACATGCTCCTCAACCACATCGACCAGCATCTGCTCCTGCACACCCAGATACTCCACGATTTTCTTCTCCACGAACGGCTTAAGCTGGTCCTTGATCACGGCTTCGTCAACAAACTCCCACTTGACCGCCCACTTCCAAAGACCTTCCTTGTCCGTAGGGATCTCGGCAGCCAGCTGGCGCGCGGCCTGGGCTCGCTCCTCGTCCGATAGACCGGCAGCCTCGGCGGCCGTGTCGAACTTGATTGGGACAAGAGGCCGGCGCACTGTGCCTTCGGGCTCCTCCTCGTCCTCCAGGAGTCCCTCCACTTCGGCAACGGTGCGGCGGCTGGTCGCGGCCTGGGCCCTTTGCGCGGCGGCACCGAGGGACAGCTTGAAGCGCTGCGGTTCGCGGGGTGCCTCTTGGGTCGTACGGGCTTCCAGCACCTCGGCTTGGCGGGCGAGGAAATCATCGGCCATCCCGCGAGCCTGTTCGCGCTTCTGGTCCGAGCGCGCGCGGTCCCGTTCTTCGGCGGCGCGATCGGCTTCGTCCAGCTGGGCCTCGCGGGCACGGAAGGCGGCACGGTTACGCAGCCAGGCACCGCGGTCCGCGTAATATTCGGCAGATTTGCGGCTGGCCTCGACATCGTCGTTCCACTCGCGCATACGGTCTTCCATTTCGTCATGCGCCGCTTGCATCCGTCCATCGTCCTCCTTGTCTCTCTTCTTCTCCCGCTCTAGAGCAGCAGTCCGACTGCGCTCGCGGTTGAGCCAGCGGCGTTCCTGGTCGAGGAACTGCTTTTCCTGTTCTGCCTGACGCTTCTCCTGGCGGCGCCGTTCCAGTTCCTCGTCGCTGGCATCGGAGTCTTCGCCATCGCGATCAATGGAGATGGATGGACCATTGATCGACCCACCATTCACAAAGGACACCCCATTTTGATAATCCTTGGGGATCTGCACGCCAAACCCCTTGGGACCCGCTGGTGCACCACGCGGGCCCAGGGGAATGCCATTGGCACCCCCAGCAGGGCCACTGGGAGCGGATGCCGGCGGAGAGGCAAGTCGGCTGATGCGCGAACCGGAACCGCGCGCGCGCTCCATCGACTCGATCTCTTCCTCGCGTCTGAGCCGCTCAATGTCACGGCGGTTGCTGCGTTCACGGAAAGCTGCGATCTCTTTGGCCACATTCTCCCGCATCTCCGGTGGAACGTCGGCCAGTTCATCCTCCACCGTGATTGGAATGGTCACCACTTCGCCGTCCTTGTTCACCACATCCTTCATCTCGGTATCGCCTTCACGATCGAGCGCGGATATATCCTCCTTCTGGGTGGGGGCAGACGGGTGGCACAGGTCGGATAGGACGGCCTTCAAATTATCGCGAGCGGCATCGAAGCGTGCCTGGCGTTCTTGCGGGTCGGCTTCGCCTCGACTGGCTTCGAATTGTTCAAGGTAGTTCATTGTGCTTTCATCCACAACCACCTGTCAAAGAGTCAGTTTCTTTCTTCTGAATATCAAAAAAAAAAAAAAAAAAAAAAAAAAAAAAAAAAAGCATGCATACCAGTAGAGTGCTTTTCTCGACTTCCTTTTCTTCTTTCTCATCATCTGCACTCGGCACTTGTCGCTTCACCGGCACTTCCACCTCCTTCAGCACCTCCACCGCAACTTCAAGGCTTTCCGGATCCTCAAACTCGGCAAACCCAAACCGACAGGGCTTCTCATCCGCATCCGTAGCCCGAATCCACCGTCGCAGAGTTCCCGCAGACCGTAGAATGCGCTCTATACCCTCGTCACCACCAGCACACTCGGTAATCCCACCAACAAAGAGGGTGCGCACGATCTCGTCCTTTGTGGGAGGCTGCAACGGCATCATGGACTCCCTCGCATACCCGCGCTGGGAATCCCCTCCACCAGCGCCCAAGCCGGCGCGGCGGCTGGGACCCTCGGGGCCAGCACCGCGCTCGCGGCCCATCTCGGGGCCAGCGGCGGGCTTAGCAGGGCCCGACGTGCCCAGGCGAATCACCGGCGCAGAAAAGTTGATATTCGGCATGTTCGGCGGCGGCTGAAAGCTGGCTGGAAATCCACCCGGGCGTCCGGGCTGCTGGCTGTTGGTCTGTTGCATGCCCGGTGCTGGACTGGTTCCTGGAGCGGACATCCCTGGAGGAGGTGCTGGTGGTCACGCGCTGCGTCAGTTGATTTGACAATGAGGATGCGGTTGGGTTGGGTTGGGGGTCACTTACCCATCCCCGGCGGCGCGCCAGGATACGCGCCATAGTCTGGCCGGCCATAGACGCCTGGATCTGAGGAGAGATTAGTTTCGGTCAGAGAGATAGATAGGAGACACTCACTTTGGTAGGGATTGTACATGGTCGAGTTACTGGAGAGAAGAAGGAAAGTCGCGATCGCAAGGAACGGCAAAAGATGTTTGGTGGGTCCGTGCGGGCTTGGCATGCTACACTATAAAATGTGCATTATTGTCCTTATTGCACTCGGGCTTGATGGTTATGGACTCTGATGGGTGATATCTTTTGGAGGAGTGCTTCTAGTGCGCTGGAAACCTTCTCATAATTTTCCGGGCATGTATCTTGTGCACATGTACCATTGCAGCTCTATATATGAGCAAGACCATGCCACTGTCCCGAGTTATTATAGTTAAGAGTCTAGACCTTTTATCCTTTGGCATGTAGAGCAGAGAATATCAAGCAAGCATGTTCTGCGGGAACCATTAATGAGAGGTGGCACAGAATGAGGCCATTCCTGTGCTTCCGCCGTCTTCCGTGAATCGTACAACTCACTCTCTCCCTCTCCGTCAGAATCGCCAGTCAAGTCCTTGTCAAGACCGATACTTGTGTACCTGAGAGAATTATTAATGACTGACTACTCCACTAGTTGGTAGTTATTTAGCCAGAATTCAAAATAGGATTTTTCTAGAACGGTCCGGTGTACTGCATGTAGCATAGTGACAGCCCACTGCCAATGTGCCCCACCACCCGGACCCCAACACACCGGTGTTGACGCCATCTTTTTTCCTGCTTCTTCACCTCATCTGACCATCATCCGTCTAGGTATAGTCCCTGTTTTTTCATTCTTATTCTAGTCCTTCTCTCCCATACTCCCCCATTCTCCCTCCATCTCTCTCTCTCTCCTACCATCATCACCATCACCTCCGTCGTCATCCCACTCTGCCCCGCACTGACGTCCCAGCTCAATCTAGACTACCAAACATTACCATCATGCCAGGTTTCTCACAAGCCACCGAGCTCAATGCTTGGAAGGAGCTCCAGGAGCACCACAATGCCCTTGGCCGCAACATTGTCCTGAAGGAGTACTTCCAGAAGGACCCCCAGCGCTTCGAGAAGTTCAGCCGCCGCTTTGCCAACACGGTAGACAACTCCGAGATTCTCTTTGACTTCTCGAAGAACTTCCTGACCGAGGAGACCCTGTCTCTGCTGGTCAAGCTGGCCAAGGAGGCCAATGTCGAACAGCTGCGAGATGACATGTTCTCGGGTGAGCACATCAACTTCACCGAGGACCGTGCCGTCTACCACGTCGCGCTCCGCAACACCGCCAACGAGCCCATGCAGGTCGATGGCCACAGCGTCGTCGAGGAAGTCAACTCGGTGCTCGAGCATATGAAGGAGTTCTCCGAGCAGGTGCGCAGTGGTGAGTGGAAGGGCTACAGCGGCAAGAAGATCAACACCATCATCAACATCGGTATTGGTGGCTCCGACCTGTAAGTGTTTTGTAGTTTGATCTTCGGGCTCATGCTGATATTGAATTAGCGGCCCTGTCATGGTCACTGAGGCCCTTAAGGCCTATGGTCACCCCGATATGACCCTGCACTTTGTGTCCAACATCGATGGCACCCACATCGCCGAAGCGCTCAAGAACTCCGACCCGGAGACCACCCTATTCCTGATCGCCTCCAAGACCTTCACCACTGCCGAAACCTGCACCAATGCCAACACGGCCAAGTCATGGTTCCTGGAGACGGCCAAGGACGAGTCGGCCATTGCCAAGCACTTCGTTGCTCTTTCGACCAACGAGGGCGAAGTCACAAAGTTCGGCATTGACAAGAAGAACATGTTCGGCTTCGAGTCATGGGTCGGTGGCCGCTACTCCGTGTGGAGTGCCATTGGCCTGTCCATTGCGCTGTACATCGGCTACGACAACTTCCACCAGTTCCTGGCCGGTGCCAACGCCATGGACAAGCACTTCCGTGAGGCTCCACTCGAGCAGAACATTCCCGCCATTGCCGGTCTGCTGAGCGTGTGGTACAGCGACTTCTTCGGCGCGCAGACTCACCTGGTCGCTCCGTTCGACCAGTACCTGCACCGCTTCCCTGCGTACCTGCAACAGCTCTCGATGGAGAGCAACGGCAAGGCAATCACACGCTCGGGCGAGTACGTCAAGTACACGACGGGCCCGATCCTGTTCGGCGAGCCGGCTACCAACGCCCAGCACAGCTTCTTCCAGCTGCTGCACCAGGGCACCAAGCTCATCCCCGCGGACTTCATCATGGCCGCTGAGTCGCACAACCCCGTCGAGGGCGGCAAGCACCAGCGCATGCTGGCCTCCAATTTCCTGGCCCAGTCCGAGGCCCTGATGGTCGGTAAGACCCCCGAGGAGGTCAAGGCCGAGAACGCCCCCGAGAACCTCGTTCCGCACAAGACCTTCCTGGGCAACCGGCCCACCACCTCCATTCTGGCTCAGAAGATTACCCCGTCCACCCTGGGTGCTCTGATCGCCTACTACGAGCACGTCACCTTCGTCGAGGGTGCGGTCTGGAACATCAACTCCTTCGACCAGTGGGGTGTTGAGCTGGGCAAGGTCCTCGCGAAGAAAATCCAGAAGGAGCTGGAGACTGACGGCGCGGGTGCCGACCACGATGCCTCGACTAGCGGCCTGCTCCTCGCGTTCAAGCAGAAGGCCAAACTGGCGTAAGCCTGGAGAGATCGTTGGGATATGACGAGCGATGATTTTCTATATATAACCAAAAAAATGCGCTGTTCTTTGGATTATATTCTCTCAGTAATTCTAGTAATTGTTTACCGACGTAGTCAAGTAGGCAACTGCTCGTGTGGTATACTTGTGGTAGTAGAGTTCCGAGTCGGCACGCTATGCGCATGTCAATCTCGGCTTCTCCGCAAACCCAACAATTAATCCACCGTGTCTCTTCACTCCCTGTCTCCGCCGCCACCACACCCACCACCCAAGTCGGGGCGGTCTATTGTCGGTCATGTCGAATCAATCTCGCGAAAGCGCAACGCGTCGCTACTCGGCCGTGACACTCCTTTTCACCGTCCTGGGCGCACTGGGCCAGGTGGCTTCCGCGGCGAGCAGCTCCCAGGAGACCGGCGGAGAAGGATATCTCCCCGGCGAGGGAATTCCGGTGTCATGCTTGGATCGGACACTGTGAGTTTCTTTCGATTATAGGAGTCTCCATTGCTAATGTGTGCTACAGTGACTTCGGGGAACATGTACGCGGCAACCCTCCCTCCTTCCCTTTGCATCCAGTTCAGGACAACAAAAGACAAATCAATAACTACAAATCAATCCAGTTCAATGCTAATATCTAAATCAGATAACAGACGACCTCGGCAACCTCAAATACGTCCCCTTTGCCATATGCAACGAAACTGCCTCACCCTTGTCCCTGCACTTCGGCACCTCCGAGACAATAAGCTGCACCGTCCCTACCGTCTCCGATGATTTCTACCACATCCTCGAATTCTACGTGCATTCCGACGCACCCATGTCCTGCCGCGTGCCCACCGCGCCGCTCTCGTCCTTCCACAGCAGCCCGAAAAGCAGCAACGACGATCCCAACGACGAGAACAGCTCTCTCGCGGCGCTGAATGAGAACGGCCCGTCGTTTACGCCAGTCACAATGGCTGTGCAGGGGACGCTGCAACTGAGCCATTTGCATATCTGGACTGATATGAACGTGCTGCTGCATGATCTTGCGGCCGATCCGGCGGCGCAAAAGCACAAGGGAAAGAAGAAGACCACGGAGCCCGGGTATGTGATGGCCGGGACGGCATACTCGGTCCCCGAGTTCGACGCCAAGTCCTCGCAGGATGAAGACGAGCAGGCCATCGCTCTTGTCCGCGCTGCGCGCCATCCCTGGACACCAGGACACGGCACAAAAGTCATTCGCGGCGAGCCACTCACCTTCTCCTTCCACGTTGATTGGGTGCAAGGCGGCGCGTCGATCGGCTGGCCCGCCCGCACACCGGGCAAGTCGTTCCTCTCCGAGAACGATGCAAAATCAGAGACCCACTTCTTCTCACGGCTGTTCTTCTTCGTCATGGCTGCGTCGGTGGGCGCATTGGCTGCGCTACACTGGGAGCGCAATGGCCGGCGCTGGCGGCGTGGCTCTGTTCCGTCTTCATGGCGCGGCGATGGCATGCTGGGTGGTCTGCCGACGGTTAGGGGAAAGGGTACGGGTGTTGCCTTTGGAAACGGAGGTCGCATTAATGGGTATGGCGGGTATTCTCCGGCTCCTCCTAGTAATGGAGTCGGGGCGCCTGCTAATGCGGGAGGACATTTTGGGTATGCTGGATTTGGAAGTGGGAAAAAGGATTGATGGTGATGATGGAGAGAGTATATTGATAGATGTTACTTGGTCTTGGGCTGTTCAATCTGTGTACAGTGTGATGCTGTGATATATGCTGGTAGAATATACATGACCGGACGAATATCTAGGATTGATACCAAATATGCCAGCAATTCACATAACGTGGCCTATGTACATGCAAGTGCAATGCTTCCTCTGCCGATGGAATTCTCCCATCCCAGAGTCCCAGAATAAGATCACCACGGAAAATACTAGATACATTGGGAAAACCATGATTTTGTATTGCCGCTCGATTTCAACGTCTGCGGCCGTGCCCTACTAACATCATGGTCGCAGGACTGTTTGATTCCTCTAGGCTCAACAGTCCTCATCTCATCTTCCTCCATTATTCGATCAACAACATTTATCAGTCACAAAGTCGACGTCATTAAGCTCGCAGTGCAAGTCGTAATTTGAACGGCCGTAGAGCATCTGGGGACAAAACCAAGTGTCGCAAATGCCAGCAGATCCAATTGCGTCATCAGTTTCGAGTAATATTTTAGAATACAATCGAATACTACTGACAAAGTTTTGCCCCTGCACCCATAACTAGAGAAGCCTGTTTAGTTTGCCACACTGATGCAATATACACAGGGCAATCTGCCGCCCCGTGACTTGCTCTTTCCGTTTTAGTGCTCACCCCTCGCTCCCTGCGTAGAACTGAGCACTTACTGACTATACATTTGAGCGCCTTGATCTACTTACTGATCGCCCTGATTCGCTTACTGAGCCCACCCTAAGCATTGGAATGAGCGCCCTAAGTAAGCCTACCCCTAATAAAGTGCACCCCGCTAGTTTCGTCCCTATGCAACTTGTCGGGACGGTAAAACGCGTAGTAAATTAAACCATTGTGGTATGGCAGCTGCTGTTGGCTGTTCAACGAGCAGTCGATGTGGCTGGCAATTAGTTCAACGACTGCTTGATTTCCATATTCTTTTGGAACTGGGCCCTAGTGCCAATATACGGAGGGATTGGAGCTCGTCGGCATCACATGAGAGTTAGAACTATTTTCTGATAATATAATCAAGCTGCGTACCGCGGGGAAGATCACTGGCTGGGCGACGGGGAATTGGTTGAGATACCCCACATGGACCTGTTGAGTTAATCGTATTCACATGCCCTCGCTCGGAGCCTTCAGGCAGTACTAATATCTGCCACGTCCCCCTATTTGGGGTACGCCTGGCCCACGGATCTTGAAATGTCAACAATGGTCGCTCCTATGCGGAATCCGAAGGACTCTATGAAGTCGACCTGGCGCCAGGATCGTTCGCAATGGAATTTTTCACATCTGTTCCTCGACTTCCTCAACATCCACCACGTCGATCTGGACAAAAAGGTCCCAGTGCATGCGAAAACCGACAAAGTTCCTTACGTGCCTGAATGGCGTTTCGAGCGCTGGGTGATTATCCACGCCCTCATCCCGCTCGCCCTCCACCAAGCTCTTAATACATATCTGGGTTACAACCTTCCAACCTGGGCGGCACTTCTCTTTTACCATATTTCAATGGTTGTGGTCTCCATTCGAGAGATTCATCTTCTCAAGGGTTTAGGCCACAAATATGGGTACTTTGACGGGGATAAACATGAGCGCGATGGAGTTCCCGACTCCGCAGTGTTCAAGACTCTTCAATCTATCCTTTTAACGGTCTTCCTCCGTCCGACCATGCTTATGATAATTGCATATCGAGCGGACCAAGGGCCGTCGACGATTAATTGGATGTGGCTTCTACCCGAAGTCAGCATCTATCCAATTGTGCTCGATTTCTGGTTCTACTGGTATCATCGCCTGATGCATGATAACGCTTCCCTCTGGAAGCTCCACCGCACCCATCACCTCACAAAGCATCCGAACCCGCTTTTGACCCTCTTTGCCGACGGTATCCAAGAGATGGGGGATATGTTGGGAATTCCCTTGATGACATACGGCTCTATGAAGCTTCTGGGCTTTCCGATGGGCTTTTACGAATGGTGGGTCTGCGCCGAATATGTCATGTTCACGGAGATTTTTGGGCATAGTGGCTTAAGGGTTTCTGCGGCCACGATGAATCCCTTGACCCCGCTCTTCCGACTGTGCGATGTGGACTTGACTATTGAGGATCATGACCTCCACCACCGCAAGGGCTGGAGAAGCAGTTACAACTACGGCAAGCAGACTCGGATCTGGGATCGGCTTTTTGGCACATGTCACCCCCGTCTTGAGAGCTACGAGGAGAATGTCGATTACGTCAACACTGTCCAGATCCCATTACTCTAATATGTTTGAGACTTATTCTCCAATTCACGACATCTCATGATTTCTACCCGGTAGGTGGTTATGCGGAGGGTGCCTGACCCGAGTATGATCACTGAGCCTGAGCCCGTTTTGAGATCTACTCAGTGAGCAGGAGGCTGAGCGCCCTCACGAAATCGGCCACAGTCCGGATAGGAAAGGCCCCACTGCCAGACGTTATCCTGTGTATATAGGTGCTTAATAGATCGGATAAAGTCAGCCATTCTTGGCTTGTTCCTTCCGTTTTAGTGCTCACCCCTCGCGCCCTGAGTAGAACTGAGCACGGCGCTGAGCGCCCTGAGTGAGCCTCCTCCCCAATAAAGTGCAGCCCGCTAGTATCGTTTCTGTGCAACTTGCATCGCTCGTATTTCTCCTATCAACAAAAAACTGTCATCGTCAATGTGACTCTTGTTGGACCTATGGCCGTCTCTTACAGTGACGAAATGCGCGGTGGGTCCTGTTTAATAGACCTGTCGATATCTAAACATCCTGCGGTACGATAGCTGTTTACACTGGTTTAGGCGTTGAAATCCCACAAAAGTTGAGATGCCACTGGATGCACAAAGAATAGAGTAATAGATATCGCAGTAATGATTGAATGTGATACGGAGGAACTGCTAGGGCTTTGCACTGCGACGGGCGGAATGCATGAAACAGTAAGCCTTGAAGCCTAGCGTCTTTATATTTAGTTTCCCAACATTTCTCTCTCCACAGATTTTCAACTATTTCCCACTACCTACTAGGCTCGAGATTTCTTACGGATTTCTTACAAACTTGGCGCTCACCTCACTCATTGCACAATCATAAAGACTAAGGTTAAGGAATTCCCTGGAAGCCGTTAGGGTCGTTCTGATATCGCAGATTTTACGTTCAGCGTAGTGGTCTCCACACGTTGACAAGGTCGACATGGCCATGATCAATAATGAAGCTTGTGGACAGTTCATATAAGAGTCCAGTGAAGAGGGCATATTCAACTTACCACCGGCTCATCGCTCTTGTAAAGAGCAGGCTGATAACAAGTTCAGTAACCTGGATTCACTCTGAAGACGGGCTCTTCGTCGTCCAAACCATTCATCTTCTGCGGGCAGTGGGAGACTCCGGTGTACCAAGACGTGAAACTCCGGGGCGTTTAATTTGTAAGCAAAATTCTTTGCACAGTCTTCCGTTAACGCCTACAGACATCGCTAATACCCTAGATTCTTTGTTGATGGGAAGATAAACCCCCTAGGAGTAACCCATCGGATCTAACCACGGCGCTGTCCATGGCCAACATATGGAAGATCTACTCCCTATCAGCATGGCCGCGATCCGAGCCTCTGCAAAGAGCTATTTTTTTTTCTCCCGCACGAAGTGTTTCGTAACTGGCCTTTGCTCGTACCCGACCGTTTGTTACAGCGCCGATGACCCCTCCTACAGGGAAGAGACCCCGCGCCTGATGGCCAAATTTACAAAGACCTCATAACCGTGGGAGCTGAACTTAGACCTTATCACTCACGGCCATGCGATGTTTCGTCTTGGAGCAAAAGGGGTGGTGAACAAGCAGTAGGGCATACATCACCTAAGTCCACTGCAACGGAGGCAGCGTCACTGACCTGCGTCTTTCTACGAGGCTTGTTCTTTGAACCCTTAAGGTGTCCCTCCTTTGGTTTTGGGTTGGCGAGATCCGTAAAAGATACTTCGACAGATGCAGTTGGAGCCGGTTCCTCTGCCTCCGACGGTGTCAAATCGGGCCGTTGATACTGCAGTATAGAAAGTGCCCCTGTGCGTGTTGACGAAAAAGCCGCCGTGCTGGTAGCTTCTGTTGGGAAGCCTGTCTCGTAGGCGCAGCAGCTGTCCCAGTCCCTCAGAACCCCCGGGATCCCATCTCGCACCTTATCAAAAGCCTGGCTAGAGTAGATCAATAGCGCCTCCAGGTTCGTGTGTCGACGTTCGAGAAGGTCTCTCTCTTGTCCCAGTTGGAATTTGACTATTTAGAGCTCCTGGCTTGTTTTCTTGAGACGTTGGTTTGTGGCGTGTTTTGTAGGGTAAGCTTACCATAGACGCCGTCACATAATTAGAAAAGAGAGCGGCAAGTAAAGGCGCACTGAAACCCACAGATTCTGTTAGGAAACCGACGAGAGCTGTGCGGGGCGCGGGGAAAACCATTGCCGTATCATTGCCCAGGAGTCATAGTTACAACTCGTTTGTACTACAGTATGATACTATGATGTTTCCTAGGAGTCGCGAAAACCACTTAATAAATCGCCCACAGCTCTTTCCATTCTCCCTCTTTATACGCAGACTCGTCTGCCATCCATCGGACATTCCAGAGAAGGATTCTTATGTCATATTGTTTTGAACGAGACTGATTACTCCTTCTAGAGCTTCCGTGCTGACCGAATTGCTATCAATAAACTAATACAAAACCGGAAAGAGGCGGTGAGAGTGCATTCTTGACACCATTATAAGCAGTCTATTATGAAATATTAGGGAGCTATTCCTAATTTAGGGGCTCAGATACCTTAATTCTACCACCGTAGGTAATATTTGGGATGTATATCATAATAATCATCATAATATTTACTTTGCTTATGACTTCCGTCGACCGCCTGCCACCCCAGGCGACTCCGGCAGAATCCCGGGGGCCGAACGCACCGACTTTTTTTTGGTACGGAGATCCCGACCGTTTCCGCTCGCCCTTGGTTTCCAGAACAGGGCGGACTGCAATCCGACTGCAGGGCTCAGCCTCCATAGTTAGGCAGCCCTACCGCTATCCTACGCTAATGGGATGGACTTCGTCCCACTTCCGCGTGGGGTAAGATGTCGAATCCTAGTGGAGAATTGATCGGCCACTCATTACGCGAATGGCAATGTGGGGGTGTGGTCAAAATAGAAGATGTCTAACATTCTGAGGATAATCTGGCTATCTCTTTAATAGTACAGATTGCATAGTAAGCGAAATCAACTCACAATACCAACAATGTCAAAATCAAAAGCAGTTTAGTGCTGTACAAACTGTTATCCATGGATCCCCCAACATTACATGCCGACATAAGAAAAACAAAGTGACATGTTACTCATCTTCTCGCAGCTGTCTTAACGTAAATTTCATGACTTTGATGATGAAAGAACCCTCCTCAACCTCTGAATCGGGTGGCATAGCTGCAAAGGACCCCACCATAGCATTCAGTCAACCATGGGCGGGGCCGGGTCGGGGGGAAGAGGGGGAGAAGGGAGCTTAGAATAGGGAAATGAAGAACCGTTGACTTCCATTTTCCAACAAGCATTGTTGATAACCCATCTCACGTTTTCCTGGAAACGTTATTCCAACTGCTAGATAAGATTCAACGGATATAGTGACTCACAAGGGGACCGGGAAGTTCATCATAAGTCGTATATGGATTGGGACCAGGAGCTGCAGGCCATGCACCTGAACTCTTCAGATAGTCTAGATCGCAGACCGGGAGATTCACCTGGTAGTTGCTTGCGGGCTTCCAAGATGATTGAAGAAATTGAAGAGTCTGGGTAATAGTTCGAATAGGTTCCCAGCAATTGCACTCAACTTGGCTATTGTATGCCGCCGTTGCCACATCGAGAGCATTTAGGCTAAAATTCTGTAGCTGGTTGTAGCCAGGCACAGGGTCATACGCATCCCACTCAGTATTGGTTCCAGTATTTTTGATGAAGAAAAATGCCGTTGAGCCGTCGCATTCTCGGGCAAATAGATCTTGTGAGCCCGAAACATTCATCGTGCAGGGATTGGTACCATAAATCTCCTCAGATACTCTAACGATAAATACCTGTTCTTGAATCCACAGCCATGACAGTGCTCCACTCTGTAGAGCTGCCACAGCTGAATCGCTAAATTGAGCAACATCATTATCCGAAGGAACTGCAGCGAAACGACCGCCTTTAAGAAGCTCTGGCACACTCGACGGCTGCCAAGGGTAATAGTTATACCACCCTGAAGCCGGGTTCCCAATGGAGCTGCAGTTCACAGGTTTCTCCATATAGCTCTTAGAAAAGTTTAAAAGTGCATCCTGAAAATGGTCTTGATATTGGCCGATGCGATCACTAATCGTGGCCGAATCGTTAAATGCCGTCAGAGCACTATACCTTGTAAGCGTTTTACCTGCATATAGTTATAAGGATAAGCCTAACCTTATATCTTCTGTACTTGAAGTGCCAACAAAAATTCCTGTACCAAGTCCCAAGCCCCCACCAATTACTCCTGGTATAGCGGCCGCTGTCGCAGCAATTGTCTCTGGCAGAAGGCCAAAAAGTGCAGCCAAGGCGCCGCACACAGCCGATAAGATGATGAATGCAGCTTCCATGCTTGATCCTTTCTGGCTCTTTGTCGAACAAATCTTTTAGTCTTCCAGAAATCCAAGAGGCTGGTTTGGTGCATTCTCACATCAGGGGTGGTAGTGGTTGTAAAAAAGCGAACCATTTGATCCACAGAGTCGGAGGCGGTCTGACAAGCGTCTGCAAAATATTTGCTCATTATTCCTAGATATGTGTTGAAATTGACGACGGCATTTAAAATCCAGATGTAGGCTGGGTTCAAGCCGTGCCTGCACTCTTTGAGACGGAAGTCCATCCTCGACCAGCCGAAATCACAGTCATAACTAGAAACCAAGTAGAAATTAGAGCTCTAGATATAAATAGAGGCAGGAAAACGGACTTAGGGCAACTAAATTGTGATAACCCTGGTACCTGATCTACCATTGCATCTGTAAAAGTGCCATGGAAACAATGACTTGAAGACTCAAAAGGAATATCGGACCTTATCACGAATGTAAGCGAAATGGACATCTAGGATGGAGTTTACCCACAGCGTAGCCACCCAATAGTCCATTTGGAACTCATTCCATTTCTCAGCTGTCCTTTCATCCTTGTTATGGCATATACCTTTCCAGTCAGGGAGAGGGTTGGGTGCAGGAGAAGGCGATGGAATATGTGATGTAAAAGAGGATGAAGTCGTAGGGCTGCTATAAGAAGCACTCCTTCCGGGTAAACCTCTGACACAATAGGCTGTTGCGAAGGAGATGAGCTCCCATGCGTATTAACAGGAATAATCATGAAGACAAACCTAGCATCGCCCAAGACAAGAGTAGGAAAACTGCCATGACAGAGTGGTCGGTATTCAAGTGTGGTCTCTGTAATTTATTGGGTGATGTGATATGTTCAATCCCAATCGAAGGACCTCAAGAACCCTCTTGTATGCCACAAGGTGATTATATAGTATTACGGTTGCTATGTGTTGGGGGCCCAAGGCAGATAGGGCCCGAAATGTTTCAGGGCCCTGGGTAAAAAACATTCAACAAATTAGAGCTTTTAACCCCAGACATCACTGTTGGCCCCAAATATGTGACTAGCCCAAACAAATCTCATCACAACAATCCGACGCATGCTCCTTCAATCCAAGTTTAGGTATCTTGCTGAATCATAATGTATCACATTTGCATGGTTCCATTGTAGTTCCTAGCCCATTAACGCAGGTCGAGAAACAGTAGTGGCCTTTCATAACAAGGGTCTGTACTGAATGTAATTTATTGTGGCGACTTAGATGAAAAATGCGGCCCGTTAGTGGATGAGCACTCAAGCTTATTATTGTATCGCGTTACATTTTGACTCCCGGCAAGCACTAATACAACGCGAAAACCCCGACACTTGCTGTACCAAGCAGGGGCGAAGTTGCCAATTATGGAATCGTGACGTCGCTAGTAAGCTTACTACAAATGCTATGGCCCCTCATTTTTAAGGGCTATGATAAAGCGCAGATCCCCCCTCCTCATCTACCAACACCTGATTTCAGTCATACTCCTCTCGTTCAATTCTTGGATCAAAATTGCACAACACCTGCCACAATGAAAGCCTTTATATCTTTGTTAGTCTCCTTGCACCTCGTCGCAAACAAAATATTAGCGTCTGCTCAAGCGTCTTGCGCCCAGATCCCCAACTACAATCTATCGGGAACCGTCAGTATCCCCTACCCTCAGCCCCCAGGTGTCCCTGGTCCATCAGGGAACTTCACCGTCTCAGAATACGTTTATTTCAACAACCATACCGGGCAGGCATACCCTATGTCTAGCATGACCATAACAGCCGAGAACTCTAGCGGCAAGCCGATTATCTACGACAGCTTTCCTTACAAGGGCTGTGCTCTTTTCATTGGTATGCTTAATTCACAACATCCACCTACCAAAGGCCATCTCAACGATGGCTCAGAAGAGAGTTGTATCTCTGCAATCTCCGAAAAGTGCATCCAAAATGTTCATCGCTTTATGGATGCCCATATATCAATGTTTAAGGCCATGCCGGTGGAAGAGGCTTGTGGTTTCTTTGCATATAACCCGATCGTTTGTGAATCCCCTGACGGACAGGGTGATCAACTCAAGACATACGGTGGTGTTTGTATGTGTTCCTATGCCTGTCTTCATCTACTCTCTTCGAACAAATCAAAGAAGGCTATATTCGTGCCGCGATTTCTAAGCCGAATGCACATGTGACTAACAGACCATTAAAAACTAGCTCTTTTTAACCCACACCCCAATACCTCGAATGCGGAAACTGTCGAGAAAAAAGGCTGCACAGAGCGCTTCAATCACCCGCAATATCCAGGCGCAATTCTATATGATACCAACTGGGACCTCGCTTTGCTTGACGCTAATACATCCGCCATTGCCAATGTAGCAACGCCAGTTATTGTTGTTGCTTGGAGTATTCCGAATGACCATTATGCTTTTTGGTCAGACACCAAAGTGTTTTGTATTACACCTAACAAGTTCGCTCCTGGCACGCATGAAAATGTAACAACGGACAGTGGGACTATGTCTCAGTACAGAGCAACTCGCACCCCGGGACTTGTTGCAGCGGCCGGTATTGTAGGGGGTATAGTTATGCTATTGTAACTATTATCGCATGTTTGCAGCATGTTCTGTTAAACACATCGATTATGCATGCCAGCTACATTCTTAGAGAGGCTAAAACATTCTGGAAAGCCTTCCAGAGTCATCCATTCTACAAGCCATCAATCGACCTCAAAATAGTATTGCAATATAGTAATGTTATTCTAGGCTATAGTGTCTTGTTTACCAGCCGTGCTACTATTAAATAGTGGATTTGTGACGGACTAGAGCCGTCTTGTAATCACGTAGTAGTACGACATGACATAGCCTACACCCACCCCCGGGCCCCCGGGGGCGGGCTCCCCTTTGCCTCTTCTACCATAGTTCCTACCCCTTAGCTAGTCTCGTTCTTCGTACCTATTGTCAATTGTAATCAGCCTCGCTATTTTGTGTTAGAGTAGTCTTAGCCCTTCGCAGCTTGCACCACTTTTTAGAAGGTTGTTCGGTCAGTAGGCATATTCCTCCATGGATCCCAATCAGCTATAAGCATATATAGAATGCGCAACTTTCCTTCCAAAAACTTCTCATCATGGCTCGATTGCCCTACTACAACGTCAAATTCCCACACGAAATCTTGCATTCTTGCGCCACAGTATCCCAATACCCGCCCACTGTAGCCAGTCCCTCACCGCTCTCACTGGTGAGGGCCCGACAAGGTCTAATGGAAATTTGTCAAACCATGAAAAATTACCGTTAAGAGCTGAAATAGAGCCTTTGGCACTTTTTGGCCTAGCGGCATATTTTGCACGCATTTTTGGTTGTCAAAATTCAGTCTAATGAAACCCCCCCCCCCCCCCCCCCACCCAAAACTTCTACCTACTATCCCAACTAGACTTCCGCATGACCCAACCTAGACCCAACCCGGACTGTGTTGGGTTTGGGTTAGAGTCCTCGACCTAGAACTGGGTCTGGGTTATAATGTCTGACCTAGTACTAGGTCTAGGGCCCTAACTTAGGTTATAAACATTGCAAACACGCCTATGCCCGTGACTACATAACTTATGCAATGTTTGGCTATAATATTAGGTGTTTCTATTATAGCTAAATCAGGACTAATATCTTAAGTTTGAAATAAAGTAGTAAATATTAGATGAAATGTAGAGTTTATATCAATTGTACTGCGAACTAATGTACTCGATATAATTAGATCAGTCCTCCTTATCGAGTATGGCTAGTACTATATCTAGTAAAGAGTAATAGGCTTAGTAGTATTCTAAAAATGTACCTAGCCCTTAATATACTATTATCTAAAAAATAGATATAGCTATTCTTCTCCCGCTATAGACGGCGCCTTTCCTATATAATCTTATCTTAACTAGTATAATAGTCTTACCTAGCTATACTGAAATAGGCTAACAAAAGTATATAAGCGAGTAGAAAAGCGGTTCGGAGGAGGTGAAGATAATAAATAGGATGTTCGCGTTATAGAGTCGTCTTATACCTACGGGTTGGAACTAGAGCCTCTTATTACATTAGAAAACAAAGGGGTGTCTAAAGCTCTACTGCCCTAAAGTAGATAGAGCTTCTCTACTCTTCGTGCGCTATGCGGCACTAACGTATTCTCGTGATAGGATGAAGTACTCAAGAAAATAAGGGTAGGACTAGGACTATTAACAGACTACCCGTCACAGAATAAACGGCCCTGTGGAGATGATATCCCCGTTTTAGTATAGACCGGGGTGGACTGAGTAGATCAGGACCGCTCAGTGAGCATCAGTCATCGTCCACGTGACTGGCCGGAGCACGATCACTGAATCCGACTGCGTGCTGAGATCTAGTCAGTGAGCTGCCGGGGTGAGCACCGTTACGGAAAGGGCGGCCGCCCGGATAGGCAAGCCCCACCTGCCAGAGAAAATCCGCAACGTGCAGGTCCATATGTACCCGCTCCCTAGTAGTCGGGGAGACATAGGGCATAGAATTCGACAGTAAGATGTGGGACAGATACAAATATTGGTAATTTCTTTGTGATGGTTGTGAGAGCAGGGTCTTATCTTTAATACTGCTGCTATATTTGGGCTTCGAGTATTTGATCATATATACCTTGGTAGCGAAGCATCGGGGGTCCGGTGGAATCGTGCCGCTCGCCATTCCGTTGGACCCCTACCGACCCGGCTGCATAGCTCCATTTCATTAAAAAAGTGTTGGTCTATATGCTGAGGCCTCGCTATTTACACAGACGACCATTTGCATTACAGGGAATGGTTTTTTAACTAGCACTAGACTCTCAAGTCTTTTGGTATTTCCTCCCTACCGCTCCAGTATCCCTGCATTTCCCACCGTCGAGAAACCGCACTCTGCTGGCACGGATCCGGAGCAGGTTTCCAAAACTTGCAGTGAAGAATAGCCATGCCAGCTTCAAAGTCAGCTTCAGTTGGGCCGGGAAGGTGCCATAACAAATCAAGGCTTTTCCAGGGCATTGGTCCATCCCGGCGGTGCACGTAGTTAAGGAGATTTTGCTCAGGGAATACGCCATCGAATAACTCTGTGCGGTTGAGGACGCCAAGGTAGTGTTTGAAAATGTCCCTCGAAGGTGAAAGCAAGATCACCCCAGCATTAAAATAGTCGCGATTCTTCTCAGCGGCTAGGTTAGGAGGAAAGCCGTATGGTCTATAAGCAATGTCGGGGGTCGAGGCTAGAACGTAGCTATTAGGAATCCGGGGTAGGCCAGGAGCGAGTGGACTTGTCGCATTATGGTCGACTAGGAAGTGCTGGGAAGAAGGATCTTCGAAGATTGCATCGAGAGGACGAGTGATGACCATATCTGTATCGAGCAAGGCCACCTTCTCAAAGGGCATAATGCTAGGATCGAAGACTCGCAACTTGTTGAATACTTCGGCATAGCGTGGTACGACGATTTCGACGGAGTGATCGACATCCTCGACCTCGACCACTATCGCCCCGTCATTCCGTAGTCGCTGACGCTTACTTTCGCGCACCCCTTTGGTGACCATAACCACGACAGGAACCGGACTGCTGAATTTTGTACGCTCTGCATGGAGCAGTTGGTAAACCAGCGTCCGAGCTCCAACATAGTACCAATGTCGGTCGTCGTCTTCCTCGTCAAGCACAGAATCAAATTCTGTGCCGAGAAATAAGGCCACAGCGTAGCGACTCTTCGGGGGATTCTTTGTAGCTGCAGGATCTAGAGCAGAGGTCGGAGTGGCATTTGAATTCAGACTTGAGCTAGGCTGGACATAGTCATCAGAGTGAGGAAAACTCTCGTGCCCTCGGTAAATTGTCAAGGTGGTTGAGTGTTGGGAAAAACTGAGTAGTGCGACGCAGAAGATAAAACTGATTATCAAGAAAAAAGGCCATCTCGTGAGCTGCAACCTAGAATTGAGGAGGTTCATGGTGGGTGCCTAGCCCAATGCTTATGTTTCTTGGACGCAATTTTAGGAGTCCTTTCTTTATAAACACTAGAGGGATAGCTACACGTTTGGCCCCAGTTTACGGAGAGTTACCTAGTTGTTAGCCGGGAATGGGCATCTAACATGATCTATTATTAGTACGGAGAGAACGCTTTTAGGGGCCAAATAATAACGTGTTTCATTAGCCTGCGGCCAATCTAATCGAGCGCCACATCCTAAAACACCATAGTCAATAGGATATTTGACAACTCAATATCTCATGAACAATAGCTTAATACATAATTTTATAGTATCTTCATACTATTTAGTCGATGCTTATGGGGTTTACCAGTTTTGTGATGTTTTGTTGTTCAGATATACCCATCCCTGAAATCGGACCCCCACCGCTGCGCTGACGCGGGCCCTCCCCATCCAAATGAAAATTTCTTCCACCTACCAACTTCTTCCTGCCATTACCCACTGCCACGGTGCCTAAAACCCGACGAAATCGAGGATCAACTTCAAGAAGCCTTATAAGCCTACGATGATGACTCTGCAATATCCGAACATCTTGGTTTCATTGATTGGTTCGCGAGAGACGGAATATTTCACGGTTCTGAAGCTCGGACATGTCGATCTTTTGAAAGAGTAGGGCAAGGATATATTCTGTATTCCTAATAGGGCAAGTTAGATGTTTCTGGCCCCCGTTTTCATATCATTATTAGACTTAACACCGCCATTTCAGACTAATGTCTGTATTAGGAAAAAGTGATCGTCAAGGCTATTTATGGCCCCCATCAGGCTTAAGTTATTAACCCGAAGATGTGGAATCGGCTGGCTATGGTATATCGAACCTCTAGGAGACGACCTAAGGTTGGGACGGGTACAGATAGAGAAAATCAGCTTGAAGATCTAAGATTATAGTGTAGGAATAGAGGAAGCCTAGCGCGACGAAGAGAAATAGAAGTTTATCAATTCTATCGGCCGGTATCTTTTTATAGCCCCTGAATGCACAAGAGTGCTTGCCGATCATCACAGAGCCATTCCAACTACGAATTTTCTTTTGCGGCCGGCCCATGTGTTCGATTTCTGAAGCGAGTTATTTTTTTTCTTCGAGGCAAATTTTCTTCGAATATTCTGTAACGTAGCATCCCCACAAGCGGTTTTAAAACCAGAAAGTTCTACTACTTTGGATGTAAGCGCTAGATACTTATGTCGTAGCTGATTCAGCTCATGTGCGAGAGAATGTGTCTTCGTGGGCTTGTCCGTCTACGACGGCATATTAGAATCCGCAAGGCACTCTTTTCATTTCTGTCATCACCTTGGGCTCGGGCACTTTTGAGCTAGATCCATTAGTCGTAACTAAGGATTCACGTTTTCTTTTGGTAGATCGTTCTTGACGACATTTAGATACGGACATGTTGACTGAGAGTGACTTTCGGTAGATGGGAGATTTGTGTTGGTCCCAGGCGCAATGACACCTGATGCAGTGGATACCCAGGACACCGATTAGCGATACTGTGTTCGCGATAGATTACGATGTCCGAAGTTTTCGTTGTCTAGCCAGTTACTTCGCGCATCTTCCTTTGAGAGTCTTTCTTCTGGTAGAAGAACTTCAAATGCGGCCCCCAAGCGGGATAACGGCGCGGGATGCCCGTAAGTGTTTTGCTTCCCAGAAGACTACCTACAGCATGTTGTGTCCTCCCTCTAGGACTCAAAACAAAACCTTCCTGGCAGCATTTATTCCTCCTAGATCCCACCGCTGTGGCGCCGTCTTCTCCATCCAGACCGACCAGTCCCCCCAAAAAGCCGGCCGCATGATCTGCGCATACTCCCAGTACTCGGGATACCACCCCGCTGATTCCCAGTCGAGAATGCCTGTGACATTATTCTGCTCGTCCACCATGACATTGCGTGGCGCAATATCAGCATGCGTGAACACCGAGCGCTCCGACCGGGGTAACATATCCAGCAGTTGATTCTCATACCGAGTGCCCCCACAATGAATATACCGCTCATAGATCCTCGCACGTAGCTCAGAGTCGCTCGAAATTGGTCGACAGGGCCTTCGTAGATCCTCTAGCATTGGGTCCCGGGATGGAGAGCCATCTGGGCACACTGATACAATCCGTCAATCTCTTGTGGACGAGCAATATTTCGGACCTTCGAAATCAGATCCCACAGTCGAAGACAGATTGACTCTTTAGCCTCGTTGTCTAGCGTGTCCCATTTTTGCGCCAGAGGGACTCCGGGAATAACTGTCATCCCAATCATTCCTTCCGGTGGTTGAAAATCGGGCTTGAAGAAGCCACTCCGATCTGTTACCTCTTCATCTAGACTAAAATCGGTCAAATGCACTTCGGGGACCGGAACATCGGTATGCTTAGAGACAAGTCTCATTGCTTCAGCTTCAGCAGATCGCACTCCAAACCCTGACTTGGTCACCCAGGAGGAGTCCCACTCGAGTACAAGCCTGCCCATTTGTTTTTCGAGCACAGTAACCACCTCTTGTCCAGCTTGGAGGTCGAGTGGATTCACAGAGGACTGACATGGTAATAAAAAGTTGCCGTCCTTGATGTATTGGTGCCCCTTGTGGAGATTTTGTAGTTCATAAGGAACCTCCGTTGATGGAGATTCGGTCATTTTGCGGGTAGTTTCTTGACCCGACAGTCTCGTCCACCTGAATGGCAAGGTGGTGTAAATCTGACGAAGTTCAAACCTGCTTGGGCGGGAAGAGAGACCTGTTACCACAGTACGTATGTAATCATCATCTGTCTCGGTCCTTAGTCACCAACTAGTATCCTCTCGCGCCGCTCTACACCTGCAGCCCTAAGTGTTTCAGTTAAGCGCTGAATATTTTTAGTCTCTAGATTCAAGAAATTAGTACAGGTATTCAGACGATTCATGTCATCTGGACAGCCCATTTGGCGCTTATGTCGCTGCCTCTTTTTTATCTACTCCATGTCTTGAGTGGGCGATAGATGACAGGCACTCAAAGCTTGGTGAAATGTGCAACTTATAACAGCCTAATGCACAACGGCGGGCCACTCCAGTGACTACTCCTTTATCACTAGGCGCTTTGTTTCAGGCCTCATGTTTCCAAAGTTCTGTCGGAGGTACTTGGACAGAAACATAACTTATAAAATGACTGGTTTTTCCTTTGGATACAGTAAATTTTTGAACAATCCAGAGACCCGGATTAATGAGACTTTGGTCAAGCAGAACACAAACAACAATATCATTCCAAAAGTTGCACGGTAAGTCTGCATTAGCAACAACGTCCAAAATTCCCATAGTATAATGCACTGATGCTTATGTTTCCAATAATATGAGCGGCTATCCATCTGCGAGCACTCCTATAAGGATTATTGGTCTCAGAGAGGTGTGCGAGGTTAATGGTCGTACCTTCAGCCGGAGAAAAGGCACACGGGAGTGGACTGAGCTTAATTCTGCCCCGGGTAGCTCTAGGCTACCCCCCCCATCATCATCACCGCTCTATCTCTCTTTCGTTCATTTATCCGGGGAGTTATTGTCCGCCATCGACCTGAGAGAGACGCATGGTGATCATGACAGATGCAACCAGCACACCTCATCGATGTGGACTTGCCAGGACTTGGCTTTTGCCAGCTGATCGCGGCTGTCGGCAAAGTAATTTCCGGCAAATCATACACCGCTTCATTTGGCAATTGAAGAATGGCATGGCCTAAAAGCTAGTTGTGGATTACGTTAACAAACTTTGATAAGGGTAACTTGCCCCCAACTTCGGAAGAGCTCCGCTCCCCTCCCCCAGACCTGTACCTTGACGGATCTCCGCGGGCGATTCATGCAGTTACCAGCCGGGATAATTCAACAATGATGACCAAATCGGGCTTTGTCTTTTCATCGAACTGCATCCATCACGCCCCTCCTCCATCTCATTGCTCTCCACCCAACATCGCCGCCCAGTCGCTGGCCGCTGCGGTAGATAGCGAACCTAGACGGACCGGAAGAAAACCACGTCCGCGGGTGCCCGACGACCAACGAAAGAGGGCTTCTCGCGCGTAAGAGCAAAAAGATAAGAAGGCTCTCTCGAAGTACCAGCGGCTAACTGAACACTAGTTGTGATGAGTGCCGACGAAAGAAGGAAAAATGCGACGCCCATTCGCGCTGCGGGCGATGCTTCAGGTTTGGTATCGAGTGCCGCTACAGTGGATTGGCCAGGAATAGAAACGCGTTAAATGCCCAGAGATCTCGTGGCATCTCGACCAGTCTCAGTAGCTGCCCGAGGTAAATAGATTTCGCCCGACCTTCGGGTCCAAGATGGAAGCTGACGGGGTATCGTATAGCAACGAAGAATCCCATGCGGAGATGAGCAGCCAGGAGAGGTTGCAGTGCTTGGAGAAGGTTCTTTCCTACTATCTGGGCGGGATATCACTTTCCGATGACCAACTACGAGACTTGGCTGCCTCATGTCCGAAGCAACCGTCATCAGTACCAATCCCAGACTGCGGGAATAATAGGTCGGACCCTGAGGCTTCTCCAACCACATCGCAGAATATGCCGGTCGCTGAAAGTCTTCTAGAAAATGGGCCTGGTACATCCCCGCCTTCTCTTTCTATTCCCTGTCTTTCCCTTTCATTCCTTCCCTTATTCTTCTTTGGAATTTCCCCCGACTTTTTCTTTCTGTGTTCTTATCTTTTCGCCATTTAATGGGTGGCCAAGTATTGAGAGGCTGACGGTTTCTTCTTTTTCGGTCCCGCCTTCCAGACTTTTCGCTCGGGGCCTTCACTAAGACCATCGAGTCGGCTATCGCAAAGAAATTCGATGCGCCAACCTTCGAATCAACTAGCCTGCTTCATGGCCGACAGAAAGTGGGGTCAGTGAGCTTCGGGCATATGGAGAAGCAGCAAAGAGAAATTGCGTCGACGTCGAATACTGGACAATTTATTCCCACCAGTGCAGCCCTTGTCTTATTTCCTCCAAAAGATATCGCCCAGTTCCTCGTTGATGTCTTTTTACGGTACACACAGACCAATATCTATTATGTCGAAGAGACATGGGTATATGATTTTCTTGACATTTGTTACACGCACCCCTCTTCCTTGGTTAGTAGCGAAGATGCAGCGAGTATATGCACGATTCTCATGGTCATGGCGTGCGGGACGCAGTTTGCACACATGGAGTCTTTCCGCTTGAATGGCCAGGTGAGCAACGAATCGTCCACCACGGTACACTTCTCGGAAGACGATATCGGGCGAAAATTCCACCAGGCGGCGTGTTCGCTCATGCCGTACGTGATTATAGCAGGTTCCTTTCGCAGTGTTCAAGCCTGCTTGATGATGGCCACCTACAATTTCTCTCTGGATTCAGCAGGTGCTTCATATACTTATCTCAGCTTGGCACTGAGCTTGGCCCTTCAGAATGAGATGCACCACGAGAAGAGTTACGCATCGACAGATATCATCGCCTCTGAGGTACGAAAGAGGGTTTGGTGGACGGTTTATGCACTCCAAAAGCAAGTCAGCCTCAGATATGGGCGGCCCAAGCTTTTGTCGCACGTCGATGTCGATGTTGAGAAGCCGAGAGACATCCACGAACTCCGTCCGATAAAAGAGACCTCCAATTTCGACAACCTGCTCAGCCTGCTCGACCTCACACTCATCCATGAAGCGATATGGGATGAGATCGCTGCCCTCCGCAGATCTCGCGTGCCGATACACTCCCTAAACTTGTTCTCCATCCGTCGGCAACTGATCAGTTGGCGAGACCGTTTTAAGATGGTCGATGCTCCGTGGGCGCTGGAAATGAATGTGTGTCGTCTGAGAAACGACATTCATATTCGGCTGTACTATTGGACTACGTGTCTGTCGCTCGGCCGGCCTTTCCTGCTGGCAAACGAGCAAACAACGAAATCCTCTGGTGAAATTTCCGATGGGCGACCAATGCTCGGGTACGAAGTCCTGGTTCAAGACTCCATCAATGCTGCATTAGAGATCATCAGCCTGTGCCAGCTGCTGCGCGACCGTGTCGGTCTCTGCCGCGCCTCGTACGCAACGGAATTCACTTGCTGCCGCACCGCAATGCTGGTACTATTGGCACAAAGTATAGCCGAACCGAGTGCCAAAGTACGCGACGGGCTCTCGCGTGGCTTGGAGCTCATCAAACTGATGTCCATCAGCAGTACCCTCGCCAAGTCGGAGGTCCACGTGATCGAAGCGCTGGAAAACGCTATCATCCGCTTAGACAGTGCGACGAGGCTCCGAGGTCAAGCTGTCTGTAACTCGAACGTCGAAGAGAAATCGAAATATGATATGTTGCAGAGCTGGGGTCTTCTGTGGCAAAACTCGCTAGATATCGATACCGCAGAACAATTTTTATCCTCGGGACCCTCGCCGACGACGAACGACATGAACCAGACAGCTCACCACAAAAACAGAAGCGAAAATGGAAGCATTCCAGGGGTGCAGCACAATCAGCACAGTGGCTTCTTCTCCATTGAGGGCTCCAGCGACATCGACCTTGAGTCCTTCTCGTTGGAATTAGATCAATTTGGTCAGTTCCCTGATTTCAATCTCAATCTCGGCCTATTGAACGAGGAGTACGTCCGGGAGAACAGCAGCCTACTTAGGCCTGAGTTCAAATGAGTCCACGCAATATCAGCGTATCTAGTGCTGCGCTTTTCTGCTTCTCTTTTATGATATCTGCCAGACTGGCACCGACGGAACAGCGTCTCGGGCAAGATTAGAAGCTGGGCTTCGCGGCCCAACCCGCTCGCTGCCTCGAGATTTTTCTGCTGGTCTGTGTATATATGTTTTATGAGCTATAGTAAGAGAAGTTATCCCTCTTCTTAATAAAAGCTAAATAGATATAGACTACAGGGCCAATAACGGGGGGGATAGTAACCTTTTAACACGCCGTAGAAAAATGACTAAAGTAGTGGAAAATAAAATCCGAAGAGTAGTTAGTAGTAAATAGCTAAGTAAATACAAGATTAGTAACTAAAAGTTATTAACTAACCCGAGATAGAAACTAGAGGGCGCTTAGATATCTACTTAAAGGGTAGGAGACCTGTCGATTTGGTAGGCTATGAGGCTCTATAGTTATTTCTGTATAGTATTAGAAGGTTTTTAATAAAAGTTAGCTTCAAGCTAAGTACAGTACCTGATCATTTAATTGAAGAACTCCGCTTTTTACGCTAGCCTTTTTCTTTACACTGAAGTAATATGTACGATTGAAAACGCAAGAATCCAATTGAATATTATACATTATATAATAATATTACATACTAGTACAACTAGGCTAGCAACTAATAGGTTAGTCAATAAAGTGGAGTTGTTCATTTAAATGATCAACTACTGTAGTGAAAATCAAAACAATTCTCAAAATTTCAACCACCTCATGATTATCATAGCACTTATCAGCTTTCGTTGTCTTCTGCTAAGATATTTAACAGAAATACTCTCTAGTCTTGTTGTCCGGAGAAAGTTCATCGATCCATTTATATTTTTTATTGTCTAATCGAGACTGGTATGCTCGCCCATTGTAAGATTCACTGTGTAGATGCCATCTCGATCTCCCTGACCGAAAAGCCATCCGCAATCGGGTCCATCGGTTCCGTCAGGAAAGTGCAGGCGCCAGTGTAATAGCCGTATCCCTCAATCCGTACCACCACGCCCTTGGCAGAGATGCCATAACCTCCGGCGATGTCAACCTCCTCGACGTTCGAGCCCACGAATGCTCCTTGGCCGGCATACGCGTTAGACACAAAAGAGTGGAAAGCCTGGCGCTCCCCCAATTTGCTCTCCTGCTTGGCGTGGGCGAGGGCCATACGCGCCGCAACGCAGCCTCCCGTAGGCGACCGGTCAATTTGTTGACTTGCGAAGAAGCACAGTCCGGTCTCGACGCTGTCGACGCCCGGCACCGGGGCGGCGTTGACTCGGTCGACCACCATGACGCCGTACAAATCGAATTCGGTGTCCATAGCGGACGGGACGGAGATCTGGTTGCGCAACTCGAGCGTATTCACGATCTCCGCCTTGATGATGGATGTGATCCGATCGTACATCTTCATGTCCAACGCCTTCAGCCCCGCGCGGAACCCGAGCTCCTGCGCGCCAACCATGCAGTACCAGGCCCCACCGTAAGACAGATCGACTGTCACCGAGGTGCGGCCTTGTAACTCCGGCCAGCGCTTCTCAAGCGGAATCTCGACCCTCACGTCCAGTGCTCCTGCAAAGGATGGCACGGACAGGAAGGACACCGGCCGCGAGCTGTCTGCCGAGCGACCATCGGACGTCGTCGGCACCGTCAGTCGGTTGATTCCGCACGGCGTATGAAGATTGACAGTGGTTGTCTCAGTAGTAGGGTCAAAGGGGAGACTGTGACGCAGAGGAAAGACGTTAGGGTCGTGGGTGTCGACCAGGAATCGGCCCATCGCAATCGCGGCATGGCCGCACATGGTCGAGTAGCCCTCATTGTGCAGGTACAGGACGGCGATGTGCGCTTCGCCAGAGGCTATGAGCTCCGAGTCGCGCACGATGAGCGCACCGTACATGCCCTCGTGGCCTCGTGGTTCAAGCATAGCTACCCTGCGCCATCGGTCGTGGTCTCTCCGGTATGCTTCACGTTGCTCCAAAAGCGCGCCTTTCAGGCTGGGAAACCCGCTCATAATGATACGTGTGGGCTCGCCGGTGGTGTGCATGTCAATACAATGGATGGCGCCTTGCTGGCCAGAGCTACAGATCTGACGATGTATATCCATTCTGAATGCGATAGCGGTGAGGATAGGAGGGGATGAGCAGGAGGAGAATAACCAACGAGATGACTGTTATATCTGAAGCTGCCACTTACTGTAGCCGTCAAGGAAGTGCTGAGAGCAAATGGCTATGAGAAGTTGCGGAACCTTGGGGCTTCTAGCCGGGACCGCCATCCGCTGCCACTTTGCCGGGATATCACCGGGTTGAGGAGTGTCTTTATCAGACCCACCGGGCTCACTAGCTAACATATTGTAGGAGCGGCTACGAAGTACCCATCATTTCATCGGGCGAGAAGGGTTATTGGACGACTCCCACAGCAAAAAGGAATCCTCGGCGGGCTTACAGCGGTGTTTGGAGAGCTCACGAGCCGGAAAAAATGAATTTTACTGACGGACGCTTATTTTTACATGACAGGATGGACACTGTATAGAGAGAAAAGACGCACAATCTCGGTACTTAGACTCTTACAGTTTTGCCCAGGAATCTAATAAACCACCTCCAAGGTCCTGAGTATCGTCCCGACACAGTATCCCGTCCTTGAACACCGCCACCACCTCCGTCTCCGGTCGTGAAAGGACCGTTATGTCCTCCAGCGGGTTCGACCGCACGATGAGCAGGTCCGCTTGGAATCCGGCCTTGATCTGACCGACGTCTGTCAAGCCCATCATGCGGGCGGGGTTGATCGTTGCGCTTTGGAGGATTTCAACCGCGGAGAGAACTTCGGATCTGATCTGGAACTCCAACGCCTGATACTTGCCCAAAGGACCGAGAAGGTCGGATCCGTAGCAGAGCGTGACGCCCTCTTCCTGGGCCAGCTTCAAGGCGTTCAGTCCCGACTGTAGCACCTTGAGGTTCTTCACACTGTTCTCCGGGGGGAGGAAGCTGAACAGAGATTCGTCAGCCATAGCGCGCAGAGCGATCAGAGTCGGAGTCAGGAAGGCCCCCTTCGCCGCCATCAAACGGGCAGTCGGTCGATCGATCAGGTTCCCGTGCTCAATCCCCATCACCCCGTTGCTGACGGCGCGCTCGATCGACGCGGGGGTGTATGCATGGCAAGTGACGTAGGTACCTGCGTTGCGAGCCACAGACACAAACGCTTGTATCTCCTCCGGCGTGTATTGTTGGTGCTCGAGCTTGTCGGTCGGGCTGGCCACCCCGCCGCCGCCCATGATCTTGAGGAAATCCGCGCCGCAACGGATCTCGTCTCGCCCTACGCGCAAACACTCTGGCACGCCATCCGCGACGCGTCCGAGACCAGACACGAACGACCCGGCGCAGTCTGGGTGGTCGTGAGCGTTGCGGAAATCACCATGTCCGCCCGTCTGGCTCAGCGCATGGCCGGCAATGTGGATGCGCGGTCCGGCAATCACCCATTCAGCGCAGGCCTCCTTCAGAGCCAGAGGAGCACCTCCGCAGTCGCGAACGGTGGTGAATCCACGGTAGAGCATATCGCGGCAGACGTACACCATGCGGAAGTGGATCTGCTCTGCGGGCGTGGCCATCGTATGCCGCAGATCGAGGTCGCCCGGCACGGCGTTGATGTGCACATGGCTGTCGATCAGACCGGGACAGACGTATTTGCCAGCGAGATCAATCACCCGCGCAGTCGACGCAGGTTCAGGCTCCAACTGCTCGTCCCCGATGACAATGCCGCGGATCACGCCTGCTGTAATATACACCGTGGCCGGCTCGAGAATCCTGCCCTCGACAGGGTCCACGATTTTCGCATTCTTCAGGACCCATAACGAGTTGGCCTTGTTCACAGGTAGCCAGGGCTTGACGAACGACTGAAGATTATCCTTCGACATGGCGTATCGAGATGAGGGCAGGCAGGTAGGGGTACGATTTCCTTGTGGCGTTGGAGGCTGTCGTGTGGGAAAACTTCTCGAGTTCCAGGACAGCACCATGAAGGTAACATAAACAGGCTGCGACAAAACCCCCGCCCATGATGAAGGCACCACACTCTTCCCCCCCCCCTCTCTTTCTGTGTGTGTGCGTGTTTACACAGGAGGGTATAGAGAAGAACGGGTGGAGAATAAGGCGATAAGAAGTCCGCTCCGGCTATCAGGACCGGGTGCGCGCACCCGGTCCCCATTCCCGGGGAATTTGGTGGTTCGCCGTTATCATCTTCATATTCCTCGGATAGGAGTGCAGGCCGTCGGGTCCACTCCCAATTGTCTGGGGTAGCGTATCAGATTTCCACGATACTACGAGGAGAACAGGAAGAGGAGCCAATTTGGGACCCAATGATATGAGGCCGTGGGGAGTTATCACCTTCGAACTGAATTTCATGGGCGTATAGTATAATACTGACCTTGGGGGAGCCAAACGCTCTTGCCACCCCGGGCATTGTTCTCATCGACCAAACGTAACGAGTGCTTTCCTTTGTGTCTGTCATGTCTTTGAATCCTACTGTCGATGATGAGAAGATTGTCGTGGCGGCGGACGGCGCTGCTGTTGCGGCAGACGGCATCTGCGAGGTATTCAGCGATGACGCGCTGAAGAGGAAAGTCTTGAAGAAGATTGATATGATCATTTTGCCTATGGTAAGAGAGGATGCCCACGCAATGCTGCTCTGGGACAGAGCGACGAGGACACTGACGTTTTCGACAGCTGTGCTTCGTTTTCTTCTTTCAATGTATCTATGAACCCCCCCTCCCGGCAGTGACTGCCAGGTCCCTTCTTTATGTATTTACAAGAACTGACCTCAAATCCAGATCTTGACAAGCAGAGTCTCGCTTTTGCTGCGGTGGAGGGCTTGGAGACCGACCTGCACCTTGTGGGAACACAATACGCATGGACCTCTGCGATATTCTACGTCGGCCAACTGGCTTCCGAATTCCCCTTTATTTACCTGATGTCTCGGCTGCGCTTATCGAAGTTCGTGGGAGTCACGATGTAAGAAGCGTTCTTTTATTCTTTCGAAGAGAGTGGTTCGATTACTCACACAGGATGTCTTGACGTACAGTGTTATCTGGGGCGGTGTCTGCATGTGTCTGGCTGCTCCAAAAACTTACCACCAGTTCCTCGCTGTCCGTTTCCTCTTGGGTGTCAGTGAAGGGGCTGTCAGCCCGGCTTTCATCACCATCACAAGTATCTGGTACAAGAAATCGGAGCATCCGCTTCGCATCGGGTGGGTTGCCCCTCATCTGCCGTCTCCTTGTCCAGCGTATACAAGCACTAATGCCATCATGTTGTTTATCAGGTGCTGGATTACTTGCAACGGTCTCGCATCCCTCCTGGGAAGCTTTCTTATGTACGGCATCGCTGAAGGTCACAACCTCAGCATCGCGCCCTGGAGAGTCATGTTTCTCATCTGTGGTGCAATGACTTCTTTTATAGGACTGATTTTCTTCTTCGCCATGCCCGACAACCCGGAGACCGCCTGGTTCCTGACGGCCGAGGAGAAAGTTGCGGCAGCTCAGCGCCTTGCTGAAGAGCACGACGGAGGTGACAAAACCGACTTCTCTATGAAGCAGCTGAAAGAATCTATCCTCGACTTCAACTCTTACGCTGCGCTCTTTTTTGGTATCCTGGTGACAGCCCCAGCACCTGTTTTGAGTGTAGGTGCATCATACTCCCCGATATACTTTTCATGTTTGCAGCCCGCTAAGGAAGATCCCTCTTTCTCCTTCTAGTTTGCCACGCTCATGATTGAACGTCTCGGGTATACGGCTGCTCAAACTCTACTGTACAATGCTCCTTCCGGCGCAGTGCAGATCGTTGCCATCTGGGCCGGCGTTCTCGGCTGTATATTCTTCCCGAACAAACGATGTCTGGTCGTTATCTGTCTGATCTTGATCCCGATCGTTGGCTGTATCTTGCTTGTTGCCCTTCCGTTCCATGGCTGGGGTATCATCGTTGGAGCATGGCTGGTAAATCGACCCCCAGATCTGGTGCGCTTCCAGTGAGCTCATAAAATACAGGGTGGAACGGGATCGTCTATATTCACTATTACTATGAGCCTGAACGCCTCGAACGTCAAGGGCAATACGAAGAAGTCCATCGTCAATACGCTCTACTTCATCGGCTACTGTACTGGCGGCATTGCATTCCCGCAATTGTGGAGTTCCAAAGATGCCCCCCGATACACCAACGGTCTGATTAGCTCGCTGGTTGCCTGGGGTTTGTTTATTCTCCTCATGCTCACTTACTGGCTTGTTGCCGTTATGAGAAACAGGAGACGCGTCAAGCTCGCCCAGGAAGGGTACGCCAGTCCTTTTGAGGCTGGAGCTGACGTGACAGACTTCCAAGACAAGTCGTTTATGTACACCACCTAGGACCGTCCTCCGATTCTCACAAAGGATGAATCCCTTGATATATTCTGCTTTCATGCGCATTTTTCTATTGTTGCATTCTGGCGGCAGAAGTGTGATTTTTTCTTTACAAATTGAGCTGTATTTTATATATGGATGAAAAGACTGATGTTTTCCCTCCTTATCTCCTTAGTATGAAGGTGCTATTTGGGGAATTGGACAGGCAACCTTGCAATCAAATATTGATATTAGTACAGTATTTTTTAACATTCTAGGTTTTATCGACACCATGACTTGTTCTGGTTTCTTCTTCTTTGGACTATTCTAAACATAAGGCACGTCTTCATCATGACTATTTCCTTGCCCCTGGAGCTCAGCGGCAGCCCTCTCCAAATATGTAACCGCCAACTGCGCGAACAGCAGCGCAACACCCTTATCAGCTCTGTCGTACGCCCTCTCCCCATTCATGATATTGATTGATCCGATCGTGATGCCCCCGCGTCTGACGGGAATGTTGAAAATGCTTTCAAGTCCATGGCGCCACAGGGTCTGATACTCGGAGAACAAGGACTTAATGTCCTCGCGGGTCGACCCGATGAGGATCTCGCCCCGATCGAGGACGGTCTGTTTCCAGAAGCTGTCCGTCACGCGCTTGCGGCCACCAGCGGGGTGAACCTCCGGGCGCGAGCTGTACAGGCGGCGCAAACTTCCGCTTTTTGCGTCGTAGGAGAGGATAGTGCAGGAAATGTGCGGGAAGGCGTAGTCGAGCGCCTCTGAGAAGGTGGGCCAGAAGATATCCGAGGAGGCGTCCTGCTGCAGGAGGGTCGAGAGATGGACAAGCATCTCTAGGAGGGAAGGACCAGGCTGATCCGATGCCATTATGGTTATGATAGAGGATGCTGTCTGGTTTGGGGATGAGGACTAGAGAAAAGATGAGAATTAGCGGTCCCTGCCGGCTTTGATATATGCACTATTATTGTCCGATCGTTCAAGTAATTTTCTATCGCCATTACAAGTCACCTCTTCTAGTGTCTCCGATTGCTGATCTTGTTTCGATAACAGTCCTCCTCGAGGCCAAGGAAACGGCATAGGTGCTCGGGTACGCGCACCCGGGCTATTTCAAACCTGGTGTAGATAACAATGCCGGATTTATTGTATGCAAAGCAATTGCAAAAGAGACAGCCTTCACAGATGACTTGGAAATGAAGACGGGCTATTACGCCGAAATTGAAGAACTACCTCGAAGAAGGTGCCGGACATCAAGAAGGTGGTGATAAACACGTCATCTACATCTCTTTCTGGCCGTATTCCCACCGTCTCATTGATTCTATGAGTATAAAATATGTCTTCCGCTCCCCTAATTTCCGACTCTGGTCGAACTCTATATATCATTCTCACTTCAACATCGCGTTTAATTTATCTATCAAATTACCTCTAATTCAATATTATCCACTGCAAAGATCATATGAGCATGACTCAAGAAGACAACTATGTGTAGGGTCGAGGGATGGCTAATTCCGTGAGGTATGTAGTTCAGTTCAGCTGTCTTATCACATCAACACACCATCACTATATCGAATATTCTTCTCGTCGCAAGAAACACTAATTGGCAGCAGGTTGGATGCGCAGCATCTACTATGGAAAATCCACAAAGGCTACGAACTCCATCCTAAAATGGTTTCTTGCAAAGGAGAGATATACTTGACCGCTTCGAACAGCCGTTCTAAAGAGATTTCATTAGGAGTGAAGTGCTTGTCAAGAGCTTTCCAGCAGGTCCCATGAATTAGGAAAGCAGATAATGGTCTCTACATCATCGTCAACCTGAACCAAGTTCCAAATTCCTCCCCACCGCTGGGAACTCAAAATTTCGAGGTTGTGTAGTTACCAATCTTAGCACGTAAAGGCGAGACCTAGTGCTCGTCGGCTTAGTTCCTTGTGGATTGCGTCGGGACTATGTTTGCTGTCCTAAGCATAGATGGAGGCCATGTTGTAACGGGCAAAGTCACCCTCCAACAGTAACCATTGGAGTTTCAACAACTACATGACCAGCTATGTAAAAGGGCAAATCCCTATATCGCACGATGAATGCAGGACTGGGTATCATTTGTAGTGACATCGATATAAATTATTCCTTCCTTTCGTCGGTTCCCGCTTCCACCTCAAAATCCTTCTTCAGCTGCTCCTCAAACTTCTCCCACTGGCCCTTCACCTTGCACGCTGAGGACCAGTAGTTTCCCTTCTCGTCCTTGCCAAAGATGAAGAACCCATCCGCAGGCTTAATTGGGCCGTGGTTCTCTTGCACATACGACGGTCGGCACGGCAAGTTGTCATTCTGGGGGTCCTGACGGGCTGGGGCAAAGTCCAAGTTGAACAGGCCCGCCTTGGACCAATTGGAGAAGCCGACTTGGGCCATGCCACCATCGCCGAAGATGACAATGGGCAGGCCAGTTCCAGACGTGCGGACCATAGCGTAGTACGCCTCGTGTTGAGCACGCGTGCCTTGCTCGTTGATAGCGCGCCGAACCTGCCGTGCGAGCCAACTCAGCGGCTTGGAAGTGATGTCGCCCCCGCGAACGAGGACGTTGGCCCAGCCAAAGGCGTTGCCCACGTAGGGGTGCTCGGCGGAGGCAGGGATAAGGTCGCCCTCGAAGGCCTTGCGGAGGGACATGGCGATAGATGCGGCAACCTGGAACAGAGTCAGTCAGTGCTTACGTCCAGGGAGGCGACAAGGAACAGAATTTACTGTTCGGTCAGGGTTCATCCCCATTGGGGCAACCACACAGCGCAGGATCCAGGCTGTCAAAACATCATTCTCAGTCAAAAACACCTTGGAGGGGTCTTCGCCCTTCGCGACTGCCTCGGTGCGAAGCTCCTCGAGAGCCTTCTCCGTCTGCGGCCGCCAGTACGACTCGGGAAGACAAACCATGCGGTTCTCCTTGGATCGAACCAGCATATCAACTCCATATCCCAACCCCCACTTGAGCATGCCCACCACCCCGACTTTGCGGTCAATTAGAATATGCTCTTCCGTGGCGGGACGTGACCCCTGAGCCAGCGTATCAAATGGATCCGAGTCAATCTTGCACGGGGTTGGAATGTCCGCGGCCTTGCCCCAGAGCATGGCACTCCAGCCTTCCACGACATACTGCATGCCAAGCGCATCGAAGGCGACATGCTGCCACTGCAGGACTACAATGGTCTTGTCGGTAAACGAGTTAACGCGCAGCCCTAAGACCGGACAGTCAGAGGCGAGGTAGTCCTTGATCCCGCCGGGCTTGTACCCTGGGTCCCACGCCAGGCCTTCCAGGTCGTCCGGGTCGCCGACGATGGCGGGCCTAATGTCTGGCTTCGGGATCCGAGAAGCTGCTGGATGTGAAGCAGCAGGCATGCCGTGGTCTACGTGCGCGAAGGAGATTGCGGGCCTGTCGGCCGTAAATTCTGCTGGAATATGCCATTCGATCTTGCCCGAATCCTATGTGGTCACGTTAGTATGCGTAGGCTGTCATTTCAGCAGCTCCCGTATCGCCCGGAGAGAAACCCTTCTTACATTCTTCCTCAGTCGGCCTCCCAACCTTTGCCACCCTTCCCGCTTGACTAGGCCCTCGAGAGACTCTCGCAACTTTTGGGGGTCGAGCACCGCGTCAAACACGAGTGAAACGGCCATGTTGTTCCCCTGGACTAGTAGGCTGTTCTCGAAGAAATGCAATGGCAGCACTCGATCGCCCGGAACAGGCTCTGCGGCGGGCTGGCGCCCAAAGAACATGCCCATGTCGTCGAGTTTTCGCGATAACGATGCTTCCTCCCCGGGGACGATGTGGGTAAGGATAGCAATCTGTCAATGCAGACGTCTTGCTCCAGGGAAGGAATCTAGAGGAGCGTTATTATTATTGTCCACCCCTATTCTCAATTGCCGTAAAATGTGTGCTGCGTAAGGCTGTACAGACCAATCTGTTTCATAATTTACCTAGTGTGCACAGTGTAGACCCGCCCTTGGCCTCTTTTGAACCTGATTGGGCGAGTGACAGCGCTATTATCCCATCTAAATATGTAGTTTGAACTTAGGATATGACAGGAAATATCCGTCCAGAGCGCTAGGCAAAAGAAAAGGCACTAATTTAGCTAGGGAGGGACTAGACACACCCAGGCCTGTAAACGCCGAATCCCCTCGATAGGGCCCACATAGTTGTAAAGTATTATTCCTTGACAGATACACTAAATTGAATAAAATTACCCTACACAACCTATCCAAAAAAGAGCATTGAAATGCTTTTGAATTTGTCGGATTTGAGACTGCCACAGCAAAAGAAATCGACGAAAGAATCGTACATCAGCTGTTACTTTCGGGGTCAATGTGCCGAGGATTTAATGCGTCCCCTTTGTTAACTCCACTAGACACCTTTATGCATTTTCCGCTTCAGAGGTTATTTATGGTCGAAGGTACCACGGCTGTAATATTTTATGCGCTATATTAAAAAGGAAGGTGGGTCATAGTGGATTGGGCGTTTTTAGGTGTTCGGGGTGTTTTTGACACCTCTTGAATCAACTGAATCCCCTGTTGGCGAGTCACGCAAACCAGATCCTGCTGCTCCACTACCACGGAGATCCTCCACTCAGACCAGTCACCGTTTGTCCCTCTACCGTTTCCTGAATCAGTTTGACAGGAGTCTGGCCCGCGTGGCGCAGAATCCATAAATTTCGCCCGAAATGACTGGAGGAACAGCGGAGGTAGGTATTCTGTTGTGGACTCGAGGCTTATAAGGGTCCATGCCCAGGTCAGCGATATTTGTCGACTTGTGCCCATAACCTCCCCCCCCAAGTGCGCGCAAGAGCTGTAGCGGCGACAATGTCTACCCCGATGGATCTGGCTACGACACCGGGTATGCCGCCGCCGGCCGGCCAGACATCGCAGTTCCAGGCGCCTTGGAACTCGCTACAAATAGGGACTGTGGTCGCCTGGGGCATCACCTATTTTCTCGCTACACTCTTTCTTGGCCTTCGCTACTTCCAGTCCTTCAAGCTGATTAAAAAGATTGAGCTCGACTTGGGTAAGTTAAAAAAGTCGAGAGGACTCCAGGACCAGACACTCACAATACTTGCACTTGCCAGTCATCATCACGATCTCCTACGGCGCGGCCCTCTACTATTTTATAAGCATGCTTAAGCGTCTGTATCCTGTGGTGTCTTGGTGTGAAGCTATCCTCTGACTTCTACAACAGTAATGAAATATGGCTGGGGAAAGCACATGTGGGATGTTTCGTTGGCAGACCTCGTGGAGTTTAATAAGGCAAGACACTGGATTTTATACATGGTTGACTGTTCCTAACATGAAGCAGGCCCTGCTCCCCAACACCTTAACCTACTTGGTATGTCCCGCCATAACCAAGATGGCCATCTTGTCTGTCTTGTTCCGCATCAACCCCTCTACCACCTACCGATGCGCGGTCGTGGTAGTCGCCCTTGCGATCTTTGGCTATACCTTGAGCTTATGCGTCATCACTGGGGCGCCATGTAATCCCCTCAAATTGGGGACCACCCAGTGCCTGGAAAACGTCGCCCTGGCCCAGGCAGTCCTAAACATCGCATCTGACTGTGCGGTCGTGGCCCTGCCCATCCCCACGATTGTGAATCTCCATTTTTCGCTGAAACAGAAACTCACTGTCGGCTGCCTCCTGGCTCTGGGATCTGGGTACGCTTCTCCCGTTTGGAGTCATGTCCATTCATCTTTCTTTGATACAACACCCTTCTAATGCATCTCATAGTGTCGTTATCTGCTCAATAGCCCGCCTACCATATGTCCTCCGTCTCGAAAAGACCCTCGACGTAACCTATACCGAGGCTATCCTCGGGGTGTGGTCCCTTGTCGAGGTCAACCTCGGCATCATCTGCGCCTGCGCAATGCGGTTCAAGCGGCTGATCGCGACATACTTGCCGCGCCTGTCGCTGTTCTCATCACACACGCACAGTAATGGGAAAAGGACGTATGAATCGTTCAACAGATTTCAGCCAGCAGACCGGAAAGGCCAGCACACGTACCAGCTCCACAGCGTCCAGAATGGCAGCGCAGATCCGTTTGCCGGCGACAAGGACATCTCCGTCAGCCGCTCGTACAAGGTGGATGTAGAAGGGGATGGCGAAAGCGTGGAAACTATTCTGCGTTGAAGAATACTGACACAGAAGTATCTCGCGGGCTACATACAGTGGTTCCACGTATGGCGAACCTGGAGAGCTCAGTCATAATGGTCGTTTTTGGCTTAGATGGGCAACTAGCAGGTGCGAAATGTATAGACCAACAATAAAAAATTAATATATTCAGTATGGCGAGGACTGAGCTTCCTTCTCTGCGGAACAGTCTATTCTGGACGAAGTAAATAAGCTCCAAATTTTGCTCTGAAACTATTGAATTTCTTTTTTTATGCCTCTCCATGGGCCATGCGTGCTGGCAGAATGCAGGGCATAAGCAGCCCAGAGCCTGGGTTATGATCTCCGAAGGGAGATGCATCTTCTTACGGGATCGCTCAAGGGGGCATTGAGGGGGCATTGCCGGGGAATAAATGGGGGAGAGTGGGGATAGAGCGGGGAAATAAAGCCACAATCAGGATAGGAAGGACTCAGGTACCATGTTTTCCGGGCTTGTGTGATGTTCTTGAATGAGTGTAACTAAACAGTTAAAAACCAAGAGTCGGTGGAAACATTAATTCTCTCACTAATGGTTACATTTGCGTCAAAAGCTTCTTCTGAAGCGCATGTCTACGAGTCGAGACTGAAATTAGGTACCACACCCCACCGGTGCATTTCCTCGTTAGTCGATTGCTTGCAACGATCTTCGTGTTGTGGAAGGTGACATCTAGTTCCTGTTTAGCCGCCAGATCCATTCTGCCGGGAAAGAACACCAATTGAGATCTTTCGAAATCACGGGTGATCACTTAAACATGACAAGCTCTCGGCTCTCTCTACATTACTACCCACATGTTACGGGGAGCTATAAAGACATGGTGGAACAGAGCGGTGCCTCCTGTCTCCGAGAATTATCTTTCAAGAAAGCCTGAGTAGCCTTCTAGCTTGGGAACTGCCCCAGGTTATCGCGTTATACTTCTCTTGCACCTGCTCCTTTCCTCTGCGGGTTAGAGGTACTCACAAAATGTTCGCGAAATTGTTATCGTTTTTGCCTGCGTTCTGCATGGCAATATGTGGCTCCATGGCTAAGAACGCATTTCAAAACCCGGTCATCTTCAACGATCTGGCCGATATTGACCTTTTCCGAGTGAACGAAACTTTTTATTATTCCGCATCAAGCATGCATTTCTCCCCTGGTGCCCCAATTTTGCAGTCTCAAGATCTTGTCAATTGGAAGTACCTGGGCCATTCGGTGCCTTCACTGGAATTCCAAAGCCCAGCGTATAATTTGGCTGACGGCATGCGAGCCTACGCGCGGGGAGTCTGGGCTTCAACGCTGCGCTTCCGAGAGAGCAATAATTTATGGTATTGGTTTGGCTGTGTCGATTTCAATGCAACATACATCTATACCAGCCCCGGAGTTACCGGTCCATGGGAACAGAAGTCGGTATTGGACGGCACTTGTTTCTATGACTGCGGCCTGCTAATTGACGATGACGATACCATGTATGTCACGCATGGTCAGTCAGTCCTTAATGTTACCCAACTCACCTCCGACGGTCTCGACTGGAGCAAAACACAAATCATCTACAATTCCACCGTTGGGTACATTGAGGGTTCCCGAATGTATAAGCGCAACGGCTCTTACTACATCATCACAGACCAACCGGACAATGGCCAGTACGTCTTGAAATCTGACAGTGGACCATGGGGTCCGTATGACTTCGGTGTTATTCTCAACAACACTTCTCCGCCGACGAGTTTAGGCGGTGCCGACACTCCTCATCAAGGTGCTCTTGTTGACACACCGGATGGCCAATGGTATTATATGGCTTTCGTCGATGTGAATGGAGACAGTACTGGTCGCGTTCCAGTCCTCTCTTCTTTGAACTGGAATGACGATGGGTGGCCAGTCTTGACCCTGGAGGAAAACAACGCCTGGCCCCAAAGCCTCCCATATCCAGTTGACTCAGGCGCGACGACTCCCAACTCAGACTCTTCTCTTTTAGGGAAAGACACATTTGCCGATGGAAAGCTCGGTCCCCAATGGGAGTGGAATCATAATCCCGATACAGAACGAATCACCGTGGCACCAGGTGAAGTCCGTCTGCATACAGCAACAGTCACTGAAGTTGATGATATTTACCAAGCCCGCAACACCTTGACTCATCGAATACTGGGGCCAGCTTCGGAGGCCACAATTCTACTGGACTACACAAACATGGCCGACGGCGACCGAGCGGGTCTGGCGTTGTTGCGAGACAGCTCGGCAGGGATCGGAATCCGAAAAGATGGAGACATTCCCACGCTTGTGATGCGCAGAAACATGACCATGAATTCGACAGACAATTGGTCAACCATTGACTACGGCACAGATATGGCTAGCATCAAGCTCCCTCGAACTGATCATAGGGCGAATATATTCCTTAGGATAGCGGGAGATTTCCGATCATCAGGAACGCGGATGGCACAATTTTCATACAGCAGGGACGGCAGACACTTTACTGTCCTTGGACAGAACTTTACCATGATTAATGACTGGGAGTTCTTTCAAGCCTACCGGTTTGCCATCTTCAATTACGCTACTAAGGCTCTCGGAGGCAGTGTGACTTTGAAAGAGTTTACACTACAGTCGGCCCCCAATTAAGGAAGGTCTGATTTGAAGCCATAATTTGTGGTCCTGGGTACATGCCAATCAGCATGAACCAGTGTCCGTAGCCAGGATCGGGGTATATATATTAAATTAGGAATTGATTCCGTGGAAACTCAATATCAGTCCACAGCGAAAGAGAATGCCAACCTCATTGTAGTCATGCATCCATTCAGCAACGCCCCAATACTGGTTTATAAATGGCCTTTAGAGTGGCACTGTCACCTGTAAATCGATAGCGTTCCATGGGATGGGTGATCAGCCACGTGGCTCACAAGGCCCGCAAGTCGACGAGAGTTAATTGTGGGAAGAGTCTCCCCACATACCAGTATTGTGGTGGGTCACAATATCGAAGCACGATACGTCTGTTGGGCGACAATAGCGCCTTGCTTCCCGATATCACTCACGAGGCCATTAAGTGGAGTCGTCAGATCGGCCAAGTCTTTTAGCTCCATCTACTTGAATTATTTTGAGTATAATATACTGAGACGTCAGATCTCCGCCCCCCAGAATTATGTACCCCAAGAACAGGTGGGCGGTGAGTCCCAACGTCAGGCTTGTTGGTTAGCACCAACCTTTCGGAGTGTTTAGTACTCTAGTAGTGGCTGTGGATCGCCTAATCATATACACCCCACTTTAGCGTCTTCTTGCGTGTTCCCATTCTCTGAGTTCTGTCTAATATCCCACTTAGAGTCTTTCAACTTGCACCCACCTCAGCATGTCGCATCGTCCCCAGGAAGGAGAAGATACAGACTCCCCAGAAGCTTGGATGCAGAATGAAGGCTTGACACCGTACGAGGTCATGTTGCGCTCCGCCCCATCTGGCTATCTGTCCAACATTGAGGGAGACTTGGGCAAACTCCCCCTACAATTCCCGGTCTATTACTTTTTCTACGGAACATTAACAGCTCCAGCAACCCTTCAACGAATCATCGACCTACCAGAAGAGCCCAAAATGCGGAAAGCCAAGCTCCTCGGATACACACTCGGGAAATGGGGCGATTATCCTGCCTTGATAGACGGAAAACCGGGCCAAGAGATCCCGGGATACGCGTATATTGTACAGTCCGAAGAAGAAGCCCACAAGCTTGCTCATTATGAGACGAACGCATATGAAGAAGCACACTGCTTGATCTATTTCGTCGACAACGAAGAGCCTGCGGAAGCGCCGGGCAAGACATTCAGGTACGCTGGAGATGCAAATGCGTTGTTGGAACAACGATTCGACCGCAAGCTGTGGTTGCACCAGATGGCTGGAAAGTTAGGGTGATTTCATTGGTTGAACTGTCTACTATACTTCCGAGTTTGTATCTATCGGGCAACCCTCGCCCAAATCAATCACACCGAGCCTTCCAGGAAGCATTAAACCCGGGAGTGGCTACTAGAGTTCCAATGCCTCTTCGGGCATAGTGCGACGCCAAACCCGATCAAGGCGGCGCCGGGATAGGGGCGCCGCGCCCCAGAACGAATGGCAATTATACTCAATGTACGTTCTAGACATAATTTATGACTGGAATGTGCTTATCTCTTCCCCCTTCCCCCCCCCCCCCCCAAAAAAAACGGCGGGGGGTCATGTGCTACGATCAAATTTTCCTCCTCTATACCCTCTTAACCCCATACTATCGACGCATGATCGGAAAGGTTGTAGTTGTAAGGAACATGTAAACTCAAACGGGCAAAGACTCCTCGAGTCAGAACTGGCTGCATCACATGGTGCGTTCTTATTTAAACCCGTCACTTTGTTAGTGAGTTGCTAACTTAGTGCCACAGTAAGTATGTATACAATCACTCATTTCCGTACTTGTACAATCATCCGAATCCGTGGCTCATAGAAGACTAGGACACGCCGTCTCAAATGTGATGAACGAAAACCCACTTGTCAGAGATGCGCGATAGCCTGCCTCTTCTGTGCTGGCTACGAAGTTTCTCTGACACGCAGGCCGCGTGCATTGGGGACCACGCGGTTCCGCAATCAAGCGCGACTATTATCAGAAGAGCAGGGCAGTTCATCATATAGACAGGACCAACGAGCCGACACCCATCAACAATTCCAACCAGAAGCCTTTGGCCCATTTTCACCAGTCATACCTCCAGGCTTGGTAATCGATGCGTCCGACATTTCGACATGCATGGAGCTCTTCCACCATGCTCGGACATGCAACATGGAAGATCTGCCAACTGCACTGAGCCCAACACATTTTTGGTACAGTTATGCCTTACCCATGGGGCACACAGTTGAAGCAGTGAAGCATGCCATCTGTGCGCTTGGCGGCGCACACCGGGCCTTCAAGTTGCAGCGCTATACCAACAAGGAACTTGCTTTAGAGCAACTCCGAACTGTCTCCGTTCGGGAATACAATCAGGGAATAAATTCTGTGAGATCGAGCGCTTTATCCATGCCATCATCGTCTTTGCTCCATCGGAGAGATACCGCTCACCAGCAAATCTGACACCTCGAAAATTTACCAACATACTTTTACTCCTAAGCGAGTCGCTCTGGCTAAAATATCATGCAAAATGCCGTATTTTTAGATCCTCTCTAGCTTAACGCCCATCCCGATTCCCTTCCAGCGACTGTCTGCTGGCTCGTGGCTGTTCATAGTCAAGTTCGCGTGAAAGATAGTATCGAACATCTTGCCAGCAAACAAATCTCTGGGGAAAGTGATTTCTCTTCTGCCAAGCGAGAACACGAGTAAGTGCCTCTCTAGCGCTCCCCGGAGAGGACCAAGCCGCACAGGAACCCTGCGCAGAGCTTGTACATGTTCCGTTGCAGCCAGCTAATACCAATGAGATGCGATGAATGAGTACATATTACCCACCTGTCTACTAAACGGCGCCAAACCAAAGGACGTAATTGGACGTCGATGTTATGGATGAGATCCACTAGTGGTTGATTGAACTCGCACGGACCCCTATGTGAAATGGTAGGATTGCCAGCCTATTAGAGTTGCACGATAGGCGCTTCGTCTATCTGCGCTTTTGTACAAAACCCACAACTGAAGCTCTCAAAGGTCTGGAGCAAATGCGAGCTTCAAAACTCGGTCACAGATATTTCTGGGGCTACACATGGCCCCAACACCACGTCAGCGTTGAGCGCATGGCAGCTATATCTGACGCAAATCTATGATCTTGCCTGGTCCGAAATCCACGAGAACCAGGTCCTTGCTGCATCGGGTGACGGATCCTATATACCTATACTGCTCCATTGAGCTTGGTCCAGCATTTCGAGTAAATGAGGCGAGCTATGTTAATCGAATTGGCATGAGTCAGTAGCTTTCCGGGGCCAGTATTCTCGAGTCGTTGCCATATACCCAATTAGACACGGAGGTTGGAAATCACTTTCGGATAAGGATGCAGTCCGAAACTAGCGTCGCCACCGACTGTACTTTCTTGGACGCTTTCTCAGCCCCCAAGTGCCAAGGTAGGCTAGTTACATTTGAGGAGCTTTCCCCGGGGTAGGCCTAGAGTGGATTTTGTATCACATTATTGTACCGGGGTGACCGTAATCAAATCGATATCCAAGTTGATTACAACAGTATACCTTGAACATTCATAAGAAATTGTCGATATCATCTTCACAGCTGCTTAGCAGACCTTCAGGGTGAGTTGGAGAAGAGTGGCGACAGTGAACATACAGTGGATGGGTCTAGACAGGGTACTGGGTCGTGCGTATGTACGGTACCTTGTACTCTGAGACACGGTTCAGGGCTAGTCCCAAGTATTCTGAGAAATTGCCCTCGCTCTTCTTCGACACTACAGGGGTGGTCAGTAGCGAAAGCAGGGGAGAGTAAACCGGCTTCCATCGCGAGTGGTAAGTGCTAATTGCCGGTGGCTTGGAAGCCTCGAGCTGGGGCGACACTCTCCTCAAGGTAAGCGCAGCCTCTTCCCTCTATGTGTCTCTTGGATACCTTAAAATAAAATTTCAATCGAGTGTGTACGCAAAGGAATAGAAGCTGGTCTCTGGCAGGTGCCAGACAAAGAGGATAATAGGCTAAATTAGGTGCAGGGTACATCATCACGCCTTGCAGCTCACATGCACACACAGGCTCTGGGTACCTATACAGCCCCGGACTTGTCGAAGGCTACCTGACTGACTGGACTAGGGTAGTAGCTGAGTGTATCGTTGGTTCAAACCCACAGGCCACCGGTCTGCGTGCAAGCATCGCACCTAATGGCGGTATGGCGTCGGCTTTAGTAGTACAGGTAGAGGAGAGGAAGTAATTCCGGCTCGTGAACCGACTCCTGGAAATTCAACCTACTCTCAGTCAGGGGAGAACTCATGTTCCTGGACAGTGGCTGTCCGGCACCCCCGAATACCTCGTTCGATGAGTATAAATTACCAGACTTCAGATCCACTGGTTCATCACGTCCATTTCCCACAAAGCTTGCCACCCCGACACTCGCAGATCAGCATGATGGAGATTGTAGCGGAGCCTACGCCTCCTACCGAGGGAAACACAGGGGTAACCAACACCAAGGACACTGACGACCAGCCCGAAACTCGATATATGCAAGGATGGGCTCTCGCTTCTTTGACCTTGGCCTTTATGTCCATCTGCCTCGTGCTAGCGATTGATAACACCATTCTCTGTTTGTACTTCTCCATGATCCGACCGAGAGAGCATCAGATCTGATTGTCATACCAAGCTACGGCGATACCCCACATCACCAGCGACTTCCACAGTCTCAACGATATCGGGTGGTATGGCTCTTCCTACCTGATCGCGCAGATGGCACTGTTGCCAACCTGTGGTCGCCTGTATGCGTTCTATAACATCAAGTGGATGTACTGCATCTCGCTTGCCATCTTCGAAATCGGCTCCATCATCGCGGCCGTCGCCCCAAATTCTGTGGCACTCGTCATAGGGCGAGCAGTCTCTGGTCTCGGTGCTGCGGGCTTGGTGAGCGGAACAACAACTATTTTATCGTATTGCGTGTCCCTAAAAAAGCAAGCAATGCTGTCGCCTATTGTGTTGGGCATGTACAACATTGGATCGGCGGTCGGACCACTCGTGGGTGGTTTGATAACTGATAACAAGAAGCTGACCTGGCGATTTATTTTCTGGATCAATCTCCGTAAGCCGCTGTTGATAATGAAGCCCACCATCTCCCTGTCATGATTGACTAACTATTGCAAGCTTTCGGAGCTGTTGGGCTGGTATTGGTCTGGTTCACCTTGAGGAAACCTCCACCTGCAGTAAAGGGGGACCTACCCTGGAAGCAGAAGCTACGTCAACTTGACCTTTTGGGGGCTACTCTGCTGCTCGGTGCGACATCGTGTTTGAATTTGGCATTGCAGTGGGGTGGCATCAGCTATCCATGGTCTGATTACAAGGTGTTCGGGTGCCTGATCGGATTCGGTCTACTCCTGATTGCCTTCTTGTACTTGCAATTCCGGGGTAAAGAAAAGTTGGTTCCTCCTCTCCCATTTTCAGTCTCTACTGTCATGGAGACATCTTATTCTGCATGCTAACATCATCCAAGCTCGAATATCCCTCTCCACATCTTCCGAAGTCGTACCTTTTCGGCATCATGCGGCTTCATGATGCTCGTTCAGGTGGCCGTAGTAGTGCAATCGTACTTCTGGCCCATATATTTCCAGTCAGTCAAGGGCACCAATGCCAGAGACTCGGGGATCAATCTTCTTCCCTTGATTGTGTCGAACAGCCTTGGTACCCTCTGCGCTGGCTCTATAGCATCGAGATTCGGACACTATGTACCGTTCATGTGGGTTGGACCTCTCATTTTGGCTGCCGGAGGGGGTCTCTATCAACTTGTGCGCCCGGACAGTCCGCGCGGACAGTGGATTGGTTTCCAAATTCTGTCTGGGCTTGGCTACGGCAGCTGTAGCCAAATGCCAATTCTGGCGGTGCAGGTTGTGCTCAACAAGTCAGATATACCGACAGGTCTCGTCATGATCATGTTTTTCCAGATGCTCGGGGGCTCGCTGGCTCCTAGTGTCGGGCAGAACCTCTTCACGGATGGCCTTCTGCAGAACCTCAGCAAGGTGCGGGGAATAGATAGTGCAGCCGTGGTGGCGGCCGGTGCGAGCGGTTTCAGAAAGATCGTTCCTCCCGAGCTGATGAACGCCGTCGTGGGTGCATTTAATGCTGCATTGAAGAATGTTTTCTGGGTGGCGCTTGCCACTCCAGCCCTTGCATGGATCACGAGCTGGGCAATGGAGTGGAAGCAACTGCCTGACACAAGAAAAGAGAAGGTGAATCAAGTGCCAGCCGAGGAAACCGATGAGGGCGAGGTCGGGGCAAAACTAGCTTGATACCAATGAAGAGTGATCCGAGGCTTCAATGGAGTATGCCATTAGCCTGACTTTGACAGTGCATATGCCCGGCCCGTCCAAGTAGAGTGTGAATCCAAGCAATGCCTTTTCAGGTGGCGATCTGTCGGGGAAGAATGCTCGGAGCGCCTCATAGCCAGGACCCAATAGTGAACCCGCGAGAGATGCTTGGGCAGATTTGCGTGGAGGCGTGTCCTCTACTCACGGCAGGCTGTCACTTATGCAAGTGACCAGAATTGGGTGCCTGGAGGGGCTTGAATTTCCTGCTGTGGGCTGACTGCACCAATCTAGCTTCTTGGGTAGTCTAACGGGCCAGGATTGTCAGCCTATCAGGACTGTATCTCCATCCACCCTCGGCTGGGTTGTTGAAACAATCTGCAAGATACTTGCAGAAGCGAGTGGGACCTACATTTAATCCATATCCCCGATGGCAAATTGCAAGTGCCAAGCACTTCGAAGGTGACATATTGGCTAGTGTATAGCTACTACTGTAGCGTGCTACGTACGATCCATAGTTCAATGACAGGTGGAAAGACAGCGTGCTATTGTTGATGGGCAGACAGAAAATTGATGGTTGCTAGCGGTCAAACACGACACAAAACAAACACTGGGCGTTAATGGGAGAGTGGGAAGCAGTGGAAAGGGACCTAGAAAATCTGAGACCAAAAATAGAGGGGTGGCAAACCTGAGGCATGGAAAAACAGAGGAATGGGAAGACAAACGAAGGGAAGAAAGACAGAGACGAAGGTGAGGGTCAAAAAACAGAGGGTCAAAAAACAGAGGGTCAAAAAACAGAGGGTCAAAAAACAGAGGGTCAAAAAACAGAGGGTCAAAAAACAGAGGGTCAAAAAACAGAGGGTCAAAAAACAGAGGGTCAAAAAACAGAGGGTCAAAAAACATTAAGGCCCAAACAACATGGGGGCAGGAATTTGCTGTCTCACCAACTGCCCTTTGGATTGTGACTTGTCGGGAGTGTTGAAATCGACTTTAGCCAAGTACCGCCACCATCCCTGCACACTCCAGTGAGTCTGTTAATGTCAAGAAGGACCAGAAATTGTCAAAACCATTTTCTATTTGATTGCAAACCATGGGAATCACATCGTGGTGAGAGGAGAGCGGCAATGGGAAATCGATATCGAGACACATCTTTCGCACTGGGTGGGAGATCACCATCCCAAGGACATACTGAACAAGACCTTGGCCCAAAAAACAACTGCACTCCTAACATGGAGGTCGTAAAATCTGTCATCCAATTCGCCATGGCGACCAACGGGCCGAACCGAGAGACATAGCTCTGAGAGACGAAACTACATGTACATAGATGACTCTGTTTAACTTGCACGGAGGCTTCATGCAGCCTGAGGCTGCGCACAGCTGGAGGATTAATAATAATAATAATTTTACAATACAACACTCGCTCCGTCTTACAATGGCATGGCTTCTGAGTCACGTGCAGGCTCCAATTCACTGTAAAAGAACAAATGGAGTCCTGTATGTAGGCTGCAGGGGGAATAGAGAGCGACATTAGGCTGTGAAATTCAGGAACGGATTCCCTGGTTCCAGGGAACCCAGTAAATCCACTCTCGGGAAGACACGTAGTGGCCAGCACGACACATTCTCATTGGCCCCGACCCATGTGTCCTCCAAGGATCATCTCCTGTCCTCTTCCCCGTGGCTTCCCTATCCTGTCTTACACTGATCTGCACTAAGCGAACCTCGCGTGTACAACGATCCACCGGCTTAATCTCCAACATCATTTCATCTGAGCTTTCGAGCGGGGTGTCTCATACCTTGTACGGCGTAATTACAGTCGGCATCGCCCGCAGCCCTTGGCTCTGGCGATCATCCAGCCCCTTATTATTCTATTATATTCTCCCCGGGGCGTCGCACCCACCCACCCCCCCCCACACACGTCAATCGTCGGCCGCCCCCGTAGTACTTGGTACTTTAGTAGAAGAACAAGAGTGAAAGCTACTAGAGCAGTAAATTATACTACGGGCTTAGACATGCCTCTCATCAGAGTTCTCAATCTGCTGAATCTCGATCTCTTTCCCAGTCTGTTCCAGATCGATATGGGCCACGGCCTCATCACCATCGAAGATATAAGCGACCTCCTCGAGAGTAGGGCCTTTAGTCTCAGGAAAGACGAAGTAAACCCAAATCGCTTCAAGTACATCCCAACACTATAGATACGACGCATATTAGAGAAGAAGGATTAAAGAGGTTAGAAGGTTTCAAGAAAAAACATACCGTATAGAAGATCCAGAAGTAATAGGTTTTTGGCAATTGCGTAATAGCAATATTGTTCGTCTGGCCTGAAATGGCGAGGATGATCTGTACAGCAATATTCATGATCATAACACCCTTGGCACGAAGATGATAAGGTAGGACCTCGAGGGTATAGGCGACAAGTAGACCTGAGAAGCCAATAGAGTAGAAGATACCGAAGACCCAGACGAAGACAATCTGGGCGATACCAAACTGTTTCGCCCCGTTACGATTCTCATACTCAGCAGCCATAACGGTCCAGAGCGTAAAGGAGATAACCATGCCTGTAATAAGGAATATATGTCAGTTATCTCATATTGCCCTCATTTATCCAGTCAGGCGGTACATACCGCAAACAGAAGTGAGGAAGAGGGGGCGTCGTCCCACGCGGTCGATCAAAAAGGCAGCACTGATAGACACAATCAAGCTGAGGAGAGTATTGCCGATTTGGAGCTAGACAAGCGAGTTAGAGAGTGCGACAAATTAGAGAAAGGTCAGGGTAGCAGGGATGTAGTTTTGTCCTTACCCCGAGCTGCGCTTGCTGCCCAGAAACACCAGAGCTTTGGTAGATCAGATGCGCGTAGTTAGAGATAACGGCGTTGCCGCTGTATTGGGAGATAATGCCAATGGATATGATAATAGCAAGCCTCCATCGGTTGCCCTTCGTCTTAAAGAAGTCCATGTATGTCGTGCTGTGACTAACCTCCGTCTCGATCCGGAGAGTTTCCTTGATTTCCCGGTACTCGAATTGGACGGTCAAGTTGTTCTCGTTACCGTTCGCGTGGTATTTAGCTAAGGTCTTGAGGGCCTCCTCATTGCGGTCCTTAGAGATCAGCCATCTCGGAGACTCGGGAATAACTTGGTGAGGTGGTTAGCCAAATGTTATCGAGGAAAGATGTAATCCGGGACTTACACCAGATGAAGCATATCTGAGTGGCGGCGGGCACAACCTGAAAGATGGTGAGAGCTCGCCACGACCAGTCGTTCTCAACAAATTGGAGGCCATAGCCAATTAAAGTGCAGACTAGTTGCAGTTAGATCGGGTTCTAGCGGAGGCAAGAAGGGGGGTAAGGTATCCCATACTCAGACTTCCGAAGTTCCACAGGCAGTTGTACACGGCGGTTAGGGGAGCGCGGTGCTGGGGGTGGGCGATCTCGGTCAACAGCATTGGAGAGACCAGCTGGGATAGCGAGTTGCCAAACCCAAGAATGAAACGGCCAGCACAGAACACTAGAGACGGTTAGCTGATGGCAAACACAATTATATACCGTCGCTCATCAAGCACAACTCACTTCCGTAGCCATTTGCGAAAGTGTTAATGAAACAACCGATGATCATGAAGGCGCAGCCAGCCATGATGCAGGGCTTGCGACCCCATCGATCGACGACCCACGGCCTGAACTTAAGCGTTAGCCAACCGGCTGCGGCCACCTTGGGCTTCTGACACGAGACTCACACGATGAACATAGAGAGAATAGAACCGATAGTGAACATGTTGGTCAAGAGACCAAGCATACTGGCTTGGTGAGCGGTGGCATGAATACTTCCAATGTGGCCGAAATATTTCTCCCAGTAGTTGTAATTCTGCAAGAGGTTGAGAAGGGATCTAGGGTCGAGAGAGAAGCCGGATCAGCAGACGCGCCCTTTTCCACGTGGGACATTTTATATTCTGTCGCTTTCGACTTACCCATCATAACCAGTGGTAGCAGAGGCAACTAGAAGACCGAAAATGCAGAATATGTAGAGCTTGCGAAGAGACGGGTCCTTTGTCCAGTCGACATGCTCGAACTGTGGTGGTTGCATGTTGGCGACACGAGGGTGCTCCTCGACCGAGGCCACTGGTTCCTTGACTTCCGTCATGGTGGGAATAGTGGTAGCTATAGCTTTGTGTATGACGAGCTATCAATACGGTGAGGTGACAATTGTATGCAAATAAGAGAGCGTACGAACGGATGTGAGCAGCACAATATGCCAATGTTTCGAGCCAATGTTTCGTGTCGAGACGTTTGGTTCTCGGGAGGTGCGCAGATGGACGTTATATAAGAATGCTCATGCTCCAAGTGACCCACCGAACTATGCGTCTGGCTGACTGGGTAAACAGCTTCACTCGCGATGCTTTGGCTAAAACGCCACCATTCCGGTTAAATTAGAAGATTGCCATGCATACACGATCCTGATCATGTCGCATGACTAGAGCTTCGGAGCCAAAGATATATTTCCCGGGGACCCCACGGATAAGAAAGTGGGAGAGCCGAGAACTACAGTCCTCACTCGGGTATACGTAGGTAATACCCATGTTGAGATATGTTGAGATTCATGTGTATTCACAAGCGGCACGCAAATATTGCATGGGGGCCCAACCCCCTGAATTCTCTAACCACTATCGCCTAAACTGTGTCTCAGCAAAAGGACATTACTCGTGCCAGAGGGCTCCGGTTTCCCCAGGCCAAGGGAAAAGCGGGGAAACCTCCGTCTTGGCACGGAGGTAAGAGAAAGGGAAAAGGAAGGATAATAAGGGAAGCTTTCCACACAAGACAAGAAAGGAATACTGTTTTCGGTGTCACAATAGACTTCGCGGGGGCCTTTCTAACATTGGTCACATCGCTTAAAAGGTCCTGTGTTTGCTGACACATGACAACATTTGTCACAAAACAAGAAGCACGAGAATGTAAGCATAGGCCACAATTCTTACGCTTAAAACAAAACATGCCTACTAACACATGACAAGTAGGGAAGTTGATTTGAGTTGATTTGCGTGCACGTTTTGAGCCGAGAAACCAACCCTCGACTTGAGTAAAGACTGATCATAAGAGAAGACAAATTATAGATTCTTAGTTTCATATTTAATTACCTAAGTGGATACATGATCCAAGTGCACCTTTCAAAGAACCAGACTTTTTGTGAGATGCCAATTCATGTAGATCCTCTTGAGAGGATATGACTCCTGTGAGCATTGATCCATATGTGTGGATAGGATATGAGATAATCTGATTTGAGAGGATCTTCACATGTGACATTTCGTTATCAGTGGAAAGACACGAGTTCCCTAGTATCATAAGTAAAATTATTTCTGCATCTACATGGCGTGGATCTGTAGGGTACTGTAGCAAGGCAACGGCTGTTTGTAGGTCTATTCCATGCTCGGATAAGCCGTAGCCGTTGAAATCAGCCCACTAGCACTTAGGTTGGGATCATATCAGAAGTCGAGCTTGGCAGTTGTTGCCTGAGTCCATAACTTCAATTGAAAAGATTCTCCTCGAAGGCCTGGGGGGCCCTGGGGTATTAGGAAAAATGCACGGACTTGACCGTGTGGATGGGAAAAGTGGGTGGGATGGCCAGTTGAGTTCTCAATGCTCACTCTACCTCTCTATTCAGAGGGATTTGCACTCTGTCTGTTTGCGCGTTGTTTGTTCTTCTATTGCCCCCCCGTCGGCTCCTGTGTTGGCTCCTCTGTTGGCCCCTCTGTTGACCGCTCGCTGTTTTGTTTAGTGGGGAAGAGCAGAGACTAGTTGAGCACATCCACAGAAAAAATATTAAATAAAAATAAAAAATCCCACAAATGCCCAAATGAACAAAATGAACAGACACACTGCTGGAGGAAGTGAAGGTTGTTGGTCGAGATGGATTAGCCAAATCTCACCATATTCCCCACCAGCGTCTGAGGTCCGTGCATTTCCCTAATACCGTCGACCCCCGCAGATCTGCAGCGAGAATTATTTTCACCTGCTCACTGAAGCAACTCATGACCCTGGCCAATCTGTTAGGCCGAGCTATGTAACTGTCTTCAGTTGTTTGGCGCCTTATTCTCTAGACCTTGGATACAGTCATTCTCGAAATCGGCTTGACCGATACACACTCGATCACTATTTTCCGGACCCACTGCCAATACCTTAGCGTAGATCTGTCGAATGTAGGTGTAATGATCGGCCACTCATCACCTGACGTGGAATGTGGGGATGTGGTCAAAATCAACAAGATAGAAGATGTCTGGCATTCTGAATATAATCGAGCTATCTCTTTAATGGTACAGAACGCATAGTAAGCGAAATAAGCGCACAATGCCAAGAATGTCAAAAAGCAAAAGCAGTTTAGCTTTGCATAACTTTTATGGATCCATCCTGGAATTCCGACATATCTCACTCTCGCCTTCAGAGACCTACACTGGTATTTGGAGTAGCATCAAAGGCATGTGTTGTACACTTCCATGGGCGTCTCTATCAAAAAACCCGCCACATACCATCGGCCTCTTGATCGTCGCTTTGAACGCGAGAGCTGGGTGCCACCAGAGACAAGCGACGACGTCATCTTCAGGAACTCCGTACAAGTTCGCCATGGTGGATCTAGTGAGGATGTTGGTTTGCTTCACTTTGGTAACAGATTCAATATCGTGGAACATCACATCTAATGTCAACTCGTATGGACCCGCGTTTTTACTGCGGATAACCTTGGCCAGATCGGCCAGGAAGATATGGCCGGGCGCTGGAGGTGTTATATTACCCAGCACCGAAACTGACTGACAGCCATTTGCTGTATAGCAACTGACAGGTTCAACAGATTCCTCATGGAGAGTGTCATTTTGCTCCGTTGCCGGATTTGGTTCTCTTTCATTCAATTCTGCTCCAATCTTGACCTTCGGTATAGTTGCAGCCGCCGTGTTCTCTCCGTGGAGAAGCTGCTCATGGATTGGAAAGGACTCGGTAGGGTCGTTGACCACCATCGTGTGATAGATGCAGAACTCACATACCGGACCCAACGGGATTTCAAACGGCGCAAAAGGCAGTGCAAAATTTCCTGCCGTAGCCCGTTGATTGGAGTAGGAGGCATGCATACAGAAGACTCGGGCCGTGTGAGCAACGTGAGTAGCCTCTTCTTGTGTGTTGGCCCTTGCATGGCCACAAATTCCGACCTCATTAGGCATTATGGGCTGGGCTAAAGCACTGATACCTTCCCCACAGACACTGGTGCCATTTCGGCCGTAAACACGGAACTCCAGCTCGAATGGAAAAGAGCAATACTCTCGGACGGCGCGTTTGGCGCGCGATAAGAAGTCGTCAATTTGGTTGATCAGGATGCGATCAGTAAACCCGCCAATGAACATGGAGTGATAGCCATTCTGCCGTGCAGCCTCCAGCTTGATGGTATATTCCCCTTCTTTGACGGAAACGAATTTGGCACCGCGGACACGGACTGTTCGTTGATCCGGAAGCTCTTCATACTCAGTATTCTCGAGATAAAGATCACCCCCAGGCCCGGTCAGAATATCTGGACGCGTCTTCTCGTATAGAGTGTGGGAGGCCACGGAGACTGCCGTGCAACGGGACGGAGGATCCAAGGCCCGGATATCGAAGCTGTCTTTGCGCACAATAGCCAGAGCTTCTCTGCTCTTGGGAACCGAGCATAGAGCACCGCACTCCATGATCTTCCCCATGTGGTAAGCAACTCCCAGATCTGTGATTCCATGATATACGCAGAATGCTGCGTACGGGGAAGGATCATAAGATCTGCCTCCGACGATAATATCAAAATCCGGGTGTTCCCTCATGGCCTTCAGCCACGGCTCAATGCCCATCTGGGCCACGATCCGGGTCGCATCATTGATATCTTGAGGTTCCAACTCCGGCACCGCGTTCCCGCAGGGGTGTATGAGACCATTCTTGTAGTGGTCTCGGATCACGCTTTTGCTGATCTCCGCCTCGATGCTGACGACTTTCATAGTTCGATAGCCTTCCTTTAGAATAACTTCTTTGATTATGTCGACGAACATGCCGACGCCTCTTGTGGAGCCATCTCCGCCTGCTGAACCTGTATGTACTCTAAACGTTAGACCATATCCAAAGGCCAAAAGCAAAGAAAGCCACGGTTAACAAAAGATTTACCGATAAGAAGAGGTTTTCGGTAGACATGACAACCCGCGACCAAAACACCAAGGTCTCGTTCGTAGGCCTGACGCGTACCAGTTGATTTCCCCAAAGCCAGTTTGGACGGTCCACTGTCAGTTGAGCCTGCGTCTAGAATCACAGCATCGACTCCTTCAGCCATAGTTGACCAAAATATAGCCTCGCTGAACCCATAGCCCAGCATGCCAATCGGCGTGAAGATGCGAAGTTCGTCTTTGGACATTTCTTGTATTCTTTGAAGAATACTTTAAAAAAATTCGGTTTGGTGTTTTTTTTTTTCGTTTTGTCTAATCGTAGTATATAGATGACCAGGCTAGACAGAGTATTTCGGATCGGAGCCGATGTCGCTAGCGAAGCGATTTTCGCAAAGTACGGAGATTGGTCGGCCCTTGTAACTTTTGATGCTTCGTATACCTTTGATACATGAAAGAATTAAATTTTTGGAGAGGGAAGATGATTAGCAAGGATTTGCTCTTCTCAGGAAGGGAATTAAGTATAAAAGTCCCTGTATCACTGGGTGGCCTTGTCTTCTAACGCCATCAATATACAACACATATGAATTATCAGTTTAACTATGACTGGTCAGAAGCGTCCGGATTTCCACTCTCTGCCTCTCGGCCCATCGGATCCCCCTTTCTCAGCTTGGGGACTCTACGGAACCGACGATGAACTAGGGACGTTGAACCTCCTTACAAAGGAGGTTGTTTTGGCGGCCAAGACTGAGATCACTACCGGTAAAGCAATCAGTTTGAAGTAAGTAGTTGCTGAGGTAATGTCAATATCTACACAGGCTGAAAACATCCTAGTCATCCGATCAACGTCCCGCTCCTGCCAATGAATCCAGAAAGGAAGCCGTGCAGTCATCGGTTTAACGTTAAGTCACTCAGTAACGACGACGAGTTGGACATCAACACGCAAAGTTCTAGTCATTGGGATGGTTTAAGGCATGTTGGGTATCGAGAGGGCCGACTATTCTACAATGGAGCAACTCAAGAGGATATCAGTGGACCAAATGCCAACGAGCGATGTGGAGTGCAAAGTGGGTATATCTATGATCCCATCTCCAAATGAACTGATATAAAACATGGACGGGATGACAGATCTCGCGAGAAAGACAATTGTCGGCCGTGGTGTTCTGCTAGACTACCGCTCGTGGGCTACCGAGCAAGGCATCAACTACGATGCCCTCGAAACGCACCGGATCACACTCGATGATCTCTTGAAATGCTCTGAGTCCCAGGGAACTGAGTTCCATCAAGGAGATATCCTTATTATCCGCTCGGGCTGGACGGAGGAATACAACAAGCGAAGCGATACCGAGAAGCGTGCCCTCGCCGCTCGTGCCTCTCGGACGTTTGTCGGTGTCGAAAATTCTCTGGCAATGGCTGATTGGCATTGGAAGACCGGATTTTCTGCGGTTGCAGGCGATACGAATGCCTATGAGGCGTGGCCCCCTGCCCTGTCCACGAGTGGCTCGACATTGCCATACTCTCTCCACGAAGTGTTCTTGGCAGGTTGGGGAATGCCAATTGGAGAGGTCTGGAACTTGGAAGACCTGTCTAGCGAATGTAGAAGGCTAAAGAAATGGTCTTTTTTCCTTGTTAGTCAGCCTCTGGATATTCCCGGAGGTGTGGCAAGCCCTTGTAATGCTACAGCTATATTGTGAAAAATGAGAAACGGAAGGATACACTCTGTGGTTATTGGTTTCTGCATGAATGAAGTTTATCGCGTATTTGTTTTCTACTGGCTTTCAATACACCGCAAATTTGTTTACCCAATGATATTCCTAGATGTGATGGGAATTTCCCCGAAATGGAATAAGCGAAATTCGCTTCGGCTTCGGAGCGACATCACTTGCGAAAGCCTATTCTTTCCATCCTTCCTTTCCAATCTTGGCAACCATATCAAAATACGCGGGGTCTCCACCTAATCAGATACTTTAAATGCTTAGAGCAAACGGTACAAAAGCAGCACATTCGTCGTTTCACGGCTCTCTCCAAAAAAGATCTTAATTCTAATTCTTCTGTTGTCTAAGCCAGAAGGTCAGTTATACCATGGAAATTTCAGCCAAGGAGCATACCAGCCATGAAGAGGATGTTGCACGTAAGCCCAATGGGCTTTTAATGCATGAGCAAGTGCAGCTTTCCGAAGATGAGATGAGAGCGGAGCGTCGTTTGGTGTGGAAGGCTGACCTTCTAATTCTCCCTCTTCTGTCGTTGATGTATTTCCTCGCTTCTATGGTAAGCTTTTTCTTTCCACAGTATTTCGCCCCTTTAGAAAATACAGTTACTGATTCAACACGAGGAATGATAGGACCGAGGGGATGTCGGCAACGCAGCAGTAGCGGGCATGAACGCGGAGCTTGCAATGACAGGTTCTCAATACAGTCAATGCGTAGCCTTCTTTTACATTGGCTTCGTCGCCCTCCAACCTCTAGGACAGCTTCTCGTGCGGAAAATTGAACCGCCATTTCAGTTGGGAGTGGCGATGATTGGATGGGGACTTTGCACAGCGCTGTGAGTGTGAATTTGTTTTGGCACGCTTGTCAAACCCCAACCTTAACAGTGAGTGCGATGCAGATTATGTCTTTCTCAAAACTGGCAAACAATTGCAGGCCTTCGTATTATTGTCGGTTGCTTTGAGGCTTTTCTCCAGGCAGGGCCATTGTATTTGACCTTCTGGTACAAGCGGGAAGAATTGGCCACCCGGCGGGCCATATTCTTTTCGATGATGGCAGTAGCCGGCAGTATGAATGGAATAATCGCCTACGGAATCCAATTCCACCTTAACCATCTTAATGGCTGGTTGGCATGGCGATGGATATTTCTTATTGAAGGTAAGACCTAGAAAGCAGAACCCTCACATAGCTGACCATTTGGCTCCATTCTTTAGGAGTGATGTCTGTTGGATCAGGATTTTTCGTGATGTTATTGCTCCCTCCTGTCCCAGAAAGAATTCGATGGCTTTTCACCGAAGAAGAGAAACAGATAGCGGTTCGACGATCTAAACAAGCTTTCAATACTCCCCACACGGGATTCAAATTTGGCCTACTCAAGGCTGTCGTGACCGATCGCAAGATCTGGTTTTACTGTAAGAAGTGATCTCCAGTCATTTATACCTGCTCATCCTCTGGCCAGGCTTTTTTTATTGCATGATGAACGTCAGTCTGTCAGCCTTCAGCAGCTTCCTACCTCTCATTGTCAAAACATTCGGGTATACCACTTTCACCACACAACTTCTGACTGTCCCCGTGTATGTCGCCACAGCGATATCCACCATTGCCTTTGCATATGCCTCAGACAAGCTGAGAAAGCGGGGAGTTTTTCTTGCTGTTTCGTTTTCCATTGCAAGCCTAGGATGGCTACTGTTGTTTGTGAGCAAGTCACAGGGGCTTTCTTTGGCCGCTTGTTTCTTAACTGGTATGGGAACATATCCTACCGTAGTTCTCATTCAATCGTGGCAGGCGTCCAATGTAATCGGATATACGAAAAGGTATGTAGGCAGGATATATAGCATCTGGTTTAGGTATACTAACAGTATGATGATGATGGTGAAACAGAGCCGGCGCACTTGCCTTTCTTATGGTCTTCGGACAAGCGTTCGCTGTCTTGGAGGTGGAAATCTTCGGTGATCCGCCCAACTACTATCCAGGCAAAGGTTTCGCTTTGGCAGGTACCGCTGCAGCAGCTCTGGTCACTCCTCTCTTTCAAGTGTATTTGAAGCGGAAAAATGCTGAAAAATTATCGAATCAGGATACGGAAGAAGCAGCTGCCAAACGGGGTCTTGGGATTGAGGAGATTGGCGATGATCACCCGGATTTTATGTACTGGCTGTAGCAGCAGGTACAATTGCCGGTGAGACCTAAGAAAGTAGTCCTTGGTCAATTACATCCTAGGCCAACCAATGGATTTTACCTCATCCGGGTGCAATACATAGTTGGTATAATTATGCGCTCTTGGTGAAGAATAGTAGATATGTTTATTCCTGGCCGTATTGTCTGGCAATAATCCCCCGCCCAACAATGTGAATCGACTGAAACCATCCAAATACCGTCTTACGGATTTGGCGTACCCGAAGGGTCCAGGCACGTATGGCGGGTACATAATGGAGCGGGCAAGATGCACAGTGACATGGCAGGTCGGAACTGACGATAGTCTACTAACCGTGTGGTCTACGGGGGTTAAAGAAGTGAATTTGCCTGATCTGTGCCACTTTTTATCATCATCATCATCATCATCATCATTATTATTATTCCTGAGGCTTTTCACAACCTTACGTCGTATGCAGCTCCCCTAGCCAGTGTATCCTAGACGACCATAACATCCTAGACGACAAGAGTGCTCCAAGACGACAAGAGTGTTCCAGGCGACAAAAGGGAAGCACACGGTACTCAACTCAATTCGTTCCAGTCAGAGGCAGAGATAGGAGTTCGACGTTGCGCGATCTCAGAATATTCAGGCTCACTGGTATCCTGTTGACTGTCTCAAACGATCGTTAGCCGTTCTCCCCTGATGGTGTGGTTGCGATAGCGTCATGTTCTGAAAAACTCTACACGCGACGTACCAGGTCACATGATTGCAGAAGGCGTAACTGCTATAAGTAGCCGGGTGTTCGGCTCCGACGTTGCCATTACTTACCCACCTACGACAGTCTCTTCTCTAGATCTATATGGTCAACATTTTGCATTTTATCTGTTCTGATTTGGCAAGTACCTCACAGGCATCTGAATCAATCTCCTGAAAATGCCTCGCAATAGTAGGAACCGGATGGCGTGCATGCATTGCAGACAGATGAAAGTAAGATAATCATTATTATCAACGACTAGATCCCATTGCTGAATTAGCGTTCAGCTCAAATGCGATGGAAATGAGAAATTTCCTGGGCCCTGCTCTCGCTGCGAAAAATTCCGGAAAACATGTGCGGTTGATCCGTCGTTTCGGAGAACGGCACGCAGACAGTGAGTAGCGTTTGATCCTAAACACTGAGCGGTACATCGATTGTGACTGTACATGAACAAGACGCCTAGACAACCTTGAACAAGAAATCCGTCAAATTCGAGAGACTATGACATCAGATCGGGAAGGGTCGCCAACGTCGTCCATCGCAAATGCAGAACCGCCAGCAGACAGGGCGCGAGACGAAGGCGAGAATCTTCCTAACGCAGAGTCTCTCAGGTCGAGCTTATTATATGCTGGGATCCTCAGCAACAACCAAGTGTTGGAAGGGGTTGAAGTCAGCCCACCTCTATTTTGCGATCTTTTCGTAGAGTATTCTACCAACCCGCAGAGCTATCAAATAAACGTATGCTGACCTCACTGTTGCGCAGATTCTACCACCAGTACCATCCGAGGTTTCCACTACTGCCAGATCTGATGGCGACTATTCATAACTGCACATCATGCCCATTACTCTTCTGGGCCGTCGTTGCTATTGCCTCAGGCAGTTCTGAGGGGCATCAAGATCTGCACCTTCAGCTCATCGGACCTGTCCGACGGCTAGCTGGTATCGAAATCACCAAACCACAGGCTTCATCATTATCTTTGATTCACGCTTTGCTCATTTTATGTTGCTGGCCCCAGCCGTTTTGTGCAATGGCGACCGATCCGTCCTGGATATACTGTGGGAGTGCCACTCACACAGCTTTGAAGATGGGTCTTCATCGCCCTGGAAATCTCGCAGGATCCATTTACGGTACTCATCTCAGCGAAGAACAAATATTAATGCGCAAAAAGACCTGGGTTGCGTGTTTCATCATCAATCAAAAGTAAGGCTCGCTTCTTATCTGCGAATCATTAGAAATCTTCTGAAACTGAAGCTCTTTTAGTCTCAGTTGTCATCTGGGGATACCATCCACTCTAAAGCTAGACCACACCATTCTCCATTCTTTGGGGGCATCGTCCACCTCTCTCCCAGCGTCAATCAGAGACTTGCTACAGGTTGCCTACAGATCCTTCTCTTTCTCCGGAATACTAGGCCATTATGAAGGTGCTTCAGATGGACTTCTTCCAGACCCAATGCCTATAATTGAGTCATTTGAAGCCGACCTGAACTCTCTGGAAACTACAAAGTGGGAGTCGTGGGACTTGACTACCAAAATGTCTTTTTTGGGCACCAAATTGCACCTCTACGCGTACAACTTGACGGCCAAGAATCATACTTTTTCATCTCCGCCATTGCCTGATCGACGATCCCATTTTTACTTCTCGGAAGCCTACAAAACATCCATCCGTCTGATCCAGACCTGGTGTGCTGCCCTGTCACCAGCAAAATCAACGCCAGTTCCAGCAAATTTGGCCCCAGAACCGTCATTTTCTAAGCTCTCCCGGTGCTGGACCATCTTCGAAAAGCTCTCATTGACCTACGCAGTCTTTTCTCTCTTGAAATTTACCAAGCTGTCTCCAAACACTCATTCTCATGATCTCAACACGGATAATGCGATTAGGCAGGCATTGACCTTTCTTAAGTCGTGTTCCGTTTTTAAAGACGATCATTTTTCACGCGTCTGTGACATTGTTGAATACATCTGCCATCTCGATGGCAGCAGCAGCAACCATAATGGTTCTCTTTCGAGCTTGTTATCGTCGAAAACCCCAGACGTCCGATCTCACATGAGTTCCAATGTTCTGTTAAATGTTGTTCTTCTTGCAAAGGAAAGATTTGAGAGGGGTAGCGAATATGCTTACGGCAATTCTACCTCACCCTCGCAAAAGGGAAGTGGAGATAGAGGGAACGGCCCACAGCTCAGTCCAAGTCTCTTAGCCTATCCGTTTCCTCTTGATCTTCTTCCGGATAACTCGCCCTGGAGTGCCGATGACTTCGATTTTATTGACCTACTCGGGGGGGATACCATTGTATGAATTACTAGGTTGCAGTAACTATGTATGTATCTTGATAATTCAATAAATTGGATAGGAACATCTATTATCCTCATATCAAAACACCTAACTTATATAATATCAGTTTTAATACGCATGGAGAATATGGCAGCCAGTTATCAGTCTGTGTCAAGCACAGGAAAAATAGATGACATATCAAAGTGAAGTGGCCGCTGAATAAAACGGGAAAAAAATGTTTTATCTGCCAGGTTTTGAACCTTGATGAGCGTAACCAGGTTAGGGGAAGTCAACTTAGGATGGCCGGCTGAGGTAGCTAACAGGTGGTTTCTTAGTATTCTAAAACTATCCTGGTACATAAGGTGTCGCGCCTCATCGTTACGCGTTTTTCCTCTATAGCCAGGACCCTGATTCAACAATCCCGCCGAATATGATCGAGAAGCCGATTAGCATGAAGCAGCGGGTACGGTTTGATGTTGATCGATCAAGCGAATGCCATGGTCAATCGGCTCAACATCCAAGGCATCGAGCGCTCCCTTGATATAGCATGCATCACCTGAGTCGCACTTAGTAAAGTGAAGATCTGCTCTGATTTCCGTACTACATAATTCCTCGGAATATACGATAATAACCTGTGATTATGACTCGTTCCCTTTACAAAGCAGGAGTATACAGTACACAGCTCCTCTAACATTTGCCCTCAAAGCGCAAAGAGAGGAGTAAGTCTACAGGATATGTGAGACACTCATGCACTTAGCCTAGCTCTTCACGATCAACACATGCATGGAGAAAGGACCTAAAACTATGCCAACCCGAGGAATATGTTCTAACCCTCCCAAGCCAGGCCACGACCGTAAATGTAGTGCCATGCTGCATGTCCAGTGAGCATGTGCGGTGAAAGTTGGCAAATATTGTGTAAAGACAAAATACTTACAGTACTTTAAGTATTTTTCGCCCAATATCGTGCAGCATTTTCCACTACCTTCTGTTCCCACCCTCCAGTCACTACTGGGCCTATAACCTCCACGGCCGTTTGCCCCGCAGCGAAAACTTGCCGACATGGCAGATCGAGGGTCAGGTTCTCCAAGTTGCCAGGTCCTGTGAGTTTATGCAATGCTTTTTCCGAGGCCAGGTAAACCAATCGTCCGATATTGGCCCAGTAGATGGTTCCAGCACACATGGCACATGGTTCCCACGTTGAGATCATTGTACATTTGGCCAGGTAGTCCCAAGAATAATTATCTGCGGCATTGCGAGCCAGTTCGCATTCAGCATGTCGAACATGTGATAGCGATAGAGACGTCATCAACACAGTTTCATTGTCGGGACCCAACAAGAGGGCTGCGAACGGTCGTTTCGAATGGGTTTCCTGCCCTGATTGTTGGAGGGCGAGACACCGGGCTGCTCCAGAAGCGAGCTGCTCCGCTGTTAAGCTTGACATGGCCAGACTGTCGGAGGTATTGGCAAACGCCGTCATGATGAGAATGAATACTAGGACATGAGAGGATCGCCTCTGCAGTTGCAATGGAATGGAGTGTGTGAAGGGGGAAAATATCGATGTGGTAGGCACCATTCCCATCACCTTGCTATGAGACTGCTTTTCCTATTGTCTATGAGTTGGCCTCCCATTAGACTAACAACAGCGGCGTTCGCCGATACAACAAGAAAGATAGGCCTTCTCCGGCTTGCCCAGAGCAGCAGGAAGGCGGGGGTGGAGCGGGTAGATAAGCTGGAAACCCCTGAGTGGGAAAATCACCGACGCACAGCTAGTGTGTACGCTTATTGGCTCCAAGGGGGAGTTCCTTTCAACATCTGCCCAATCGGCGTTCAGGAGTAATTTAATTGTATCGGAAGGTTTGCTTGATAAGATGCAACAATTTTGATAGCCCTGATAAGATTACACCGACTTATCTTGTCAGCCAAAGCCATCAGACTTGCGTATAGTCATCTCTTAGTACAAAGCAATGTTTCTCATATATCATGCCTATAATGTATCCTACAGAAGAGTTCCTTGACAATTTGCAGTCTTATGCTGTTCATTTTGCACCTTTACCTCGGCTACTATGAGATTACAGTTTCGCTGGCCCGGGTTGCGGGTACCGCAGACTCAGTCCAGCTTTATACGTGGTGATGGGAGATGGACGAGCAAAGATCTCGATCCCGTGCCTTCTGATATGCGAAAATGGACAGTTCTCAGCTTTATTGGTTACTGGGTTTCAGACAGCTTCTCCGTTGCGAACTGGCAAATGGCAAGCGGCATCATAGCTATCGGGCTCTCCTGGAAAGAGTCTCTGGGGATGGTTGCCCTGGGCTTTTTCATCCTCTCAATTGTGATATCCATGAATGGAGCTATTGGCTCCATCTACCATGTCTCTTTCCCCGTCATCGCACGTGCCAGCTGGGGCTTCTGGGGGTCTTATATTCCTGTCATTTCAAGGTTGATTCTTGCCGTATTTTGGTTTGCAACTCAAGTGGTGAATGGAGGGAATTCCGTTGCTGTCATGATAGGAGCTATCTGGCCGAGCTTTTTGGAAATCCCGAATACGCTCCCAGAGCATGAGGGCATCACGACCCAAGGCATGGTGGGATTTCTAATCTTTTGGCTGCTTCAAATACCCTTTCTACTCATCCACCCCAACAAGCTGCGCTGGCTGTTCCTTGTGAAATCGATTATTGTTCCCACTGCATGGGTTGCCATGCTAATTTGGGCCTTTGTCAGCACTTCAAACGGAGGCCGCATCTTTTCCCAGAAGAGTCGGCTGACAGGATCGTCATATGGCTGGGCCATGATGTCCTCTCTCACCTCAGTCATTGGGAATTACGCAACTCTTAGCGTCAACCAAGCCGATTTTTCAAGATATTCTCGCGTCAGCCCTCGGTGGCATATATTATACGTCGTCCTCCTCCCAGCATTCTTCACCTTCATAGCTTTCATTGGCGTCGCCGTTTCCTCTGCCGGGCAGGCAAAGTACCATACTGAGTCCATCCCGTGGGATCCCAACGTCCTTATCTCACTCTGGAGCAATCGGTCATGCCGATTCTTTGGGGCCTTTTCTTTTGCTCTTGCCGCACTTGGGTCTAATATCTCTGCGAACTCGCTGGCAGCAGCGAACGACTTCACCGCGCTTGCACCCCTATTCCTCAATATTCGACGCGGTCAGGTACTTTGTGCTCTACTCGCCTGGGCATTAGTTCCCTGGAAGATTCTTGCCTCAGCTGGCAATTTCCTCAACTTCATGTCCGCTTACGCTATTTTCCTCGGACCCATCGCTGCCATTATGCTATGTGATTACTGGATCGTTAAGCACCGGAGATACGACTGCGTCGCTTTGTATCAGCCAATGGGTATTTATCGATACTTTCACGGGTTCAACTGCCGTGCTCTGGTAGCTTTTGTAATAGGCATAGCACCCAGTCTCCCAGGCCTGACGCATTCGGTCAATTCAAATATTGTCATTGGCGTCGGTGTTTATCCGTATAATTTTGGTTGGCTTCTAGGATTTGCTGGAAGTACATTAATTTTCCTTGGACTGAATTTCTGGTTTCCTTACGCGAAGGCCGAGATCGCTATGGCTGTTCTTCCAGATGACATTCTTGAAGGAAATGTGCTAGATGAAGGAATTATAGTGCTTGAGAGTGAAGTGAGTCAAAGACCGGGAAGTCCGTCGGGTGAGGATCTCAAAAAGGACACGGAAATCAAGGAAGTATAGCTATCGAGTAAGCGAATCAGATTATTGAAATCAATTCACCCTTTCCGTGGATATCGACATTTTCCGCTGTTTCACCGACAACGGGCGAGTTTTCATCAATAGCAAATTGAAAAAGTCTACTATGCATCTGTTCTTGTAGCTGTGACACGCATTTATTATTATGGAGACGATATCATACCTCAATCCAGTTGGCCTTTAGAAGGTGAGGCCGAGGTACTCTTTAGTAGAAAATCCGAGTATGAGACCTGCTCCTTTAGTAGAACCAACTCGACCCCGTCGCTGGTGTGCCTCGCTTTGCTGTTCTCGGGGTCGATTTCTGCCACAAGTGCAGCGAGACCTTATATGTCTCGCAATTTTCGGGCTCGCCGGTAAAAATAAAAGCTTCATTTTTGATGATTTTGAGGTCGGCCTTAGGGACCTTCGGAGTTTCGAGAGTTGAGTAAATGTAGTCTTGGTTACCGCCGTTGAACCTGCGCGGTGATTTGCGGTCACTTTAGGTGCCCCGGTTGAATATGCGACAGGGCTGATGCATGACAGATGAGCTGGCTCATTGTCGATCGCAAGAATCCTTGTGTCTCACTCATTTCCAGATGGGTGATCTGATCGACAGTCCCAGCTGGTACCGATTACCAAAAAAGTCTTAGCTATAGAGCCAAGCGTACGATTAACTTTTAAAAATTAAGCCATAAGATAGGCTCAAGAACTTAGTGCTAACAAAGGAGGGGGTATGGAGTAATCATGCAACTAATCACAGCCGATTCTAAATAATTCGCAATCCACACGCTAAAGGTTACTTGCCCCAATGCGCGCGCCACCTATTCCCACATCCCCCTTTTTGTCCAGTACCCACTCTGAGCTGAGCTGGCAGCCCAATTTTTGCAATTTTCAGTTTGGAGGATCAATAACAAGGGAACTGTGAGTGTAGATTGTACTTCATTTGCGAAAGTTTTGCTTCAAGATTGCGTTTAGTACATATTTTTACCGACATTTACAAGGACATCTCCAAGCGATTTGGACATCCGTAGGGTCGTTGGACGCAACCTAGGTTCGGTAAAAGACTTCACCGCGCAACACCGCTACTGCGATCCAATCATAACAATGATAGACTTCCCATGCCCCCTCTTCTCGCGCTACCTAAGGACTAACAAGCCGTCAGGCGGCCAGCCCTGTAGTCTTGCGCTAGGGTTAAGAGTCGGAACTTTTAGAAAAAAGGACAATCCCCTAAATGTCCTCTGTCGCTCTTCATTCTCATGACCCGATGAGCCTTCACGGTATCCTCCGTACGGCCGTGGCCCTGGCCGTGGCCTCAATGATACCGATGGTGGCGGGCACAACGGCCCAGTCAACTGAGGTGGACATAATCTTCCCGGCCCTGATTAGCATGAACTTGGACTACGTGGAAGGTAGTGTCGTGAGTGCCGGCGCCTCAGCCACCACAATCGAGATTGACTGCCGGTCCAGCGCGACCAACCAATGTCTCTCTTCCGGTTATATCTTGCCCCAGACCCTCACGACCGGTCCGTCCTTCCAGGACTTTCATTACGACATCACCAGCTATTACAACAGCACTATCTATATCGTTACTGGGACTTTGGACTGCAACCTCACCTCGTCTACGCTAGGCGCCTCCTGCTACGCCTCGACGAGCACGTGGATATCCAGTGGCCTGAATGCCACCTCCTCGGCGTGGTCCACGAGCATCTCCATATCTTCGTTCAACTTGAAGTATAACACCTTGACCGTGGCATCGGGCTTGGGGAAGCTTCCCACCGTGACCGCCGCGACCAACGCGTCCCCCCGTCAGACTGTGACATCAACGTCTACGCCAACGACAACAACAAACGCCGCAACGACCTCAAAACATCGCTCGTCCTCGAAAGCCTGGATCGCGGGCCCGGTGGTTGGTGTGGTGGTTGGTTTGGCTCTGCTTGCGGCGGCGGCATTTTGGTATATTAGTCGCAGGCGTAAGAGAAATGCAGATCCCATGGGCGGAAATCCATCAGAGGGGATATCAGAGGTCTCAGAGCACCAGGCACATCTACCTGTGCAGAACTCTCGGGCCGGAGAACTTCCAGCCCAGATTGCGTCGACAGAGTTGTCAGTGAAAGATTCCCAGGCGGGAGAACTTTCAGCTAAGAGTGCGCGGTCAGAATTATCAGCTCAATACAATCCCCACGAGCTGCCGTGAGAGATCAGTGGTGCCATATATGGAGTGTACGCATACTTTTACGCATTTGTGCAATGTCACCAATGTGCTGTGTTATGAACACCACATTAGACATCGTTCTGAAGATGATGTGGAAAGGAAAATTGTAGAACCGGATATCAGAACTTATCAATATGATCATCTCCATGATGGTCCTCAATACGAATGCCTGGTGTCATACTCAAACTGATCAATATATTACCACGACGACAGATCTTCATTCAGCAATTGCTTCGGCATGTCCGTCGATTCTAAACATTCTCGGTAGCACGCTTCAAGGTCTCCATGATCAGGATATTTTCATTCTGAATGGTGACTCCATTGCCGGTTGTCGACAGCGACGGATGGCATTGAATGGTTGCGCGAGGCTCGTGGCCTTCGATGTCGCAACGTAGTCATCCCACACTTCTAGCGTCCATTGGCTTGGTGCGACGTATACAAATGGCGTCTAAGGTAGCCATTTTCGGCGCCCGATTTACTTTCAATTAGCGTTGAGCGTAGGATTTTACTCCCGCGATGTTAATACAAATATAGAGGCACGAAGTTAATTTCGTACTTGAAGTGTTGGAGTTTGAGGTCGTTGGTTAACGAATTGCATCAAACAGAGGCTAGGATTCGACGAAAGAAGATAGACTCTTTCAGTTTTGAGAGATGAGTTCTGAGGTGTCCTTGTATTTGATGTAATTTTCTAGCTCGACAGGTAGTTGTACAACCATGAAAGAAACAAGAACCCCATTCTAGGCAAAGAAACCACAACAAAAGAAAAGAAAGCACATAGTACACAGTACATCCCTAGCCTATCCTATATGTATAACAACATGCTCAAATCCTACCACCCCTGCATCTGCATGCGCTGAATCTTCTTAACAGTCTCCTGAAACGAAAACTTGAAAAGCTTCCGCCACCGCTGCCTCCGCAACTCCTTTTTCATCTGTCCCCTCCGCACATGGAACTTCTGCCGTGTAGCCTGCTGCTTCACCTGATTGGACTTGCAAGTCGAGCCCAGGATCCGAATAGCAGCCGCTAGGTCGCGGCCGCGCTCAGGCTCGACGTGTACCTGGCGACCCAGCGTGGGGCCCAGCTTCAGGTCAACCTTCCGAGGCATAACCATGTCCTGATGAGAGGGATTGAACAACCGCTGGCTTGCGTGGCCGCTTGTGTTGGTCTTGGTCGCGGATGTCGACTTGGGGAAGACCGAGCGGAGGTTGGCGACTGGGTTGAGTCTGCGCTTGGGCGCTTGGCCGGAGAGGTTCAGACCGCTGAGGATGTTGTCGAAGTCGTCGGATAGCTTGACTGGATTTCCTTCTGCGGTTGAGGGAGGTTGGCTGGTGCCTTGGTCGGCGGGAGGTTCCGATGTCTGTGTTGTGGATGTTGTCGGGGTCGGGGTTGCGGTGTTGTCTTTCGGGGAAAAGGCAGACTTCTTTGGTGGTGGCGGCATGGAGGATGAGGAGGTCGTGGAATTGAATCGGCCTGCACAGGCTGTCGGGCCGTGGATGAAATACTGTGGCAGGTTGCCTTGTTGTCTGGAAGTGAGCAGCCATGGGCTCGGTCTGGCGCGAAGGCTGCGAGCCAAGGCGCGGGCCTCCATTTCTTTTCTTCTGATTCGACAGATGTACCGGAATGTGGGAGTGCTTGTTCGAGGTACGCAAATCTGTAATTTGCAACAGCAATTGGAAGGTGGCCAGGCGCGGGTCGAGGGCAATGGAGAGAGCGGAAGGCAGCGCGGAAAATCAATCAAAGAAGCGTGGCACGTGACACTCTGCTCACCGGGAGCATTTGGGCCCAACTATAACCAACCTTGAACCCAATCGCACCTACTTTCCACAATCTCTCTGCAAATATGTCCTCCATAACAATCGGAACCCTCCCTCGAATGAATCGCGATTCTCTCTCTGCGCTCCTCCTCTCAACCAGCACGCCCACCAAACTAGCCATCATCGACGTCCGGGACTCAGGTACTACATACAACACTCACATCCACCAAATTCTATGCTGATGCAAGAAAACCTACCCTTACAGACCATATCGGCGGCCACATCCACACCTCAACATGGGTCCCCAGCTCGAGCCTCGACACTCGCATGCCCGAGCTCGTGCGCACCCTGAAAGACAAAGAGAAGGTCGTATTCCACTGCGCGCTCAGCCAACAGCGCGGGCCGTCAGCGGCGCTGCGATATGCGCGGGAGCGAGAACGGGTCTACGGGTCTGAGGAGAGCCATAAGCAGCAGGTTTATGTGCTCGAGGGCGGGTTTGTACAGTGGCAGGAGAAGTATGGGAATGATGAGCGGTTGACGGAGGCTTATGTGGAGGATATTTGGAGGGAGTATTGATAATTTGGAACCCTCATCGCGGACGCTTGGTTTTGCTGAGTTAGGTCACAACTGTGTGTGGCTGGAGACATGATATGATACCATTTTTTTATGAAATGATGCAGGTTAGAAATAATAACTGGACGATACCACCTTGATACAGACGCATTGAACTACTTTTATCGATCTTAGGTTCCGCACTAGGAAAAAAAGAGGACTAAGAAACGAACTGTATGGCAGTAAATCAAGGAACGCTCCAAGTACACAGAAATAATTCCCACATTATCTCCTTGCGAGCTACCACTAGTAAGGTAATTACATCGACGTGCCTTACTACCTATCCTTCGATACTTTCAAGAGCGGCCGTTGTTCCAGTGATGAGGAGTTCGAGACCCGACTCGAACAGAATATGTTCCTAGGTTATGCTGCTCGACCTTGGCGACAACATGCACAGAAAGTACAATAGCATGTGTTCGAGGCAGCGTCCGTATTCCTAGTATCAGACAACAATGCAAGTGCGCTGGTTGGAAGGATATATACCCATGGCCTTTGGTGGTTAGGATACATTTAGCAAAGGGTGTTAGACGGTATGTACAGTACATCTTTCGCAACAGGAACAGAGGCACTTGGACGGTTCGCCGATTGGAATTTTGAGTCCTACGGACAAATCCATCTAGCAGAAACCATTACAGCCACTCAGGAGAGGGTAAATACCGAGTATGTTCCCTCTGATGCCATCCCAGCTTACCGAGCAGGCGGCCTTTCGCTCCATTCTTTAAATCGTCAAACACATCATCCAGGCCCTCCCACAAGTTCGAGTCAACCACGAGCATCACCTTCACAAATAAAGAATTGTCGCTAACCAAACTCACCAACTGCTTCAGCAAATGGTGTTTCAGACCTTTCGAGCCATCACAGAGATCCACCCTGTCGAGTATGATGTACAGCGGCTTCTGAGGGTCGACAGTAGCGTTCGCGAGACATTCGCGCAGCGTTTGAACCATCATGCTCAGCTTCTTCCGATCGTAGCTCTCTTCCTGCCACTCGCGTACCAGAGATCGGAGATGTTGGTTGTCGTGCCGAAGCACCTCCGGTCTGTGGGTTAGCGCCTGGTATGTCAGCGTCGAGAGTGGCGCCTGCCATGGGACAAAGTCGTCGGCACGGAGATTGGGATGGCATGAATAGAACAGCGTGAAGCTATCGTCTGCGCGTAAATTTTCAGCCACAAGGACACAAGCCATAGACAGCCAGGAGCAAGTGTTGTGCCCATCGCGGGACTCGGGTTTTGTCCTGCCGCTTATCAGGAAGAGGGCAGAGTGAGAGGTGCTCATCCATTGATTGTACACATCGTCCTCTTCAAGAAGATTGAGGGTCATCCGTGTGAATGAGTTGGCAAGTCTGGGAGTGAGGTCTCCTTTCTGAAAAGCCTTCTCCAAGGTCCTTTGGCAGAAAAGAACGTCGACCTCTGGAGAAAGGTCTATGCTCGGCACGCCCAGGAGCCTCCTGAAGCGCTCAAGATTCTCCCAGTCTTCTTCTCTCTGCTTATTCGATGCTTTTTGGTAGAGTGCTGGGTTTTCATGTTACTAATCATAGCGTTGTAGAGGGCTTTGTTGCATACTCTGAACTTCTTTCCTCAGCTCATCGTTTCTGTACTGCAACTGCTCGATTTGCCGTTTTAGTTCTTCATTGCCTTGCTTTAACTCTTCGTTGCCTCTCAGTAATTCATCGTTTCGGTCGCTTATTGACCTGACTGATTTGTGAAGTAGAATCCTACTTTCGAAGTTCACCTCCGCGAGCGACTGTTGTATAGCTGCAATGGCAGCATCCAGTTCCGCCTTTGAGGACTTGACGGACATTACAAACCGAACTAAACATTCACAGCAAGTCAGCCTGAAGAGGACTAAAATCAGGATGAAACAACGACCTCACCGGATGAGCTTGTATAGTACGTAACCGAACTTTGTGCGAACATTATTCCGCCTTTATAGACCTCAGCAACGCATGCTTCCAGCCTTGGTTCCGGGTAGATATCAGTCAAATCGTTAAGCCGTGGATACCACCTGCAGAGGTCATCCAGAGCGCTTGCAATCTTGTCCTCATTTGCGGATTTGTTTACGGCAACCTAACTAGTGAGCATTTGCAGAAAACTGTGAGGATGGCAAGGGATCATACAATTAGAAGCAGAGAAAGAGCACCGTATGCTACCTGTCCATACGGTTGGCCCGCCTGTTTGACCACTTCTACGATCCCCGAATACGCCGCAAGGTAGTTGGAAAAGCTAGTGAGAAACTTCTGGAGACCACTCCCGAAGTTTTTTGCGCCCTTGGACCGCTCTTCCAGATAGGAAACTCTCGCAGATTTCGAGTCCCGCAGGTTGCTGTCGCCGAGCTCTTTCAGCTCACGGGAGTCCAATTCCCGGAGTTGCTGTTCGATTTCTTCTTTGGAGTGCTTAACTTGGCCGTCGACATTCCTTCGGCCTACGATGCTGCGAACCCTCTCCTTGAAACTTTCATACTGAGAGCTCACGTCTTGGTGTGATCTCAGAAGCTTGCTATGAGAAGGGAATAAGTACTCTTAGTCTCAAGTTTTTGTGTTTCCACATAGCAATCTTTGACTTTCAAGATACTGAAACCAACAGCACCCGGCCACTCACTCATTGTTTGCTTTCCCTCTTTGAAACCATTTTGGCTCCGTGACTGAATTGTCCAACGCCATCATCTCCAACCGGATTTCGGAGAACTGCGGCTGAACCGGAATTTCTGGCCACCCTTTTCTTTTTAAAAAGAGGGCGGGCTCCTCTGTCGCCTAGTATCGAGCACCTGGCTAGCGGTTGTCCGTCAAGAATTCCTCGGAATTAGTAGGTTATCTATCTGCTCCGTCTACCGACAACACTCTGGTAGATCGGCAAGCCTGACTTCTAAACTAAGCACTACTGCGCCGCCCCAAGTCTGGACCTCCCACGTAAGATTCAAGCTAGTATTACACAGGGACGGCCCGTCGGGCGTCGGGGCTCCACCCTCTCTTGATCCGCACTTGACGGCTTCATTCAGAAGCGCTCATTGTTCGCTAGGATGTTCTAACGGGCTTCGGTGTCCTCCGGAGCTAAAAGCTGAATCGGGTAATCGCCTGTTGGATGTGGTTTGAGATGCGCGGGGTTTTCTTACGGCCATGTCATGACTCATGCCGATATGTACATGTGCATACGGATGACGATGGATTTCATTTTTCGCAAAAACTAACTATTTGCTGCCCGATGATTAGGCCCAGTTGAGCAGAGCCCAATCACGTTCGGCGTTCAGCCCCACAGACATGGCTGACAATAGCCGTGGCTCTCTAGCCTGTCAATGCTACTGTCAAAAGCGACAGTCTACACCCACACAGGCTAATGGCGGTCTTGGTGGTGGCAGTGCAGGGGGCCAATGTTCATCGGCATGAACACACCGTGATGATTAAATTACCATGGTTAACTAAAGTAAGTTAGTTAACCTAACTAACTAGTTTACTAACCGGTCTCTGCATATCTAGCGCGCAGCGCGGGTCCGTAATATCGGTAAGATATGCAAGAACCGGTGATTCCCTTTTATGTACTGAGATGGGGGAGAGCCCTTGTCAGGCTGTGGGCTTCTGCTTTATTTTGCTCCATTACCTCCTTGTCTATTACATACTTTGCTCAGAGTTTCCGGTAAACTCCGTAAGTGCTTTTTGCTTTCCTCGTCAGGCTTTAACTACCTGCCTGCGACTGAGCACAATTAAGGGGCAATGGCACAAGAACAACCTACCGGAGATGCTGGCGTGTGTATACTCATCCTGAAGATGACTGGGCCTACTGACTGCTTGTTCAGGCTCCGTCCGATGATGGAATTGGTGATATAATAAAACAGAAGGAGCAGAAGTACATGGCTCTTCTTGAGCAACGGATTACTGATCTTGAGCGAGTGATTAGCTCCTCCGCCGCAACGGTACGTCAAACGGTACACTCCTAATCGCCCAGAGGCTGACTATTCGAGGAGGCCAACATCTCAACACTACCAACCAAAGACCCGCCGGAGACTGACTCAAGTAGTACGACAGCTCAAGATGGCGATGCAACCGCTGAGACAAAGACAAACGGGGCTGCGGACCAAAACGAGGCAGAAGAGAAACAGGAAGATAAGGTACATACGCTGCTATCCCAATGTGGACTCGAGAATCAATGAGTCGTCTGCAGTCTAGAACTTGCGAAAACCTAACGCTCAACAGACCAAGAAGAAAACACGAGTGCGCAACGTTATAAGCAGCTGGAACGAACAGCAAGGCCGCAATGTCGATCAGGACGTCGATGCTCCCACGGCAAAGGGCGATAAAACCCAGGATATTGCTTTTATATTCCGGACTGTGATGAGAATGAATGAGAAGACTAAGCCCGCATATTCCGAGATAGATGTCGAGTCGCAGGGGCTACGTGACCTGCTCAGGAGCGTCATCGGAGATTATCCTGGTCAAAGCTTCGACGGCACTAGTGTCTATATACCCGGTCCTTTTCAGGCTGTGGTGCACTATTGGGAAGAGCTGAGGGCGGAGATAGGACCGAAGGAAGGGGACAACGAGGAGAAGAAGCAGGCCCGCGAAGACCTGGACGAGATGATGAATTCCATCCGCGCCTCGGCGGAACTGGAGTCCTACTTCAAGACCCGCGAGTCAAACATGGATACGGGCGTCATCACTTACGAGTTCCTCTGGACCATCTTCCGGCCGAAGACCAAAGTCTTCGCGAAGCCTTTCTTGAACCTCCCGCAGATATTCGACGTTCCATACTCTCCCGACCCCTATGAGCGACGGAAAGTTTCGATCCCGTGCTGGTGCTACGATTACAACGGCAAATCACAGGTCAAAACTTATTACGAGTTCGACATTGAGCATTTCCGTGGCACAAAGGACATCAGCAGCCTCTTCTGCTACCCGATCAATTATCTCAAAGAGGAGGACGGCCAGCTGGAAGTGCTTCAGGAGAGATTAATAAAACGAGGCGAAAAGTTTATGGAATTGTGCACTGTCGAGAAAGGTTCCAAGCAGATGTCTGAATATAATGACGTTGTCTTACTCGCAAGCGGGAGCCTTTCGAGGTCGCTGGTCCAAGATGTGAGGCCTATCAAAGAACACCTGCAGGACAAATCCGTCGCTAATGGACCATATTTTGCTTTAGGATCATGACAACCGCACGCTACGTTCCTCGCAGGAAGACGAATTCTACGAACACAATATTACCGCGACAACGAAAGAAGACAATAACGTAAAGACCGTCGCTGTGAGTAAAACGCTTTGCTGGACCCGACCAGAGCTCTTTCTAATCCATATCTAGGTCAAGGGTAAATTCATCGTCGACGCAGGCGCCTTCCTGCAGCACGGTGAGTTACATCCAATCTCCACTTGCTAATGTAAATGACTAACGTCCCGCAGGATCTCGCAATGGCTCTTATCCGCTAGGAAGGTACACCAGCGTGGAAGTGGAAGATCCCATTGAAAAACCAGAGAGCTATGACGTCGCGAGTAAAGAACAGGAAAGGGACAAATACCTTCTGTGCCCTCCGCGGGTCCTGGGCTACTCGACCCAGCAAAAGATTTGGGGCCAGTTCAAAGTCGACGCAGTGCAACGAGTTGAGCCGGTGAAGATCAAGACGGCGTTCGACACAGATCTGCAGTTGCACCGGGAATATAAAGACATAATCAAGGCGCTGGTGGAGAATCATACCAAGACAAATGATTCCAAAAGCAGCCGCAACGACATGGATGTGATCGAGGGCAAGGGTCGCGGTCTCGTCATTCTCCTTCACGGGCCTCCGGGCGTAGGAAAGACCTTGACGGCAGAGACCATTGCTGAAGCTACTGGGAAGCCGCTTCTGGTCGTCAGCGTGGCTGAAATTGGCCTGAATGCCTCCAAGGCAGAAAATAATCTCGAGCGTATGTTTCACCTCGCTGGCGCATGGGAGGCCATTCTCCTTGTGGATGAGGCAGACGTTTTCCTCGAGTCTCGTATGAGCACGGGTGATCCGAATCGGAATGCTCTCGTCTCCGTCTTGCTGCGTGTTCTCGAGTATTACGAGGGAATCATGATTTTGACCACGAATCGAATCACGTCGCTCGATATCGCAGTACAGTCGCGTATCCACCTCGCTATCCGCTACGAGGACCTCACCAAAGCGCAGAAGAAGCAGGTCTTCAGCAGTTTCCTGAACAAGCTCCAAGAGAAGAACGAGAACATCATCTCGCCTTCCAACCGAGAGAACATCGATGATTGGGTCGAAGAGATCGGCTCAGAGCAAAAGCTCAACGGCCGCCAGATCCGAAACCTGGTCAACAGCGCCCATGCGCTCGCGTGCAGCAATGGACAGGGTGGGAGCTTGCGTAAAGAACACTTCAAGAAGGTTTTGTCGATTACGAGGGAGTTCCAAGAGCAGCTAGAAGGGTTAACTAGAGACCGTCGGGCAGACAACGAGGTGGACCGACGCACGAGGTAATGAACCGATGGATATTGAATCAACCAAAGTTTTTGGATAAAAACACTTCAGAATTTAAATATATGTCTCAAGCCAGCATAGCTGTTCATGCATTCCCACACCTTCCTTTCGCTACAGTTTGAAACTGCCGTTCAAAGGCTTTTCCTCGAGCTGCATACCGCTTAGTTTGGGTCTAATGCATAGTCCTGTTCCTACTATATATAGTCATGATGTATTGTTCATCCATCTCTCTTCCATATCATACAATCTATATCTTCACCTTCACGCCTCACTCAACACCGCCGCCAAACCCAACAGGCCTCCTCCGCCCCCCATTCTCCGGCACAATGGCCATAACCTTATAGATCTGCCCCATGGACCCACCCCCCTTCTCAACCAGCCTCTTCCACCCAGTCTCCAAATTCTTCCTGTGCTCTTCATCCCCACCAACACCACGCAGCAACTGTTGCATCCGCTCGGTAATCCCCATAGCCGTGAGGAAGTCGCCCTGCTCAACCGGCCCATGCACCTCAACCCCATCACTGGCCTCAATGGCCGCTTCGGCGAGCGACACGAAATCCACATCCGCGCTCACATCTACCTGTCCCGGAGACGAGAGCGGGGGAACTTTGGCGTGGTTCTGGATTCCGCGTAGGGAGTTGATCGGGATGGTATTTTGGGTCCCGTAGTCCATTATCAGGGCTGCGCCAGCAGGGGTCTTTTTGGGTGTTCCTGCTGGTGTCGATGGTGGTGGTTGTGTTGACCGCAAAGGAGGAGCAGCAGCAGTGCCGCCACCAATCCGTCGTGCAAAGTCCGCGGCGTAGATGCGGCTCTCCGGGCTGACTTCAATGGTCGAGCCTGCGTGCGCCTTAAGGGCCCGGTAGCGCGCCGAGATCTCGGGGATAACTAGCGAGGACGGCGTGGAGGCCTTTGCTTTCGTTAATTGGAACTCCGGCTCGCCTTCAATGTTCTCCTCGATGGCTTTCGGGTTCAGGGTGACCATCAGCTCCCGCCATTGGGGCATGTTAGCGTGCTTGGGCGGGCTGTGCAGCTTTGCTGGGCCTGTGGGAGTCATGATCTCGCGAGGTTGGTCCGGTTGTTGTGCGTTTTCTGGTGCAGGGGGAACACTCTCGAAGGCGTGGATGGGGAGGGCGTCGAAGAACTCATGGGCGAAGATGAATGGTGACTTTCCCTCTTCTGTACATTATCAATATGTATGCTTCAAGCTATGTGCCGTTTGATGTCGCGACCTACCGTGTGGCAGCAGCCGAATATCCTCTACCCAGATCACTGGTACATGGAAGTACTTGCACATGCTGCGATGCCCGATATCCGTCTCCTCCATGACAGCCTCATCTCCACAAAGAAGCCTTTTCTGCATCTCCCTGAGGGTAGCACTCGCCTCGACGAGATAAATAGCCTCGACGGTAGACGCAAAGCTCTTAAAGTTGCGAAATGTCTGTTTGTTCTCAGCCGTCAGTTTTCAAGTCCCATACGTTTCTTTCCAGATGATCATCCAACCATGAACAATTCAATATCACTCAGCGCACCGGCTCGACTCAATTCAACTCACCCTTAACATATCATCCATCAACGTCCCTTTCCCAGGCCCAATCTCCACCAATTGCACACCATCCGGCCTCCTCCCTTGCGCCATCCACTCCGCAACCGTCCATATGCCAATCAACTCACCAAACACCTGCGATATTTCCGGCGACGTGACGAAGTCACCGCCTTTCCCGAACACGGCCTCGCGAGTCGTGTAGTATCCGCCCTCGGGGGAGGTCAGGACTTGGCGCATGAATGCTGCAATCGGGATCGGGCCTGTGACCTATATATACACATAGACAGTTAGAAATAAGAGCTGTGGATGTGGCTTTGCGGGTATACCTTCATCGCGCTAGCTAGGGTGCGCGCCAGTGGTGTGGACCATTGTCGCTGGTCAAATGTGGAGTTATATCGTCGGAGACATGGGTTCGGTATTTGGGTGCGCAGAATACGCGACGCTGCGCGTTTTGTCGCGGGATTCATTCTTTGTGAGCGGAAGAAAGTCGAGGTGCGCAGGTTGTCCGGCTCCGCAGAAGCTCCGGCACGTGATTATATCCCGAGCTTAGCTGGGGTTTGATTTGGGTTGTCCTTAGGATGACATTGTATAGTACATTCTGTGATTTGAGGAATTAATTGACACTGCTGCAGTATAAATGCCTAACCCATGGTGTTCTGTTCGATTAATATTCATACATTGTCATGACATAGCAGGAATCCAGCTCTCGTGCATCATCCTCACACTCTGCCTGGATCCCTCGAATTCGATATACGTAGATGATCTGCCGTTGAACCCCCCGTTACTTTCTCCACCTGTTCTGTCTGCCCGGTTTCGCACTGTCCACTGCCATCTTGTCACTGTAGAGCCCTGATGGTTTCTGCTGGAGTAGCTCGCCCTTCTCCCCGAATCCCCAACTGCCATTCTGCACAGCGGGAGTCGCCCGACGATTCCGGCGCTCACGATCGGCCTGTTCTCGGAGTGCGTCAAAAGGAGTGTGCGCCTGCGGAGCAGCGGCACTGGCGCCGGTTGGTTTGAGGGTCATCGAGATCACTCGGCCGTCAGCCTGAATCACTAGTTAGTACTTCATCGACAGTAGTTATATAATAGTACGCGGACACAGCCCTTACCCTTTGGTTATGGAAATTGGCAACCACATTCTCCGCCGTCCACTTCTCTGCAAACACCAGCTCAGCCTTGACGGAAGGGTGATGCGACACCACCCGACAGCTCTGCATGGGACCCGACGTGGGCTCGATAGCAGCCTGGATATCGGCCGCGGTGGTCCCTGGCGCAAAGTTACCCCCCACGACCGTGAAGGGGCCCGACGCGCCCTTTATCGACAGCCCGCTACCACTTCCCCGCACGGTGGCTTGTGGATTTGATGACCCCAGCGCGTTGAGGATCTGATTTGCCTTCTGGCGACGCGTGCTGGTAGGCTTAGTTCGTGATTGTGTTGATGGCGCGGCAGGGGCGGGCTTGTTCTGGGTTGGGCGGAAGTTGGCTGATACGGAGCGCTGGATGGAGCGAGCGGGTTAGATGTGAAGTCGCGTGCACTGTTTTTGAAGAGATCTATACCTTTGCAACGCCAATGCGGCTGGCTAGACTGCCCGGTTTTGCGTTCTGCACTTTGCTGCCTTTCGCGTTCTGCGCTTTGCCTGGACCCGGCGCGCTCGACCGTCGGTTCTTGCCGAGCAGCTTGCTGGCAAGTTCTTCATTCTTCTTCTTTTTGCGATCTAGATAGATGGGCCCGCATTAGATCTGAGCACAGTAGGGAGTGAGGTTGTTCAGTGATAGGGTGGCTGACCAGATTGGATGATCTCGTCGAACGAGACTACCTCTGGCTGCTGGCCGAGCTGCTTGGTAGGGGCCATTGTGAGAAAAGGATGTAGGAGAAAAGAAGAATAGGATGAGGTTGGAGGGGTAACGAAAGGCAAGAAAGGGACAGACAGGGTTGGTGTAGTCGGGCGGTTGGTTGGTTGGTGACTGGGGGAAGGAGAAAACCGTCAATGGAGGAAAAGAAGCTCGCCGATCCGGACCCACATAGACTGCCAACTATATGTTCACAGAACGTTCATACTATCGAGCGACGGGATATCAAAATGTTCATCTAGACCTGGAAGTTATTGTTTACAAAACACAGTATTGCTGAAATTTCAGAATTCTGTATGGAGTACATCTGCGGCACCCTAAGTTGAGTTCAGTCTCCGCTATTTTACTACGGGAGGTTCCTTGATCCTTGGACCTAAAGAATAGAACAGTAGAGAAAAGTGTGTCGATACAACGGTAATGGCTTGTACCAACAACGATCCCCTACTTTTGTATGGGGATGTTGCTGCTGCTCCATGGGTTGCGTTCGGTCTTCGCCATTTTACCATGGGAGGCGCCTTCCCCTTTGGGTCCCAAAGAACAAAACACCACATCAGGAGCAGAAAGTGCAAGAAGGTGAACAAGACATAGAACTTCACCTGTCGATGATTCTTTTTCCTTTTCTTGCTTCCTGTCCCTACACACGTTCTTCTCCCACACCTTGTTCTCCTCAACACAACAAGCCCCCAAAGCTTCCTTTGCTTCCTTTGATCTTACAAATTTGCACCTGCCTCTTGAACCGATGGATCTGGAGAGCCAGACCCAGCAAACCCAGAACTCTCGGCGCATGGCTCGGCGTCGTTCAGCGTTTTCCTCTCTATCAAAGGCGTTCAGATCGGTCCGGAAGAGAACCAGGTAAGATAAAAGCCCACTCTTTGATATATAAATCGCACGTCTAATAGAAGAAAGCATCACCTCCGACCCACCCGGTCCACAGCCTCAGCCCCCTCTGCTTCTGTGCAAAGAGCGTGATCTCTACCCCGTCTACGAGCCTCTGAACCCGCAACACAACTCGTCCCTCGTGAGCAAGGAACAGCGTCGTCGCCGGGATGCACAGAGTTCTTCTGATGCCCAGATGAAGGACTACTGGGCCACAGTCACGACCGAAGAGATGCCTCTGAAGAAACGACGCTCTCGCTGGTCGGTCCTGAAGCCTGGATGGTTGCGTCGTCGATCCTCCGGTGAGAGCAGGAGCAGCGTCGATTCTCCGGCCGTCCTGCCACCACCAACTCCAGGAGACTTTGGCCGTGAGAGACGCGCAAGCAGGATGCCAAAAGAACAAACCATGTCATCCACCGAGGAAATCCAGGCACTGGAGGAAGGAAGCCAGCCAGTACATGGAGAAAGCCAGCTGCAGCTGCCGAGGGAATACCGTGAAGTCACAACCGAAGAGGATCTCGTCTTTGGGGCTCATCTGTGTCGAGCTGGCGAGCCTTGGTCCTCGCTTGAGCGAGATAGTAGCAGAGTCAGCAGTGTTGGTTCCGCCGTGAACGCCATCGCTGGCTCTGCACCTGCGATTAACGTGGAGATGTTTGACGACACCGGCACTGTGATCCCGCAATACTGTCAGGATCCAATCCACCTTCAATCAGTGAGTGCACTCTTCGATGAACCAAACCTATATGACACCAGCCCAAACAGTGCTCCAGACCCTTGCTTGTTGCATGCTCTTTCCATGGCATGGGACCAGGGACCGGACTATGTTGTACCGGAGGTCGATGTCCACCGAGAGAGATTCGGGATTGCTCACCTTACTTCATCCACAGACCAGGAAGTAGCTATGTTGTCCATGGATCTCTCCGGCAGTCGAAGCATAAGACCACAGGTGCTGGATGACGTTCAGTCAATTGTACTGCCGGCGCGAGATATCTCAGATGTGCAAGATACCCAGTTCCAAGACAAGCCGTTCAGCAATGGTGTTGAAAACCCGCCGGACCCAGAGGAAGGAGTCTGTGAGCCAAATGACAGACCAATAATTGACCGTGAACGACAAACTACCATTTCGAGCCAGCCAGAGTTAAACACGCACCCACAACCTGCCGTCTCGACAATGCTAGTATCCCGAAACTGTTCTGCCGAAGTCAAGATTGCATTTCCAGGAGTCTATCATGAGATGCTGGAGCAGTGGAAGACCCAGAATCAGGATAGCCTCACAACTGAGCACAACACCGCAGTCATTTCTCCAATGACAGACCATTCCGACCTAGACCAAACCTTCGAGTCACTCCGAACAATCAATGAATCCCCTCCTGTTAATGAGAACTCGCATAATCCTGACACCTACTCCTCGGAAGTCCTTGCAGCCGTGCGCCCTTCTGAGAGCGAATATGTGCCATACAGAGGGCCTGTCACAGATGAATCACAGCACAGAAATTCCGAGGCACGCCATTCCTTCGGCCTCCACATGAGTCTGAGCGAGGTGAGACGAGCCATCAAGAGACACCGAACATGCTATGCTAACACCATGAGCAGTCAACAGACGTCAGAACCGAGCCCTCTGAGCTAGGCGAGAGAGTCCCTCCTCCATGGCGTTCATTTGCACAAAGCATCCCGGCCGGAAACCGCACCTCACACTCCTCCGAGCAAGAAACCCTCGCATCCCTATTCAGCGAATCCGAATATTCAAGCCACTTCCGCTCAGACGGCACCACATCCGCTGGAGTCACATCGCCAACCTCTGAATCCAATGGCCCATGGTCACCCGTCAACGACGGCGAATGTTCCTTCGACAATCCCTTCAAGGACGAATATTACCTGGTGGACGGCAAAACGAGCAGCCACTTCCCGGATCGAGGTGATGACCTGCCCGCCATTAAAGCAGCCTCGAGCAGTGAAGGCACCGTCCGCCACGTTCCTTGTCCTCATCAGCAGAGATCGAGTAATAGACCGCGCACATTGCCAGGGATCCCGCCACCACGGACCCTGCAGTTCGGGCAGATGGGTGAGAGTGACAGTGATGAATATCTTCCGGGGCTTGGTGTGCAGTCGGAACAGTTTCGTTGATGATTCCCATGTTCCGATATTCCCATAACCCCGTCCCCAACCCCCCTTCCCGATCCTTATTCAATTTGCGTTTGCGTTATGTGTGAATGTCCACTTTATGATTCAACGCGTCGAAAACTGCGTAGTTATTTGTATCCCTGACCTGTATCCTTAAGCACTTGAGCAGGAACAAATGCAGCGATTTCGTTTTTGGACGTCGCCCATAAACTGTCTTGTATGGCCATAGTACCTAATTATCTCTCGTAAATCTCCAATAATAATAGTGCACATAGTCGTCATTGAGCTCCAAGTTTTAGTCACCTGGTATATGAAAAGTAGTCTTGACATTTCATCCCAACCTAAGCGCAAACCCAGCACCCGCCTCCCCGGTATCCCCACCCGGCGCACCACCGAACACACCCGCAAAATCCAGCTGCGGCGCCTCCTGCCCTCGCTTCGGCGCTTCGGGCGTGTGATGCCGTCGCCGCTTCTCCATGCCCGCCTTTGACGGGAATGTCGGGAACATCTCGCGCGGTTTCGGGCGCGGGTCTTCTTTAAAATATGCGTGTGAGAGGCACTGCTGTGCTGTTGGGCGCGAAGTTGGGTTCAAGGCTAGTAGGCTTGAAAGTAGAGATAGGCCTGCGTTTGTGAGGTACGGGAATCTGGAACGTGGGAGAAGAGGCGTTTTCCCGGATGATGTAGCCGATGATGAAGATGAAGGCAGACGGAGAGATTTGGCGTTCGGCAGCGACCGGAACCCAGGCCAGGTCTGCGCATTCGGCGGGCCTGTCAGATCGAATATCTTGGATACCTGATCGACCTCATTCTTGCCCTGTAGCAGTGGTTCCTTGGTGAGCAGCTCGCCGAAGATGCACCCGATGCTCCACATGTCGATCTCCGGGCCGTACTTGTCCGCGCCGAGAAGCAGTTCGGGCGACCTGTACCACAGCGTGACAACAAGCTGGGTCAGTTTCGGCGGTGGATCGCCGTAGTACCGGGCCATGCCAAAATCGGCCAGTTTGATCTCGCCCCGGTTGTTCATGAGCAGGTTCGAAGTCTTCAGGTCGCGGTGCATGATCCACTGCGAGTGCAGGAATTCCAATCCGCCCACGATTTGTAGGAGAAGGGTTTTGATTTCCGAGGGCAGGAAGGGCTCGCGCATTTCGTCGAGGAGGGTTTTGAGGTCGTGCTCTAGGAAGTCCATGACGAGGAAGACTCTATGGGTCATGATTAGTATATCTGTGTGCTGCGTAGATCAAGGGAGAAAGAAGATCATACTCGTCCATTTTATTCCCCATCACCACCTCCCGCAGATAAACCACATTGGGATGTCTTGCTTCCAGCAGCGTCTGAATCTCCCGCAGCCCAGTAACGGGGAACCCGTCCGGCGAGTTCTCCAGCTTGAGCTTCTTCAGCGCAACGACCTCGCCCGTCGTGATCTCCTTCGCGCGTGACACCCAGCCATATGAGCCCTCTTCGATATGATTTAATCGCTCGAAATTATCCACATGGCGACAGGTTCCCCATTCCCGCGCCGGGAACCGCAAGAGGGACGTGGATTGTTTCTTTTGCTGTGCGGTTTCTGGGGCATTCGCGTCGGATCCAGATGTCTCGGCGGCATCATTAGAGAGCCGCCGTCGCTTCTTGGGGGGTCCGACTTCGCCATTGGCGGCTTGTGTGTTGGTTTGCGGAGCTTGCGCTTGTGTCTGCTGGGCCTTGACTTCGAGCTGGCGCTGCTTCTCCGCTTTGGCGCGTCGCTTGGCTTCCTTTTCGCGTTTCTGCTGGGCGATAATAGCCTCAGTTTCAGGGTCTTCGTCTGCCCAACGGGATTTGGCCGTGGACATGGTGTGCCGGTGCGGCGATTCAGGTGGAAGAAGGTGCGAGAATAGTAAGGAAGTGCAGAAATGACGTTGGGCTTGGGCCGGGCCGATCTCCGCCGATTTCAAATCAGACAATCAATCATTCCATTGCGACTTCTTTCCTCTCTTCATACTCCTCCTCGTTATTATTAGTCGCCATGATTGAACCATTCCAGGTATGGATGCTCGTATTTGTCTGCTGCTCAGTCTGACACAATTCGCGCGCAGACGACCTTCGCGGTCCCGATGAACTGCGAGAGTTGCGTGAAGGACATCTCCAGCGCGTTGAATCAGCTCAAAGGTACTCTTCTTTCTCCCCGACCAATGCGCTCTTTGACTAAACCTTCTCTCAGGAATTAACAACGTTGACGTCAGCCTCAAAGACCAGCTCGTCTTCATCGAGGGCACGGCGTCGCCCAGCTCCATAGTATCCGCGATCCAGAACACCGGCCGCGATGCGATCCTCCGTGGCAGCGGCTCTACAAACAGTACGCTAGTCTATTCTTTCTTCCAACGGGCGGATAAGCTAACTTCATCCTAGGCTCCGCCGTGTGCATCCTGGAAACCCACTCCTCCACCGTCTCCAACAAGATCCGCGGCCTCGCACGCATGGTCCAAATCTCCTCGAATATGACCCTAGTCGACTTAACTATCAACGGCCTCGCTCCCGGCCGCTATCAGGCCACCGTCCGAGAAGCCGGAGACATTTCGCAAGGCGCCGTGTCAACTGGTGGGATCTGGGAGTCTCTCAAGGCGAAGGTACTCGGCCCCGATGCGGCGCCACCCAAAGAGCCGCGGGGGATTTTTGGTAGCGTGGATGTCGATGAGAAGGGCCGGGGAAATGTGTTTTTGGACCGTCCAGTTGCGATCTGGGAGTTGATTGGCCGCAGTATGGTGGTTTCGAGTAGCCAGGAGGGCCCGTTTAAGCGTGAGGACCCGAATACGCTTGTCGGTGTTATTGCACGCAGCGCCGGCGTGTGGGATAATGATAAAATGGTATGCTCATGTTCGGGGAAGAATGTTTGGCAGGAGAGACAGGAGCAGGTTGGTCAAGGCATGGTTTGATATTAATGATGTTGGATCTGTACTTAGCAACCCATACAATGATCATATGAGGAAATATGTCAAGATTGGCCCGCATTCCCTATTTTGTACTAGTTGATTATCAGTCTAAAGGATTGGGCATTCCTAGAATTATTCTAATCAGAGCTCTGCTCATTCGGGATTTGCACTTTTGTTTCGGGACGTCGTATGTGCTAGATTTGCCATGTAATGACCATTTTGAATTGATAGCAAAGTGATCGCACCGAAACCTCATCACCCTCATCCCCCACTGATAACATTTGCAGACTCCTTCCGCATCCTCTGGCCCTGGATTGCTGTTTCAATGCCTCGTTAAGTAAGGAAAAGAACCTCAGCATTTGACAGCCTGATTGTTGCAAATGGAGTTTAAGCAATTGCGGCATTATCAGCAGGACTGGCAGGACGTTCTGTCTTCGCGATCTCACTCTCTCGGCTGGGACGACTGTCACTGAATGCAATGTTCAAATTGCGGTAATCCCAGTTGCGAGCAAAGAACAACACCGCAAAACTCGACACCGGCACTATGAGTATGTCGAGAACACCGAAGAAGATAAAACCGCCCGTGACGCCAATGATGTTACCGCCGTCGGTGAGGCCAAAGGCGACTGGGTAAAGGACCCACAGAAAATTCACCCAGCCAGCGAGGACAAGGTAGTCGCGTTCAATACCAAGCAGGGCGGCGGCTTCACGGCTCTCGTTGATGGTACTCATGGCGAGGATGAGCCAGGAGAATGTGCCAAATGCGAAGAAGCCCCATTTGTAGCTCGTGGTGGTGTAAGCAGCCGCGAGGTAGCTGACGACCCACAGCCATGCGATAGCGATATTGCAGAAGATGGTGGTCCAGGAAACACCAGAGGCTAGACCAAGACCTAGGGCGAGAGAAGGGAAGGCCACGACCCAGTTGATATATTTGGCATAGAACATCTGGCGAATGACTCCATTTCCGAGATCATCGACTTGTTCGACGGCACTCCAGCCAAGATCAGCGGCTTCAGCGTAGTAGGTTATGGAGCCGACCAGTAGGGCAACGGTGAAAAGGTAGTGGAAGACCCTCTCGCTTTCTTTGGCGGCGAAAGATAGTACCAAAAGGCCGATCTGTATGATCGCATGTGAGTACATAAGCACGACAGTATGACGAGTCCGGTGCCCAGTAAATATAGGGATGGCGTAACAGAAGTACTCACAAAGGAAACTACATAGATGGCAGTGACAGCCCAGAGCCAATCTGATCCATGGTTGGAGAGAGCTTCACCAAGTCCATCGTTTGCTCGCGCCAAAAGACTCATTTTGAAATTGACAAGATTGGCTTCTTCGAAATATATAACAGTCAATGGACAAATTGGTATGCAGACGTAGTGTGTGAGCATGTATCTGTGGAGGAATGTCTTTCTTATATAGGAAAGTCACTGCTATAAGGGTGATGAACGGGATACATCGGATTCCCAGAGGCCGACTGGCCGATGACCGTTTAGGAGAGTATTCATTGACGGTGAATAAACATTCGGGGGCCGTGCGATAGAGCTCGGGGTGAAGTTTACATAGCCGATTTCTATTGATAGTAAAAAATTCATTTCTGGAGCCGAGGAAGAGTTGCCCTTACTCGCATGGCCCCAGGATAGGGCGCTCGGCGAAATGTTTCCGGTGCGTGGGTTTGGTTCCTGAAACTTTTCTCCGATCTTTTTCTCCGAGCAACACATCAGCCTATCGAGTAGTCGCAAACTTGGCTTATAGGACTACACTTGAAAAGCAAATTTATCTGCCTAGGTAGAATAATATTCTTTACGTGAACGGCAGCCAAAAATCATACGTGGTGATTTTTCAAGCATGATATTTTTATATATTAATGGGAATGCTATCGACATTCAAACCAAATAGCTCGCTACTTTTGGATACACATGATTGCGGCAGGAGATCCAGGTAGCTTTGGTCGTGGTTATTGATGTTTTTCAAGTCGCGCAGAATGAGAAACAGCTCTCGAGCACGTAATTGAAAAGATTCACCAAGATGGATATTCTCATAGAGAAATTCAGCACAAAGAAATAAGGGAATAGGCATCAACGGATGGATCTGGATAAGGGATGATTAGCAGAGATTGCAGTTATTGAAATATTACGCTTACCTTGGAGAAAGGCAGCTCGCGCAGCGTCGTGGCAAGAAGGATGATTGCCCCAGAAGCCTCCAAAGCGCGCCTATGATAGGTATACAGCTCGCTACTCCACTGAAAAATATCCGCAGACTCTCCCGTCGAGCCCTTCATTGCTTTGCAGAAGTAAATCACAGTTGCTTGGCCTAGAATGTTGGCGAACAGCAGTAGCGGATCATAGAACTCAGTGGGTGACGGATAGTATTGCTCCAAGGCTTGAAGTCGAGTTGTCAGCAAGCTTTCCAGTGATCGAAGTTGCTCCGTCCGGTCTAGTGACATGTCTCCATATGCCTTGGAAATGTGGTGCTGTTGACTCTGAAGTAGACAACGCCCACAAATAGTAGCTAAGATGAGACACTCGTTGAACGAGGACCGTGCTTTGAGAGTAGGTTCCGTCATGGCTTCGGATAGGAACGGTCCCAGATCGTACTGCCCGCTCTGAAATTCCCCGTCTGGCGCAGGAAGCCGAGTACATATCTTTTAATGGTCAGAAAGCGTCAGTTAGTCCACAAAGTCTGCACTATTTTCTCTGATTGGTCCACAGTGCGGTTCTTACCACATGCTCATTTAATGTAATCGGCCAGTCGTCGCGCATGGAGATGACATGATCCAAAAAATAGGCAATCCAAAACACTCTTCGCCGCTCCTCAACTTCAATCAAATCATCACACCGAGGAGACAAAGGACCACGTTTGTCAGCAGGACGGTCAATTTCATGGTAGCGCATTGCCTGTACCAAGCGAAAAGCACGGCCAGCACTCATCCAGGCTTGGCGGTGATAAGTCCGCATCGACTCGAAAATCACAACCAGGACCCAGGCCTGGGCAAGTTCTGTGCTCACGTTGCTATACCCGTTGCCTTCGACGCTGAGAGATTCCAGCATTTGCTTGGTCTTCTGATACAACGGCTCTATAGTCTCGCGGAATTGAGACGACAGTAAAGCTGCCAGCGTCCACATGGCGTATTGCAAACATCTCTGCGAGGCCGTCTTAGTGCTTGATTTGGACCAGTTCAGAAACCGCCGCTGGTGAAGAATTGGTACTGATTGATGCACACGGTCTAGGTAAAGTTGGTCCCTGGAATATACGAATTAGCCCGCACGAAGCTTGGAAGAACCCAGAAACCTACAGTTCAGCACCCAAGCTATCCGTGAGCGGAATAGGGATGTTAGAGACCAGGGAGAAAGTCGACGGCAACGACCCCTCATGAGAAGAAGAACCCCAGACCGATGGGAATCCATTCGTCAAAACGGATTCATGTTCAAAGGCAGGGTTCACAGTCAGTCTAGGCAGCGGGGAGTCTGTAGTAGCAACCAATGCGGTATCCGCTGCTTCTTCTGTAGTCGTCAAAAGCGTCAACTCCTCAATGTTTCGATTATTACTCTGGGAGCCCTGTGGTAATTGCTGGGCCGGAAGACGGCTCGCCAACATGGCCTCCAAGTGCGATATACGATTTTTCAATGCTTTGAGATGACCTTTTTTTGGTCCCCGCAGACCACGCTCCGTCACTTGACATACAACACCAGTCTCTCGACACACGCCGCATAGTGGCTGCTGGCCATCGCAACGCAGCTTTCTGCGTCGGCACTCATCACAAGCGGCACCTGGGCGCTGACGCACATTTGTTTCAACTGGTGGCGATATTTCTTCTGATCTGGTGCTCGGTGGCATGATCGTGAAATGCGGTGAAGGTCAGAATTCGACTTTCCTCTGAACTGTCAAGGGGTTCGGGTCGGTTGGGGGCCGGGGGAAATGGAAGCGTGGATCGAGAAAGGGCTAGTTGGTCCTCATGCGCGACTCTCGCACCCTGATAAGGCGCTTTGTTTGCCAACTAGTGTCATATTATAATTATCGAACCTGACGCCTTGGAAGCCTGGTTAGCCCTGGAGATGTCTTCCGTCAGTCGAAGATATCGGGGGCCCACTCGGGCTTCGGTTGGGCCGCCCGGCGGTTCTGACTGGCGCAGGACAGAGCCACCAAGTTCTTAGCACCGCAAGGGATGTGCGGGTTTGAATAGATACTCCGAGGGAGGCAATAATAAGTCCGGAGGGCAAAATTGATCTCCGCCATATCTAGGCTAGACCTGGACAAGTCTTATCCATGAGAATTGAGGCACCGGCCATCTCCCTAGACCCGCTCCCGATAGAAATACCACGACGCCCACGGGAATCCCGCCAAGGCCACCTCTTTCATAGAACTTCCGAGAATAGATGGATAACTTGCTGAGTTATCAGGTTAAATTGACCTGTCTTTTTAGCTATTTTGCTCTTAACAATAATAAATATCAGAATTCCCCATCCCAAATATAGGGTTTCGAAATTAGACAGTATATATATCTACGAGGCTCTCACACACAGTCATTCCTCATCATCAGAATTTCCGGTCCATATCCAATTCTCAGTCTTTTGGGCGGCCAGTCATTCTGGTCCATGTACTCGCAGGAAAACTCATGTTCCCCAGAGAAACACCCTACACCAGATTCATTCTCATCAGTGTCCTTCGACCCCTGCTTTTCCGGGGTGATCACCCACGCTATGGAGTTCGGAGGCACAGTAATGGCCAGGTGAAATAATTTCTTGTCACCGTCATCCTTGATCTTCCAGTGGGATTTAATTGTTCCGTAGCGGCTTTCATAGCGTGCTTCAGCCCAGTCGAGGGTACCAGGTTGTACAAGATATACTCTACGGAAGGCGGCATTCGAGTGCTGCCCATGGTAGTCCGATTCCTCCCCCCCCCCCCCCCCCCCCCGGCCCCCCGGTCGTGGCCCCAGAACAAGGTAGTACCCTCTTTCGCGACGGTCATGGATCTTGCTCCAACACTTCTCGAGATGGCGGGTGCCGCCCATCCGGGAAGATGGGAATGTACAAAGGACGCGAAGTTCATCCCATGCGAGGAAAACCATGGGTCCCTTTCGTGTCAGGCATCCACGGCGATGACAATATCAAGGGTAGACCGTACCAAGAGTCTAGCTACCTTGGAAGTCAGACATTCTGACTCCAATGCTACTGATCCTGCATAGCGTAGTTTGACATAGATTCCTCATATGATAGTATCCGAAGGCCAGACCTTTCGGAACAATGTAGTGTCATCTGTAGTTTTAATAATTTATTTAGACTTTTGTTTCTTAAGTTTTTGTGGTGGGTTATCGTCTACTTCGAGAAGTAAGTGTGTACTCGGACTTAGGCTAATGTTTTTGGAAGAGACATGAATCAAAAATTTGTGAATAGTCATGTTATTATCCTGTCGCCATCAAGAGCAAATTTCTCCGTAAGGTCTAGAACATAAGCATTTATACACGCTCAAAAACAGGCATGTATCCAATAGGACAAGCAACTTCAACCGTCTCCCCACCGTTCTTTGCCTCTCCTGTCACCTCACCCGAAACTGTAAACTGCTTCCACGACGCACCCTCAGGTAGATACACACGGCGCTCCCGCTGTCCATGCTTGAGAACAGGAGCAACTAGATATTTGTTTCCGAACATGTATTGATCCTCTACCTCCCATGCCTTTTTGTCTCCGGGAAAGCTGTAGAACAACGGCCGAATAACGGGGTCACCTTTGATGTGAGCCTCATTCATGATACCGCGAACGTAGTCTCTGAGCCTCTCACGGAGTAATATGTAGGCCTTGCAAATAGCAAAAACTTCCTCGCCATAGGACCAGACCTCGTTGTTTGCGCCCGAAGCACACCAGCTTCCTCCCGAGTTACCGAACTGTGGCTGTCGTGGCTCTCGGTCACCATGAAGGCGGAAAACCGGGCAAAAGGCACCCCATTGGAACCACCTAACAAAGAGTTCTCTGAAATCAGGGTCGTTGGGATCACCTCCGTGGAATCCGCCAATATCGGTGGTCCACCAGGACATTCCCGCCAGACCGGCGTTCAAGCCAGCGGCAATCTGGTCGCGGAAGGATCCCCAGCTACTGGCGATATCTCCAGACCAGAGCAGTGCACCGTACTTCTGGCTACCCGCCCACGCACATCGGACAAGATTCACGACTTTGTCCTGCCCAGCCTCTCTCATGCCCTCGTAAAAGCCTTGGCTGTAGAACTTTGGATATGAGTTTCCAATCATCTGGTTCGGGCCCTTGTAGTAGCGATAATTGTCGAAGTCGTACATTGTATATTCTGGTTCCGCTTCGTCAAGCCAGAAGACCTTAATCCCCTTATCAAAGTAGTTAGCTTTAGCCTTGGACCAGACGTAAGAGCGCGCGGCCGGGTTCGTGGCATCAAAATGGCTGCAGCTGGTATGGCCTTCCATTGCAAGGGTCAAGCCACGGTCTTGGCGAATCAAAAGCCCCTTAGTGACCATTTCCTCGTAGTTCTCTGAAAGCCGGTCGACGGTAGGCCAGATTGAGACCATGAGCTCAATCCCGAGAGACTTAAGCTCCGCAATCATGGCCTCTGCAAGAGTGTAAGCAAATACCATCGTGTGGCTTTGGAATCCACCAACAAAGAGCAGGAAAAAGGGAAAGCAAAGTGCTAGCTTACCAGGGTCGGGCCAAAAGGTTGGGTCAAACTTCCATTCTCCTTCTTTAGGCCAGTGGAAGAAGTCCACAACGATAACATCCATCGGGAGGCCGAGTTCCTTTTTATGCCTGCGAGCGACATTCAAAATCTCCTCCTGAGTTTGATAGCGCAGTTTGCACTGCCAAAATCCGAGGCCATACTCCGGCATTTCAGGGACTTTGCCCGTGATGTCTGTGTATGCTCTCAGGATTTCCTCGGGGGTGTCTCCAGCAACAATCCAGTAGTCCAAGATGCGAGTGGATGTAGCCTCAAAGGTCGTCATATTCTTCCCAAAAACAGCGCGGCCAACAGACGGGTTATTCCACAAGAAGCCGTATCCTAGGGAGGAAATGGCAAATGGGATGCTGGCCTGCGAGTTGCGCTGGGCAAGTTCTAGGTCGGCGCCCTTAAGATTCAGATAAGGCTGCTGGTACTGACCCATGCCATATATCTTTTCGTTCGGATCGAGAGACTCAAATCGGGCAGTGACGTGCCATGATTCGGATCCTAACCGGGGCTTGAACTCTCTGGGCTCTATGCGCAGAGCGCTGGCCTTGGGATCAGTTGGGTCAACACGGCTCCGCGAAAATTCTTCCAATATTATCTCCCCTTTTTGATTGGTAAGAAGAAGTTTGCCACGAGCCGATAACGTGGCGGTAATTTTGCCGTTGCTCAGGGTACCAGTTTTGTCGTGCGCGATGGAGAGCTTCACAGACGCGGGCACGGTTTCATCAAGAGCCCAATTATCTGCGGGGAAGGACGGCTCACGCGTGGAACGGATGCGGATTGCATTTGGGCCCCATGCGTCTAAGCGTAAGGTCTCGTTGTCATGGCGGAAAGTAAGAGACGACGCATCAGAGATGAAAGTCATGGTGAGTTACTAGGCGGCGACGGCAACGACAGGGAGGAAGTGAACGCAAGGATTCCACCGGACTCGCGGAATGCGTCTCATATATTTCACTCTCGCTAGGCCAATTTGGCTCTGGAACTTGCACCGCAATTCTCAGTCCCGCCGGACAAGAAGCATCCGACTCAGAGTGGGGGAGACCCCCGCGCAGCGGCTCCAGCCTCTTGGATTTGGGGGTAAATCCTCGGGTAAATTCCTAAACCCTTTTAGGTATATTTTAGCATCTATGCGGTCTATTAGTAGTTCCAATATAATCACAATCTAGGAGCTTAGATGAATAGTCATATCTGGTGGCAAATAACATGGAACTATAGATGTTGTACGTACGCCCCATTTGCAGAGCTAGGGTAAGCGCGCAAAGACATGGTGACGCCACGAAAGTTGGGCAATGCAACTGGGAAGGAGAAGACATCAAAACTTTAACATATGGTGAACCCTCAAAATGGCTTCAAGACAGTCATACTATTCACGGAACGAGCGTTGAAGGATAATTGTATTTTATATTTGAAAATAAAATGGTTTCATGAACCGCGTGCTTTCGAATAGAATGGAATATATATGCTACTTCAAAGGAGAGGAAAGACTGGCAATGGACCGATCACACTTGCCCTATGCGAGGTAGCCAAGATCGACTGGCCATACAATCCTAGCTATCGCGACCTTGGAAGTTCAATGAGAGAATTTGCAAGAGGATACTTATTCCTCTTTGGTGTCACGGAATATGAGCGTAGTGAACTGTGGAGGAACACTACCACCAGCAACAGGTGTCTTTCCAATGATAGCTCTGATACCCGCTTCCTCTTCGTCAGTCAGCGAGATTTCAAGAGCACGCCAGTTCTCTTCCAGATATTTGATCCTTCTAGTACCTGGAATTGGGAAGATATCGTTTCCCTGCTTCAGGAGCCAGGCGAGAGCCAGTTGAGACAAGGTGCAACCTTTCTTGTCAGCGACAGCCTTGATTTGTTCTGCAACTTTGGCATTATGCTCTCGCTGTCCTTCTTGAAACCGCGGCATCATTCCTCGACTATCGGTACTGCCGACGGGATCTCCACCACTGAAGCTTGAGGTGAGTAAACCTCTACTCAAGGGTGTCGCTGCGACGATAGCGATTCCGAGTTCACGGCATGTAGCGAGAGCATCAGTCCCATTGGGGCCCTCGATTTCGCGATCAAAGAGAGAATACCCCGGCTGGTATGCAGTAACGGCCCCAATCTTAGACGCTCGTCGAAGGGCGTTGGAGGATACCATTGAGAGTCCAATGTGCTTGATTTTGCCTTCACTACACAACTTGCGTTAATTTCCTTTTTTCATTTTCCACCCGTGGGATGAATTTGCCTACGCTTGTAGTTCCAGAAGGGCTCGCATGGTTTCTTCGATTGGTGTTACCGTATCAACATTGTGTGCATAGTCTAATTGACGACGATGGGAAGCCAGTAAGCTGGTTGGTTCTTGAATGTGGAAAGACAGCGTTGTTTAAAGACAAACTTACAGAGGTCAATGCTCTCAATACCCAGAGTTTTCAGAGTCACATCGCAAGCCTTCTTGCAGTACTGAGCCGAAGAATCGATCTCTAGAGTCTTGCTGCCTCTGACGTATCCGAACTTAGACGCAAGGAATATCTGATCCCGCTTTCCGGTTTTCTTAAACCATTTGGCCAAGAGTTCCTCGTTGTCACCATAAAAGCTTTTATCGGAGGTAAGAAACAAGCGGCGAATTAGATGCGGATCAGCTGGACTTACTCAGAAGTATCCCAGAATGTTGCGCCGATCTCAACTGCGCGGTCAAGCAGCGCGAAGCGTTCGTCGTCCGTAGGCAGGATACCGTAGCTTGGCGAGGTCATCATCATCAAGCCAAAGCCCAGAGCTGGCACGACGGGCCCATTCTTGCCAAGGGGGCGAGGACTATGAAACGTCGAAGTCATATTAAAGTGAAGACAGAATTTGGAGGATGAGGCTTTTTGAGTAGATTATGTTCTGCAAGGAAGGAGATAAGAGGGGGTTTTATACCCTGTCAAAGAGGATTACATAGGCTCTTTAGTCCGAATACCTCTAATATCCAAGCTATTGCATATGGATATTTTCGAAATGCTGGAAACGAATAGTGGATAATACCCTGAGCTTACCGTGGATTGCACTACCTCCACATTTTGAGTATCCAATAGACTTCCCAAAATGCCGAGCAAGCAAATCAGTTTCAAATTTCGAATATTTCCCATTTCCGAGCAATTCCATACCGAGATTTGCCGGAAATGTTTGAACTGAATAGTGGACGAGACCCCACTGAGCGTCAATCCAATAGACGGTCCAAAATGCCGAGCGGGCGAATCAATAAGCAGCATAGAAAAAAGTGCCCCGCAATGGCAAGAAGCTGGTCCCGGGCATCCATCCTCATTGATATTTGTCTTCGGCGGAACATCAAGATTCAGACTTTACGAAGATGTACTCCAAGGCCGGCTGTCGAACTTGCAAGTAAGTAGTAACGACTAAGTAAATACATGGGTAGCAGAATGCGCAGAAACATTAATGAAGCATTAGGATCCGAAAAGTCAAGTGTGACGAAAGCCATCCTTCCTGTCGCCGGTGTGTTTCGACTGGCCGTTCTTGCGACGGCTATGGTATTTGGGGAGGAATCAACGCCTCAGTGCGTTGTCAGGCCCTTCAAAGCTGCAGAGGTGGAGCTGTCCTCCCACGATCAACTGGCGCCCCCGTTCTTGTGACAAGTGCGCTAGAGAACGAATACCTTGATTGGTTCAGAAACCGCACGGTTCCCAAGCTTCCTGGCTCATTCATCTCAGAGTTTTGGTCCAGACTTCTTTTGCAGGCCAGCCTGACAGAGCCAGCAGTCTTGCATGCCAGCCTAGCGTTGAGCGCTGTTCACAAGGCAGGCGCAACAAATAGCAACAGTAGTGCTACGGAAAAGCTAGAGCAATTTGCTCTGCGTCATTACATCAAGGCGATTGATCATCTACACACCCACTTTGCGGCAAAAACCAGGGTGTCCTTCCAAACTATCCTCATTGCATGCGTAATCTTCGTTTCCCTTGAATTCCTTCGTGGCCACTTTGGGGCTGCCCAATCACATCTTCAAAACGGGTTCAAAATTATAAAGGAAGCCAATCTGCTCCCCGTGGAGCATGACTCGATATCGCTTTCATTTCCTCAAAGAACGAACAGGTCTCCTTCCCTCGCAAGTTTCTCTCTATCAAAGAAGCATGGCAATCATTGGACAGTCAAATGCATAAAACTTTGCGTTTGGCCCGTCTCAATCGACAACATAACGCAGGGAACGCATATCCACCCTGTTATCCTGCGTCAATCAGACAACAAAAAGAAATATTGAAGAGACTCAAGCAGTGGCACTCCGCATATAAGGCCTCGACTCGAACCATAAAAGGTCGTGGTTCACTTGATGAACAGAAGGCATACCTTATTTTGGGCATATATCATACAATGACAACCATAATGGCCGAGCTATGCTCATATCCCGACAATGAAATGGCCTCCGACACCCAAGTCTACCAATTTTCTCGCTTAATGAAGCAAATGGGAACCCTCTACGATGTCAGCAGGGCTGAGTGGGATACAATCCCGGTTGATAATCGTGTTAACATTGCGAGGTCTATTGTGGATGTGGGCTGCATTGCGCCCCTCTATTACGTGGCCGTGAAATGTCGAGTCCATCACCTCAGACTACAGGCAGTCCGATTGCTTGAATCGCTCTTCCATAGAGAAGGAATTTGGGATGCGAGAGCCACTGCGTGTGTTGCGCGCAAGGTAATGGAACTTGAAGAAGGCGATTTCTTTCCTGCCGCCGACCAATCTGATGAAGTTTCTATTGTCCGCTGTCAAGTACCACCGATACTACCTGAACATTACAGAATACGTAATGTTGGATTTGTGTTATCTGGAAACCCCGCGGAGAGGATCTTCCTGCTTGGTTCGAGGCACGAAGGCAAGGACGTCCGAAGCTGCATGGCGGAATATCACATGAGTTCGCAGAGCTGGGTTGATATGTGATGGTGGCCAGCGGATTAGTCCCAAGAATTTGACGGTTTTGTACAAGCTTCGAGCGAAGAAATAAATATCGTTTTGCTAGATTCTATTTCGGGGGCTTTATTGAATATAGAAGATACTCTCCCGGTCGATCAACTGCTTGCCATGTGCAATTCAGGTATCTATCCTAACCCAAATTATGAGGTGTCTCTCCTCTCCCACTCGCTTACTGCCAGATACTCCATGCCTCCAAAGAAAGCTCTCACAAGCGCCGTGGCGTGGACACTAGTTTGACAGACGGTCCCCGCTAACGCAGAATTGGTATACGCTTTTCCTTTTTACCATGGTAACTAAATCGTTCTATTCATTAACATTTCAACCCCTCCGCCACCCATGGATCCATCCTTGACGGGGTTCCACACCAGCGGCCCGTTCACCCTTGTCGATCCCATGGGAACGGGTCCACTCCACGGGGAAGAGCGTCATAACCATGGCCAACCAGGCCAGAATCACTACTAACTATCTGACAGGTATAGACCGCCAAGCGAAGTCTGTGACAGGCGGAGAAAATCCTAGGCTCAGACCACTCACAAGTGATCCCGAGCGCAAAACCGGCCAGTCAGGGTGCCAAACAGGTGCTCCGGACTCTCACTTCTCCCGTCCTGCAGGTTATTTTTAACTCGTCACCGTCCTTTCCCCTCGGCGCTTGCTGCTGTCCCCAGTCGGCCCGACTAGCCCTTCTTCCCCTGTCACCCCCTGCCCCTCCATGCAGCTCAAGAACATCATCCGTCTTTCTCTCCTTTTCCTCGACCCATGTCGGTTATCTCATGTAATCTGCTCCCCTCCCTTCTTCCTCCAAATCTAGCCACTCGAATCTGCGCAGGATCGTGATCAGAGTCTTGGCTATCCAGATCGGTCTTTCTTCTGGGACCTGGCCTTCCCCGCCACCGATTTGTGCGACTAGGGGGAGCCTTCTATTAATACCACACCGCGAGATTGGTTCTTGTGGCTGCAGCAAACGATTTCACCAATCGACCGTCGGCGATCTTTGCCTCAGACTGTGTTGTGATCGAAAAATTACTGGTGGACTCAGATCTTCGCTTCCCATCCCTCAAATCCCCCCGCCACATCCTCTGAGACGCCCGTGCGACTCACGATACCTTACTTCGGCGGACTATCTGTTTCTGGAGGGCCTGGATTTCCACCACTTGGGGTGTTGCGCAAGTGGCTATAATATCGGGATTCCCCTGGATGCGTCGTGACCTGTGTCAACCCACTGGCAGTGGCCTGGAGATCAACACGCCCAAAGAGATTGTCCTCGCGTCCTTAAGGGTTTCGGATGGGAAGCAGCACTCCCCGTTGCGGTCCCTTCCCACCGATATACACCCATTAGGCGCGGAGGAGGTCGGCATATTTTGCAATGTCGCTCAAACAGGTGAGAGATACGGGGACTAGCACGCAGGAACTCGAGAGCTGACGGCTCGTCGGTAGGAAATTGAAACTTGGGTTCAGGCTCTGGACGCTTATGACAACCAAGACTTCGAAGAAGCTCTCCGCTGTTTTGATGCAATTGCGGATACATCGAAGATCCTTTTCAATTGCGGGGTTATATATGCAACTCTCGGGGAACATGACAAGGCAGTAAGTCCAACCACCAGACAAAACGATGAATTTCGCTGACGGCCGCAGGTGGAATGCTACCAACGCGCAGTTGGGCTCGACCGATATTTGGCAATTGCTTACTTTCAGCAAGGCGTTTCCAATTTCCTGCTTGGAGATTTCGAAGAAGCATTGGTCAATTTCAATGATACACTGCTGTATCTGCGAGGGAATACCTCGATCGACTACGAGCAGCTAGGCCTCAAATTCCGCCTTTACTCGTGTGAAGTGTTGTTCAATCGTGGACTATGCTACATCTACCTACAACAAATGGGTCCGGGCTTGCAGGATCTTCAGTATGCCGCAAAGGAGAAAGTCACGACAGACCATGATGTGATTCACGATGCGATACGTGAGAATGCTGATGTATGTCTGCTCTGCGCGTTTATGATATTTTACTCACACGCCCCCAGGGTTACACGGTATTCTCAATCCCAGTCGGGGTTCTCTACCGGCCAAACGCAGCCAAAGTCAAGAATCTCAAAACCAAAGATTATTTAGGCAAAGCCCGACTCATCGCCGCATCTGACCGCAATCAAGGAGCAGAGTCCCAGTGGAGACCGCTGGTAATTGATCGCGCTGCACTTGAAGACCGAGAGGGAGTATCGTTTGCGGCCACGAACCTCGTTCACAAGAATCTCAGCAGCCGCACTCGACAGCAGTCTGAGCCTCCAATGAACCGTAATGTGTTTCCACCCACACCGCCACCCGATGACAGGACAGCAAGGGAAAGTTCAGCCTCTGGGAGTGGCAGCGCATCTCTACACAATGGCCCATCGTCTCTACGGGGCGGCCGGCCGCCACGTCTCGATCTGGACCGGACAGGTGCCAGTCTAGACCGTCGCCCTGGAGGCCCCGCGCAAGTCTCAATGGAGAAACCCCGGATAGGAACTACGCGAACAGCATCAGAGCCTCGCGGGCCGCCGCCGTCACGAAATAACATGCGAGGCTTCGCGCAAGATCCTGGAGTTTGGACTCGCGAACCTCAAGGAGGACACCGAAGGAATCTCAGCGACACTGCCTATTCCCCCGCTGGGAGCTACGCAGATACAGATTCGTACAATTCTCCACCACAGCGGCATGCCAATAACCCTAACTGGGGTCGAGGACACCGACACCAACCACCTCAATACATTGACGAGGAAGAGGAGTATGACAGCGACATCTGTGACGGAGACGCTCCCAACGACGGAGCCTTTGATATTGTCGGTGCCACCCTAGGCGACTCACTGGTATCGCAACGGAGAACACAATCTCCCGGGCGAGCCACGCGGCGTGGTCCCTCGCGACAGCGAACCGATGTCAAACGCTTCCGAACGAAAGTGCACGCGCCAGACGATACACGGTATATTATGGTTGCGTCAGATGTCACATTCGCCGATTTCGAAACGCGCATCCGCGAGAAATTCGGGTTCCGGTGTCCGCTTAAGATGAAAGTACAGGATGATGGTGACATGATTACCATGGTTGACCAAGAGGATTTGGATCTGTTGCTGAGCTCGGCCCGGGAGGTCGCTCGGCGGGAGAGGACGGAAATGGGAAAATTGGAGGTAGGTTCTTTTTTTATCTCATCTTGGTGATACTGATGCTGACGGTGTCCTAGATATGGGTGGAGGAACGGTCTATGATTTGAGTTTGGGGTTGGGGTTGAGGCCGTTGGTTCGGGGCGTTTTAATATTTGCCGGCTTGTTGATATTAGCATCTTGGTTTTGTCTATACCCTAGGTCCTGCGAATGGAATACCAGCATCGTTTTCAGAGAGATATCCCCTTTTGTTCTGTGTTTGTCATCTTAGAGGGATCAGGACGTTGGAATCATGGCTCGTATTCGTGGTGTTAACAGGTCAAGCTTTCAGCCAAGCGCGTAGACGGGCGGGCTCTATTTGTCGAACACAATCAACTCCGTATTCAAGGTGACAAAAATGTACCCAAGGTACACAGCCCGATGGTAAATTCTTGAGATGTACGGATACACGGAGTCCATAGATATAAACCAGCGGTCTAAGCTCCTAACAAAGATGGCACTCAACCATACCTGCTAACACTGAAATAGGGCATGCGAAGCCACATTAGCAGCGAAAGGGTCGCGTGGATTGAGATATACCGGTGATCCAGACGTATAATCAGTAACAAAGGGTGGGAGGCTATTTATACCGCTGTTGTTGTGAACGCGGGCAATATCATTGTTGACCTTGTTCTGTATGGGACGGCTTGCCGGGTAGGCTTGCACTTTCCGGTCTAGCCGAAAAATCGAAACAGGAAGCTTGTTTTGCTCTGGTAAATGTCCCAGTTCAGGATGATAGGAAGTGTTCGAAATGTCAAAAACAAGGAACGCGCGAGTTGACCGCTTCTGCTTTGCCAGCAGTCTTAGGTGTGGTAGGTGGTCGTAGGTGATGTGATCCAGTAAAAGGTTGTCTTTGAGAACTTCGAAAGCCACTGGGAGTAAGTCCTCCGAAGCAGACAAAGACTCCTCCCAATATACATTCAGGTTCGAGATAACGACGAGAACACAATGAGGCTTGTGTTCCGCCATCTAGAGGCCTATTTTTATCAGTTCTATTATCTGTAGCATCAATATCTAGGTAAATCACTATCCACAGTCTTAAAAATAATATTATATAGTGTTTCAGGTCAACAAAGCTGTGCTGCGGCCGTGGCTCGGTCCAAGGAACTGCCCGCTCCGGGACGCGACACGGACCAAATACGCAGGATCGACGTTGACGTTTGTTGACAGCTCTCCAATTCCAATTACCACCACCCAACGCAACCATGACCGACCTCACTCCTGCGCTCAACACGCTGCTCTCAGCCAAGCATGCAGCCCCAGTACCTACCCCCGAATCCCGTCTACCAAGCACAGAGACGGCAGACGAGTTCCTGAAGGAGGCATACCGAATCGTCAGTCCGCACCTACACTAACACCTACCTACAATTGAGCTAATGGAACTTGGCGCGAAAACAGAACTCACATATCCAATCCCTACTGCAATACCTCCAATCCATCCGGCACGCCTACCTCTCCACCACAGCCCCGCGCCACAACACCAGCTTCAACAACACGAATCCCAAATCCCGAAACAGCAACCCACACCACAGTCACGCCCCCTCAAAAACACAAACCCATCTCACCGACCCCGAGCGTGATGCGGTCGACTCCTCAACCGCGCTCCTGCTCCGCGACTTAGCAGCCTCCATCTCCAACCTCGCCTCGGCGGAGTCCCTCCGCGTGGAAACAGAAGCGACAGTGCTACGCAAGAAATATGGACACGGCGCTGCGCATTCGCTGCTCTGGCGGTGGGCTGGTGGGGCCGGCGCACTGGGTGAGAGTGGTGGCGATGATGCAGAGTCGAGCCGGGGGAAATCTGAAGAGCAGATTCATGCCGAGGGATGTGCGCGAGCTATACGGACTGTTAGGGAGGGTGTACTGTGGTTTCTGAGACGGGGGCTGGAGGGCGCGGTGAGTGTGCAGCGGAGTATGGTTGAGAAGCGCATTGAGAGGGTGCGCGAGAAGGAGAAGAGTGTTTTGTATAAGGCTGCTGCTGGAAGTGCTGGGTCTGGGGTGAACGATGTTTCGTCTCCGAGTGGCAGTGGTGTGCCTGGCAAAACATCCCCGAATCCGGCTTCATACGGCGGTCCCTCGAAACCACCGCCGCAGCCAACACCCGACGCAGCGGTTCTCAGCGACGCGGACACAGCACAGATCGAAGCACAGCTCTCGCCGGAGCAATTGCAGCTCTTTGCAGAGGAGAACGACTCCATGCTACGACATTATCAGGATACCCTGGGGAAAGTCCAGTATGTATTCTCCTCTTGCTTCCTTCTTCACGTCTCCCATTCGGAGATATCGGTACAGAACACTAACACCAAACCACTATCAAAAGAAACGCCGAAAAATCCCTTCTAGAAATCTCCTCCCTCCAAGAAACGCTGGTCTCCCACCTCTCCACACAAGAAGAGTTCATCACGCAGCTGGTCACAGACGCGGAGTTGACATCGTCGAATGTCGGCAAGGGCAATCGCGAGCTGAAGCGTGCAACGGAGAGGCGGAGTACGGCACAGGCCGTGTTTTGGGGGACTGTTGGGTTGTGTACGGGGCTTGTGGTTTGGGATTTGGTCTTCTAGAAGGGTATGTCAGGAAAGGTGGGTTGGTTGTCTGTTGTATATTCATTTGGCCTCGGTGGTTTCTGGGGTTGATGGTATTCCGCCTGTTGCATACACCAAGTAGCAATGTATATATTACCTTATTCCCAGGGTTACAGCCTGTGCAACATCCTTGAATCCGAGGTGAGTTCGATATAGATAGGTATTCACGCAATGATAATATCACCATCTAACAACAAACACAAGCCAAAGACCCAACCAAAAATCTCAGTGTATTCAATCAGAAATCCCAAACATAGGTCTACAACATATAATAGAATGCAGTGCACAGCACGACAGTCATCCATCCAACGTCCGGCTGACCGTAACTATCTGAAGATGCCCAAAACAACAGCAAGAGTGTATATAGAAAGGAATCCAACCCTCAACCCGGCGTCAGGCTAACTTTGAGCTTGCGCAGAAGCCCTAAGCCTAAACCCAAGCCTAAGCTTAAGAAGTCTCACGGACGACGCTGTCAACAGCTTCGGCGAAGTAGTCCAGGTTATGCGAGTTCAGACCGGCCATGGAGATGCGGCCGTTCTTGGTCTGTGGCTCCACGTCAGCAAGCCTGCACCAATGATTCCAAAGGGAAAAGGAAGAGACTCACCATGTACACATGCCACTTATCCCTCAACACCTTAACCTGCGCCTCGCTCAACCCCGTAAAGCTGAACATGCCAATCTGATCGGTAATATGCGCCCAGCTTCCCGGGGTGCCCTTCTCCTCCAGACGAGCCCTCAAGCCCTTCCTCATCTCCTGAATCCTCCCACTCATAGTCCGCAGATCAGCCTCCCACTCCTTGAACAGGGCCGGATCATTCAAGACCCGACTAGCAATCCTAGCCCCGTAAGCAGGCGGATTCGAGATCTCTGACCGCTGCAGGATGGCCAGCTGGCTGGCGATATGGGCCGATGCATTGGAAGCGTCAGCGCCCGGCGCAGAGACGAAGTGGAACGCGCCGGTGCGCTCGCCGTACAGACCAAAGTTCTTGGCGAAGGACTGCGCAACGCACAGCTCGAATCCCTGCTCGACGAAATACTGGATCGCCCATGCGTCGCGCGCAAGGTTGCCGGAGGCGAAGCCCTGGTAGGCGCAGTCGAAGAATGGGAAGTGGTGTTTCTGCTTCATGACGGTCGCTATTTGCTTCCACTGCTCCTGGGTCGGGTCGACGCCTGTGGGATTGTGCGCGCATGCGTGCAGCAGGATCACTGAGCCAGCGGGCGCGCCTTGGAGGGCCTGCAGCATGCCATCGAAGTCGAGCCCCTTGGTCTGCTTCGAGAAGTACGGGTAGTTACCCAGGGTGAGGCCGACATTGGTGAAGATCTGGTGGTGATTTGCCCATGTTGGCGAGGAGAGGTAGAGGGCTGGTTTGTTGGGGTGGAATTTCGAGAGGAAGAGTCCGCCGAGATGGACGGCGCCGGTTCCCGAGATGGTCTGCAGGGAGCAGATCTGGTGGGGCGTTAGCACGTAGTAGTGTGATCGGGGGTGTTTTCGCGAGGACATACCCGTTTCTCTCGGATGGCGGGAGAATCAGACCCGACGATGAGTTTCTGCGCGGCGGCGGTGAACTCGGGCAGGCCGCCGATGGAGAGGTATTCGTGGTTGAGGGTCGGGTCGTTGTGGATGGCGTTGTCGGCCTTTTGTCTCGTTAGCAGGGAATGGCAATCGCAATGAGTAGCGACAGATAAGAGGGAGAACGAGAGAGCGGATGGGCCATTACATACCTTCTTAACAACAGGCAAAACCCACGGCTTCGCATTATCGTCGCGGTAGGCACCAATGCCCAGATCAACCTTGTTCTCAGCGGGGTCCTCGCGATAGGCCTTCATGAGACCGAACAAGGGATCCTCAGGCGCAGCGGCCACGGCTTGCGCGGTGAAGACAGGAGTTGTGGAACCCATGATGTGGTTGGAGAGTGCAGAGAGACGGGTGGAGGGGGAAGAAGAAGATGTTGTTGAAGGGGCCATGTTGGCGGGCTGGGCTTGGATGATCACTAAATACCTTACCCCGGACGGGACCGATTGTCTGCCTGTCTGCTTGCGTTCACCGGATGGGGGGAATGGTGAGGGGGTGGGCCTAACGAAGTAATATTTTTTTTGGAGTCAAGATCTTAGTCAATTCTCCGTAGGTAAGTTATTTATATTTCTCTTCTCTTCCATCACTACCTCGGCCTACTCCCGCCGGTCTTCCTGGCCCATGACGCACCTGCTTCACATGCCCAAGGCCGTTGACACCTGAGGCTGCCAGCCAGAATCCCCGTGACAGGCTGGGCGGCCCGATGCTGAGTAATTCGGTGTGTCAGGGGCCAAACAACGAAAAAGGCGCAAGTGGAGTCGGGGGTTTTCTCCGTGGGGGAAAGTAATAAGAAGTGAAAGGATCCGAGTCCAGCCGGGGAGAGTGTGGAGCTGAGAAACTTAACATATGTTTTCCTTGTATGCAGAATAATATCCATGATCCCCCCCTATAACCTGTACATAGGATGTATACACACATGTAGTAGTATATGCAAGAAGACCAAGACCAAACATAATAAATCACATCGAAGAGAAACCAATCAAGCCGCGCATTCTTTTCTTCCCATAGGTGTGCCCAACGCCGTCCATCTTGGTAAAATGAGAAAGGAGAGAAAAAAGTGTATCAATCAATGAATCATAAGTCATGCCAACGCCAGAACATAAAAAAAAAAATAAGATCATGTCTCAGACTCAGCAGCCGGCGCCGGGGGAGTCGGGGCCGCGGGAGTCGGGGCCGGTACGGCGGGTTCAGCCGGTGTTTGCACCCCAGACGAACCTTCGATGCCATGAGCGCGGGTGCGAATGCGGAACCGGTCACGCAGACGGGTCGTGAGTCTGCTGCGACTCGGGCGCGATCCCTCGACTTGGCTCTGGCCCTGGGTCTCTTCGCGCACCCGTCGGAGCGCAGCGAGGCGCTCTTCGACGGTTGCCTCGTGCATGCGCCGCGCGTTCAGAGGGCTGTGGCTGTGCAGGAGCGTTGTCAGCCGTCGGTGCGAGTGATGGTGCGTTGCATCGGCCGTCGGAGTTGCGGTACCATCGGGGGTGGCCTCCGTGTTGGTGTTTTCACCGGTCTCGCCCTCTCCTTGCTCGGCATTCTCTTCGGCTTGCGGCGGGTTGAGGTTAATGCGGCTGGTGAGGGTTGTGTAAGTCTGCGCTCAGATAATAGATAGGGAGAAGATGAGAGAGGGACAAACCAGAGAGGACAGGTGCCAGACACATTCACCAGCCAGGGATCAATGCACTCCATATGGAACTGGTGGTTGCACGGCAGCACGCGGAGGTCCTGGCCCTTGATGAAGTCGTCCGTGCAGATCGGGCAAGAGAAGTTGCCCGCGTCGGGGGCCACATCGGTTTTGGATTCATGAGCGGTAGTTTGGGGTCGGTCGGAAGGTTGTTCGGGCGTTGACGGCCTGGGGTCGCCTGGTGCAGTCATTTCTACCGCGGTAATACTGTCTGACCGAGGCGGAGAATGCTCCCGGGGCGATTCGTCGGGGTTCATGGTCATCTCCACGTCCCGTTTGACGGCCTCGACGCTGTCCTCATTGTCGCCGAATTTGACAATGGGGATCGTTTCGAGCATGGCTCGGGCTATACCTCGTGCTCGACTTTGCCGTGCCCGTCCGGCGATCCGGCGGGGTCCATATCGTTCCGGGTGCCGATGGGCACGCACTGCGCCCGTGACAATAATCCCCAGGAAGAGCGCGGTGATGATCCCCGTGATGCTGTAGAGGATGATCATCGCTGATACAATTAGCACGGACCACTCGCAATCTATCTGGGGTCGATCAGCACATACCCGTGTTGGGGCTGTCGTTATTCTGCTGGGCGCCGAGCGGATCCGTGGAGCCCGCTGGAATGTACGTCGTCGACATGGCGGAGAGGATGCTGAGAGAAGAGCCGATGGAATCGAGAAGGGCCTTGGCAGCATCGGGACTTAGCAGAGTAAAAACGTTGGCGAAGTTCTCATCGGAGGAGTAGTCGCAATGCCCGGCCGATTCACTGTAGAGGAGGATGGCTAGAGCCTTTCCCGAGGAGATGACGTTGCTGACGGTGCTGCTGGCATTCACAAAACCCGACAGTTCATATTCTGATTGGTCACAGGAGATACAGGCAATGGATGATTTGGGCAGCGTGAAGGAATTGCTGGGGGTGACAGCGACCGCAGGACCAGTGAGATTGAATGCCTACGTGAGGCGGTTAGTTGGTCATTTCGTGGGTTGCGACCGGACAGAATCTAATTAATTACCTGGAGTTGGGCGTCTGACAGGCTAGTCAAGGCGTCGGTCAATGGAGCGAGAGTTTGGTTGTTAAGCAGGCTGATGTGGCTGTGTAGATGGTAGCGGACACTGGAGATATCGTGGGGACTGTTGGAGGGCTCGACGGTGAGATCGGCCCGGGCGGAAGAGAGAAAAGAGGGGAGGAGGAGGAGGAGGAAGAGGAGGAAGAAAGAGGACGGAAGAGAAGCGAACATGGTCAGCCTTCCCCCACGATGATGAGTTCACGGGAGTTGGCGGATGGGGCAGTGTGGGGGCATTCCACTCTGCAGGCTACACGGAGTAAGTCAGAGGGAAGTCAGGGAAGCGAAAAGCAGCAGAGTGGGCATTATTTAAGGGTACAAACCGGTCCGCAGCAAGTCATGACGAACGGGTCACGAATGGGGGAAGTCCAACAGCCCTCGATCGCGGGATCTGGACTGCGCTCGCCCGGATCGACACGATCCGTGCTGACCTTGTCCAGGACTAACAGCAACTTTTCCGATGATAGTCGGCGGAGGGAGGAGTCAAGGGCTCGGAGTAAGTCCAAGGACGTATTACGATTATTATTATTATTATCATCATCATTCCCATTCCTCCTCTTCTTCTTCGTCGTCCAGTGAGACAATTCTAGCGAGACAAGAATAGATGCTCGTACTGCAGAGGAAGGCCTCGGCTCTCATCGACCACGGTGAAATGCTGCGCAAAATGCGCCATGGCCACCTGAAAAACCCCCTCTTCTACAGGTTCTGCTTTCCTTCCGTCCCCTTTCCTTTCCCTTCCCCCACACATACACCACCACCTCTTGTCATGACTTCCTGATCTTTCTGTCCGGGTTTGTCTTTTGCGCCCGACCATCCATTCGTTCTTGTCTCTTCAATCGAAGGGCATTCCCCCCCCACCAACGGGACACAGGCTCACCATGGCCCCCGACAACCCCCGCGACCCTCAGGGGACCAGGGACGAGCAATGGCCGCCAACGCCCTCGCCGTACGTGTGTGTCTGTGGCCGGCCGCCGCATCCGTGCTAACGAATTATCTGTAGAACCCTTGCGATCGCGGAACTCGACACCGAACGCAACGAGCTGGCCCAGACATGGAAATGGTTCAATAGCCATCTGCCCGCCGAGGATCGGGTGGTCGACGGCGACGCCCGCCCACAGACCGCTCACGACATTGTCGACCTCGTGCGCAAAACCCAGACCTACTGGATGTCCCGGCCGCGACAACGGGTGTACAGTCAGGCATCCGCCCTCTGCGATCGCCTACTCCCTACCCTAGACACTCATTCAGCGTTGCTGTCCGTTCTGCCCGAGTCTAACCTCTACGCCCTGCTCTTTTACGGCGTGCTCCAGTCCTTATTGAAGGTCAGTGAGAAACAGAAATATGGATTGCCAAATCTCTAATCATCCGATGTCAGGCAACGGTACATTGCCCGCACCTCATGGAGGGACTGATCACGATTCTCCTCGATATTCATAACACTCTCAATTTTCCCGGCGGAACGCTGCCTCCGAGCGATGCGGCGGCACCCATTGCCAGAATCTACGCCATCACATTTTTCTTGCTCTCGGAATTCATGGACTACTATGTACGGAGATCCACCTGCAAGTCTTTGAAAAGCCACAACCAGGATGTATACGCCGAGTTTGATCATCTGGTCCATCTCATCCAACGCCGGGCGCGCGATCTCCCCTGGCGAGCGGAAGATCGGATGGAAACGGACGAGGAAGAGTCAGTCTGGGAGACCCTCCCGTATAATGCCCGGGCTCTATGGGAGGAGACGCGCTTGAGCCAGATCGGGCGCCAGGGAACGGAGCGTCGGATTGCGGCCCAGAATACCATCACCCGCCGATTGATATGGGACATTCAGCAGAATGCAGAGGACCGGGATCGTATCCGTAACGAGCGAGAGCACCTCCTGGCGCAGGCGCTAAGTGCCTTGAGCCAGCAGCTGCAGCCCGTTGAGCAGAGTAGTGGCATTGCTTGTTTGAGTACGGCTGCCGTCCAGAATCTCGGTACGAATATCCCCCCACAAAATCAGCGCGGTTTTCGCTAACCACCGAGTAGATACATCCCAGTTTGAATGGTCTCGGGGGTCGAAACGCCGCCTGGCCCGCCTCGAGCTCCAAAGTGCATCGAAGCATCTCCAGGCGTACTTTGACAATAATGATCAGATCGCCGATGTTGATCCCGACGTCAAGGTTGCCGCCGAGGGCAGTGTCATCGCGTCCCTGCAGCAATGGGCCACAAGCTTGCGGTCCCAGGCCCTGGCAGTGGGCGGGTCACCCACTGTCTCCCCCAGCCCCGTGGCACTCACGTCAGCCTGCTATGCTTCATTTGCCAGACAGGCACGACTGCCCGTAATTTCGCATTTTTGTTCCCTGCCCACCCAAGAGGCACAGGGACTGTCCCCGCAAGAGCAAGGGTTTATTGCCCTCACATACAGTCTAATTCGCCAACTAATTGATTGCCTTCCCCCGTCGTGGACAGCGACGCCGTGTTGGATCTGGGCGCAGAGCGGTTCCGCCAGCTAGACGGGAAGCTGGGCAGCTGGAAAGCAGCGTTGTCACTCATCGACACGCTCGTCCACTTTGCTCCCCCTCTGCTGGTGTGTGTCATCGATGGGTTGGATGTGATCATCGACACATCCACGGATGCGCCGATTCGCGAACTAGTCCGTGTCCTCCTCACCCACACGCACCAAGCAATCCTCACAATGCCCGATGGCACCCGTAGCCCCGGTGCATTGCTGAAAGTGCTCTTCACCGTCACCGGCCGACCCGCTGCACTTGTGGAGACCATGTCCGAGAACCATCTGATCCTCCGCGAGTCGAACCAGTCGAGCGAACCCGCACCCTCCGATCCCGTCCTGGCCTCAGATGTCGGGGTGGTCATGATGAATGCCTGAATGAGCTGATGCCACCATCTTGCTTGCTTGTCCCCTTAACGAATTTTTTCTTGTTTCTTTCTTTGTTGGGCCCCAGCCGAAGGACGTTTGATTCGACCCATAGATCTTTTTTATTCTTGACGAGATTTATCCACCCGTTGAACGCATGGGACTACTGGCATGGGACGACGGATACATTTTTGTTGATAGGAGTTTCTGGGTGAATTTTGTGTCATCCTCATTTGGGATTCTCCATTTTCTCGGCGTTGACTTTTCTCTCTCTTGTTTTGGACTGGCGTTGCGGGACGGATGCTTTGCTTTGTTTATGGCGTCTGTCCTGTCTGGCCGTGGCGGCGGGCACAATAATGATCTCGAGAGGGCTGTCCTGCCTTTTTGTTTGCTTTCCCTTTGGTAGTAGACCTGTACTATAGTCTGCTCGATAGCCCTCCCCTGTGATACCCTGACAATAACGAATCGGGCTCGGAATTAATTTTCCGAGTGATCTTGCGGTCGATGTTGCTGTTCACCATGTCCTTCGGCCCGAAATGCGATGCGGGGATGCACTGGCGGAGACTGGATTCCGCTGGATTTTGAAGACTTTTAAAGTCGGACCGACTGCCGTCTTATGTACCAGACATACCGCCAAGACACACATCTTTACCAACATCACCATGATGAACGGCCATACATCCCCGGTGCCCTCACGGCTCTACAACGCCGACTCCGTAAACCTGGAAGAATTCAAGGACCTCTGCTCACGAACCACGGACCCAACCGCCTACCCTCTCTGCGACAGCATCTCAAACAACGTCCCCATCTACGACATCCCAACCCTGGAACAAACCCAAACTCTCTCCAACAGTCTAACCACCCTCCAAGATGAATGGCACCACATTCTCCATTCGGGACCTGGGGTATTCGTCCTACGCAAAATGTACAACCCAGCCAAATACTCCACCGTCCTATCCGCCGCAAACACGGCCTACAACTCCATAATCGCAACCGAACGATCCTCTGCCGCCTTCTCAAAAGGCGACCACTTCGCCTCAGGCGGCACTAATGACCGCATCTGGAATGCCTTCTCCAAGCACGCTCTCACAGACCCCGAAAGCTTCGTATCCTACTACTCCAACCCCTGGCTCGCGGCCGTAAGCACCGCCTGGCTCGGCCCAGGCTACAAAGTCACCGCGCAAGTAAACGCCGTGCACCCAGGCGGGGCAGCCCAGTCACCACACAGGGATTACCACCTCGGCTTCGTGGAAGAAGACAAATGCAGACATTACCCGACGACATTGCAGCACGCGTCCCAGTTCCTAACTCTGCAGGGCGCAGTCGCGCACAGCGATATGCCGCTCGAGTCCGGACCAACCCGATACCTGCCTTTCAGCCAGTGTTATGCGCCGGGATACCTCGCGTGGCGACGGGATGACTTCAAGTCCTTTTTCGCAGAGAATTATATATCCCTCCCGCTTTCATTGGGCGATGGAGTTTTCTTTAATCCTGCGCTCTTTCACGCTGCAGGTGCGAATGTGATGGATCCCGCGAATGGCGGGTTCAGACGCGTTGCGAATCTGTTGCAGATTAGTGCCGCGATGGGGAAGACGATGGAGAGCGTTGAGACGCTGCCGCTGCTTGAGTCCGTTTGGGAGTTGTTGGTGAGCAAGTATAAGGTTGAGGCGGGGGGCGTGATTGCAGATCCGGATATGGATCCGGTTCGCTGGAGTTTGCCCGCTAGGGAGGTCAGGGCTCTCGTGCAGGCTGTTGTGGAGGCGTATCCGTTCCCGACGAATTTGGATAAGCGTCCGCCGGCGCCCAGTGGGATGGCGCCGGAGAGTGAATTGGATATTGTGGTTAGGGGGTTGGAGGAGGGGTGGGGGAGAGAGAAGGTTGTGCTGGAGATTGGACGGTTGCAGAGCGATTCGAGGGCTTGATCCCTTTTGTTTCATACTTTGGTAGATAGCTCTTTATCCATTTCCTGATCGGCGCTTCGGAATATAATGTCCACTGTATTGATCAAGAGGGCTGCAAGGCAAGCATGATTACTCCTATATTAAGGCGTATGATTGAACCACTATGAAAAGTGCTCATTCGTCGATTGATTTCGGTCCTATCTGGCACGTGAATTGATCCTTTTGGGTTCTTGAAATAGGCGTTCCTATACTAAGCAAAGAAGCTAAAGGGACAAGAATATATGACTGTTCATAATCTATATACCGAGCTTGGATTGTTTGCATAATAATACGACCGTGAAGGAGGACAGGAACATGTCAACTCTCTTGGTTATTTCGGCGCTTACGGGCCTCCCCGGGCTCGGGTAGGTATCTCGCTACAAGCGATAAACCGGAAGCAAGTAGGACCAGAAGAATCCAGATGGCGTAAACCCCCGCCAATTGTGTTCTCGCCCCCAGAGCGAAGACGCTGGTGAAGAGAGCCGGGCAGAAGGCCCTCAGACCGCTAACGCCAGTCAGGGCCAGAGCATTCAGCGTGCCCAGGACCCTCGCCGAGGGTGAAATGTCGTTCAGAGCGAGTTGGATCGCCGTGAAGCTCATGCTAACACCGCAGCCTACGGCCAACATCAGTGGCGTGAAGACCCAAAAAGTCTTGACAGATGCTTCGGTCCCTGCCCGCAGAAGGACATTGCCAATGGGGCAGCACATGAAGAATACCGGATAGGCAGAGGCGCAGAGGCGTATCACTCCGTTCGACCCGATCCTCTGCTGCAATGGGGGGAAAACCAGGAGGAGCCACGCGGCTTGGGCAGCGCCATTCAGACCCATCATCAGCGAGATTTGCAGTGGCGTGAAGCCGTATCCCCCGAGATGTACGGGGGTGAACCAAAACACGGGGACAACGGCCGTATAGGCATAGGCGAGGACCATGATGTGCCCGTACGTGTAGATGACCATGCCCACACCTGGCGATATCAGAAGCTGGGAAACCGAAGTATCCACGCGTTGGGCCGGCGCATCGTCAGATGCCGGCTCCCTCTTTAGCGTCTCCTGAACAAAACAGGCAGTAGACACGGCAGCGGTGGCCCCAACGAACGCCACCACCAGGCTTGAGAGTGCATATGGATAGTCCTTGAAAAATTGCACGGCTCCAAAGGCGCCCGGGTACTGGCGTACCGGATCGGCAAGGGCACCGCCCAACAGAGGTCCCAAGAAGATGCCCAGGTTCCCGCTAAAAGCGAACCAACTGAAGGCCCGGGCCTGGGTCTTGGTCGTGCTGTGCTCGGCCACCATAGTGCGGATGGTGACGATGGTCCCCGCAAAGACGCCAGCAAGGCACCTGAAAAGGATCATCTGTGGTATGGTCTTTGCTAGCCCGAAGAGGCCCGTTGCTGCGGTCACACCGAACAAAGAGAAGACCAGGACCGGCTTGCGCCCGACGCGGTCGGCTGCTCGGCCCCAGAATATCATAACGATGGCCTGCGTCAGGGAGAATAAAGACTCAATGAGTCCGCTGTAGAAGCCGACATCCGAGTCCGCAACGTCCCCGTTGTCCTGGACCATCTGGTTGACGTAGGGGAAGATGGAGAAGAAAGCCAGGGGCTCGATCGCTCGGGCATAGCAGAGTAGCAGGACTTGGAGCTTGGGCAGAGGCTTTTCCTCATCATCACCGTTGTCGTCCGCGCTGTCACCATCCGGGGGTGACGACCCGTCTGCAGGATCCAACGTACGCACGTCAGAGCGCGTGGACGTGCCGGATCCAAGGAGAGCCGTAGTCTCATTTACATCATCGCTTTCGTGCCCAAGTCCGGCAGCCTGTTTTTGCCGGCCAGAATTATATCTGTCTGTCCCCGGCGTGGTAGCGACCATGTCTGGAGGTAGAATCAGACGGTGTCGGGTCGACCATTGTTTAATTCTGCAAGATTTAAAGATTTAGGTGAACCCCACCGCGGAGGAAAGAACTTAGATAAGCGTTAGTTATCGACTTCCAACTACCGCTCCACGAACAGACTAGACTATTATATGCACACTGAAAACAGTATTACACCACAACCCTAAGTGACGGTAAATCCTGGGCCAAAAATGGCTACTTTGGACACCTTTTTCAGCGACCTTTTACCAAAATCCCAGTATAATTCTCACAGGGACTCTATCATGTGACTTGACCTTTTTTTTAGAGCCACCGAGCTTCATACGAAGAAAGATCAACTTCTTCTTCCTTTTTGGCTCTCCGACTCGCTCCCCAGAAATTCACTCACGACGGCTGAGATTCCTTCGCCGTAAATAATCAAGGAGTGGATGGAAATGAGTGGACGGAAACTAGTGGATGGAAACCCTTTTCCGTTCCACTGTAAACCTTGGTGAGGATCTCTCAAAGTGAATACGATAAAAAATATAAAGCAGCCAAAATACTTTTAGTTCGACATAGGAAAATATTCAGTGATGGTTGTCACTAATTTTCCCGTCAATGAGCGGATGGCGGTGCATACGAAAACTTTTTCACCTTGTCTTGAACTCCCGTATAACACTTCGAAGTCCGAACGTCGATGCCAATGAGTGATATAGATTCTTGCTCTTCATTCCATGGATTTCTGACATTTGCTGTGCTGTGCCGGTATACAATGGATTGGAAATAAGCCAATCATGCCGCATGTACATACGCCGAAGCAGGGATGCAACTTCCACGTCAAGCTACACTTCATACAAGTGTGCTATCCTTCGCGAAAGACTGGGCTATTGGCCGCATACCGCTAGGCACTCTATCCAACCTCGAGTGCCTCAGATATCACCTTAGAAGACATATTATGGCCCCTAAATAGCGCATGGTGCCAATAGTCTGCTCTTACTTGGGTGTTATCGCGTCTACTGCGGTGTCTAGGTTGATTTTATGGAGCATAAAGCCTCATAAGGCTTTGAATAAAAAATATAACACTAGTGGCAATAGCTCTATTCACAGTTATATATTTAGCTGGCAGGAGTAAACATTCGACACAAAAAAAAGTCCCCTAAAATGTATATAGCTGAATGCAGGGAATTGCGCAGAACCTGCTGGTAGGTCCATGCAGCGACATTTTTCTAACTCAACTGCTTCGTACGGGTAAAAGCATAAAGTTCATGGTTTCGTTGACGAATATGAGGCCATAGAGGAGCCCTATAGACAAGCAAGGGCCGTCCAGTGTGTATAAGAGGTATCATGGGGCAGGTAGACGCGTTGGGTCAAAATACAGTTGGGCGACATGTGTATAGGTTAGGCTCTCAAAAAAGGCGGTAAAATCGATGGCTTTAGACTTTGGACACCACTGTGTGCATGACGGCACGGCCACCCGATTTACTTTCGAGCTAAATGCTGACAAGGCTGGGCGCCGCGCCTTATATTGCCCACCGTACCCTGTCGAGTCAAGATGATAATCGAATCTTTTTTTCATCTCTGCCCTCCAGTCTATTCCTTTGCGGTAGACATGCGCCATTCTCTGGGCTGCCTTTTTGTTTACTCAAATCTGTTGAGCTTACTGGTCACCGTCCTTGCCAAGGATGACCCAGACTATAATTCTGCGGAGAACTTCCGCCCCGGTAATGTCACAGGTTTGAACAGCATGTATGCATGGGTCGGATCGTGAGTAGTAACATGCCAGCCGCGGCCTATTTTGATTAGAGGAATAACTGGGCTATAGGTACTACAATGCAACAACAGAGGTGACGGTGACGCCCCAGATGGGGCCTGAACCCGGTGACGCTCTGTGTCCGCCTTTACAAAATTACACCACAACCATGAAATGGACATCGATTTTGGCCATCACGGAAAGAGGCACTTACAATACGGGGCCCAACCCAGTCAACATATGGCTGACTTTGATACCCCCGAATTACAACTGGTCTACGTTGCCGTGGGACGGTAGTAATTTAATAAGCACCCAATTTTGGTGGGCGCTTGATTCAACTCAGTGAGTCTCGTCACACTCCGGGGTTCGAATCACATTTCGCCTCTGGTCCGCGATTTTGACCTGTTTAGACCGACATGGATAGGACAAGAGAACATAACTGCACCCCCCGACTACTTCAATATCACAGCCACCAAATCCCAAAATACATTTTCTTTGGGGGGCATACTAAACGATCCCAGTGGGCATGGGTCGTGGAGTTATGATGATCATATCTGGATGCCAACTTGCAACTCCAGTTACTATTACGGAAACTGGAGTTTAACGCTACTACAAATTCCAGGTGACGAGTGGTGGAGCACTCAGGGCTGGAGGAGCTTCATGCTTCCTAAGATGATTGTTACGTTTGACGAGCAAACTGCTAATTTCACGCTCGATGGGGATTTCCAAGCATATCCATTCTTGAGATCGAACGACACTAATTACATTGGCGGATTAAATGGGGAACTGGGGCCGGGAGTACAAGGCACCATACGATTTACATTCAAAGGTGTCTTGGATGCTTACCATTCAGATGTTCTCAACATGAACGCGTCTTCCCCGACTTGGCTTCGAACTGTCGGTTTCGGCAACAATACTCTTAATATTGGGAACGGCGCGATTGGCCGACTTCGTCCTAGTCTAGGGGCTGCAACTATCGTGATAACTTGTATTATATTTGCAGTCTTTTACTAGATTTATATACTGGGTTTTCTTTGAGGCCGAGTACCAGTGCTCCAATCTATAGCAAAGAAAATCCAAACAGCCACGGTACGGACGAGAATCGCTAAACTGAATACTCCGAAGTAGCCGGCATATATGTCGGCAACGTTCAAGGGTCTTCAGTTGATAAAATGGACAAGAACAGCGGTGACTATTGCTCCGGATCGGAATGGGGAGAAGGACACACGTTGCGCTTGGCATTTCTTATGTATGTTTGATGTCCGCCAGGTATGAGGAAGATGCTGATTGTCCCGGTGAGTAGAGAAAAGCTAGCAAGTAACCACGGTGGGCCGTGATCAGAGAGTGCCATAGTTTGCGGTTTCGAAAAATGAGATCCTTTCCCCAGGGGGCCAGAAAAAGGACAGGATGCAGAAGTAAACGAGGGCAGATTGTAGTGGTGTGCCATAAGTCTGAAACCGTCCATATACCGCCTCAGCCGGGTAACGAGTTTCAGACCTATGAAACACCACTGTAGTTGGCCGAAAAACACAGTATCTTATGTCATACGGTTGTTGCCGCGACATCAAATTTTAAAATCTCGGATGTCCTCACTATAGTTAATAAGGATGTCAACAAGTAAATTCTAAATACTTTAGCTTGCCGTCCTGGTGCAAAATCAATAAGTAGTAATAGCGTACTCGACTGGGGGTGCAACCCCTAACATGACCCTTAATAATCCGCGGTGGGCTGCCGTTTTGGATCGCTAGCCCCGCCGATTAGTGATTGCTATTGGCTGATCGGAGGATTTGAGGGCGGAGACCCTTGAGGCCATGGCGGAGGAGAAAGCCGTGAATAGTTTTCCAATCCGAGTTTAGACTGCATTGATAGCAGGCCGTGAGCTGTACATACAGTACTAACTGCCCCTCTCGGAGTGAGTTGGGGTATGACATCTGTGGTGCTTAGCAACCGGGCATTCTTCGCGTAATTCCACATTTTTGGCTTTGATGAAACATGGCGTGGTCTCACATACTAGAACACATTCCCCTGATTATGTATTGTTTCTTTGTGTCTTTCCCTAATTGCTTTTTCATACTTTTTCATACTTTTTCATACTCTTTCATACTCTTTCATACTCTTTCATATTCACCTTCACTTGCTTGATTCTTTGACCTTCACATCTTCCCTTGATCACAATCTTAACCGAACCTCGGCCATCGCCGATCGAACGGGTCCACTCTGTGCTGTCGGTGGATGATCAACCACTCCAACACCAATCCCAGCGCCGAATCAGCGCGAAAACCGAAACAAAGTCAAATCACTAACTGAACGAGGGGAACCCGCGCCTCAACTAGTGCAACGTGATCTCCACTTCACCAATTGGACCAGCCAATTCCAGGGCAGATCGAAGCTGAATCAGAAAAAGTCGAAATCTGGACCAGGAATAAAAGCGAGGGCCCCTCGTCAAGTCGCTGCGATGGTCGTCGGCCGTTTGGGACTCGTTCGACGTTCCAACAACAACAATACCAACAGCAACAAGAAGAGTCAAAATCGGTACAAATACAATAACCGGTTCAGCTACACCAGCAACGGGTCGTTCTTTCATCGGTTCACGCCTCTTCCTTCAAACGACATGCCTGACGGGGGATTGGGGCATGGGCCCCATGGCGATGTGACCATCGACATCCCCCTCAATGACAGCCCGCGCCTGACGCAGACGGGGTCCCGGAGTAAAGGCCAATCCTCGCCCGAATATGTGGATGAGAAATCCGGTGCGGTAGCGAAACACCGTGGCCTGCCCGGCCGTCGCCGCAAAACACAAGACGAGATCAACGAGAGCACGGGCAAACCCTCCGATTCTCCCGAAGATGGAACCATCAACAGCATAGGTCGCTTCTACCAGGCTATTCTGAATTATTCCATTGTCACTCGCTACCTACTCTACATCACCCCGATCGGCATCTTGATCGCCATCCCCATCATCGTCGGTGCCACTGCCGCCAGGGACGCGAAGATCGGTGGGGTGCATATCTACTGGTTCTTTGCGTGGATCGAAGTCGTTTGGGTGTCTCTGTGGACGTCTAAAGTCTTTGCAAGGTTCTTGCCATATGTCTTCCAGTCTTTGTGTGGTATTGTTAGCTCGGGGACGAGGAAGTATGCGCTTATTCTGCGTGCGCTGGAGACGCCCATCACCATTGTACTATGGTGTATCATTTCGTTAGTGACGTTTCTTCCGGTACGTCTTTCTTCCCATTTAGATGGAATTGCTGATAACATCCCACAGGTCATGACCCTGACCCCTGGGAAGCAAGATAGCGGCGACACGGATGTTCAATCCTGGGAAAAGAGCGTGAAGAATATCCTCTTCGCACTACTCGTGTGCAGCTTGATCTACTTTGGAGAAAAGGCCATCGTCCAGCTCATCTCCATCAGCTACCACCGCAAACAGTTCGACGCTAAGATCAAACAGTCCAAACGCAACGTCTACCTCGTCGGTCTCCTCTACGAGGCATCCCGAAACATGTTCCCTGTGTACTGCCCGGAATTCGCCGACGAGGACTCCCTGATCTTTGACTCTCTACTCGCTCTAAACGGGACGCAGCCCTCTAAGACTGGATCTGATATTATGCCTTTCCGCATGATGCGCCAGGTCGGACAGAATGTTGGACGCAATGTTGGCCGTATTGGCGACAAGGTCACTTCAGCTTTTGGAAATGTCGCTTCCGAGCTTACGGGCAAGCAAGTCTTCAACCCGAATTCCACTCACTCCGTTGTGGTTGAGGCGCTGGAGCGGAAGCGCTGCGCTGAGGCTCTGGCGCGCCGTATCTGGATGTCTTTTGTCGTGGAGGGTCGCGAGGCCCTGTACCTGGAGGATATCATTGAAGTCCTGGGTGCTGATCAGGAGGCTGAGGCTCAGGAGTGCTTTACTGCTCTGGATAAAGATGGAAATGGCGATATCAGCCTCGACGAGATGGTTCTCACTATCACCGAGTTTGGCCGCATGAGGAAGTCCCTCAACAACAGCATGCATGACGTGGACCAGGCCATTCATGTTTTGGATAACCTGCTGCTCGGTGTGGCCTTCGTTATTGGCATCTTGGTTTTCGGTAAGGCGTTCTCCGTCTTTTTCATGTCCCCTTGCTAATTTTTTCACAGTCTCCTTTGTCACCAGTGGCTTCGGCACAGTCATCGCAGCCGGCGCCACTTCCCTGCTGTCGATAAGTTTCATCTTCTCCGTCACTGCGCAAGAAGTTCTCGGATCGTGCATCTTCCTTTTCGTCAAGCACCCTTTCGACATTGGTGACCGGGTAGACATCACGGACAAGTCCTATGTCGTCGAGCGCATCTCGCTACTCTACACTGTTTTGCGCAGCATAACCGACCACCGCACCACCCAAGTGCCGAACAACATTCTCAACAACCTGTGGATCGACAACTTCACCCGCGCCAACGCCATGTACGAACAGCTCACCGTGTCTGTCAGCTTCGACACCACCTTCGCTGACATCCAATTCTTGCGCGAGGAGATGGAGCGTTTCGTTCGTGACAAGGATAACTCCCGCGACTTCCAGCAGGACCTGAATGTCGAAGTTGTTGGTGTTGGTGACATGGACAAGCTGGAGCTGCGCGTCGATATTCGTCACAAGTCCAACTGGTCGAACGAGACTGTTCGCGCTGCGCGCAGGTCCAAGTTCATGTGTGCTTTGGTCCTCGCTATTCGCAAGATCCCCATCCGCGCTCCCGGTGCCGCTGCACCCGAAGAGGAAAAGAAAGACGATGATAGTTCCGATGCAGGTTCCACTGCCGGTGACGATCGCAAGTCCACTGCTCAGAACGGTGGGGCTGATCGTCAGGATGGGTCTGGTCAGATGGGTCTGACAGCTGCTGCTGCAACTGCCGGTGGCATGGCTAGCTATGACACTGCCCAGTCCTCGGGCGTCGACAACGGCCGATCTACCGGGACCGTCACCCAACGCGGGGCGGCCAACCATTCGCAGAGCGAAGCAGCCATCGTTGAACAGCTGAACGCCCGCTCTCCGGCTGCAGATATTGCCCGCGATACCCGTGACATCAACGAAGAGGCAGGGCTGTACCGCACGACAACCGGCTCCTCCAGTCAAGCCCGGCAACAGCTTGGTGTCCAGAGCCACGGCGCCGGCGCTCCTTCGCGCGAGCCGTCTACCGGCCGCCGGAAAGAAGGCACTCGAGCCTCAGTTCCAGACCAAGATAATATCCACCCGCCAGCACCCCTCTCCCCCGTCCACGCAGGGCTGACACCCTCCTCCTCAAGCGAGGTGCCCATCCTAAGCGCACCCGCCCCCCCAGGATCACGAGGCAACGCACGCTACGAACCGCAACCACAGGTTCCACCACACATGGCTTTCTCAAAAGCACCGGCGTCGGAAGCCTTCACCTCACCCAGCTCGCTGTACTCACGGGGCGCCTACTCGAACCCGGCGTACTACACCCGCGAGAACGCCTACGACCCCATCCCGATGAGCGGGATCAGCACCCACAACAATAATCAGGGCTACGCACCGCCGTCATCAGACCGCGACCGCCGCTCCGGCTCCGGCCCACCTGTCTCCGCGCTTGAACCGAGCCAGTACGAGGTTCCTTCGCAGCGCGACGCCGTCTCCCCGCCCTCGCTGCGTGAGTCTCCGTCTGCTCCCGCCATCCCGGTTGCGGCCGCTGCGCCCGGTGGTGGTGTGCCCTACCACTATCAGTCCCAGTACCAGGCTCATGTCGAGGGCCAGCCATTGGATCAGGAGCAGGAACACAAGAGGTCGTCGTTCTTGACTAAGGCGCTGAAGCGGAGTACCAAGTCTTCGCATGAGTAGTCACGTCCAGTTCAGTTCATCTCACTTAGGTGATGTAATAATGATGCGTCCTGTTCGGTCCGTCTCGGGGCGGCTCTGTTCATATATATAGTAAATGGTTGGTTGGTTGGTTGATACACAAAATGGTTATGTTTTTCGATTCTTTTTTTGACCCCAGTAAGCATTTACTATAACTTATCTTGATATTGGCGCACCTTCCCCACGACCCCCCAACTTGTTTCCTACTATAAGGTGCCGATGGATACTCAGAGGTAATTTTTTTTTTTTTTTTGGCTCGTTAGTGTTCACGTCTGCATTCCCAAATGTTGCCACTAGGAGAAAATATATATATGCAGAAAGAAGAGTGGATATTCAAGTTAACCTGGGCTTAACTACAAAAGCAGCTGCATATAATTGAACAAATATCCTACTTTAGCGTAGGTAAATGCGCGTACTGGGATGTGGTGGAGTAGCCTGAAGGTTGTTCCTCATTTTGTCTGGGACACCGTTGCTTATAGTGCGATTAACAACTCCTCTCTGTAGTAATCTATGGACTTCCATAGGGGTGAATTCCTTGTCGACCTTTTACTATACTTGAAACACTTAGACAACCTAATATTGACTCTTTTCTATACTCCTTCGGCATATATTATCTTGATGCCTGAGTTGGCTAACAATGACGGCAGCCTCCAGACGTCACCCTAACTGCCACTTAGTCTCTCTCTATAGCCATTTTCCCACGACAGCGTTGGCCTATATATAACTCAGACCTCCATCAACACCTAGCACCTGACCCGATACAAAGCTAGCGCCAGAACTTGCCGCAAACACGATCACATTCGCGACCTCCTCCGTACTTCCGTTGCGCTTGATGTACTGTTGTGCCCGGAACTTCTTAGTCAATACATGCTCCTCTGGGGGCGCATAATCAGTGTCGATCGGTCCCGGGGCGACAACGTTGACGGTGATGCCCCTCTCCCCAAGCTCCTCAGCCCAAGCCAGGGTCAAGGAGTTCAAGGCCCCTTTCGTGCTTGAGTAGAGGGCTGCTTGTTTGGCACCGGTGCGGGCAATGACGCTGCCAACATTAACAATGCGGCCGCCAGGAGAGGCGAGATGGGGGAGGGCAGCCCGCACCAGGAGGTGCGGGCCTCTGACGTTAGGGTGGAACAACGCGTCGAACTCCTCGACCACGGCCATCTCGGCGCCCTCCTGGAAGGTGGCATGACCGGCATTGTTAATGATGATGTCGATCTGACGACCTGGGAACGCCTCCACGGTAGCGCGAACAATGTCGTCTCCAAAGCTCAGAGATCCCGCGTCGCCTTGAACAACGGCGACCCTGACCCCAAGCTCGCGAATCTTAGTGGCACTGTGTTCGGCTGCCTCCTTGTTCGAATTATAGTGGAGGACAATCTGCAACACCGTTAGCTTAGCCCGTTTTCACCACATGAGGTGACGTACATCAGCACCGGCCTTGGCCAACGCAAAGGCAGTCGCGAAACCAATGCCATTCTGCTTAGAGCCTCCGGTGACAATGGCAAGTTTGCCTTTGAATTCTTGCAATGACATTGTAGGAGGCGATGTCGTGAACAAAACTAGAGAAGTTGACGACATTTGCACTGCGCCTCGCGGGCCTCTTATATCCTGTGGGACAACATCCGTGGCTCATGGTGATTGTGCCGGAAAGGGTATTCAAGGAAATGTCGGAGCACGTCAGCTCGCGCTGACAAAAGCTGTCCAGCTTTCAACAACTTGTCATCATCACCCTCTTACGAAACTGTAGCTATGTTCAAGCTGCGAGCTCGCCGAGCTCGGCGAACTCGGCGAGCGGCTGAATAATCCATAGGTGAGAACTCAAAAATCACCACGGCAAATATAGTCTGACAAATACAATTGGGAAAATGAAGTTTCGCCTCCTTGTGACAACTGATTGCATAACTCACTGGACCGAGCCTTCTGCCGACTGTCTGTAAAGGAACGGCGTCCGATTTCCGACGGCCATTCAACTGTCCTCCCCTTAGAAAGAAAGCCAGAGACGCAATGGATGGGCCTCTTTTCTTAGGAGCCAACGAAACCACCGATCATTCTGAGCAGGAACTCCCGAAGGTTGCTGCTTCCACGAATTCGTTAGCTCTTCCATGTGCGCACTGCCGGCGTCGCAAAGTCCGCTGTTCTCGGACTTACCCTTGTGTTCGCTGCAAGCAAAGGAATGAACAGTGTTGGTTCGACATACCTGCAAATGAAGCCTCACAAACCCACGAAGGCAGTAGTTCGGAGATCCAGCCCAATGAGAGAGCCCCAAAGCGCGCGCGCACATTTTCGACCACAATCATTTCTAGCTCCTCTAGTTCCCATCGATATGTATTTTCTGATACTGAAAAAGAAGCCTCCGCCATGTTAGCTTCCACGGGAACTTCTCCCCTGTTAGACACCCGGCATTCGCATTTTGGGAAACTCGTCCATGAGAGAAATCAGTCAAGATATCTGGTGCCAGGCTTTTGGCCCACTATGTATTTCGAGGTGAGAAATATATTTTATTGTCTAGTCCTTTAGAGCTCACGCCAATTTTCCTGAACATAGATTGGGAACCTGAGCTTCCTTTTGGATCACGATCAGATTAGAAAGCACAGTGCAGGAACCGAACCCACGTTGAATAGTGAAAGTGAATATCTTTACCGCTCTATTAACATGGCAAATCACCCGTCCCCATCAGCCGTGGATTATTTGATCAACACGTATATTCAGTTTGTGGATCCCTTCCTTCGAATTTTACATGTACCTCAGATGCTCCGCGAACTAAATTTGTTTCGACGAGGCGTTCTCGTCGGGGCGCCCCAGTTTGAGTGTAGGGTTTTTGTTGTCTACTCCCTGGCCACTCTCAGCCTCACCGACGAAGAGTGCCGTATTCATCTGGGCGAAGCCAAGAATGCGCTTCAAACACGGTTCAAAACGTGTGCAACCCAGGGGCTGGAGGGATTAAGTCTGCACACGACCCATGAAGAGTCTGCTCTACAAACGTATCTGATGTATATTGTATGTAGTCTATTGACGTGGTGGCCGAAGTACATTGATATACCCCCGGGCTGACAATACCTAGACTCTACTATTCTGGAGCGGCGAAATGCTCGAAGCAGGCTCTATGCTAGCGATTGCTGCGCGAATGGCACAAAGGATTGGAGTTCATCGTGATGGAGAGCTTTTTGGGCTCTCGCCTTGGAAAGTTGAATCGCGCCGCCGCTTGTGGTATCATATTTTACTTCTCGATACTTGGGTCACCGACAATTGTGGTCTGGATTCACTTGTCTCCCCCTGGCGTGTCGATGACATCCCGCCCCCTCTCAACTGCAATGACCGTGATTGGGATGTCGCCGAGTTCTCCACCGCGAAGCCTTCCCCGCGCCACGGTTACACGGATATGTCTCTGGCCCTGCTACAGTACGAGATAGCGGCAATCTCTCACACGGTACTGCGCTATCTCCCGTTAGAGCGGGAAGATGACCACAATATCTATTATTCTTTCCTCGAACAGTTTCTTGAGCATCGGCAAAAATACCTTCAGGCCAAGTTTTTGGACCATCTCGATACTGCTGTGCCGCGTCAAAAGCTGATGATCGATTTGGTAAATCTCGCTCTGCAGCGGTTTCGCCTTGTCGGTCTGCAAGCAAGTTTCCAGGTTGTCGAAGCTTCATCGCTCTCTCTTTCATCCAACGTAACGGAGTGCGAACTCGAGTAAGTTTACGGGTATCATTTAAATCAACGGTGCTGATTTGCTTTGGTACAGCTTATATGCCCATGCGAAGAGCTATTGCCGCCTTGTCCGTGAAAATCTGGAGGTTTATACCCCACACCATCTTTCTTGGATAGTCTGTTCCGCCTTTACATGGCATTCCGTCGCCATTCAATTGACTACACTGCTCCGATACCCGCTGGGTGGAACTTTTCATGACGAAGAAGATGTTAAAGAGACCATTTCGAAACTCTTCATGACCGACGTCATTTGGATCTGTTGTCCGGGAATTCCAGTTTGTGGGAGGGCGTTGCTGGCCTGTGGCGTGAGTTGGAGAGTAGAAGCCAACGTCTTTTGAATTTACAACACTTTTAAGGTGTTGCTGCTCTTAATTAAGGATACCTGACTGGCAAGCGTTTTACTCGGCCTCGGAACATAAGCCCCTCTACTATGCGGTCTGTTTCTTGTTTCGCGGTAGAAGCCTCCGAGTAAACGCAGTTATGATAACAAGTCGAGAACTAGCCGTCGCGGATAGGTACAATGGCTTTGTGGGTGCCCTTCGGACCATAACCACAATTTCACCCTCAGTGCTGGAAGTAGTTTTACCTCATCGACATCGCAACGCTAGGTGACGATAAATCGGGCGCCAAAAATGGCTACCACCAGAAATGTGCGGGGTCCACTCGCCAGAAGAACATGATAGCGGCCTCAGGCCATGGGATCGAGGACCCTTGTATGCTGCGCCTCAGACAGTCATACAGATTCCGCGCTCTTTCTCCTTCCCCTTCTCCTTCTCTTTCCTTTTGTTTTCTCAACACGAATCGCGTCACATCAGTTGGCATTCACACACTCCACCATCCCGGAAACAACACCCTCAGCCATGTCATCCGACTCGTACGCTGAAATATGCAAAACGATATATGCGCGAATTATGCGAAAGCTGGTGACAGGCCACGAGGAGAGACGTCGGTTTGCTCCGATTGGAGCTACTCAAGAAGTGCTGCAGCCCAAGATTCTGCGACGCTTTTTCCGCAGTCTTGAACTCGTTGCTGATGAAACAACGGACGAAGTTGATCTCAACGAGGACAGCCTGATAAAACGGATGGGCGAAAGAAATCTTTATAATTTCCTCGCGATTCTTATCTTTGCCTCCTGCACTATTGATGCCGCTCGAACATTCACTATCAAGCTCTTAGCTCGGAATTCATGGCCGGAACATCTTGGCACTCGACCAGCGGAGCGAAAAGAACTCATAGATTTGTTTGAGGAAGAAATTACGCCAGACCAATTTCTGTCCCAGCAGGCATGTTTTCACCCTGTCGTGATCGAAAACAAGAAAGAAGTCCAAATTCAAAGCTTGGACCGTCAATGTCTCCCTTATTTGGAAGAGAGGTTGCGGGGGAAGGGGTCGTTTGGCACGGTTTACCAAGTCAAGATTGCCAAAGGTAATTTTCTCGACGCGGAATTTGGTGCAAACAAAGAGCCCAAGGACATTGCACGCAAAGACTACCAATTCAGCAAGAATCACCGACCGAAAGAAGAACACGAAATCATGAAAAAAATCCTAGCTTCTGATCGCACTTGTGCAAACATCGTCGACATCTACGGCAGCCTTGCTATTGGCTTGACAAAGTACATTGTCTTTATGCCCCTCGCCATTTGCGATCTCAGAGCGTACATGATGGAAGATCTCCGGATCGGACCCAATGCCAACATGGAGAAGACAGCGATCATACTCTCCGCCTCGGGGCTTGCAGGAGGACTGGCGTTTCTCCATCATGAGATGAGAACGGTGGAAGGGGAAGAGATGGTCTGTTATCACATGGACCTCAAGCCGAGCAACATTTTGATCTTCCTCGAGGGAAAAGAAGATCATCAGCAATTCATTTGGAAGATCAGTGATTTTGGCATGTCTCGTGTCAAGTTAAGGTCTAAAGGACAGAAAGGCACTCGCGAAAAGGATTTTGACAGCTGGTTCGTCCGCTTCCAGAAGCCACAAGATGCATCAGCTCCCTCCGGAACCTTGAACAGGCGGGGCGAGGGTACGTATCTGGGGCCTGAGTCTCTTGCTCCAACTCGAGATATGAGAACGGCCAACGATGTCTGGTCCCTGGGGTGTGTCATAAGCGTTGTATTCGCGTACTTGGAGGAGGGTAGATCGGGTGTGACCAAATACCAAGAGCAGAGGTTAGAGTATCGCAATGCGGAGGGATACGATCGATTCTTTATCGCCAACGCAAGATTCGGCTATCCAAAAGTGCACCCGGAGGTCAGTCAATGGCACCGCCATTTGATTAAGAAAGCGCGACAAAGGGACTCTAAGGAGGCAGACGCGGTGGAGTCAATGCTGGGCTATCTTGAGCGCAAAGTCCTCCTGCCGGAGCAGTCAAAAAGGTGCAACGTGAAGCAATTGCAGGCCAAGCTGGTCGAAACCTACCAGAAGTACAGGGACTTGAAGGACATATCGAATGAACATACACCGGAAGACCAATCTGGTATGAGCGGGGCGCCATGGAATAAGATCATAAGTAGGCAGCATCTGCCCTGGAAGCAAAATGGCCACAACAGGCGGAAGACACAACAATAGCCACAGACAAACCTTCACAACTCAATGATGCTCACGTCAATACTGCGTTCAAGTTCTCGGCTTTATTCATCCCAATATTAGCCACAGTTTCATATACTGTCAGCGGGGCGCTGGCAACTTTGAATATAGCACGGACGAACTGCCAGCTACCCCGACTGAGCTTTCTGACGGGGGTTGGCGACGAATGTGGACAGTCTCAAACCAGTGCTGCCTATGTTGCGATTGCTTTGAGTTCCAAGATTCCGCACCTGGCAGACATTTTCAACGCCTTTCTCGTATTCACATGCATTTCCTGCGCGGGTACTAATCTCTACGTCGCTTCACGAACATTATTCGGTCTGACGAGTCGCTTGGATGGAGGCGAAGGTCAGAGGTGGTGGTTGCGTGTCCTTGCGTGGTTTGGCAAAACAGACCGCCGCCGGGTTCCCTTGCGGGCTATGATATTCTCTGCAATTGCATTCTGGTGGGTTCCTTTCTTGCAGCTAATCGGTGGAACTGGCCACACGCAATCCTCTGTAAATACGGTAAGAGTTCCGCAAGCCTTAATTTTGGCCCGCACCTTGAAGCTGAGTCCGACCAGTTCGTGGAGGTACTAAGTCAGATGGCAAGTGTTGGCGTGTTAAACGTTTGGGCTTGCGAGTGTCTGGCATTCATTCGCTTTTACCATTGGTGAGTCAAAGGTGTTGTTTGAGGTTCCGTCCACATTGACAGGGAAATGCGATACTCATAGCATCCATCGACATCGCGAATACCTCAAACACGAAAATATCGCTCAGGTTCTGCGCTGGAGCGAAGATGACCAGAATGAATATCCATACCGCAGCTATGGGCAGCCATTTCTGGCATATCTAGCCTTGCTGGGCTGTATTTTCGTCTTGTTTGTGGCAAATGGAGCTGCCTTATGGAACGGATTCCATCGCCTGCCATTCCTCTCATCGCACTTGACTGTAAGGGAAAAACGTCCCCGATTGCAAATAATATCGCTTACATCTGCTAATAAAGATATCTGTTTTCAGATTATTGCGTTTGTTGGACTGTGGATATTTTTAAAAATTCAAAGGGAGGCTAAATGGTCATTGGTTGATCTTTCGCGTCCTGAGCAGGTCGTCATGATATTCAGGCATTTGCACGACATCCGTTTGAGTGCAACGCAGTCATAACATTGACAGCCTCAAGGGATAAGATTATACTGTTTAAGTTCTACCTCGGTATATACTTTACCTACAATGTCACATTATTGGCATCTCTGGGATCTACGGGCTTCTAAAGACATCAAAAGAGTACTCTTGAAATATGGGGATAGCCACAGGGCTTACGGCTCTAGGAAATTTTTCAAATATGAAGTGACGATAAGCACTATCAGCCAGTAATAACTTTATTAGGGGCAATGAGGGTGGTAAGTCAGGTTGGGTAAAGTGAGATTCTATCAACCATGGCCTCGGTGTACTCTTCTAAAGACGTTAAGTTCGATAGGTGGGTGGTACGAGAGGTGGTAGATTGACGGTGGCTAAACTATGGCTTACGTAGACTGAATCCAACAGTCAGAGAAACGCGAGATTCTCCATGGCCGTCTGTTTATTGCCTTTAAGGTTGTCGAACATGGATGGTTGCATTTGGCAAAGGCGGGCAAATTAGTAGTAATCTGTCCTATAACCGACAACCAGCCTTTCCCAGAGGAATGGGTGCATGTTAATACGCACAAGAAAGAGATGATTTACGCCAGCGAAACCGACCGAGATAAAATAAATGGAGGAAGCCAACCTCAGGCTCAGTCGAATGAGCGGAGACGAAGTAGCCAGTGCAATGGCACTGTTGGATCTAGGGGTTAAATTTGACTACGCGCCGGAGATGACCCCGTTAACGGAGATATATGCCAGTGAGGGCAATTTTTCACTGAAGGCATGTGAGAGTTACAAGTTGCGCGTGTAGATGGCAGTTGTCATGCCTTAGCGGAGAAATGCTGGTGTTTCGCTGCATTTGGAAATTGTGCAACGGGTGCTTGCGGGGCTCGTTAAATCCGTCATTGGCCAGAAGCAAGGCCGATGACGAAAACCACTTTGAGCTTTTAGTTTGATAATCTATACGGAAGTATCGTTACGGCTGTCGCGTTCCAGACATTCTGAAATCCAAATTATTTTCAATGACACCGTCGGCACCATCATCTATTTATCATCAGGTGTGGCTTTTGATGATGTTGGCTTCCTATAAAATCGCACCACAAATTCAAACAAGCAATATTCACTCACTTGGATTTGTCTGCAAGAAAATTGCTCTTTTCGCAGCCACTCCCCCACATTCATCGCTGCCACCTGATATACGTCATACCCACCGCTTCTTGTCCATGGTTATATGAATGGCCGCTTGCAACACTCGAAAAAAACAAGTATATATATAACAGATTGAATGATATATGTGTGACGACCCAGAAGTCCTGCGTGCCGGTTCTTCAATAGTCTACTTCTACAGACCGGAGGCATTGAGGAAACGTCCGATGAAGGCTTTGTTACTTTAGCTGGGGGCCATTCGAGGAAGCAGCCAGGAAAAGGTCATCGCTGAATTCCAATCTAGCTCCATGGCTTCCAGCATCTCAACCCTCGTTTACTCATACGCCCAACAACTCGCACTCCATTCCCTAAGTCGGATCTCGGGTGCACAGCTCAAGGTTATTCTCCAGTATCAGGATCCTCCAGAAGTGATCCAAGTAGGAATTATTGATGGCCCTGAGGAGCCCGAATCGACAGTTACGCTCATTGTCCGAAATCCTAACCTGTGGATGAGGATTTGTTCGTGTTTTGACCTGGTACGGCACAGTTGGTTGTATCTAAACGTCGAGATGTTATCACTAACCAGGTCCATCGTTTCAAACAGGGGTTTTCAGAGGCATATATATTCCAGGAAGTCGATTGTGACGACCTGGGTCAATTATTCGAGGTATGTGCAATCATCGGCATGGCCATGGATCATTCATACCCCCAGACACTTTTTAAGTCAATCTAACAGCCAGAGTAGATCTATATCAAAAACAAAAGCCGTTTGGGCTCTGGAAAGCTTATTTTTCAGCTCCTACCTCGTCTTGCATGGCTTTTCCAACCTTCGAACAGCATCCAGGAAGTCCGCCAAAATATCTCATCGCACTATGACGTCTCCAACAAACTCTTCGCTGCATTCCTCTCCCCAGACATGAATTACTCCTGCGCCCACTGGGAAGGCGATCCGCTTGAATCACTGGATTCAGCGCAGAACCGCAAAGTCAGAAATCTTCTACGCAAAGCTCAGATTTCATCCTCACACCATGTTCTAGATATTGGCTGCGGGTGGGGGGATTTGGCTATCAAAGCGGCTCAGACAACGGGCTGCCGAGTGACGGGATTGACCCTCTCAGACAAGCAGAAGAGCCTCGCAGATCAGAGGGTTAAAGAGGCTGGACTGGAGGACCGGGTGCGCATACTCCTTTGCGATTATCGAGACATTCCTGGACCAGATAACAATGGTTTATCTTATGACCGAGTGATCTCGGTAGGAATGTTTGAGCATGTCGGCCCTGAGTACTTGGATCAGTACTTTGAGATCATCTCTCGGGTTCTGCATCCTACTCATGGGTTGATGGTTATCGATGGGATCACCATGACCAACATGGTTCGTATATAACTTCTTGCATCGAATTACTGTCAAAGTAAATTAACGAGTTCGCTCACAGCTCCGCGAGACCAAATCCAATGTCCCGACCTTCATCGGTCGCTACATCTTCCCGGGGGGTTACCTACCAACCATCCACATGCTCCTCGATTCCCTGCACCAAGGCTCTACCGGAAGCCTCGAGGTAACCTCCGTCCAGAATATCGGACCCCATTACGGGAAGACATTGTGGGCATGGCGAAACAACTTTCTTCGCAATTGGAAAACAATCGAATTGGACTATCGTGCCGAACACCACGATGCGTCGGATTCAGAGGTAGAGATGTTTCGTCGACAATGGTTATACTATTTTATTTACTGTGAGTCGGCGTTTCGTGAGAGGTTACTGGGGAATTATATCATTGCTGCGGCGAGGACACCAGAGCCGATAATGAAGTTTGATGCTAGCCTTGGGCGGATGCTTGAGATCTAATTGATGGACAAGAGATGTAATATGATATACCGAAATCGCTCCATTCAGCCCATCCTTGTAGTATAATTACTGTTCTATCCTCGGCTCCGGCCCAAACGCATAGTACCGAAGTCAGCAGAAAGCTTTCGTCCAACAGATTCGAGTCAACGTACAAGCATGGCATCGTCACATGAACGGTGCACAGGCTACAAATATAATGCAAACCGACATTCGAAGGACCCAGTCTTTTCCGCGGAAGTACTCTTAGACGGAAGCAATGACCACCCGCATGCATGCCTAGAAATGTCTGGTTATTCCAGTTACTCCGCTAAAGTATCAAGCCAGCCTTTCTGAACATTTCAAAGCTCTCCAGCCACCCCTGAATTGGATCCCTGTTCCCTTCAAAACCTGTCTTTCGCAACCTCGTCAAGCTCATTTGCCGGTCGAAAGTCAACCAGTATCCCACGCTGTCCAATTGCCGACTACCAGCACCAACACCGCCGCTGGCAGCATTTAAGTGTCCGCACTTAGCGAACGTGTCTTTATGTTTTGCGACATATTCTCCGGGAGTCAGGCTTGGGATGGTCTGAGGAAGTTCGCCAACTTTCAGACTACCCTCTGGAGCTTGCGAGTTCTCTGAGGGTCCCACACCCACAAGACCGAACCATCTCGCGAGCTGAGGCCAGATCTCACCATATTTGCAAGGTATCTCGCTATCGGCGATATTGAATAGCTGTCCCTTGCCGCATGTCTCAGGGTTCATTGAGGCATATATCATGAAGCGGGCGAGAGTCTTGCTAGACACAGGAGAGAACAACGAGTTGGCACCGGCAACATTGCCAGGGAAGGGCACCTCAACGGCACCTGCTTTGGTGACTCGCTCATCCGGATCAACACCTTGGTTATAGGCGTACAGCGAAAGATACTGAGCCCAATGTAGTGCTAAACTAAACTGGGAACCATTTGGTGTGAAGCCGATCTTGATTAGGATTAGTTATGCTCTGGTGGGTAAAGAAAGTCTTACAATTGCATCCGGACAGACTTCACACCATGTCCAGTCCCTTCCTTCACTCGCTTCACTAAGAAGCTCACGGTAGGCCGGATATACGACCGTCTTCGCATAATCAGGTGGCAGATTGTGCACCATATCCTCCGTCAAGGGAGGCGTGAATGATTCCCCAGGGGCATAAATGCCATAGCCCTAGATAATTAGCAGGCTGTGTTAAATTGGTTCTCCGTGGTATCTACCCTTGTACCGCCGGTAAATGCCACAAACTGCAAGTTGGGACTAATCAAGTTGTGCGCGTCGATGACATTCTGAAACATGCGCCGATTGGTCGCGACTTCTTCGATATCGTCATCAATAGCGGTGAATACTTTGAATAGTCAATTTCGTGTGAAGTTTGAAGCACCTCTGAAACGGCCAGTGGCATACCTAAGTAATATATATGGGTGACTGTTCGAACGTCCTTGACTTTTTGCTGCAGAGAATCTGCCAACGTGGGCCCATCCCCACACCGAAGGTCAATGCCTGATACAAGCTGTAATTCTCGGCGGTTATCGGGTTCGGGCCAATAAGTCCGAGACAGATCGAGCGGGCGGTTCGTGACAGCAGTAACTTTAGAGAAAGATCCAGCGTAGGGGTGAGAACCTAAGAGCTGGTCTACTAGAGCCCACCCAATCAGACCCGATGCGCCAAAAACTATGGCGTGATTTGAGCCCTCGGCCATGGTGGATGTCCGTAAATCGAGATATTTGATTATCTCCTCCCAGAAAGCCGCATTTTTGTTTCTTAAATCTGAACGGTCAGATTCAAGTGACTAAGCGGGCATTGTCTGATTTGACTTTGTCCAAATTACTTCGTGATGAGCCTTCGTGAGTCATTATAGTGACCCCACACGTTTGGGACTGGTCGACGTGGTGTGTTGATTTTCTCATCTATAGATCGACAATCGCGACGCATTCCTGGGTAGTGGATATATAGGGCTGCCCCTGTTATAGACCAGAACATGTCCCCAGAAAACATACTAACCAATCCTATAACCAACAAGAAGATAGAAAGTAAATTACCCTCACACAAAACACATAATTATCTATTTACTCCCCGTCTCCTTCCACGGATATGAAACTGGATCTTCCTTGCGCACCCAAATCTTCGACTTCTTCTTGTTAACCACATGCTCCACAAACACCTCGCGCGTGTACTGCGCCTTGAACTTCCGGATCCAGCGTGGGTCCCACAGCTCACTTGCAATGCCCAGATCCTTGCAGCAGCGCACCAGCGCGTTGGAGCGACATCCCTCCGTTGCGGTGGGAATGCCGTCAGGGGAGAAGTAGTCTTGTTCACCGCGGGCGACAGAAACGAGTCTTTGATTTGAGGCTGTGTTAGCATTCCTTGCCTCGAACTCAAACAGATCAGAAAAAGAGAAAACTCACCGGCCGTTGCAGACAAGCGCATACTCCCTCGTCACGGTTTTATTGGTTACAATACTCTCTCCCCGTGGCGCAAGACCCCATCCACCCGGTCCAAAGGCCTTGTTCAATATCCGGCGATACTTGATCTCGGGGAGGTAGACGATGCCATCGGGCTTGATCTCGACGTCTTGTGGATCCATCTCTGCAAGGAGGATATCTGCTGCTTCTTTGGAGAAGGGCTCCGCACTGAGTCCGTGAAACGACCGCGTCCAGTCGATCTTCTCCTCGGGGGCGTTTTCCAGCTCCAGCGGCTTGTCGTCCAGCCCCGTCTTGGAGATGCTGTCGGCTGTTGGGCGGTTCGGGATAGGGGTCGTTGTGCGCTTTGTCGGGGTATCTGCTGGGGTGGTTTCTTTGCGCTCTGTTGAGGGGGGCGTGGGTGGAGTTTGGGTGTTTTGGTATTGTCTGGGGGTGTAGCTGAGCGCGCGTTTCGCGGTGGAACTGGTCAATGGTTGAGGGAGAGGGTTGCGCGGGATTCGAATGGTTCGCGATAGAGTCGCAGAGCGTTGAAGGGCATCCATTGCCCGCCAGGGGCGGCATCTGCTTAGGGAGGACATGGTTGGTGCTAGGGAAGAAGCGGTGCTGTGAGGTGAAGTTGGAGCTAAAGGAGAGCTGGTCACGTGGTGCAAAGTACATGGTCTATAACCTGTATGCAATTAATGGGAAAGAAAACGGCATTTATTCCTTAGGTAAAAGGTAAACAGAAATGGTATTGTGAAAGGTATCAATTATGCATCCTTGGTCTGCGTCCGCTGGTCGTTGCCCTGGCGCTTCCAACACTCGCGGAAGGCTTCCATCTGCATTGCTCGTCAGTGGATGACAATCAGATTGTGAGAGTATGCAAGGATTTCAACTGATAATCATGAAGGAAACAGTCTGGGAAATTCTTCAAGCAGACTAACAGTCCATGCCAACACCTCACCTCGATATCGACTCACCTCGTTCTTGCACTCCCGCCAGTCCTTCTTTGCAAAATAGCAGTCATTCATCTTGTCCTGCTCAACTGCAACCGATCAGCAGTTGGTTCATGCCATGACATCTTGTTCGAGGCTCACCTGCGCACCCAGTGCTGAAGATCCGCTTATCCCTGCGTGACAGATACTCGTCAGCTCACGCCCCGAACCATCTGCAAAGGACCCAATTACCACTCATCCGGCTCATCATCATCCTCGGTCGCCTCACGAGGCTGCTCTGCATTGTTCGACATGGCAGGAGTGGTAGATGACAGAGAAAAAAAGCGGCGGGCATCGGGTTGATGATCGACCGTCTGTATCTATCTTATCGGCGCCGCCCCGGCGATTTCTCGTCTCCAACAACAACTTACTCGGCAATGGCCACGCCCACGGGCAATGACGCCAATCTAACAGGCAAAAGACTCAATGTCCTCGTTTATTCTGGTTCGCTCACCCACTCCGCTTGGCAACTTAGTCGTTTTCTGACCAGCAATGCCTCGCTGGCTACAGGAAACGGAACCACCGTCGACTCGGTCCGCCACTGCCTCTACACGCTGCGCCGCCTGCTCGCTCCCCACTATGCTGTCATCCCGGTCACCGGTGATATGCTCCTGAAGGAGCCATGGATGGCTACCTGTGCCCTGCTGGTGATCCCCGGTGGCGCGGACCTGGGGTATTGCCGCACGCTAAACGGTGCGGGGAACAGGCGCATTGCACAATTCGTGCGCCGTGGCGGAAGATACTTGGGTCTGTGTGCTGGTGGCTACTATGGGTGCAAGCGCTGCGAGTTTGAGGTGGGTGATAAGACAATGGAGGTTGTTGGGGATCGAGAACTCGGCTTCTTCCCAGGTACCTGCCGTGGTGGTGCGTTCCCGGGCTTCGTCTACCATAGCGAAGCGGGGGCACGGGCAGCAGACCTTGTCGTCTCGAAGGAGGCGCTGAGTTCTGGCACTGTTCCGGAGCACTTCCGGTCCTACTACAATGGCGGCGGTGTCTTCGTCGATGCGTCCAAGTTCGCGGACCAAGGCGTCGAAGTACTAGCCAGCTATAGCGAGAAACTCAACGTCGACCCTGGAGATGGTAGCGCAGCTGTGGTCTACTGCAAGGTTGAGGACGGGGCAGCCATTCTGACAGGGCCACACCCAGAGTTTGCTGCTGCGAATCTCGACCCGAAGGCTGACGGATCGGAATTTGCGGGCGTTGTTGACGCCATTGCCGCTGACGACAAGGAGCGAACCGACTTCCTGAAGGCTTGTCTGTCCAAACTGGGCTTGCAGATCTCCCAAGACAACCCGACAGTTCCCTCGCTATCTTCTTTGCATGTGTCTGGCTCGGACCCTGAGGGTCCCTTGGAGATTTTGGCATTGATGGCAGATGCCTTGACTAACGAAGGGGATGTTGAGTATCTCAAAGACGAAACCGACACTTTCCGCATTGAGCGACCTGGCACTTGGAACTTGAGTGACCTGGAAGCATCTCTGCCGGCTGAACCGGCTAAGAAGGACGAAGGAATCGTCGACTATCAGGCCATTATCAAGCGACTTGTGATCCATGACGACCTTCCGTCCTCGAAGCTGACACCGTATTTCAATCACCATGCATTTTACGCCAACCTTCGCCACTACCAGTCTGAATCCCGCGAAGGAGCCTCGCAGTTTGGGTCCAACCTTCTCTACGGGGAGGTGTTGACCAGCACCAACACGATTCTGGAGAAGTAAATCTTGCACACTTTCAGTTCTTGCAATATCAACTGACCAGCCGCAGAAACACGAAGCTTCTTCGCCGCCTACCACACGGGTTTACCGCCACAGCAACTGTCCAGGTTGCCGGACGGGGCCGGGGCTCAAACGTCTGGGTCTCTCCTGCTGGCGCGCTGATGTTTTCGACAGTCGTCCGTCATCCGATCGAGAAGATCCAGTCTGCGCCAGTGGTATTCATTCAATATCTATCTGCCATGGCCGTGGTAAAGGGCATCAAGAGCTACGCCAAGGGCTACGAAAATATTCCCGTGAAGATGAAATGGCCCAACGACATTTGTACTAGCCATCTCTTTCCCTCCCCGCGTGTCCATAAGATTAACAAGTCTCGCAGATGCACTCGACCCCGCCGACCCAGAACAAAAACGCTACACCAAAATCTGCGGCATTCTCATCAACTCCCACTTCATGGCAAACGAATACATCTCCGTGGTTGGGATCGGCCTCAACGCCACAAATGTTTCCCCGACAACAGCATTAACAGCATTAGTATCCCGCTACGCTGGCCCTGCCACCGCAGCCGCATCGCCCGTGACACTGGAGAAACTCCTTGCTCGCATCTTAACCACCTTCGAAGAACTCTACACCCGGTTCCTGCGCACGGGCTTCGACCACGGCTTCGAGACCATGTACTACGAGGACTGGCTGCACATGCACCAAATCGTGACTCTGGAGGAAGAAGGCGGCGCGCGCGCCCGCATTCAGGGCATCACCCGGGATTATGGCCTTTTGCTGGCACAGGAGCTAGGGTGGGGCGATCGGCCGACTGGACGGGTGTGGCAGTTGCAGAGTGATAGTAATAGCTTTGATTTCTTTAGGGGGTTGGTGAAGCGGAAGGTGTAGGTCTGAAGCCTGCTGAGAGTCACTTAGTTTGATAGATGCTATATGTTACCCGGTGCTTGTGTACTACTGAAAAGCCTCTATCTACACACTTCTTCTCCACTCCCTCGCCTCATATTCTTCACTCTCTTCTTCACTTTTTTCATTATGTCATGAGAAATAAATAAAAGAAGACGTCTGGACCGACGACAGAAACCGAGTCCTCCTCCCAATGGAATGTACGTCTCCCAGCTCCAAGCACAATCAAATCATCTATACCAATCCAACCAACCCCAGTGATTCATCAACTACCCAAGACAATAACTAACCGAATCACCCCCAAAGCTCACCCTCTCCATCCATCTCATCAGCAGCAGCAATAGTAACACTCCGCGTCGGTGCCTCTTCGCCACTCACGAATCCATCCTCAGCACATCACCCTGCTTCGCATCGCGCTTCTCTTCTTCTTCACTCTGTTCTTGGCTCTCTCCTTTGGCCTCTACTCTTCATCTACAATAATCTCACCGCGTATACCTTCGCCTGCTCAACTCTCATTTTCTCTACTTCCATCTTCTCTTCTCTTCTCTTGATCTCTTCGCCTCGATACCTGTCATCTCAGCTACTCTTCCTATCGACACTCTTCATCTCGAGACTATTCGATCAAGTTGTGATACTCTTCGCATCGGCACTATCAGCCTGAATACGCTTCTCCTCGACACGCTTCACTTCGCTCAGAACCTTCCGTCTCGACTCGATTCTTGACGCCTTTACCTTGAACCACTCATCATGTCTTTCATCGACCTACCAAACGAGCTTCTATGTGCTATTGCCAAAGATCTCCACAGAGAGAAATCAATCAGTGCACTGGCTCGAACAAATCGCTTTTTCTTCTCGGCCTTGAACGGCTACCTCTATGCGCACAATGTTCGGCACCACAATGCTTCTGCACTCTATTGGGCCATTGGAACGGGAAATACAGGTACTGCTGCAAATTCTATCTCAAATGGAGCAAATATCAACGCTCAAAACTCACGAGCTTTAACTCTCGCCCTCTCCAGCTACCAGTTCAACATGACTCTCTTCCTTCTCGAATCTGGGGCTGACCCCAATTGCACATTATCCAACGGCGAAACTCCCCTGTGGATGGCCATCTGCATCAGGCTCAAGAAGTTTGCCGAGGTCCTGCTCAACAATCGAGCCGATCCAAACATCAGAAACCATCTAGGAGAGACTGCACTATTCCAGGCGGTACGGTTTAGCTATTTGCCAACAGTCCGTCTTCTTATTGGTTCTCCAAAAGGTGTGGACGTGAATGCTATCGACAACAGTGGCCTGACACCGCTACATGCTGTCATCCTTGCCGAGCGAAAGCCTCTGGGGTTCAGCTACGCTCGTCGCAGGATCTTCAGTTTGCTTCTGGAACGCGGTGCCAATGCGGAACATGCCGACAACGATGGCACGACACCGCTCGTTCGGGCTATACGCAATGGCAATGAGGATGCCGTCAGACTATTGCTTCAGCACCAAGTCGACCTCCAGCGTACGGACCAAAGCGGCAAGACTGCATTGCATGCTGCAGTTGAACAGGGATACACATCTCTCGTCAGATTGATCTCCGGCTACGGTGCAAATATTGAAGCCAAGGATGTCCAGGGCAGGTCGCCATTGCATCTCGCCGTTAGTCTTCATCAGCATGACATTTTCGCCTTTCTGCTTTGCAAAGGTGCTGATCTAGAAACGAAAGATGCTGAGCTCCGGACACCTTTACATACTGCAGCTGGGTCTACATATCTCAGTATGATTCTACTTGGTAGGGACGTAAATGCATGCGTCGCCGATATCCAAGGAATCACCCCCTTGCATCTCGCCGCCAAGGCTGGTAACGAACTTCTTGTCAGGCAGCTTCTTGATCTACGTGCAGACGCTGGGTATATGGATAAGCTTGGCATAACTCCGTTGCACATGGCAGCTGCGGCTCAGAGTGAACCAATCATTGAAGTTCTCCTCCGTCATGGTGCATACTGGAATCCTAAGGATATCGGAGGCTTAACTCCATCGAAATATGCGCCTCTCGAAGCTCGTGAATCAATCAAAAAATTTATTCGCAAAACGACTTTGAGACTCAAGGGTTCCCTATGAAGGGAAGGACGCGGCCGACTTTTGACACACCTCTCTTTTGTGACGGAGGCTCCGTGGATGGTGGAACGAGAAAGGAGAACGGGGATTTCATCTAACAAGATTTCAAGTATTTTCAGTCGGGAAAATTAGTTTCTTCATCCTAGTGTGCATCTACTCACTAGTCCCAAAAAAAAGAATCAAACTTTTATCTTTTTAGTTTATCGAAGGTACCAAAAGATTTTGAATTGTCGGCGTCCGTTTTTGCTCCATTTCTGATTCTCCTTAGAGCATAGTGTGTGCGTGTTTCCCCGTTCGATGGCCTGTGAAAATGCAGAGGCATTGTGACAGCGAGTAGTGTTCGCATAAAGGTCGTCGATCGAGACCGAGTAGAGACATCGACTTGTTTGGCCGAGGGCACCACTGATCTGGTCTTATCTGGTGAGCTCTTCCGCAATCGCCAATAGAAGCTTGTTCGGGAGGTCGAGGAGAGACATTTTGAGTGTGTCGGGATAAAGTTTAGATAGAGGGCAAAGTCAAGATGAGATATAGTGGGAGCGTGGTGTTGGCCAGGAAAAGAAGAACGTGAGTGTGTGGGTGTCGAAGAAGAAGAGCGTAGAGAAAGAGGAAAGAGTACGTGAGAAGCCAATATAAACATACTCTGAATTTGAGCTTGCCACTGCTGTTCCCCACACCCTACATGACCTGGTCAACTCCCTCTTCTTTCTCTTTCTCGTCCTCTTCATCGTATTTACTACCATCCGTCACAAGCTTGGTAAACCACAATTGGTAGCGTAAAAGCCATTCAGAAACACCGTCCTCTGAAGCAAGACTAGGTCTTCGAATCCTGTAAAACCCACGAGTAGCCCAGATAAAAGGGATCTAGCGCCACAACAGGAAATAATGAAGCCATCCCAGCAGAATTCACAAAACAAATACAGAAATAAAACCAATATTGTCGAAACCCCGCGGACCCCCACATGTTGAATCACTGTACCCAGCTGGCATTGGCAACCCCTTTCGCGTCCGGCCTCAACTGGTTCCGTTCCGCGGGCCAAAGTGTTATAACAGTCTGTCTTACCCGGTATCACGGTGACCAGGGCTTCACTGTTTGATTGTTGAGTACCCATCATCTTCGCCACATAGGCCAATGGCCGTAAAGGCCATCCTATTATGTTCTGCCTCGATGTGCAGGAAGTGTCCGAACGAACCTGTTCGGTGCACGAATTTGGCTCAATGAAGCGCTTATCTTCGGAATCACCTGCCTGGTCGGAAATCTCCGCAATATAACAACTAGCTGAAATTGTGGCGTTCCCCCGCAATTCAACTTCCCGTCGAGTTCTGTTCAGACAAGAAAAAGGAAAAACCAGAAAACATGACACGTGTCTTTCTGTAAGGGTCTGTAGAATTTCCGTGGTAGCCGCAATGCTCATCGTTCAACAGCACAGGCGCCTCGGGATACATTGGCGGGGATATCCTGCATGTACTCGCATCTGCGCATCCAGAATATGAGTGCAGTGTCCTGGTGCGAGACAGCGACAAAGCGGCTGCGATCTCGAAGGCATATCCGGATGTCCGTACTGTTTTGGGAGATCTTGATTCTGCGTCGCTCATCGAAGAGGAGGCAGCTCAAGCCGATGTAGTTATCAGTGAGTCGGGTTGGCCTCGTATGACTGAAAGCTGCTCATTGACTATATAGACGCCGCCAGCAACAAACATATCGAAAGTGCCAAGGCAATTGCTCTTGGCCTGGCCCGGCGCATCGGATCCAGACCTGGTGAGCACATAACGCTTCAAGCTCCTGGAAATACACTGATTTGTTTTAGGTTACTGGATCCAAATTTCTGGGGCGACCGTCCTCACAATTCCCGATATTATCAACAAAAGTTTCGGAGAGGGACGTGAGCAAATTGTCAGTGATATCGATGATGCCGATGAAATTCGTGAAATCGTTCGTCAGAACGCTGACCGGCGAATGTTGGACAATTTCATTCTCAACGAGGTCAAGGGCCCGAAAACGGCTCTGATATTTGGACCGATGATCTACGGCCAGGCGCGAGGGCCGGTCAATCGGCGAAGCGTGCAAGTCCCTGAACTGGCAAGAGTCACCCTGCAGAACCGCGGTGCCGTGCAAGTCGGCAAGGGTGAAAGCACGTGGAGTAATATTCACATCTTCGACTTGACTGATATTGTCGTGCGGCTGGTTGAGAAGGCGGTTAAGGGTGAGGATAATGGTCTCTGGAATCAGGATGGGCTGTATTTCACGAGCAACGACAAGGAGAATGATCTGCTGGTAAGTTATCTACGATATATCCACATTAAAGTCACATGAATAATCCCAGCAGAGCTTTGCAAAGGTTTCGCAGCTTGTGGCTCAGGCGGCGCATAACCTCGGTCTGGCGGACTCGGCGTCAGTCAAGAGCATTAGCTATGATGAGGCAGAAAAACTATCTGATCATTCTGGTATCCTTTGGGGCACCAATGCACAGCAGCGCTCTCAGCGTGCTTTGCAGCTTTTGGGATGGGCTCCAAAGGCTGACTCTTTGGAAAAGGATATCTCCGCGATTGTCCGTGCTGAAGCGGTTCGTCTGGGTTTGTTGTAGATACAATTCAAAGATGGCTGGCCAAAGAGGGAAGTAAATCAACCAGACCTGAACATACCGTATCTCGAAATATCTGTCAATAAAATACTACTGTTTACTCGAAGGTGAGCCTTTCATGAATGGATACTGTTCTACTATATCCGGGCCCTCTATCGCCGCGCGAGACCCCCTTCGTCTAGGGCGAGACCCCTTCTTTTTTTTTCGAGGTAGTGGTCAAATGGCAATTTTACAATTTGATGTCTATTATGTACGAAGGCGCTTAGGTGTTCGGAAAAACTTCTCTCGGTTGACCAGGCCGCCTGGTTTCCAATACTCGTACTCAATCCACGCATTTTCTTGCACAGGATGATCAGTAAGTTGTATCATGCAATGACATGGGGATTCTAACCTCCATCTGCTCCTCGGTGGCCTCCAGATATGCCCCCAGTTCCGGATGCAGGGGCACGATGCCACATTCCTGAACATACTCATCCCAGTGCTTGAGGAGTTCGGTTAGTTTGCCATGGTTGGCATTGCTCCGCTCATGGATTTCCCCAGGATCATTTGAAAGAACATACAACAGCCAGCAATGTGGTGGTCCTTAGGACGCCGGAATGAAGACCGCTTTCCAAGAACCAACACGAATGGCAGCCCGTCCACAAAGCTCCCATCCTTGTACAAAATCCTTGGGGTGAACGGACTCTTCGGCGCCCTGTCAATGTCCGGTCAGCTTCTGCATATTATAATCACACCGACGAATCTTCACGCCTTGAGCCAGGGATGCATGCTCCTTCTTGGTAGGTCGGCGCTGGGTGCTTCACACCTGCCATCTCGAGAATTGTGGGGCCAATATCCAGGTATTCATTCTCTGCTGACGAATATCCTATTATGGAAAACCGGAAAACTCGTCTACGTAGTAGACTTAGGGGCTGCTAGTGGAGACGCTAAAATCCCAGTGTATTATCCGGTTAACTGCTACGCAGTACGGAGTATGCGATTCTTCGGCGTTCTCTACTTAAGATCGTGCTGAAGGCTTAACGTACACCTATTATCTAGGTGCTTCTTTGGGACGTATTTACCTAGACTGCATTTACATTGCCCACTTAGGGCCTTGGCATACACTAAATTTTAGTGGTTTTAATAACCCCCCGAAACAAAAGAGATGTCAGTATTGGGACCATAGATACGGTACTGGGAACTTTGGAATCTAGGTAATGAAATATAACAAGTATCGGGCAGAAGTACGGTAACAAGTAGCCGGATCGACACAAGACTAATCGCTGGTTCCTCCAGCTCTTAGGACTACGGGTTTTAACTATTGTTTGGTCCCGTACGTTCAGGTGAGCTCGGTTAATTGTGTGGTAAATACATGAGAACGGGCCGTCGGACTCAGATCGGTACATGATGTTACTCCGTAGTGCTTACTGAGGTACAAGACTAAGCCAGGGGAAACTTCTCTCGCCCCACTGTTATTGGGGACCAGACAGGGATCACTTGATAATTCGCATTCACTAACTTATGGAAATTGAAACGCTAGTAATTGTAAGCGATGAAAAGACTCTATGATTCTTAGCGCCTCAAAGTGCCTAATCGTAAGGCATTTTGCTGCTCGGTCAAAAGTTTCTTCACAAAAATCTACTAAGCGAGTTCGCGGATCCCTTCCAGTTAGTTCAACTGTCTCGGAAAATAATCTGCCCATTCATCCATCCTTGTCGTATCTCTCCCAAATTCTTCAGCGATGTCATTAGACCTCCATAAAGGTGCTTTTCCAGATGGAGAACAGGTCTTGGAACGTCCGCCGTTGGATATGCCATTTCTCTTGATTCTGGCTGGTTTGTGTGTTTGCAGTGTTTTCGTAAGTTGCGTCGATTCACACAAAGAGCGCACAGTATACATGAAGATCTATTGGACTGATGAATTCTAGGCTATACATGCAGATGGAAATATCGCTGCAACACTTACCGCCACTTCCAGAGAAGGCGGGGCCACAACTACGGTCCGTTGGAGACAAAAATGTCAAAGCCTTCTGATATTTGTCTTTCATCGCCTAGCAAAAGTTGCTTTGCTTTCTAAATTCCATTCAAATGACTCAAGCCTCATGAGTTGTTTTCTTTTCAATGCGATAGCAGAGCTACTCCTTTCAACACTAAAAGTAGCCAATGTGCACGTCATCATTTCACAGCATTCGAGAACCAAAGGCTCCAGAGGTTCGACGATTCGTCTGGTTTTCAGTGTGTCGGTATGGCTTAGGACTTTTCCAGCTGCTCTGCTATACAATGTATGCTCAAGCATATGCTTTTACGCTCCAATCTACTTTGCCCGTCTAGTGTTCTTCGAGATCGGTGATCTCGGGACTCACGAGGGCTTGAAATTTACAGTTGTCCTTGGATTAATTGCAGGTCTCTATTTTGGGACTGTCGTGCCGTCTTATGCTGTTTTTATCCGAATTGCTGCCGCCGAATTGTCGGGACAAGGAGATTCGAGAGAAAAAGCAGATACTTGTTCAAGTATATCTACGGCATGGCACAACTTCTCTCGTTCGGCTCGTATCAGATTTTTCAAGGCCCTCACGAGTACTCTGATGATGGAAATGTGCCTACTACTCGTTTTGGTTACATACGTGTTTGTACTCTTCCATCCTGCACTGCACCAGGACGTTGTACTTTTCTTTGTGAAATATGCTGGATAGTCTGGAATGAATAGAGAGAGAGACTGACATTAATTATGGCTCCTGGAGCTTCTCGCTAGACTCTAAAGGCAAAGCCCTAAGCGTCGAGATCTCGGCTCTGGAAGTGACTCTTGGTAGGAAGTAAAGTCACTGTTGTTACGCACAGGGGAGGCATTCTTAACTGATGTGACAGACCATATCTACCATTCCTTCTGGCTGTTATCTAGATTGCATGTATCTTAGTCTCCAATCATTGTTCATCTGTCAAGTCCGCTTGCACAATCAATTCTTTCTATCTAGCAGCCAGGCTATCCTCCAGTCTCATGTAATTCAAGCCACGATAGAGTTTTCTCCCCTATACGGACTTTCACATTGTCTTGCTGGAATGATGTCGGATTCTCGGCTCTTAAAGAGACCATTTCAAGGGTATTGAGATATGATTTTTGAGGTATATCCTTTCCTCTTTGTCTTTGAGAGAAACCCGACCGAGGAATTGCTCTTTATATCCAGGCGTGATCTAGTAGTCAGACAGTGAAGGACGCATAAATTGCGATAGTTTCAGAATTAAGGAACTAGATTCTAACTTAGCTAATGAAAATCCTAGAAAGTTGTGGCTACTTGTTTAGATAGGATAAAGCATATCCTAAATAGCGGTACATTATAGTGGTGCAAGTCGAGAATCGAGAAGCCAGCCACGATCAGTGAACAACGCACTGTCAATTGGTCCGAGGCTCAATACGATGAGCAGCCACAGCAGTACATAGGGCACTGGAAACAAACTTTAAGCTATGCCCTTCTTCACTAACTAATTCACTTTGAGTGTTGCCTTATCACCATGTTGGAAAACATGGTCATATAGGAAATGATCTCTCATCTTTTTCATAAGGCTAAAGGGGAGGACCATAACCTTAACAATCCCATTTGATACCCCAGGACTAGGAGAATGATGGACAAAGCATACGGCTACTTTGGTGCAACGGCACTACAGGCTCAAAACCCGGCTTTGACGACTACTAATGTTGACAACCTCGCTATGTTCATACTAGGTGAGTGAGAATCTCCACTATTGGCATGATTTCAACTTTATTAATAAAATTAGCACTTTACATGAGCGGATGTGAATGGGATAAGGGCAATGCGGGTGTTGCACAGAGTTTCACGAGCGAGGACGACGATTGCCCAGATGATGCTTAGGATTACGATGGATGTTAGAGTGGATGTCTCGTCTTTCGGGTCAGTACCCTTGTAGGTTCGATAGCTTCCTCATGTATGCTAGCAACGATCATGACCTAATGATCAGCCTTGGGCGTGGCTAGCGAAAATAGGAGAGCCGAACCATAGTCTTTCCATCATTGTTTAGAATTACTCCGTACGTATTCGCGCACATATCCTGATGTGGAGAGCTGGTAGATATCAAGAGTTCTCTAACTGTAATACAATATCGTCTCAGGAAGGGCGTTTCTGAATTGCCGCTCGGAGGGCGGCATCCACGTCCGAAGCTCGAAATCCAGGAGCTCGTCCGAGGACTCTGAGGTTGGTCAAAAGAACTGGGTATTGTTAGAAAACATCAAGGCCGGACAATAGTCGATATTCAGACTCACGCTCAAAAAAGCATTCCACATCCAGGACATATGCCGACGGAGTAGAGCCCCACGCCTCCTCCTCGTACACCGGTGGAGAGGCATAAAACTGGAACGCACTTTTCCCCGACGAAGAACCAAACAAATCTTCAGCTGTCGCCGAAGAAATATCTAGCTTCAAAGCAGAGCCGTTCAAAGCAACGCCTCGGTGTTCGAGGTAACCCTGGACATCATGACAATCAAACCACTTCCCATCCAGATCCAGTTCATGGAGCTGACTCGTCCACTCTTCTTTTCCATTTCGCCGGTCCCAATAATCGCTCTCCAGATCCGCAGTCCAATCCTCCTGCAAGACCCTGATCCCGCCACGGCGCAAGATATTCGACAGTCTGCGCAACACGCGGCCCGGTCTGCGGACATTCTCGGGGTAAAGGGGACAACCGTCCGGTCCACGGCGCGGGAAATGCGTCCCTGCACCTCCGAGAGTGTAGTACGGTGTTTTGGAAAATTCCAGCGAGCCCCCGATTTCTGACTTGATCAGGCGCTGATACGCCCGCTTCAATCCAGGGATGTCGTGGATACAAGTCAGAAGGCCGAAGACACGGCTCATCGCCATCGGGTCTGAGTGTGGATCGTTTATCCAGCGGTAGGTGTGTTCGAGGCAGAAACGCTGCAATCGTCGTGAGAGGTTGGATTCTTGATGGCTGTAGGTGTAGATTGTTGCTGTTGGGAGAAGGCGGTTTAGGAGGGGCGTATGAGATCTCGAGGGCGATAATAATAGTTCACGACCATTGTTATGGCCTTTATCATCCTTCACTGTATGTGATACTTGATATCCGAATATATCACTGAGACTGTCCGGGCTGTGCTCGGTTTGGGGACTGCCATCCTCTTCTGCCGTCCGAGTCTTGTCAATTTCAGCGAGAATCAGCTGCCGCGTTTCGGTCAGGTAATCAGTGCCCGGCTGAGCAGTCAGACTATCCGACTGAACAGGACCCAGGATGTTGGACACATTCTGCAGTGTCTGCTCCAGCATGGCCACCCGGGTCTTGAGGGACTGGATGGTGGCCTCTTTCTTGAGCCGGTACGTGCGCTGCGCACGCCGAACCTGCAGCCGCCGTTCCTGCCGTGCTAGTTAGTACCAAGCTCATCTTTAGTTTTAGGCAGTTGTACCTGGATAGCCGCCGCATCCTTCTCCGTCTCCAGTCTCGGGCGCCCCCGTTTCCGGGCGGGGCGATCCGGGAGCCCGGGGCCGTTTCTCTCTGGCACTTGCTCGATCTCTGCTTCTTTTTTTGATGACAGCTTTCTGCGTGGCCGAAGCGCCCGCCCTGGCTGTTCTTCATTCTTTAGACTCAGCTCCTCTGGTGGTGATGTGTGCATCCTTTGCCGCACGTCGTCTTCGCGCTCCTGGCGGGCTTCCCAGACCATTTCGAGGTAGGATCTTGAGGATAAGAGCGTATACCCCTCGTCGGAGCGTGGGTGTGGTTTCTGAGGTACAGGGGAGTTCATTTTCGGTGATGTGTAGGGGAGTTGGGAACGTCTTCGCTGTCCACGTCTTTAGTTGTCGTGATCACTAATCCCTAAATCCACGATCCTCTAGCCTCGGCCTAGTTTGGTCTGGACCCACTTACCTGTTTTGTATCGTGCTGTCTGTGGACCCTGTGCACAGAAGCTTTGACAATTGATTCTATTTCTACGTTCGATTCTATATATGGTGGATATACGGTAGGCAGGGAAGGAATAAGGGCGGGTCAACTGCGGAATCCAGCGGGTACCTGGTACATATTACCAAGATCTGGGTCCAGGGATGGTCTATGAATTCTCCCGATAAAACGGTCGCCAAATCCATGATCAACTTGGAACAGTAGATGCGGCTGTCAGAGAAGAATCGTATTTTCACACTTGGGCGATATCTAGCTTATCGAAGATGTCCTTTTGAAATAGCCTCGGCTTAGCTGTTGCCGACCCCACTAATGCTCCGTTTTGGGCATCCTCCCGCCTTCCAGTGTGGGACAAGAGTTCTGCAAACAACGTCAGACCCACCGACCATAAACTAAGCTACGTAGATGCATCATAATACGTCAATGGAAGGGATAAATTGCGTGGGCATCATTCCGTAGCGGTGTAGTCATTTACTTAACAGGTCAATGTAAATCTAGGCCCCCAACACGTCCGGCCTCGCCGACGAAGAGGTTGCTTGCCCCGAAGTCCGAGACCTCCTCATCTGCTCTGATTGGCCCCGGCCTCGAGCCTCAATCGGGCCTAGTCAACAATTACGGGGGGCCTGGTCACGCAGTGGGACATATAAAAGCGTGGAGCATGCTTGATTATTCTGACTACCAGCAGACACTCGCTTACCCGCTACCCGCGGCATCCCCTATCTGCAGCCCGCAGCCATGACACCCTCATTCCTGCTAAGCTTTGCCGCCGCGGCGCTCGCGCTGCATGTCATCCGCCTGCTATTCCTCTCATGGCAGCGGTCGCGACATGCTAAGAGCCTGGGCTGTGGCGCCGCTCCTATGTACCCTTTCAAGGATCCGCTAGGAATCAGCAACCTGATGCAGTCGCTGGCGGCCGATCGCGAACATGCCATCCCCGAGCTGGCTACGAAGCGCATCGAGGTGATCAGCAACCTCCAAGGCCGCTATGTCTCGACTGTTATACTCCGCAACCTCGGCCGCGATAACTTGTTTACGACCGATCCGAAGAATATCCAGGCTCTGCTGGCGACGCAGTTTAAGGATTTTGGGCTCGGACCTACCAGGCTTTCCAGTCTTCACCAGTTGCTGGGCACGGGAATCGTAAGTTTTGATGAATTTGTTGGCCAAAAAGGTCGGTGTGGCTGATACCACAATCATAGTTTACGGCAGACGGAGAGGAATGGTCGCGATCCCGCTCACTGCTCCGCCCTCAGTTCACCCGTGAGCAGATCAGCCAGCTGGATCTGGAGGAGGCACATGTGCAAAAAGCGATGCAGGCACTGCCCGTGGCGGCAGATGGTTGGACGACCCCCACCGATATCCAGTCGATCTTTTTCCGCTTGACCATCGACTCAGCAACGGAATTCCTATTCGGCGAGAGTGTAGAGAGCCAGATCGGTGCACTACAAGGCCTAAACCGGCCTGAGGACAAATTTGCCTCTTACTTCGACCGCTCCCAGTGGGTTGCTGCGCAGCGAGCCCGGTTCGAGAAGTTCTCTTGGGTAGTGGACAACAAGGAGACCCGGTACTCAGATGCGCAGGTGCATGCATTTGTAGACAAGTTCGTCAAGAACGCACTGGATGCGGTTCAGCGGGACAAGAAGCCCCTAGACGAAGAGAAGCCTGCTAGCTATGTCTTCCTCGATGCGCTAGTCGCTTCAACCCATGACCCAATCGAGCTGCGCTCCCAACTCCTCAACATCCTACTCGCAGGCCGCGACACGACCGCCTCCCTCCTAAGCTGGACCATCCAAATGCTCACGCGCCACCCAGCCGTCTTCCACAAACTGCGCGAGACAATCATCACCGATTTCGGCACCTACGCCGCTCCACACGATATCACCTTCGCCAATCTCAAATCCTGCCAGTACCTACAGCACTGCATGAATGAGGTCCTGCGCCTCTATCCCGTCGTGCCTTTCAACCGCCGCACCGCAATCCGCGACACGACGCTCCCGCGCGGCGGCGGCCCAGACGGCCTATCCCCTGTTTTCGTCCGCAAGGGCCAGAACGTCGCCTACAGCACCTACGTCATGCACCGCCGGCAGGATCTCTGGGGTCCTGACGCGAATGAATTCAAGCCCGAGCGCTGGATGGATCGGAAGGTTGGGTGGGAGTACCTCCCGTTCAACGGCGGTCCGCGTATCTGTATCGGACAGCAGTTTGCGCTTACTGAGGCGGGATACGTGATTGTTCGTTTGTTGCAGCGCTTCGATAAGATTGAGGATGTTTATCCCGATCGCAAGATCCGCGGCGCGTTGACCCTGACTATGGCCCCAGCGGATCTGGTGACTGTGCGTCTGCATGAAGCGGATACCGCTTAAATGGATCCTTCTGACCGAGTATTTGATGCCCTTTTGGAATGGAATGTCGTTACGCCATTAATATAATTTTGCTCTTGGATCTTGTGTTATTTAAAGGTCCTTTAAATTGTATAGCCGCGTGTATCAATTGAATGAGCCCCCTATTATGGTAGAATGAAAAGTAGCCTACACCCGGATATATATTCCACGAGATATGTTCTGATGTTCTCTATTTAGCAGTTTTTTAAGACTCTTCAAGGTTCTTCTTCGGGACTTTGGTCTGTAGTATGTGAATAGTTTGCTGCGGTGCAATTATATATAAGGGCCACTTGACATGCCCCATCCAGCTCCATCGCTCAAAAAACGATAAACCACCAGAACAGAGCCCTTTAGAAATAGCCAGGATTTGAAAGCCCACTCAAGACCCATTGGTTAATGAAGAAACTAGATAGATGACTACGTAGCTCTATATTATAACAATGTCCAACCCCAAACTTCTCCAACACCCAACCGATGCATCCGTCATCCATGCAAAAAGGCACCTCGGTTCTGTTCAGGTCATCATCTCATATCATAGCGCATCAATATCGAATCTACAGCCGCGAGGCGGATAGTCATCGACCAAGGGTAAATTCAAAGGACCGATCACCCTCCCCCCTAGGCACAGCCTTGGCCTCGTTCCCGTAGAGCGTGCGCTCGAAGTACCGCACCCGACCATTCGGCTGGGCCAGGAGAATCGTCTGCTTCTGTGTGCCATACACGCCAGTCGAGTAATCCGCCCCATTCGCTTGCGCAGCAACGGGGTCCTTGGACTTGTCCTCGACGAGCGCGGCGGCGATTTCCTCGGCTGCTTGTTCGCGCGCACTGTTGGCGCCGATCACGGGGATGAAGATGCTTTTTCGAAGGTGGTTGATATATGTGTCGATGGTGGCGTCCTCTAGTTTGGTTAGACGGGGTAGATTGTCGGTGCTGAGGACATCCAGGAGCCGGGCTATTAGCTGCTCCTCATCCTCCATCTTATCCACATGCTCCGCAATCGCCCGCTCCATGTATCTCTCGCCATCAACGATCTTCGGCCACGACCGATCATCCACGCTGGTGTTACTCAATCCACGCGTCGTGTTCTTCTCCTTCGCCACCCAGGTAATATGGTCCATATCCTCCGAGCGGTTCGAGACAATCGCAAGTGGCTCATTGATATAGCCACATACAAGACTGAACCCGCCCACCTGTTTCGCCTCAGGACTGGCAACCATGCTCTGCACGAAGTCGTGGGTGGTCTGTCGCTCGCCCGGCGGTGTTGTCAACCAGCTGTTGACGATTCGGCCGCGGCTGTGTGTCCCGATGGCTTCGCTGGAGGTTTGCTCGCGGTAGTTCGTTAGCACGGCGACTTTGCCGTGCGTCGTGATCCCCATCCAAGTGCCTTGCGTGGCGCGCGCGAGGTCGCGTGAGCCGAGGACATGTGTGTTTGGCGCTGGCCACCAGTTTGGGGCTGAGGTTGGTCGGTGAAGGAATTCCTGGGTGGTCATAGGTCGTTAGGAGTTGGGCATGTCCTGCTAACGGTTGTGAGGGAAGCAACTCACATCTCGGTTGTTGATGATTATTAGGGAGTAGGATGGGTGGGCGGTGGAGATTAATGCGATGCACATCGTTGCAGGTGTCTCGTGGGGAGTTGAAGAGGAGACAGGAAGAGAAAGAACGGGATCGGGGAACACAGTCGGGGGTCAGATCGGCTTCGTCCGATCGCCAACAACTAAACATAGTTGAGATCTCCCGTGACGTCAAGACAAGGCGGTCGGTCACGAGAGCTGCGATGAGGGAATGAGATGGATCAACCATCTTATCTTTCTTTGCACCCTCTCATCTCGCCCTTTCCCGTCCAGCGGCCGGCCGCTCTTGTCTTTGCTGCCTGGAGCTTCTCTGTACTTCCACACTCTCGGATCCCTTTCATCTTCTTCCCCCAGAGCCAACGCGGGGTGAACACCAACATTGTTCGGAGAGCCACGGCAACTGGTCCAAAACACTCAGTACCACCACTCACCAGCTCTTCTCTTTGATCAGCAGTAGCTCCTGCTACACGGCCCCCGGGTGGTAGTCTTCTTTCATCGCCAGTTTTGAAGCTTCCCCACGTCGGATCGACATAACAACCCTCACCATCACCATGTTCGGCATCTTTGCGGACTTGATGTCGTAAGTGATCCCCAAACACCTCTCCTGGCAACACAGCTCACTGTAATTCGTTCCACAGCTCCGTAATTACCATCCTCTTCCCCGTCTTCGCGTCCTACAAAGCCCTGCGCTCGTCCGACCCTTCCCAGCTCGCTCCATGGTTGATGTATTGGGTGGTGCTGTCCGTGATCCTGCTGGCAGAATCGTGGACGGTCTTTATTATCGGATGGTACGACTGCTGCTGCTCTGATCTACCGTGGAACACGCGCTGACAAACTCCATCAGGTTCCCCTTTTATAGCTGGATCCGTCTATTCTTCCTGTCCTATCTGGTCCTCCCCCAGACGCAAGGGGCGCGCCTGCTCTACCAGGACTACGTGGATCCCTTTCTCGCGCACCACGAACACGAGATCGAAGAGCTAATCGGACGCACCCATGAACGCGCCAAGACCTTGGGCCTACAGTACTTTTCGATGCTGGTCGATCTGATCCGGGAGAGAGTCATGGGTCTTCCCCCACAGCGTCCCGCACCGCCGCCACCCTCGGGTCCAGCGGGCTACGCGCAGTCGCTCCTGTCGCGGTTCAACCTCCCCAGCGTGGCGGCCGCATCCGCCGCCCCGGCGAATGATTGGTACTCGGCTCTCAGTTCCGCCATCGGCTCGGTCACGTCCACGGGCAAGTCGCGCGAAGCACGCGCCGAGGAGCTGTCCGCCAGCGGCACCCTGCTGCAGCAGAAGATGGAGACCATGTCGCGCACCGAGAAAGCGCAGTATATATCCACCCAGCGCGAGATGCTGGATTTCCTGCGCTCGACCCTGGCGCGGGAGGAGCAGACCCTCGGCGAGGATCCAGAGACCGAGGATCTGGCCTATGGAACGCCGCTGCGCAAGAATCGCAGCGAGCTCTCGTTTGATGTGGTCGACGATGACGATCTCGGCAGTCGATCCGCCAGCTCCAAGCGCGCCTCTGGTGGCCGATGGACCTCCGGCTGGTTCGGCGGCAATGACCACGACACCTCGGGCTCGTCGGGCTCGTCAGGCGCGGAGTTTGCAGCGCGAGCTGTGGATGAGATCTCCCGGGCGCGAACGTCTGGCTATGATCGCTATTGAATGGGGGTAGAAAAATTAGAGGGGGTTGCTAACTCCAGTTGCTGACCGGGAATCCCAAAACAAGAAAAAAGAAAAACACGGAAATAAATGTGTCAATGCGCGGCGGCTGCATGCACGGCGGCCGATCGCCGGAATGCTACTATTAATTCACTATGACTTTATTTATCTTTGTACGCGAGAGTCGAGGGCAAGACAACAGGGATGTGTAATTATGTATCCCTTTAATGGTCATACTAGTAGTTGGACTAAAAAGGGATAGCCGTTGTGGTCCTTCCGCACGGGTGGCGAGGCCCATGGCCGAACGGGAGTCGAACACAGTGTCGGTTCATTCATTGTTCGAGAGCGCCAGTATTGTTCTTGGTGGACTGAATCGAGCACGAGTCCGTAAATTTCCAGGTAGTCAGTAGATACGAGCATAGACGATGACTCCAGGGTCTACTAGCCGTACACATCGACATCATGTCATTGGTGGCGGCCACACAACAACAGCCTCAGCCTGTTCGCCTTCCAACTTTTCCCTCTCTCGCTTTTTTCCTCCTTTCTTTCTTCTCCCTTTCCACACCCTTCCGACCATATTTTTGTCTTTGGTCGTTTTCTGCCTTGGTAAGTTGTTGTTGCGATCCCGACGCGCTTGTGCCTTTCTTTTCCCTCCACAATTTTTTTTTCCCTCCCGAAACAACTTTTTTCCTCCGCGTGGATTTTTTCCTTCCTCCCACACTCCAAACCATCCCCAATCCAACCTCTCAAAAATTACCATCAACCCTGGGACCACACGCTTCTTCCTGCGTTGCTGGTCTTTCTCCTCGGGTTTCTTCTCTCCTCTCTTTCTAACCCTTTTTGCTCCCTTACCGGCAGATTCAGGATTGGATGTGGCCTTAGTCGAGCCTCCTCCACGCCTTGACATCACCGTCACTCTCTCGAAAATCCGATCTGCCTCTGCGCGTCTGCCGTGGACACTACCTGTCTAATGAGCTCGATCCCTTCGCAGTCGGGCCAACAAGGACAGAGCACCGCTGCCAACGCCGCCGCCTCCTCCACCCAGCCCGTCGCTACCTCTCCGTCCCCCCTGGCTGCGACTGCACCGGCGCCGCCTAGGTCCTACGCCAACGCCACGAAGAAGTCCGCGACGGACTCGACCGCCGCTCCCGTCACCGTGGGCGGCTCGGCGCAACATGGGAAGTCGACTTCCGTATCTCCTGTGAGCGGCAACCCCATGCAAAACCAACAGTCCCAGCAGCAGACCGCGTCGCCGGGCGTCACCATTGTCAATGGTGCTCCGACAGCGCCTGCTGCTGACCACTCGCGCAAGCCATCCGTGACCATCACGTCCGCCGGCACGTCGGGTTACATGCCCAACGGAGGGCCCGCCAGCCGTCCCAACAGCCTGCAGTTCGGTTTCGCGAACCAACAGAGCTCGCCCAACATGGGCAATCCCGCCGTGCTTGCCGCCAACCAGACTCAGCCCGGCTTGGGGGTCGCCCCGTCGATGAACCCCCGTGTTACCTCGCCGCAGACCTCTCCCTCCCCCATCCCACAGCCTGCGTCCAGCGGTGGCCGTCCCCCACCATCGACCTACCAGGGCCAGGGCAACGTGCCAAACTTTGGCAGCTTTGGGGATGCCGGTGATGCCAACGTAAGTTCTTTTTGTTTTCCTCCACTTTTCTGATGGCCCTTGGTACGCGATGTGTGTGTAGTGTTGCGGACGCGACCGCGCGCGATCTGCCAAGTCTCCACCAGATTTTTAACGTGCCACTCACACGTAGATGCGTCCGACTCCGCAGGCACCTCTCGGACCCGGTCCTCAACACCTGCGTCGCGAATCGTCGCAGTCCACCCACAGCGATATGAGCAACCACATGGGCAGTGGACCTGGACGCGGTGGCTACCCTCATCAGGGTGGCCGCGGTCGCGGATACTCCCAGTCTGGCTACCAGGGCCAGATGCCATACTCGCCGGGCCCGAATTTCCGGCAAACGCCCAACCAGCCCCGAGGCGGACCGAATATGGGCCCTCAGTTTCACGGCCCTAATCAGGGTCGTCCGCTGGCTCCCTTCCCGAACTCGCCGCACCAAGCGAACCGCAGCCCAGCGCTGGCCAACGCCCACCCGACGACTCCCCAGATGAACCAGGTCCCCATGGCCCACCCCCAGATGCCTCCGCAGCCATACGGTGCCTACGGCCAACACATGGGTCCCCAAACTGTGAGAAACCCACCCTCTTTCCGTAATACCCTGAAACCCGCCCGGCGTGGCAATTTCCCAAGGAACAAAGCCCCTCGGGCGGCCTTGTTCCACCAGAACCTCCCCATCCCGGATCTTGCACCTGAGAGCGGCCAATTTGAACGTTATCTGACAATGATGAAAACCAATCAGGGATACCCCCAGGCTTACGATCCCAATTACGGCTACTACAACCCGGGCTATGGCATGCAGCAGATGCAGTACATGACCCCGCCGTCTCCTCAGCCCCGTCCTGGCATGCCCTACAATGGCCAAGGTGCTTACATGCAGGGCCAGTTCCAGCCGCCGCCGCAGTCGACTCCGCTCTCGCGCACCCCATCCCAAGTGTCTACTGACCGTCCAGGATCGAGTCTCGGCCAGGGTCAAGGACCCGCTGGTCCTCCTGCGCCCGGCCACACTCACACCGCCAGCAGATCGTCTAACAGCCCGGCTCCTGCGAAGCCGAACTTCGTCATTCCTTCCGCCAAGAAGAGCGCCGCCATCGTCATCAAAGACCCTGGTAGCGGTGCCGTGAAGACGTTTGAGAAGACTCCCGCCTCTCCGGCTCGCGCTACTCCTTCCCCTATCAAGATTTCCACTCCCACGTCCACTCCTCCGCCACGCACAGCCAGCGCCACGGGCCACGCTCGCTCCGATAGCAAGGCAAGCAGCGCCAAGACTGACGAGGAGAAGAAGCAGGAGCTCAAGGATGCCGTTCGTCAAAAGATCCTGGCAGACGAGAAGCGTGCCGCCGAGGCTGCTGGAAAGGAACCGGCTGAACCCGCCAAGGCGAAGAATGATGAGACCGAGTCCATTCGTGCTGCCGTGGAGGATCTCAGCTTGAAGGAGAAGGCAGCTCCTGCCGAGGAACCGAAGAAGGCGCCTGCCCCTGCGCCCGCCGATGACGACGAAATCGACTACGACGCCATTGAACGCGAGCTGGAAGAAGTCGAGCGCAAGGAACGCGAGGCCGAGGAAGACTACAACCGCAAGAAGGCCGCCCAGAAGGAAGAGCGCGAACGCAAGGAGCGTGAGGAGCGTGAGGCCTACGAGAACAACATGAAGGCCGCTGAGCGCGAGGCCGAAGAGCGTGAGCTTGCCCGTGAGGCTGCTCGCGCCAAGGGTGGTGATGTCGACGACGAGTCCAGCCGCAAGGAGCGCGAGGACCTCTTTGCCTCCCTCAAAAAGGGTGGATTCACTGCTACCGAGACTTCTACGCCTGGAGACAGTGGCACTGCCACTCCAGTTTCATCTGATATGTCGTCCATGGGCCCGCCCGCGAAACCCGCCAGTGCTGCCGCCAAGGGCAAGCCCGGCCCGCTCAAGCTCGAGACAAAGACGGAGCCCGAGAAGCCCAGCGCGGCCATGAATGCTCTGCGCAATGCTAAGTTCCTCGAGGATCTTAGCAAGGTCACCTATCCTTCTTCGATCACCGCGCCCAACCCGGCTCTCAACGCCAGCGCGCCTGCTGGTCGCCGGTTCCACTACGACAGAGACTTCCTGCTCCAGTTCCAGACTGCGTACAAGGACAAGCCTTTGGTAGATTGGGATCTTCGCGTTCGGGAGACTGTTGGTGACGCTGAGTCTTCGTCGCGTCCACAGTCTGCTCGGACTCCCAGCATGGGCGGCCGCACCGCCTCGCGCGGCGGTATGGGCCCTACTGGCTTCATGGGCAACTTTGGCCAGCCTGCTCGTGGCGCCCTGCCTCCCGGAACCACCTCGGACCAGCGCTTCAACGCCTCGATGGGACGCGCCCCCTTCGGTGCTATCCCCCGCCCCGGTATGGGCAGCATGGGTTCTCCTGCCATGAGCCGCAACAGCTCTACTGGTATGCCGGGTCGTGTTGCTAGCGGTCGTGGTGGCCCTCGCACCGGCAGCAAGCGCGACAAGCACTCTGCTAAGAAGGAAGAGGACTCGAACAAGTCCATGCCTCTCACCGCTGGTATGGATCTCAAGGCTCTTGTACCAAGTAGCACTGGTTGGAAGCCTCGCAGTATTGGTCAGCAGGCTGGTCCAGCTCTTGGTGGAGATGGTCACATGCCTCCTGATGTGGTTCAGCGCAAGGTCAAGGCCGCTCTCAACAAGATGACTCCCGAGAAGTTCGACCGCATTGCGGACCAGATTCTCGAGATTGTTTCCCAGTCCAAGGATGAGTCGGACGGCCGCACCCTGCGACAGGTCATTCAACTCACCTTCGAGAAGGCCACAGATGAGGCTCACTGGGCGCCCATGTACGCCAAGTTCTGCAAGCGCATGCTCGAGCACATGAGCGCCGAGATCAAGGACGAGAACATCCGCGACAAGAATGGCCAAGTCGTTGCGGGCGGCAGTCTCTTCCGCAAGTACCTGCTTAACCGCTGCCAGGAGGAATTCGAGCGCGGCTGGAAGGTCAACTTGCCCCCACAACCCGAGGGCACGACGGAAGAGATAGCCATGATGTCCGACGCGTACTATACCGCTGCGGCTGCCAAGCGTCGTGGTCTTGGTCTCGTCAAGTTCATTGGTGAGCTGTACAAATTGGGCATGCTTACTGAGCGTATCATGCACGAGTGTGTCAAGAAGCTGGTCGACTACGAGGGTATCCCCGACGAGGCTGAGGTTGAGAGCTTGACCAGTCTCCTGCGCACCATCGGTGCCAGCTTGGATAGTTCGGAGAAGGGACCTGCCATGATGGATGCCTACTTCGCTCGTATCGTGCTCATGATCGATACTCCAAACCTGCCCAGCCGTCTGAGATTCATGCTTATGGTATGTCCTCTCTACTTGGTCTCAATTTACAGTCAATTTACAGAGCTAACAATGCTGTGTTTAGGATATTGTCGACCTGCGGAATAACCGCTGGGTCTCCAAGGATTCCGACAAGGGTCCTAAGACCATCCAACAAATCCGTGAAGAGGTAAGTGTCCACTACTCACTGTCTTGTCTAGTTTATCCCGGTCATTAACATCAAATTCTAGGCTGCTCTCGCTCAGCAAGCGGCCGAGATGGAGCGCGCGCGTCAACAGGCCAACCGCGGCGGTGGCGGCGGCCGTCCGACCATGGGTCGTGGCGATGCTCGCGGCTTCGGCGGTTACGGCAACCAGGCTCCTCCGCCAGACTACGCCTCGAGCAAGGTCGGCAGCGACGACCTCCGCCGTCTGCGCGCAACTCGCAACACCAACCAACCTCCATCGTTCGGCCCGTCCAGCCTTCTCGGCTCGCGCAGCAGCAGTGGTCGCAAGACTCTGGGACCGGGTGGAAACCTAGTCCGGGGCAGTGATGACAGTGCTGCTAGCAGCCGCACGGGCACTCCTCCTGCCGGAAAGAAGGAAGACAAGGAGGCCGCTTCGTCGATGAACGCTTTCAGGTATGCATACATACCCTCACCTCTCCCTCTATTTATGGTATGTACGAGTCATACTAATGTAACCTCTGTCCAGCGCACTCGCGGCTTTAGAAGACAAGGACAACATGGCGACCTCGCCCCCGTCAAACCCGACGTCCCCGAACCTCACCAAGTCGCAGCCCGCCGCAGCAGCGACGGCAGCGGCCGAGCGCAGACCCTCCAAAACGCCTTCGAAGGATGGCGAGAACGCAGCATAGATTCCCTCGGAGTAATGATCAACGCTTTTTTATTATTCATTTTTGGTTATCCCTTCAACAAAAGATTCTTTTTCTGTGCTTTGATCATTCATTCATCTTTATATCTTGCTCCACACATGAGCTCACCCAAATGCGAATGTTTTAATCTGTCGTCGTCATTCTCCTCGCCTCGCCTTGCATCTCCGACTGGTCGGTTCACTGGAACTCGGGAGCCGGGACTCAGGACTTTTTCTATTGCCTCCCTTTCTCCATCCACCCCCCCCCCCCCCCCTTTTATTATCTTTTCAACTCGATTCATAGTGTACAATTTTCACATCTTTTTTATTACTTCACTTCGTTACTCCACTTCTTTCTATTTCCTGTGTGGCTGGAAGAACAGTGAACAGAGGGGATGGTGGATGGACAGGCCAGGAGAGGGTACCTAACTTGGAACGGAGTAGTTTGCTGGCGCTGTTGCTGTCATTAGGAGCCGATCAGGCCAGACCATACGTCCGGCCAGCCAGAAATCGGTATGAGTGGGCGGGTGGCCCAGCAAGCAGGACAAGAAGGAAGAGAGATTGACTGGATGATGGAAAATTGGCTCTCAGCATTGATGATGGGCGAGCGAGTGAGATTCCCATGGTAGAGAGACATGGATGATGAACCTCGCTTCGGTTGATCTTGTTGCTCTTGCATATTTTCCTTCTCTTTTTCCCCTTTTCCCCTTTTTTCTCTTCTTGATCGTGTCTTCTCAATACCCGGAGTCTCAATCTCATAAACTCTTCTTTCTTGATTGTTTTTATCTGTGTGTATTTTAATCGAATGGCTCTGCGAAGTATGTGATTCACTTTCTACATACTCTCTTCCTAGGTCCCTTTGTTTGCTGTTGCTTTAAAGGAAGAAAGATTTGTAATGTGGTGTGTTGTCTCGGCTGCAAGAGCCACCGACCCTATCTATATACAAGGAGAGTAGTCTACAATAGATGAGGCCGGACCCCCAAGACTAAAGCCCACGTCTCACAACTCATATTCAGTATCTCTCGTATCCGCGCTACTGTTAAAACCCTCAATTGTTACTGCTGCCTGACTTGAGATAGATAGAAAGAAAAGCATACCAAACAGCAGAGATAGTCACTAAAACAGAGATAATAAAGGACAATAGAACAACACCGGCAATGGTGACTCCCGCCCCAATCGTCATGGTAATTTGTGACATGTCTCTGGACATAAGCTAGGACAATTCGTAAAGATTGGTGCCAGGCTCCATGCCTTGTTGGGATCGCATCTTTTTCCGGCCTGTAGTTCATCGCTATAGACCTCGCAGTTTACGGAGGCTTCACTCATCGAGAGGCTGTCTGGGTGGTTGAGATGATGTTTGGGGGGAGTAAATTAGAAGTTTTGCGGTATTTATACGGATTGCAAACATGGATGCACCGAGTAGTACAAGTGAGAGAGAAATGCATGATTGATTAATGGATAGATTCAACGAAAGTATTTTTGAGCGGATAGAGTCAAGACATCCATTTTCCTGCCACTAAGCTCAAACCCCAGGCATTGTGAGAGGAGGCATATGCAACCAACGAGGCTATATTTCACTCAGAGACCACATCACTTGGCCACGGAAAACACAGCCCTCTTCATGCTCAACTCAAGCTCCCCGAATATTTTAGACGTCGCCGTTCCCTTGTATCTGCCTCCGTCTCTTCTCAGACCACGGAAAATGAAACACAGGAACAACAAAGAAACTATTGCTATCATCAGCAATTCCAGCAAAAGCATTATACCAAGCAAGGAAGGCCCCCAAAAGAGCGAAAAATCCGCCCGCTTCCATAAGACCCCCATTAGGCAATTCTTGTGCATTCGGGTAAAAGTACGCAAGTGCAATAAGCAGGATGGCGAGATCGACAACAAAAAAGAGAGAGAAGAATGCTATGGTTGATTTGACTGTGCATAGCATGATAAGGAAGGTGAATATGAACCAAGCCTGTATTGTATCAGGATTAGATTTGGATTTCAAAATTTCAGGTCAGGGGGAAACAAACCATGAGATACAGAGCGAATGCATTGTAGAACATCACAGGAGACCCCTTGTCTTCTTCGATCAGACCGTTCATGACGTCAAATCCTCCGGGTATGAAAGTTATAGCTATTGAGATCCAGAAGCCGCCGTATGAGGAGAGGACGGTTGCGCCGAAGGTATTCCCAATTGCCATCTCCCTATTTATTCAGCAGGTTAGAAACAGGAAAGCACCATTCCTTCCACTCGCATCATATTGTGTTGCAAGTAACCCTGGGCAGGAAGAACGTACCACATGCCAGCGAGAAGCTGCACCAAACCGCCGTAAGCCAAAGCCGGTCCAACAATAATATTCGGCTTCGAGACACCCTTCACGTTCATTTGAATACATCCGAGGATGAAGGTCGTTAGGGCAAAGCCGCACAGACCAAGCGGCGCCGGGTTGGCGAACTTGCGGTCTTTCGGGGAGCGATACAAACCTGGTTGAAATTCACCGCCGAAGGCTGGGAGACGGCTTTCGGCTGTGTTGACGTGTGCTAACGGGCCGTAGTGGCCGTTTGCTATGTCCTCAGGATTGACATGGGTGTTTGATTGGGGGCTGTTGTTGAGCGGTTTGGGATCAAAGTCTTTGGTTTCGGAGGACATGGTGGGTAATGGAGTAGGGTAGTTGTTTCTTGGGAAGAAGGCGTAGTTCAACAAATACGGTTGAGAGTGTGTTCCATACAACCAAGTAGTAGGGAGGTCAAATGTCTTAGGAGACAAGGGCCTGGCAATGTCTGAATTTGATTGAACCGGTTTTTCAATGATAAAATCGAATTGACCAAATTTAAACACAATGCATGACTCCTACCGGCTTTATATAGATATTTCTATTTGTGAAAAGTGTGTCTTGCTCGCACAACTCAATCTTTACCGGGAAGTACCATCGGGAATTCATCGCGCACCAATACGGTCGGGAAGGGATGAACGGCATTGATTAAATTCCAGTCCACGGGACTGGTAATTCTACATGAAGTAACAGGTCTGCACTATGACCCGTAGACAAGCTAATGCTCATATACTTCGGGGTATGATCTACGTAAGGGCAGATCTCAGATTGTGCGGGGAAACCTAAAACAGAGTTCATTGTGGAGACCGGAGCATATCTTCGGCACATCGACCTATGGTCCGTTTCACGGAAATTTTCAGGCTGCCGAGGCGGAAGCCGACTTTTGGTATAAAGTTTGCGAATGCTAATTCGTCATTTTTGTCTCGTAAATATGATATGTTCTTCCTCAGTGGTCTTGCTAACTAGATAGCCATGTTATCATTTAGCTGTAATCGGTGGCTGCCCCGGAACCTCGCGACCGTGCCACCCTCAGACACAAAACGCTTTACGCTTCAAGTTCACCGCCCTAGGCTACATATTTAAATAAGGTGGAATGATACAAAGATAAGTTGTTTGCTGAATCACCCTCTTTCTTCACGACGTCTTTCTCCAGAAGAATCCTCTTCGTCCACTTGTACTGCAGGTTCTCAATGTCCCAAATTCTGCGAGAGATACGTGTCGCGCTATAAAATGCATTGCAGAAAATGTTAGATGATACTTCTTGCAATATCGCAGGGCTAGGTGGTTCGATTTGTGCTTAGCTTTTCTTGCCCGTTGTTGGCCGTCTCAAGAGCCGTGAAGGACAATATGGATAACCAACTATATTTAGCCAAGTAACGATTTTCTTGGATTCTGGCTCTCTTTCCCTCCATTTCAGCTGCATCAAGAGCGTCTGCTTTCGACTTCCTCTCATATTTCCTCGCTTCCAAGTCCAATTACTTCCTGTGAGGCCTGCAATTGCCCATCAGCTTCAGATTCTGCCCGTTCCGGTGGCTGATATTCACTCGGTTCGTCATCCGAAAAGAAAGTTGAGCAAGGTGCTTTTGTCTCACAGGCCATCTCTTCCCAATTTCCTGGCAAGTTAACTAAATCGGCTTTCAAGGTCATACTGTCACCCTGCCAAGGGTCACTGAGGATTGCGGACGCTGCAAAGGAGGGAGACGTGACTAGAGATGCTGCTAGTGAGATGGTGTTGTATTAGCTACCATGGGTTTACTTTGCGTAACTCTTCAAAATCGTCTAGAACTTGATAGCTGACTAGAGTGAGATTATAATGCTTCCGCTAGTCCTATGCATTCAACAAAATATGGATGAACTGAACTTTTTTTTTCATATATTACAAGACACCACGATGCTCTTCCAATCACCTTCTAGTGGTGTAAAATAATCGCTTAGACAGAATCTATTATTTCGGGGGGATGATGGGCAGATTGATGTAGTTCATATAATCTGGTCCGAAGTGAATGTGATTTTGACCTTTGAAGATCGTTTCCGACCTACAGAACTGTTAGAACGAAAATATCGCATCAGCATGATTGTATTTGCCGTGTCAAAACTGTACCTGTCAATAGGGTCGTCATGGCCCCAAAACCCAGTCCCTGTTGTGTCTCCTGAGCTCACTTCTAGAACCAACCGACCACCTGTTTCAACAACCACATTGGTTGGCCAGATCTCCACATCAACGGGGTATACCTCAGTGGGAACTACAGGCAGAACATCTGTGGAATAAAAATCCCGATATGGTAACCAAGACCGATAGCGTGGATGCTGAGGGTTGGTTTTGCGGAGAGACACACGGAGCCATCCCTTGGTCACAGGAAAGGGCTCCCCGGCAGTGCCAGTATAGGAGATTTCTTCACCAGACGAAGGATGGAAGCTATCGGCCGGAGTCCTATAGCTATTATGAATAGATATAAACGAGAAACAGCCAAAAAAAATAAATAAATAAATAAATAAAAGATAAACATAAAAATAAAAATTCCTCCACTGTGAGCGCGGTTCTTGCAAATATGTTTGGCACTGGCAGGAGTTGACTGTTATCAGGTCGGGCTTAGTGAGCGAATGAGGGCGATCAATGAGCATAAGGGTACTCAGTTAAACAGTCAGCTAAAGATCACTGAGCTAGTCAGGTCGCTCAGGATCGCGCTCAATTTTACTCAGGAGAGCGAAGGGTGAGCACTAGAACAGAAAGAACAAGCCAAGAAATGGCAGACATTACCTGGTACATATGCCGTACGATGGAATCGCCGATTAAGCCAATATGAAACATCCCCGGGTATTAATTTACAAACTTGGCTGATTACTGTTAGAGTGATTTCGGGCACGATGAGTGGTACGATCACGTATACTGTGACCTGTGGTTGCGATCATATGCCTGATCCCTTGGGGCATAGAAATACCTCATGGCACAGCGATCTCATGCACGAACACATGAACAAGCGGTGCAAGGAGCCTGTAAATAAATGCCTCGCCGGCACCTAAGTTTCAGGGGCCAGCCTTCAATCTTGGAAATACATTGAGTCGCACCCAAAGTCTACCTGCGAGGCCAATCCGTAAAACAATCTACTCAGGGGTTTTTATGAAACACTTCTAAGACTCGTCTAGACGAGAACGGGTAACAATGCTACAAAGACACAGACTATACTACATTTGCGTAATGAATGGGGTGTGTAATTAACATGGAGTTGTACTAATCGTGTGCAATTAGCACGCTCTAGCCATAGTAAGATTTTACAATATATATAAAATTTAAAAACCGTGAAATTACGGTGTAATTGACGCAAGTGTGGCCGAGTGGTTAAGGCGCTGTGTTTAGGTTATCTCTGATAACGTCCGCAGTGGGAAACTTCGCGCGTTCGAATCGCGTCGCTTGCATTCAGTTTTTTTTTTTTTTCTTATCTATCCTAAAGATCTTTTTCTTTCTGTTATTCCTTTTCTCACAATACTCTGTTACCTCCTTAGTCAAGCAATGCTCACGGTGAATATTTTCGCAAGGCGCTCCAGGAAGCATATCAAGGTGCCGACGTCAATGCTCAAGGTGGATATTTTGGCAACGTTCTGCAGGCCGCATCGTCCGAAGGTTATGAGAAGGTGCTGCAGGTACTGGTTAGTCTAGGTGCCGACATCAATGCTCCAGGTGGATATTTTGGCAATGCGCTCCTGGCCGCATCATCTAGAGGCGATGAGAAGATGGTGCAGATGCTACTTGATAACGGTGCCGACGTCAATGCTCGAGCTGGACATTATTGTCACGCGCTCCTAGCCGCATTATCTAGGGGCCATGAGAAAGTAGTGCAGATACTGCTTGGTCAAGGGGCCGACATCAATGCTCACGGTGAATATTTTCGTAACGCGCTCCAGGAAGCATCAATTGGAGTACGTGATGAGGTGGTACAGAGACTGAATGTGCTTCAGGTCGCTCCAGTGGAAGGCCACGAGGAGATAGTGCAGATGCTGCTTGATGAAGGTCCGGGGGTCAATGCTCGAGGCGGATATTATGGCAACGCCCTCCAGACTGCATCGGTTAGAGGTCATGAGAAGGTGGCGCAGATGCTACTTGACAATGGTGCAGTTACTGTATAGTAGGTAGGTTTTGAAAACGGATGTGACTATTTTTACTACAAGAGTCATGTGCCTATACATCTGCCGAAAAGCCAGTTTGTGGCACGATGAGACGGAATTGTGATCTCTAAGGTCCCTTATGCAGAGGACGTACGGCAGTATTTCAGCTGATGTGGGTCTGCATAGCGCCGCAACAATAGGATTGCTACATCAGACTAAAATAGAATCATCATTATCATCAACCATAGCCCCCAAACGATTTCACTGTTTGATGGACCCTTGCATTGTTAACAGGGTATGAATCCCAATTCTAGGTCACAAACGGAGTCTGCATGTCCACTTGAAATCATGAAGAACATTGGGACTGTTAAAAGTTTGGTATTCGGTGGTCATCCCCACAATGGAGCAATGCAAGCCATTGGGGGTACCAAGGGAGAGGGGCTCATCTCTAGTGGCATGCTTCCCCTGATGTATCAAGAAGCCCTGGAGGTGGCAACCAATGCCACTCAAGAGGGAAATCCCACTCCCACTGACGGGCAACTCAAGCGCCTCAAAGAGATCGCACCCGTGGCCAATGAACAGGTTCCTTTGACGGGACTTGAGCCAATCAGTGTCAACTTCCTCAACGGCTACCGGCCCGGCCAGGAACACATGCCCCTCCAGTTCATCTATGAACCACCTGATTATCGTCTTTTCTACACCTGGGAGAACCTCGCTCACCCTGCTACAGCTCGGGTAGCGGCAGCCGGGACATTCTGGAGCAATGGGCTGTCCGTTAAAGGGACGTCCTCACACGCCGCTCAGCACCACTGTAAAACCCATCCATGTTTGAGGGATATTACCTCTTCTGCTTGCTTGATAGGATAACAGTAACTGCCCATCCTACAAAGCTCAATTTTCACATAGTCCAGTTCATGTAATATTCATTTCATTTCATTTTTATTTTATTTTAGAATGTACATGTTTCAAGAGCCAGCCATTAGTCTTCCCAAGTCAGACCCAAGGTTTAGTTACCTACGAGTCTTTGTTGCCCGAATCCGTAAAATAACCAACTTAGGGTTACTGTGAAGCACTCCTGACTCTGGCATATCCCAAATCCGAAGGTAAAGATTTGAAGCATGGAAATGCTGAAGGGCTCTGGATGTCGGGACAGTAAGAATCAACAGATTGGGAATAAAAACCACATCATCTTAACATTTGCGAGCAATATGTGCGGCTAAGACTAATTCTGAGATATCAGGTCTAATGTAAGTGTTTGTCTTGAATTCATACTGCATCAGGTCGGTCGGTGCTAGGTGTGAGATAGAAGTGCATAGAATGGAAGAGGGCTGCACAAGTTCAATTAGCAGATCTCGACCAGCATTCAAGATTCTGTTGCCTCATGGCTGGTGTTCCAAGACTATGATTTCACCGATCCAAAGGTTCGTCATGACTAGTCCAGACTAGGTTAGAACATGTAAGCAACTTGCATTAGCGTGCTCTCATTTAACTTAAGCCAATCACATTCAGGCTTGGCATAAGCACCCTACATCTTTAAAAGACCGGGTCGCGGCCATGATCGCCCGGCACATCCATTGCCCATGCCATCAAATATGGCGCCCGACAATCAACGAATTCAACTGGTCCGAATGTCCCAACAGGCCGCTATCCGAACGCCCGAGGATGATTGGACCGGTATTATAGATCGAGCTGAACGGAGAAAGTTACAGAATCGCCTCAACCAAAGAACATATCGTACGCTTCCTCCTCCCTCCATTCGTATGATATCATAAATCCTGACATGGTCAGGGATGCGACAGAAGTTTCCAATAACCAAGGATAAGGCACAGGTCCACAGCAACAAAGCTGTAGTTGTACCACCCAGCTCCACTCCTATCCAGATCGACCGAGATGAAAAGGGATTTACATGCACTATCGCGCCCCCTCAACTGCACTCGATGATGCGTCAATTCGAGTCTGTAGCATTGGAAAGCTACATTCACAACTCCCCTGACATCGATCACCTCGTCTCCCTCTCCAAGCTAAATATCCAGCGTGCAATCATCGAGAATACACGCTCGATTGGCATGACCATGGAATGGATGCAGCGCGATGACTCTATCTCCATTTTCAACACCCCGATACCTGGCTTCTCGGTGTTCTCAATACCCCACAGTCTTCGACCAACAGAATGCCAACTGCGCACCCCTCATCACCCCTGGCTGGACTTTTTCCCCTTTCACAATATGCGTGACAATCTTATAGCCGTTCAGGACATTATCAATGATGAAGATTTGTGCCATGATCTGATGGCGTTCTGGGATACGAGGAATACGGGGGCTACTTTGCTAGTGTGGGGTCCTTCCTGGGAGCCGGAAAACTGGGAAGTCACGCCGGCTTTCCTACTGAAGTGGGGATTCTTGCTCAAAGGCTGTGAAGAGTTACTGATGTATACTAATCGCTGGAGAGCGAAAAGGGGCGAGAAGCCTCTTAATTGGAAGACAACGTTAGCTTTGATATACCGATTGCCTAGCTGAATAGGTAACTATCGTCTCGATGGCTTGAGCCGGCAAACCCCTTTGCTTTTATATGCTTGGTGACCGTGAAAATCTGCCCTTTCGATAATCTCCCAGATGAAGTTGATACTATTGGTCAATCTGCAAGATATTTGACCCAGACACTCTTGGATTACTATTCTAACTCGATTATCACTTCTTCACACAAACAAACCTAAAGAGACAGGTGCTGATTTCACTTGATCTTCTTGCATTTCCTGGACCAGTGCATTCTGCGGGTAATCCTCCAAATCGAGATCCAAGTATCCATTAGGAGCCCACTTTCTTCCCGAGACAAACAACGAGTGACCGTTGATATTGGTGTCACCGAGGATCCTCAACAGGCATTGGCCTGCGTCCTCCGCTTTTGCAAACTCCACTCCCATCTTGGATATGTGGTTGAAAGCCCATCCCTCTATTCCAACTGTGTTGGCCAGCATGAAATTGGTGGAAGATTTGACTGCTTTGAAGCAAACTTCACCATATGGCGGAAGGGCTCGATCGTGGGCTCAGGGTGCAGGGTTCAAGCCTGCAGATATAGAAACATCTGCCTCTGTAGTCTACTACTCAAGCCCTGAAGAAGTGAGGTGGTGGGGTGAGACAATGGCTCAGCGTCTGGAACAAGGCTCTTCCCTCGATAAGGGCGTTACAGAAGGTCTCATTTCTGAGAGTGAAAGAGACCAACTCCCTTTGGGTTGGAGGACATGGTCTGAACAACCTGATGCCTTTTTCTCCATGACTGACGTTCAATTTGTATGTAAGAAATAGAATTACATGTGCCTTCGTGTCATACACAGGATTATACGTAATACAGCCGTTCTGGCATCTCATAAAGGTCTAGTATGGCCGGCTTTGCAGTCTTCTAGCGGACCGGCAAGGCTCGCACGCCCCCAGGCGGTCATTTTCTTGATATCGACAGATACGCAACGCACAGTCATTCCCAGAGCACATGGTGCTCTCCACTCGGCGTCCACTCGGCCTGCGTTTATGGTGCACAGAGAGTACAGCTGGCAAGGAAACGCCCACGGAGCTTTCACGATTGTTGACAATGGATCAAGGCCATGTCTGGCGTTTTAGAGGAGTATGTAGCCGATCATCTAAGCTCTAGGCCCATGGCTCCGGCTGGACAATTCCGGGCTTTGTGACCCCAGTTCCGGCCGGTGCCAACGGTACTTCTCTTCCGCATTGCACCCGGGGTTGTCACAAGGTCCCTGAAGATGACAAGTGCAGTACCTGGCCACTTGTTCAGCATTCTGGTGCTTCCCATCTAACCGCAAGTAAATCGGACATGCTAAGCAGAAGGGCTCTCCTGTAACACGGTCTTGACACCACTGACCTCTTGATGTAAGCGGGTCACAGTTCGAACACTGATTACCAGAGACTTTTTGACAGTCATAGCACTTCTGGCAGAGAAATACAGTAGTAAGACCAGAATTGCTCCGATCAAAGTGCCACGAACTATTCGTAATTCACTGGCACGTACCACAGATCCGAGCCTTGCCATCCCCAATTTGCTGTTTGGTTGGGATAGATCTGTTTAGAGGGCTAAACGCAGTATCGAGGCTTCCGCAATTTTGCTTCACAGGGTCATATAGATCCTTGTGAATACCTTGTAGAGACATTGAGCTCGAGTCGTATGTGCTGAGCAGAACCATCAAGAGTTACCCCTAGCTGCTTGGCTCGGCCACCAGTAAGACGCTCGATATGCATTCAACACAGTTCACAACCATAGGGATGCTTGTACCATCGTTGAGTATGACATCTGGACAGAGGTTGTCAATTTGACTATCCATGTAAAAGCTTTCTAGGCTTAGCTTACCTTGTTGGCCCGAAGGCAACAGTCGAGCAGGACCCGAGCACCTCAAAAGCCCTCTTCAAGTGTCTTGTCCATTTCGGGTGTCATCGTTTTGTAGTGGGGTGATCATCCCGACATTGGATACTGTCTGTGGATCGATGTGTGAGGGAGGAACTGGTGTATTCCGCACATGACGAGAGATGGGGAACAAGTGCATGAGCATGGGCGAGATCCCATATTAAGGGTCTGAAAGGCCCTGTAGGACAGGGGGTCGAAAGTCCTTATGAGGAAGGCGCCGCAGACTGACATCGGTTTGTGTTGGTTTATGTTTCGTGCGAGGAATATACATATGTATATGTGTATAAGTGTTGCTGGGAGCTGTGTGTGCCTCTCTGTGTATATAGGTATGGAGAGGAAGAGAAGGATGAAGAGAAGTGAAGGAAGGAGAGAGGGAGAAGGAAAGAGGAAGGAAGGGTTTATATACCTAATCTGCCAGCAAACATTACGATGAGATATTCCTACCTTTTTGGCAGAGATGCCTGCCTGCTTGTTTGTTTGTACAAACAAGCAATGGACATACAGTACGATGAATGAAAGGGCATGCTATTCATGATAATCCTAGGTATGCATATCCTATACAAAGATCCACGGCATGGCAGCCTGGACGCAAGAAACTAATGTATGCACGATGTGGTATCAGACGAGGAAGGAACGGGAAAGAAAGGTGAAGGACCTCAGTAAGGCAATGCAGATTGGGCAGATCCATGGAATGGGCAGAAAACAATCCGGAAAGGTATAATCGGGTTAGGTATGGGTATGAAAATAATGCATGCTTGCTTTCTGGCAAGTAACAAACGCATCAACACAACAAGGCAAGCAGGATGGAATGGATATGGATATGGATATCAGCGCTCGTCGGGTTCTTTCTTTTCGTCGTCATTGTCATTGGAGACTTCGATTGTGGGAATAGAAATACGGTTCTGCTTCGTGGAGTCGGACTCGTCGGCGTCGGTCTGGGTAGTCGTAATCTCGGGCGATGACGGCTGGGCATTTTCGGATGAGTCGCGGTCGACGAAGGGTGGAGGAGAAGAAGAAGAAGACTCTCCCGGCGGTTCGTCAGGCGAGTGAGGTCTCTGCGTGTCTTCGCTGATACTAATACTCTCTTCGGAGGAGGTCGGGCTCTCGCTCAACGGACTCTTCATGAGGCGGTCATCAAGGGAATTCCGTGTCTCGGCATCCTCGTGGCTAAGACTGCTGCGGTCAGACAGCGACGTGCGAGAGTTTGCATATGAGGCCGGAAGACCGAGCGCCTCGGCAACGGCGGCTTCTTCGTCGGGGAGTCTGGAGGTGCTGCTCTCTGTGCTGGAACTAGCGTCGAAGATGCGGCTGCCGCGCCGCGAGCTCATCTCCAGGATGTGGTTGTAGCTTCGGCGGGTTGGGTCTGCGCGACGCTTCTTCTTCTTCTTCTCGCGCTTGGGGGATGGGCGCACGACAATCACGGGGATAGGGGATTGCTGGAGACAGTACTTCGAGACGGAGCCGGGGAGAAGGCTGTGCACGCCTTTCAGGTTTCGGCCGCGAGTGCCGACAACGAGTAGCGCAGGTTCATATATACGGATCTGGAGTCGCGTTAGAATCATCACACCGGCAAGGGATCGGTTGAAACGTACCATGCGCTGGATGATATCCTCCACCTTGCCGACAGCCAATTCCAGAACCAAGCTGATGGCCTTTTCATCTTGGCTGTTCTTCTGGATGACCTGCTCGAACAGCTTCTCGGCCTCCTGGCGATACTTGCCCTCTTCAATAGCGGCATCGCTAGCCATGCGTGAATCCTTCTCCACCGCACGAAGACAGACAATCTCGTCTCCGTCATCCACCAACTCATCGATCAGCCATTCGAGCGCGAATTCAGAGTAATCGTTCTGGTCAGTCCCACATAGGAATGTCCTGCTGCGGCGGGTACTCTGATAGCCCTTGTGTTTGTAATTCAGCGTCAGCGAGAAGTCGGCTGCGTCCCGATTATCGAACGTATCAAAGGAGACGCCTCGTTCGTAAGTCCTACTGCAGTCAGTATTTTAAAATGTATCGTTGTGATTTAAAACATACTTTGGTGGAGGCGGCGATGGCCCCCGGTTGACAGCGAGATGTTTGCTGTCCTTGTCCGGTGACTCTTCCTTGGTCGGTGACTCGCCGTAAGAGCGTCGCTTGTCCTTAAAGCTCATTGAACGAGTCGGCAATTGAGACTCTGTGCCTCCCACACTGAACTGAATGGATCGTCGACGTGGGCTGTGGGCTCTGGTCGACGCGGCCTCTGTTGCCTGTGCCGTGCTGCCGTTGGACACTGGGTGTTCCTCGGACTCAAATGACGGTCTGGGGGAGGATGGAGCAGACATCGTGATGGCAGTCGATCGTGGAGAATCAGATATATAGTGAAGGTGTTTGTTGTTGTCACGCGAGCTAGCCGATGTTCGAGTTTGCTGATCGTGAGGTTTGGGAGGACAGGCAGCGGTTTCGAATGGACACTGAGATAACCCCCAAGAACCACAGAAACAGTTAATTCAAGTGAATAGCAAGAGCACGTGCTCAGCCGCTCTGAAGTTGCTGGCGATCCGCGCGTCCCAAGCGGGGGACCATTCTTTTGGGCGCGAGAGTTGGCAGCGAGCAGGAGGCACACCAGCGAAGGAATTGTGCAGTCAGACCAAGCGAATGCGAGAAAGAAGGCAGCCCAGAAGCTCGAGATGAGGCAGCGTGACTGCAGCGTGTAGGTGCACCGTGAGATGAGACCAGACGAGGGGACGCAAGCGGGCAGCCACGAGGGGCGAAGAAGAGGGTAGGCGGTGAGAACTATCTGATTGGTTTGCATTGTTTGCATAGATTAGGGTTGCCTCCGGTCAGTTTGGGGCAGGTAACTAACTACTGTGTAATAGATGGGGGATAGACTAACTTATTTGAATTGGATTTGGTCATATTGGAGGTTTTATCAGGTCCAGGTTGTCCGAGTGGTCTAAATATTCCATGCTCTGTGATAGCTTCAAACGTCACCGTAGAAGGAACTGAGATTGCAAGCAAATGATGATAGTTAGATGCAATGCTTTATTTCTCAATGACGATGATGCTATGAGGAAATAGCACATACAGACAAGAGACGTGCCCTAATCCTGTCGTTGTTAGGGAAGGTCCAGCGACTTAGCATGCATCCCCCGCTCAGCACCCGCGAGTCCGTGCGGACACCCTATTCATAATCATCCCAAATCCCGAACTACATAGTCCAAATCCCAATCTCGCAACCGAGTCAGTGAGTAGTGCAAAATCAACCCCGGATGAACATCCCCCACCTTCTTCCCCCGTCAACAAAAATCCTCTGCGGAAAGGAATCATCCTTCATCCTGGGGCGGCTGATCGGCACCCAACCATTGGGGCCAGGGTGTCGATCATAACTAGCGCAGATCCTAGGGAGTTTTAGGAGCCCCCCTAACTAATTTTTAATACTTCTGCGACAGGGGGTCAAATCACCTCATCGCGGGAGGGTGCAGATCTGAGGTACGGGATGGAGATCGCTAAATACGCCATCTCATTTCGCGACTTCACCGGTGGTTATTATTATTGAACTCTCTATACGAAGTAGATACACACTGTGATGTGTATTATTATGGTGGGGTAACTAAGGAATTCATTTCCAATAGTATCTCCACATAATCACCAGACCCGACCCTGACGGACCCTGATTAGCACCCCTAGCGCGCCGACTATGCCGAGCTAACCGGGCCCTATCTGTCTTGCCCATCCAGCGGTGAGCCGCGCAGGAATGGCGTGCTGGCAAGTGTCTGCGCTCGGGGCTCCGGAGCTGCAGCGGATCTACGGGTCACATGCACTGATAAGGGTTGAGTTTACTTGCTTCGTTTACTGGGCTGTACGAGTACGAGTAGCCAGGGAAGGATTATGATGTGATAATGATCATTCTTGAATGTATGAATTGTGGAATGTAATAGATAGGTTGTACAGTCGGAATCAAATTCGTGGAGTCTCAACCTGACATAGCAGGGAGAGCTGCACAAGAGGGTGAGGAGAAGAGGGGAAATATGTATAGAGGAGTGGATATGCGACCGATAGAATGGAAAAAAAAGCGCCCGCTGGTATATCGTGAGAAAAGAACAAATCATCGCCAGACATCAGGGTATCACGGTAAAATGCAGAGAGTCGAAGAGAAATGGTACACAACGAGACAGACATGGTCAGTATGCCTCGATGAGAGTCTGCTCTTGGTGTGATGGTGATGGTGAAACGTAATACCCCTGCTCCTCGAATAGATGATTGTCCTTTAGTGACGACAGGCCCGTGGCCTCAACAGCAGCGGCGGCGGCAGCCTTCTCATCAAAGACCTCGATAGTAGGCTGCGGCGGCGAGGGCGGCAGGTTATCATCCTCCGAATCATCGTCCGAGTCGGCCAGCAACTCGGGCGGTGACTGCGACGCCCGCGACGGTGTGCGAGTGAGACTCAGCTGGTCCAGGTCCTCCGCGTCGTCGTACTCGAAATCTGAGTCTGTGTCGTCATCATCGTCGTCCTCCATCAATTCTTGTTCGTGGATGACTGCCACCGGCGAGGGGGCGCGCCGCCGGGACGGCGGGGTGGTGATGACGAAGTCGCGCTCGTCATAATCATCGTCGGCCTCATCCTCGTCTTCGTCACTGTAGTCGGAGTCCAGATCGGAGGCATCCTCAGGATCCCAGTCCTCTTCAGGCTCCTCCACAATCGTGGTGGTCGCCCATTGGATGTGCTTTGGTTGTTGCTCGTCCTGGGCTTTGGCGGCGCCGTGGACAGTCTGGTTGAACCAGCGTTCCTGCTCGTGCTCGGCATCGGCCAGATCAACCATGAGCGAGTCGAGGAGGTTGGCGTGGCCCACCAGCAGGCGCAGGTCGTGGTCGGCCCGGGAAGCTTCACGGGTGAGCTTCTTGCGGGCCGTGTGGGCTAGGTAGTAGGTTTCGGTGATGCTCATTTTCTTTTGCTGGCGCCGGCGAAATAGAGAGTCAAAGTAGGGGCTGGCAGCGGCAGCGAATGAGTCGGAGGAGGGAATGGAGATGGAAGAGGAAGAGTCCATGATATGATAAAGTAGGTTCGGGGATTGGCGGAAGGGCTTATGTTAAGATCATAGGTGGATGACTCGTCTGTTTTTTCTGAGTCACCAGTACACAGTAACAGGCGGTGTACCTCTAGGCAAGGAAGATCCCAGTGGAGATTGGGGTGAGCAATAAATATTAATTCGGGTGCACATTCCAGGCGGGTGGGATTGGAGTGATCAGATCCGATCGTCAGGAGGCTTCCTGCCATAATTATACCTGCCTGGCATGAGGCAGCCTCCGTTTTGATTTTTCATCACTTTCTTCCGTGATCCGTGCAAAGTCCGGTTCGGCGATCGGAGAGAGCGCGGCTTGTCTCCACCCACCGACCACCCATGACGGATCGATCGCTCTTAGGTAATAACTGGTGCCGAGTCCCCGGCTTATCCACCCTAGCGCTGAATAATGCAGGTTGTTATCAATCATCATTCTTCTGCCATTGCCCTCTACTCTGATTGATTGCCTTGACAGAAAGACAAGAATTCTCTTTTCAAGACGCCTACAATTTTTTGTCGCCATTTTTCCCTCCTTTTTCTCCCAGCTACATAGCACAAAACAGCATCCTGAGCGACCGCTGTTAACTCCTACATCCGCAGACCCTGACTGGACCCACTCGGTGTGGCCTAACGCCGACGGCGCGCCCGCTGTTTTTCATCCGGCTGACTGATGCATTCGCTGACATAACACCGCATTTTGTCATTAAGTTGGCTTTCTTCCAAGGTTTCCCCGGTGCAGATTTCCAATCATTGCATTTGCAATCCAATCGATCACCTCATTATGCTTCTAGATGGGCGATAAGGGCGATTATGACCATGACAATGCCAATGTTGTGATTAACGATCGAATCCGTCTAGCAAGCCGAGGAAGGACATACGATGGCTGCCTGGCTCAGGCAGCAATTACAGAATTCCACATTTCCACCATTCCACCTGGGAATGTCTCCTTGCTGTAGGCGCAGCACATGGATTCTTTTTGGCAAAGTTGTGGGGGGTGTTTCAGCGCGGAATGTTCCAAGACGTCACGGGGTACCTTCTCGTGTTCGCATTCGCAGACCTGATTGCCTATCTGGGGGCGCGCTGGTCTTGGCGCAGATCATGGGTTTCGCGGGTCGGTCGGAGAAATTATTTGTATACAAGCCGACTCTCCAGTTACCTATTTCAGCTCATTCCTCACAATAAACTCTCCACAATCGTACTATCCACGGACCCAGCAGTTCATTATCCAGCCCTACACTGTCACTCCCCGGGCCGGAGATAACTATCATGATAAATATTCGTCTAGACCTTGGTTGGCTATCTGTCGCCATTGATTGGAAAGCATTCTTGATTATTGACGTCAAGGCTTGAGCCGAGGAACATCTAGACTTGAAACCGGAGAGCTGGAAAACGAAGGGAAGATCCAGAGAAGAACCAGCGGATTATCCGTTCTTCCTCACCAAGGACAGATTGCCGGGCCTATCGGAATCCGAATGCTCCGTCCTCCCGAGCCCGCGAAAAACCGTGTCCTGTCATTCCGCGAGCCGCAACACCCGGGAGATCCACATTCATATTATTATTTCAGCCCTTATGCGCCTTATGCCCGCACCAGCCGTCCTGTCCGTTATGATCGACGCCAGTGCACCGATCTGACCGTGACACCCTCGGTTTGGTGCGCCGAGTGGATCGTGCCCGTTCAAGTGACTCATTAGGTACCACAGTCGAGTGCCGCCGGAGCGGAGCGGACGAAAATTTCCGGATTTTGGACCGAGGCCAAAACCATGTTGTGTACTAGTTGGAATGTGCGAGAAACGGAGGGATCGGTCTCCCTTGTCATGTCAATCCGATTTTTCTTTCTGGTGGATCTGGTGGATGTGGGCGTGGTGGTGTCACTCAATTGAGTGGGTACTTTTCCAGTAGAACCCTATAGAACATTTAGTTAGCATGGAAGCGCATGGAAGCGCGTATCTATGGATCAATTGAAAATTGTCAATTGCAGGATGGTGTTACTCGGGGTGACGATGTTTCATCATCCACCGTGGTACATGGTCTTCCCTTCAAGAAATCGTGGATTTTCCATCCCGACATGGCCACCTCAATACAGATCATACACGTTTCCAAATCAGGCCTAGCCTACCTTGACCGGAAAATCACGGCGGTTCCATCATGAATAGTGAATTGAATGAGTAAGATATAAACACTAGCTTTGCCCGCTGCAGATAAGACATGACATTGTTGGACCCTTTCGGTAGTCCCTCTGCACTCGATACATGGACCTTGAGGTCGCTTTGGAAAGATGTTTCTAGCGCAGAAACGCAAAGTAGCCCGGCCCTTGGGTCTATTCTGCGCGACAAATGATGGCGTTGCACCATCGATAGGGCTCAGGCGTGAATAGACGAAGGGAAAGAGCCACCGCCGTCAAGTTTTAGCTCTTTTGGTCAATCGCTTCCATCGTCTGAATTCAGATGAGACGATGCCATCATGCGATAATTTGCTCGTTGATTCCACATCACAAGGACCATAGGGCAGGTCCTTCCTAGAGGAAGTATTAGTTTGGTCTGTTGTCTCCTGTGTAACAGCTTCGCTAGTCATCGAAGAAGTTTTAGGCACACTGTGAACCACCCTGGGTTCCTCGACCTGAGAGACAATGCCTTTTTCCGCACTTTAATCGCTTTCTAAGATCACCAGCCAATATAATAGCCACAAAGAGTCGTCGGTCAATCTCCCCTGCTTGGCCATTTGCAATGTCCTCGAACCTTGCAGCCTTAAGACCAGCGTGGCTTTGTCAAGGAAACCATTTGATATGGAAGGCAGCCAGACAGAAAGGACGTAGGGAAGCGAGTTTTTTAAGACAGTCATAAGATATCAGGATGCTTCCATCGAATGGCGACTGAACAGCGTCCTGATCGGTTTCAATCCACCTCGCGCTCTTGAACACTCGTACAGCGTTATTGGTTTCTACAGATATCGAGATATATGGATCTAGTGTAGAACTATCATTTTTCATAGCACGGAGGCATAATTTACACAGCGTACCTCTCATGTCGCTCGTGAGTGTGCAATGACTGTAGTCTATGTCGCCGTATTTGCCTTTTTGCATAGTATCGTTTCAATGAATTTCAAAGGACACACAGGAAGAGGAATTAGCCGCCGTCAGTATCTAGCCCTTTTGGTCAAAAGCTCTGATCATTTGATATCAGAAAAGAGCGTAATTCACCGTTACCTTCCGATATGCAGTAATGTAGTGGGACTGTGCGAGAATTGGAAGAATTGGTTTCGCTAGATGTGGACATGGTGTCACTCAATTGAGTGGGTACTTCTCAAGTAGAACCCTGAAGAGCATTTAATTAGCATGAAAGCGCTCATCTATGGCTCAATTTCAAGAAAACCACACCCCTCTCTCTGTCTTTCCTACTGACCTGCTTAAAAAGAAATGCACCGGCACAACAAATCCCACCAACCCCGCCCCCAGGGCTACCTTTCTACTCTCCAAAAAACTAACCGAATAATCCTCTTCGAGGACGCCGTGGTAGAGCGCGCATACTACTACCATGGCGATGAAAACAGCCAGTAGGATATTTGCCCATACCACAGGATGAAATAGGCTCTCCCATATCCGCTTTGCCAGCGGTCGCTGCCTTTTTCTAGCTGGGAAGTCTGTTTCGGTGATACTGAAGAGATCCCACGAGGTAGGAGTTCTAAGGCTGGATTTGTGGATATCGCTGCGATACATCTTTCTTTGCCGCAGGCTGGTGGAATTGATAATGGTTGGACCGTCTGTAATGGCGGTATTTGTCGTTTTATGCGATCGATGTGTATCTTTTCTCATCGTAATTGGGGCCAAAAATGGTGTACTTGATATCACCGCAAGACTTTTGGGGCCATTTTAGTAGTTAGCATGTATCTTGCTGCCTGGTCAAGAATAGCTTATAACGACATCGCCAAGATATATTGCACGTCAACACGCGTATATGTGAGAAAGAGGAATGATCTACTGCTACTAGTATACGACTTAGCATCTCGGGCAAGCGAGGCTGGATTTGGCCCCCTGGCTTGATTTGGCCCCCGCACTGGATTTTTGAGGGTCCAAGCTAGACTCTTTACGGTCAATTCTGGTGGCCAGAGGGACGGTTATTATTAGAACAGTATAAGAAAATAAAATGAAACTTAGGGTTGAAGTTGTCTTGGATGTAAAAGTACAAAGGAATGGCAGATATGGAGTATGAGTTGGATATTCATCGCAGTGGCTACGTACAGCGCAGCCTGATGATCTTAAAGTTTAATTTTGGTGCTTGTCTTGTTTGAGTAGCAACGTACGTATACATTCATCAACCCTGTCTTCTGTTCCCTCGCTGTCTAGATCATCTACTCAAATTATGCTACCTAGAACAGACCGTAGTCCTACATATCTCCACTCTCTACTTTCGAGCATAAACACTCAACATATCCGTTCCTCTGGCAACTTCATACGACCGCGCAGGCTTCGTATAAAGCACTCTCCGGAAACTACCCTTCTCCACTTCATTAGCACACTTCTCCTTGCCATCCTCCCCCACTACCCCAAAAACCTGCCCATCCCCACCCAGCGCAAGTAAATCCCAATGCACTCCTTTCAAGCCCCAAGGCGGACCGGGCAGTTGTGGGTCTTTATACAATGGGAACTCAAGACAGATGAGCAGGCCATGGCCATCGTGCTTGAGAATTCGAGCCATGCTCGCCGCCCATTGTGTACGTTGAGTTGGATGCAATGCACAGAGGAACTAGATTATACATATACATCAACCCCGCACATAATAACAAAGCTGGAGAGAGGAACTTGAACCTGCTTACTGTGTAGTCATATGCCAGATCAAATTTGGTCGTCCCGTCAACACCGCCTTTACTCCCCCACTTAGAAGAGAAGAAATCGCCCTGTAGAAATGTGGCCGTGCCAGGGGAATCAGATCTAGATGGTGATTGCCGATTGCCAAAATGATACGCAGAAGGATTCTGCATCTCTGTCGCGGCGTAGTTCTCTGCTTCTTTCACTGCCGTTGCGGAGATTTCGAGCCCATATGCGTCGAATCCATGCAGCGCTAACATGACTACCTCGTAGCCTCGGCCGCAGCCCTGAAATTGCTCCGTGGTCAGCTAATGCTACAGCACTGTCAGGAAAACGGTAGAGGTCTACTTGCCGGCACAATAGCTTTCTTCCTCTTTCCATCTGCTGTGAAAGGATTCAGCAGTTCCTGTTCTTGCTCGATGACATCTACTAATGCCGGAGATGTCTTGCCCCGGTCCCAGAGGTCGCTGTTCCCTTCGTCCCATAGATTAGACCATCCAGATCCATGATCTTCTACTGGACTTTGACTTGTGAGAGTCTGTTCTGTTTTTTCCCCTCGTTGAATGTGAGGGGGATTGGGAACATTGGACTGCTTACCGATTGATGAATGTGTTGAGCAAGCGACCGCCCCCGCTTGGCTGAGGGGGTTGGGTCATTTGGGTCGATTCTTCAACCTGAGTGTCTCAACTACTGGGCTGCGAAGATGTTAAATGGACAAATTAGCGCAAGCCGTTGTAAGATCAAAGAATATTCTTGTCGAAATACTAGAAGTGGATGACTAGTTAACAGAGGAATGTGCTCAGTCAATCATCTACACGTGACCGGATTACCGATGCAATGTCTCGGTCTCACAATTGGGTAGTTAAAAGGTCCTGTAGTAATTCCCTGAAAAGTAAAAGTACAGGTCGAATTTACTAGTGGTTTTAAGTATAAACTATATGCTACAGATTAATTGACTGCGAGGCTATTCAGAGCTGAAATCACATGGACGTCGAGTTTTGAACTGCTTGCTTACGTGTATTTACCCTAGGGAGTTACTTTTAGGTTAAAAGCAATTAAACGAGCTAACTATAGTTGCATCTTGTTTCTGTTAAAAATTAGTACGTCTGCGGGAGGATTAATTAGCAGGCAAGACTGCCCGTAGACGAAAATTTTCCGGAGCCCAGTTCAGCTAACGTATAAAATGTCGTTGGGTCATTCAAGGGCAACGCGTGTGTACCATACAGTAAGTTAATCGCTTTTTACTTTGCTGTCTATCTCATCTCGCCCATTCGGCACAGATAAAGGAGATGCATACGGGATTTCGAGAATATGCGACTCGGTTAACGTTACTTTCTTCTTGGCCGACATGAATGCTTCGGGCCTTGACGATGTTTATCCAGACGTCAGATTCGATTTATTAGGCAACATTCCGACTGCTTAATACCCGTAGTTTGTCAATTTCGCTGGCCAGACCGAGATTTTCATAGAATAAATGTATCCGCTGCATGCCTTTAATGCTCTAATTTTGCGCGCAGGTACTACAGATCGGTCGACTTAGAGACCTCCTCCCACTCCGCCAACAGTCGCAGGGTGTCCTCACACTTCTTCCTAATGCCCGCCACAGCATCAGACCCAATAACCAATTCCATAGGCCACTCCTTTTCAGCTGCGTCGTTTTCACCTTTGACAACATCAACAATGCGCTCGACACCCTTCCTCGCATCACCAGCCTGGTTCCCGTTCAAGTTCCTGAAGATGCTCTCGAACGACTCGTTTAGAGCCTTGTAGTCATCGAACTTGGTTACCCCAGACTTCTTATTCTGTTGACTCAAAAGCTCAGTGCGGAATGTGCCAGGTTCCACCAAGAGAGTCTTAATCCCGAGAGGGGCGACTTCTCGAGATAGCGACTCGGCGGCATCTGAATCGCGCAAGTCAGAAGATAGTCCCGTTAGATAGAGCAGAGGGATGTGGGATTTTGCTTACAGTGTATCGCGGCCTTTGAAGCACAGTATGGTCCGACAGTGGGTGCCCCATCCCACGCTACCATAGACCCGATAAAAACCACAGTGCCAGCCTTTTCTGCTCGCATATGCGGAAGAAATGACCTTGTTGTGTTGAGGGTGCCGAAGACATTCGTATTGAACTGCGCGTACCAATCATCGTGGCTGAAAATTGTGTTTTACGTTAGTTTCTTTGCAGGCATATGAATGGAAGGTATTGCCTCACGTGGTTTCCTCGACGGTTCCAAATTGTGTGTATCCAGCATTGTTTACGAGCACATCCACTCTCCCGTACACTTCAATAGCTTCTTCAGCCTTGCGATCCAGCTCGCTTTGAGACACAGTGACATCCAACTGCATGGTTGCAGCGCCGATATCCTTTAGATGGGCGATTCGGTCGGCATTGCGAGCGGTTGCAATGACATTATCTCCGCGTGCTAATACTGCTTTGACAAGTTCAGTGCCTAGACCGGAGGACGTTCCAGTAATGAGCCAGACGCGAGGAGACATTGTTGGCTTGGTTATATGGTTCGTTATTCTCGAGGAGAAGGGTATTTATTCTATGAATGTGACGGAGGAAACGACGCGAAAAAGTAGAGGGAATCAATCTCTATTTATTCCAAACTAGTCGTGTTAACCCCGAAGAGGGGTGGCCATTGTATGTTAAGTCCGGTAAAGTCAGGCTGATCCGCTGATCCCGAAAACTTTCGGGGTCCGAAGGTGATCGGGATCTTGGCAGATAAGCGGGGCGAGTGAATGTCAGTAGATGGTCCACTTGATGCGTAGATAAAAGACATTTGAGTTAAGAAAGATATCCTTGTAGCCGAGTTTATCGTTACTATCATTAAATTCCTTGCAATGGGGCGGAATGGGATCAACTATTCGACTGGATCAAGACGGATCGGGACATGATCTTCGACGTCATGACTCCGACCGTCACCTCTAGCAAGAATGTTATTAGCAGCAAGCACCACACGTACATTTTTATGATCGCGTCATCGATACATAAATGTCCAGCACTCGTTAGGAAGTCCAAGTTGTAAAAATATCCGACAAATCAACAAAAATCAACAAAATTAGCAATATCGCGAAGTATGGCATCAATTGGTTGTTGGCATTCCCTCGAGGTGGAAAATATATCCACACTTTCTTAAGAACATGATTAGCACCTCTAGCTTAATTGCCAGGTCCATGATGTCTTTTATGGAGAAGGCTTATGAAGCGAACATGGTTGAGCGAATCAGTCTTTGGCCATGTGAATCACGCTTAGTCTCCACGAGGGGAACTGCGCGTGACGAAGCTTGATTGCTCTTAAGGCAATTGCTGAGCTATCTCTGGCTTCCTACTTGCTTCTTTGACTGTCGACACACATTTCATGCGGTCATGAGAGTATCATCTTACCCATGTCTCGTCCTGGCCATGGCGGGCTTCGTTATGGCTCAGGGAGGTCCGCCTTCGGTCAACTTAACGATATCCAAGGAGGGTGGGAATAGGTCTAGCCCATTACTTTATGGGATAATGTTCGAGGTAAGAAGCGGTGAAATCATATGGAGTGAAGTTTTCTTACCTTGGTAATTTCATTCAGGAAATGGATCATTCCGGTACGCAGTCTCGATAAATCCCAAAGCTCATGAGCTTACTTTTTCAAGGCGATGGTGGAATCCACGGTCAACTTCTTCAAAATAACGGGTTCCAAGGCGCAAATCCCGGGTTGACAGCATATGCACCAGTAGGGGATGCGCTGATCTCGCAAGATACCTCAAAGCCCGTGAGCGAAGCCATCAAGTCCTCCCTTCAAGTATGGGTGCCCGCCGACGCGACCGAGTACGTGGGCTTTGCAAATACCGGATATAATGGAGTCCCAGTAAGGGCCGCCACATACAAAAGCTCTTTTTGGATGATGGGGGACTATTCGGGGACCATCAATCTGCGGCTCATTGGGTCGCATAGTGGCATTGTATACGCTGACCACAATCTGACTGTCAAAAGCAAGGCTGAAACGTTTACTCAATATGAAACGTCATTTAACGCTTCTGCATCACCTGATGGGGAGAATGAATGGCATTTGACTTTTGATGGGTCGAAAGTTGCAAGCAACTCGTTGAATTTTGGGCTGATTCAGCTTTTTCTACCGACCTATAAAGGACGGTATGCTTTGCACAGACGTCAAAAGCACCAACTAAACTGACTTGGGTTCTAGTGAAAATGGACTGCGCCATGAGCTTGCTTCCTTTCTTGAAGAAGCCAACTTCGCGGTTCTCCGGTTCCCTGGTGGGAATAACATGTCAGTTACCAATCTTATGCAATTAGCCTCAACATGCTGATTAGAACTACAGCGAGGGCTTGGAAGTTGATACTCGCTGGAAATGGAACACTACTATCGGACCTGTTGTGGATCGACCGGGGAGAGAAAGTAAACAACCCTCACAAGTTCTCGGCCGCCAAATTCATTAACCTTTGTTGTGTAGGTGACTGGTTTTACCCTAACACTGATGCACTTGGTTGGTTTACTCTATATATTTGGCCTATATTTACCACTGACTACTTACAGGTTTGGATGAATATCTATGGTGGTGCGAAGACATGAACATGGCCCCCCTTTTGGCCGTGTGGGCTGGAAAGTCTTATGGGGACATTATATCCGGATCAGATCTACAACCGTTTGTTGACGACATCATGAACGAGCTGGAGGTAATTATCGACTGAAACTAAACGTGATATGCCACTGACACAAAACACAGTACCTCCTTGGAAGCCCAAAATCAAAGTACGGCAAGATGCGTGCCGAGAACGGCCGCCAGGAACCCTGGAAGATTGACTATGTCGAGATCGGAAACGAGGATGATCTTACCGGTGGCTGTGAAACCTACCCGGACCGGTTCACTCAGATCTACAACGCAATCCACGACAAATATCCTCATATGACACTCATTGCCTCTACTGGAAATTACTCATGCCTGCCAGACCCGGTGCCTGAAAAGGTCATCCTCGATTTACATTATTACCGCAATCCGGATGATTTCGTTGCAATGTTCAATCTGTGGGACAACCAGCCACGCAATCAGTCCGTGATGGTCGGCGAGTATGGATGTCGCAATGTTTCGAGTGCCCTGGGAACCTATTACACCTACATGCAAGGCAGCTGTAGCGAGGCGGTCTTTATGATTGGCATGGAACGAAACAGTGACGTTGTTCAGATGGCGGCATATGCGCCTATGCTGGAACATTTTGGGTTTATCTCCTGGTCGGTATGTTCAACACTTGACTCGAAGCAAAATATCTGGGTTTGAACTAACTGCATCTCTCTCATAGCCCACCATGTACGGTTTCGACTCAAGTCCTGACTCCCTAACACCGTCAACTTCTTACTTTGTTCAAAAGATGTTCGCATCGAACAAAGGCCATACCGTTCTACCTGTAACATCCTCGTCGGACTTTGGACCGCTGTACTGGGTGGCATCTAAAGGTGACTCGGAGAACTACGTGAAACTTGCAAATTACGGGCCTCACAACCAGACCGTCCAAGTCAGTGTTCCGGGAACTAGAACGGGAAGGCTAGAGATGCTCGCCGGCGAGCAGCTCGAGAGCAACCAGCCCCTGAATGTGACGGTGCAGGCTCTTAATCAGAGTATATCTGATGCACAGGGGAAATACGCAGTCAATATGCCACCATGGGCAGTTGCTGTACTAATTGTGTCGTAAGTCGTCATTGAAATAAATATCATGTTTATATATTTTGTTATACGAAGATCTGTAATTCTTCTTTTAATGTTAGCTTTGCCCTTCCAGGACCTCAGGTATTGTTTTCTAGTGTGTAATAATCTTCGATCTGAGAAGACGCCGAAGCAGGTCTAGCCTGTCTCGGGCTCGCGAGGCTCGCGGGGCTTCGACTCCGCACTGCGTGCCGATCACCACCAATAATTAGGTCATTTGGCGAGGCCGCTCATGGCCAGCCAAGGCTATAAAGGCAAGGCTCATCCCGCCTTACGCTGTAGATTTTACCCAACCGAAAATGACCATCCAAGCACACGAGACGGTGTCAGGAGACGAAACCTACGGACCTGGAACCTACATCGACAAGAGATTCCTCCCCGTGCCGGAGGACGCTCGTCGCATCTTCCAGTTTCTTGCTTCTCAGACACCGGGATTCACAAAAGAACAGGCACTATGGGATACCGTCAGATTTGAGGGCCGCCCCGACCCCATGATCCCTGGTCCCATGAAATCCCCCGTTGTATCTGCGGCTCTTCACGCCATGTGTGGTTTGGTCGCCAACGAGCTGATAGAGATCCGAGACAGCAAGCCAGCTGGAGGTTCTGGCGTCATTGTGAACACTGATCATGCCGGTTTGTGGCTCGGATCAACATTCACCGCATACGTAAACGGGACCGACATCTCGAGTTTAGCTCGATCCCGATCATTGGCCAATATCTTCGATCGGGACTTTGAAAAGGGATTTGGCAAAGGGCCTTTGGCTTTGAGGGCAACAGCACTGTACCCAACGAAGGACTCGAATGTGTGGTACCAGCTACACGGGTCTCTGGATGCGAGCAAAACACTCAATTCAATGGGTATCAACATGGATGTGTCACTCAAGTCAGTTTCACAGGAGTACGAGTATGTTCGTGAGATTGTACAGAAATGGAGTCCGGATGAACTGGAGATGCACAACGTGAGGCATGGATTATGTGGTAGTATTTGCTACTCGCCTGAAGGGTGGAGGAAGACAGAGATGGGCAAACGACTAGAAGGACATCCGCTTGTCAACTATACCCACGAGTCTTATGCGAAGTCAACTCCTCCGGTGCCTTACCCCAAGCTTTCTGATCGGAGACCCTTAGCTGGGATCAGGGTCCTGGAAATGGTTCGGATCATCGCTGGCCCTACTATCGGCGTTACTCTAGCTTCGTACGGAGCTGACGTTATTCGAGTCAACTGCAGCAAACTGGCGGACTTGAATGTGAGTTTCGGAATGTTTCCCATTCTTGACGGAGAGACTAACTTATGTCTAACAGGTCCTCCAGTTGACCCTCAATGCAGGGAAACGCACAGTGGATTTAGATATCAAAGACGAGAAGGACATGGCTCGTCTCCAAGAGCTCATTGGCGATGTTGACGTGTTTGTTCAGGGCTTCCGCTACCGCTCACTTGAAAGGAAAGGACTCGGTTTACGAAGCATGCTGGAAATAGCCGCCAAAAGGAACAAGGGAATCATCTACGTGGATGAAAACTGTTATGGACCGGATGGCCCTTTCGCTGAGCGACCAGGTTGGCAGCAAATTGGAGATGCCGCCTCTGGTGCCTCGTACGTGATGGGAAAGTCTTTAGGTTACGAGGAAGGTACAAGTGTCCTTCCGCCTCTCCCAATATCCGACATGACCGCGGGCCTTGTAGGCGCTTTGGCAACAATGATGGCTATTCGTGACCGCGCGCAAAAGGGAGGCTCGTACCATGTGGTAACCTCACTCGTGGCTGCAGATACAATCTTACTTGATAAGGCCGTTGGTCTCTATCCTGTCGAAGTGACGCAGCAGACTCAGGGCCGATTTCAGTTCGAGCGAAGCTCTCCTGATCAATTTGTTTCTGAGATTATGATCCAGGTAATTGACGGTTGGAAGCGAGTCTTCCCAGAATATCTGTCTCAAGATTCGCCCTTTATGGCCAGGTTTGATGACAGTCCGTGGGGACGACTGGATATGCTACAAACCGTTGCGAGACTGAATGACAGCGAAGCAACTCCTCATTGGAAAAGCCCACCAGTGCCAATTTGCTATTATGCCAGTAACATCGACTGGGCTTAAGTAGCCTTCCGTATATACATTTGGTCATGCCTCTCCATGTCTGAATGGAAACAACTAAGAAATCAAATCCTGTTTGAAGTTTTCGAGGGTAAACACGACTAGTTAAAGCTGGCGCACTACCGTATGTCGTGTTCAAAGCTAAAATTCTACATATCTTCACACACATTGAGCTGACTCCAAGCTCAAGGGCAAAACGCGCATTTATCGAAATTGCTGTATCATCGGACGTGTTTTTGAAACCTCAATGCAAGGGGCTTTGCTGAATGAAACACCTGCTTATTGCAGCCGGCTGATGGAGTCCTCTCATCTCTGTAAGGATACTCACCTGCCATCGGCACACGCTCATTGTCTGGTTAGTAGATGTCAATGTAACTGTTCTCAATACTACTCTGTGCAGCGATCTGATATTGAATATGTGCAAATGAGCTGCACTGCATGCTTGTCATTTGTTTGCTTCCAGTCTTGATGCAAATACCAAGGTTACGCAATCCACTCGTAGGGTAACTAGCCTTCAGATTGCCATATCTAATTTCCCCGTTTACTCTCCACACTAGGTTAAGAGGGTCTTAAGAGGGTCTTACTGTGTCACGCGTAGAAGACTAGGATTCCCTGCAAGACGGTAACCTTATTTTTCTTAGCCTGCCGCGTTTAGCTTCAGCGGAACAAAATGCAAAGATAGATCGGATTTAGAATCTAGTTGTTTCAGCCAATTTGCGTCCTGCAGTTACGCGGCTTTGATGTAACTTCTTGCAACAAGGTAAAGCCAGGTGGCAGATGCAACCCATATCCGAAACAGGAGTCGAGCCATTGATAGTGAGCAATTTGTCGAGGCCCTCAGCGGTAGCTTTCAAATTTTTCCTGCAACCGTCACACAAGACACTCAAGGTTTGTTCAGGGAAGCTTGCATTATCCATCTGATCGCCGGGTCAAGTCTCCATGCTTGGTGGAACTATATATGGTCCACTGGTTGCCCTCATCCAACATCATCGCTAATCCACTCTCTATTCTGGCTTTGAAAAACCACTCGTTCAGTGCTATACTCAAAACTCCTTCCAGACATGGCTGCTCGGGCATTTCTCTTCATGCTAGGTCTCACCTCTCTGGCCGTCTCAAACCCCATCGATACGGATCCGATGCAAGTGGTGCCCGCCTGTAGGCAGTTTTGAAGCCATCCCCAATCTCAATAAACGGATGCTGATCCCAGGAAATAGGCAATCTTTACTATACCGTGCAGAATGGAGATACTTGCTGGGACATTATCTCACGTAATGAGAACACCATCACCATGAAGCAGCTTCTGTGCTGGAACCCAGACGTCAATCCCTCGTGCTCGAACCTTATTCCAGGACGATATATCTGTATCGGGGTTGGGACCAACGGTCCTGCTTGCTAGGCGGCTTCTATCACATCTTCGTCTCAGTGGTCATACGCCTGAGATCTATGTTTGAAGGAACACTACTGAGAGGGCTACCTAAGGGGTGAAACCTTTCCAAATGCGCAATTGGTCCTGTCCCATATTTTACCAATACGACATTTGCATTATTTCCTGTCTGTGTTCAAAGTCCATGCTCAGTTCTTTCGCCAAGCGTCAATCAAGAACTGCTTCATAGTAATTGGCTGAACATCTGGAAATCTAGCATTCAGGCGACCCTCCTTGGGCAGGTCAAAGACCCCATGGACAGTAAGGAGGCTCACCAGCTTAGTGATTTCCTTGGTTTCAGTTTCCGCGTACTCCGTACCATCCGGCATCGGTGGCACAGTGACATCTCCAGAGTAGATCCGGTCAAAACTGTCATAGTGGACTTCAAACCGTTTTCCTGGGTCATAATTAACCCAGCACATTGTAAATCTAAAGTTATTTCCATTACTTACCACAAATTTCCTCGGACATGCTTATGAGCTGGTTATAGGTCACCTCATCGCCAACAATGACAGTGAACTCCGACCATTCATCCAGATCAAGCAGTTTGGTCATGTAGGTGGCCATGTCAGCCGTGTATGTCATACAGATCACGTCGTTTCCATCACCAGGAATTGAAGCTTTGCCTTCGGCTATATTTATGCCGAAGGTATAAGGCTGGAGATAGGTTTTGACATGCGGCATTCCCCAATAGTCCATAAAGAAACCAGGGATAACACGGGTATACTTCAGTGAGCTGGATTTGAGGCGATTGGCTGCATCTAGCCAGTATTGAATACTCGGATCCAGCGGAAGGAGGCTTCAGCGTATGAATCAGTTAATATGATCTCTCAGCTCTTGTTGAAATTCAGTGCGGGCGTACTCGGCGGTTTGAATGAAAGAATATTCACTGGGGATAAATCGTTCAGTACATTTGGCTTTCTCCGCAGCCTCTATCAAGTTCAACTGAGACTGGCTAGATTCATCTGACACAATACCAATCGCGGAGATTATTGTGTGAATGTTGTGGCGCTCCAGTTCTGTTGTCATAGAGGCAATGTCATCGTAGTCGAGCTGGACGTGTTGTGCTTTCTGTAAAACTATATCCTCCCGTGGCTCCTGAAAATCATTTAGGATCGGACTCAAAATCATGCTCTGCTCCAAGCCACATACACTGCGGGACAACACAATGACCTTGAATCTGGATTTCTGCAGTAGCTTCTCGAGAATGGTCTTGCCCACTCCGCCGGCACCTCCGGCAACTGCGACGATCATGATGGTGTTGAGTAGCTTAGAATCCGCTAGTATGTAGCGGTAATATGTTGATGGCGAAAATTGGGTAGGGGTGATTAACAGATCAATCCGGTTTCCAGGCCGGGAGATGCCAGTGCCCCACTATAGGTTCCCTGCCAATAAATCACCCGTTTACATACCTTTCTATATTCTAATATTAATAAGGACTATAGGACACTAGAACAGCTCTTTTTTCTGCAGTCTCATATAGAAAAATTCCTCTGTCAAATCGAATTGAACCCCAGAACTAGACCCCGACATTCTTTTCGGGCTTTCGGGCTTCATTCTCTCACGTCGGCGATTCCTGCGGCTATGACTAATGACGGGCCCAAACGTCAGGGAAAGCATATAAAATCGCCCCTCCCACAGCTACTTCGCGATATCTAATTTCTCACAAAGAACAAGCATCTCGACTCGTTCCACCTTCTTACATTTACGCCGATCTATTTTCTGTCCAGACACCATCAAATATCCGCCGCCATGTGCATGAAGGCCCATTGCTCTACCTGCAGTAAGTGTCGAACACAATCAATCTCGGTACGAACAATCGCTGATTTATTGTCCAATAGACAAGGTCACCTGGTGGGGCTGCGGTAAACACATCCCCGGCGTGATGGACTCGGTGCCGGAGAGTGAGCGGTGCGCTTGCGAGCCTAAGGTCGAGATAGATGGGAAGAAGTATCCGCCCAAGGCGGCAAAGGCTGATTGACTGCATGGATGTGTGGTGTGCTAAGCCGAGTGTTAGCTAAGGCGCTTGACAGTGATCAAGATTATCTAAAATTGATGAAAATAGTATCTGACCTTGGAATCAATTCGTTCCCTTTCTCTATTTCAAGAACAGGATTCGAGGTCTAATGTTGTCTATTCACAGAAAAGCAACTCTATGCTACATGTGCGAACATATGCTCCCCTATTCTTGATTGTAATGTTAGCCTGAGTATCAATCTGCTCAGGCATGCTTCACATCAATGCTATCCACTCTCTTTTGGACATTCTGCTGTCCAGACGGAAGGTATCCGAACGCCTTGATCTCCGCTGCCATCTCGCGAGCCCGCTTCACGGGATCTCCACCCCGGGAAAAGATTAAGTCAATATCTTCAAGACGAAGATTGCTGGTCTCTGGATAGAAAAAGTAGATGGTGGGGATAAAGCAAAAGTTCGTCACCATAAAAATCAAATAGGCCTTCCACTGAATGCGATCGATGATCACCGGTGTGATCATGACCACGGTGAAATTCCACAGCCAGTTCGAACTGACACCAATCGCCGTGCCTTTGGTGCGAGCTTCCAGAGGCAGGATCTCGGGAACGTACACCCATGGGACTGAGTTAATGGACATGCCATGAATCAGCATGTACAAGAAAAAGAACGTAACGGATGCGGAGGCGTATGTTTTTCCATTTGGCTCGTGCACCTGCGATAGGAGAGCCGCGACCAGAAGCATGCACACTCCCAGACCGAAAGAGCCTATCATCATCGTCTTGCGACGTCCCATTCTGTCCAGCATGAAAGCTGGTAAGAGGGAGCCTAGCATGAACATGATTTGGATGCACCCGCCGAGAATTTGGGAAAGCTGGCCACTTAGCCCGACGTTATTTTTCAGAACAGCTAGAAGAGCACGAAGTTAGTAGGATTTTGTCCCATTATAATTATGACCAACTTACTGGGTACAAAGTATACCACGAGATTTATCCCGCCAACCTGGTTCATGAGCTGGATGCCCCAAGCCAGAAGCACCCGCCGGCCCGTCTTGACCTCGTCGTTGCGGAAGATAGTCCAGATTGACTTCTTCATGGCCGCACTTTCAAGCTCAATGGCTGCCGTGATTGCTCTGCGCTCATTGACAATGTACTCATCGCCTTCCTCGCGGTCATAGACGGCACACAACACATTCATGGCTTCCTTCTCATAGCCATGATTCATGAGCCAGCGAGGAGACTCCGGCAGCCCGAAGACGAGCACAATGACAAAAATGGCAAAAACCATCTGCATCGCGATGGGAAGCCGCCATGAAATGGGGCCCCCAACGAAAGACATCCCAAAATCGAACCAGTAGGCCACGACAATGCCGACAGCGGTAAAGAGGACCTCGGATGAGATTAGTCGTCCTCGCGTTTTGCCTTCGCACATCTCTGCTTGGTACCTTCATTCTGAAATTAGCATGTAATCTCCATTGAAGCATGCATCATAACGTACATTGGAACTGTAGATGTCTTCAAGCCTGTACCAGCACCCGTTACCAATCGCCCGACAATGAGATGCGGTACAGTGCAGGCAGTGGTTTGCAGCGTCGCACCCACAATCACCACACCCATGGCCAGCCAGATCGTCCTGCGACGGCCAAGGGCCTCGCCGATGAAAAAGTTGACTGGATGCTGGGTTAGTGTTTATTTGGCAAACTCTGGACAGAGGATTTCGACTGACCAACACACCCCAGGAGACAACCCAGGTTATAGCAGCTAACAATGATACCCTCCTCTGTATCGTCCGGGTAGTTAAACTGCTTATTCCAGTCTTCATTGTCGACAATGCCACTGAACACGCCCTGGTCGTATCCAAACAAGACAAAAGCAACAAGGCAGCAGGACGTAACGGCGACCTGAAGGGATTGACCCCGGCCATACCAGGCGCGCATGATGGGCAATAACGGTGCACAAAATGCGTCACTTTCCGTACTTCATGTCCTTGGGGGCTGTAATTCTCTTATATGGCTGTGGTAGAGGTACCTAATGGCAACTGTGACAGAGAAAACGCGCATCGCGACCGATGATGCTGTCGCGTGTCCAATGGCATTCCAGATTCCATTCCCGACAGTGGGCCGTGGAGATTCCAGTGTGGGATCTGGGGAATCTGGAGACCAGCCATGCCAGTGCAAGTTTCACCATGCCTGGCAACTCGGCAACTTAGCCACTGTCTGTCCCGACTATCGGCCACGACTCGGCGGGACCGATGGGTTGTTCCTGCCGATCCGGCGGTTGACTTGCCTATTTGGGAATCTTCTCGCAAAAGGAAGGCCTAACCCTGTCTAGATATCTGTCTGAAGAATTAAGTGGAGAAGTTCTATGTAAATAATTGCGTATCGTAGGAAATCCGGCATTGAATTTTTGGGTTCTATAAAACAAGGAATGTCACCTTAAAAGAAAACCCAAATACAACAATGCTTGACATCAGCAACACAGACTCCGCCAACGACCGATGTAACTGCTCCTCTGCTGCAACATCCATCTTCGCTTCCTCATTTAGTCGGCGAGTTCTCTGTCTGATTCTTTTTCGGATTTCACGAACTCTGTCGCGCAGATCACTCCTGTGAACTGACGCGCAGCATCAGCGGCGTCTTGAATGTCTTTCGGGATCTATTATGTTTATTAGCCACAGACCGGGAAGTAGTCTCTCTCAAATGGTATTGTACCGGTATACAGCGATGGCACACACCAATGCAATATTGACAGGATGTAAATCCCCGACCCCAGACACAGATATGGTCCGGGTACTCTCCCATCCGGAGGAGACAGCGTCGGCAGGTTACACCCCGAATACTTCGGGGCTTTCGAGTTTTCTGCCGCTTCCGGGGAGTGAACGTGTCTGCTATAGGACGTTTTGGCATTATGAGGTGACAGCAAATGTGGTGTGTGAGTGGTGTCTAACATCCATTCTCGCATGATCGTAGGAAGGTCCTCCATAAATAGTGAGGCGATTAGACAATTGGAAATGCTATGAGGGTAATAAAGAAACATCATTGTTTTAAACGTGGATTGTTGAAAGAATATCCGCGGTCAACAATGATTCCGTCGATATATAAAGCTTTGAATTTCAATGGCCTAGGTCTTCCTTTGGTATTGTTTGATGCAAATCCAGCCAAGAATATGAAACATTGCTATACAGAATGCAAAACATAAATGGTCTGGAACAGCATCAAACAGCTTTCCTTCGCATCTGTCACACTCCGAGTCCCTTTCATACTTCCAAGGTTGTGCCAAGGCGAAGTGAATATGGATTACGTAAGATTCGTTGACACCGCGCACTTCATCGCCTGCGCCAAACACTGCCGTCGCCCCTTCGACAGGACTGTTGCATACACTCAAAACCGGAAGCTCTCATCGCAGTAGCTTCTTCCCGATCGCATTGAGTAAGGCGCATTATCTCCACTCCCTCTGCTCCCATTCTGGGCACCTTTTGGGCCAAGTGATGCAAGCCGCTGTATATCGTCGACATCGAAGCTCGGTGTGATTGCGCGAGGCTCGAAACCGCTAAACAGTCTTTCAAACTGTCATATCTCCCTACTCAAGAAACCATGTCAACGGCACCTGCCCCGGCAGCGAATCAATCGGCAGCCACATCTGCCCCGCAAATGGCAGACGCGCAAAATGGAGCCCAGTCTGGGAATGGCGACCTGGTGCCTGTCAGCTGGGACTCCGAGATCCAGCTTGTGTCATCTCTAGCAAAACTCCAAGAACTGGAACGGAAGGTAAGCGGGCTCCCCCTTTCTTTTCTCTCGGTCCCGTATGAATCAGGATGGGGAGAATAACCCAAGTTAACATACCCACCCCAGATCCATGAACTACGCGCAATTCTACCCCAGGGTCTCCTGGAGCCTTTAGTACCAATATCCAATCCCGACAAAGCCACAGCCGACAACACCATCTCATCATCACCCCGCCACCTACTAAACGACCTGAACCAAACAGCTCGCGCTCGCATCGCCGACGTCGAGCAGTTCCAATCCATGTGGCGGGGCCCAGAGCTTAAGCCCGTCTGGGCTCACGTGGAGTCTCGGATCAGCGAGTCGAATGGCCAGTTACTGCAGTCCACGGGGAAATGGGAGAAGGATTACGACGAGCTGCGAGATGAGCTTCTCAAGGAAGAGAGGGAAAAGGAGGAGCAGCGGCTGCGTGAGGAGGAGGATATTGAGCGTGTGAAGGCACAGTCGACTGAGGGTCAGTGGCAGGCTGTTCTTGACAGGTTTATTCAGAGGGATGTCCCTGGTGTGCGCGTCATCAAGGGTCAGGATCAGATGGAGATGACGGTGGCGCTTACGAGGGCGGGCATTTTCTTTTTAGTCCATGGGTCTAGTGAACCTGGTGAGGCCGCTGTGTCTGATTGGCAGGTCTCGAGCAAAGTTGCTTCTGGGAAATCGAGAACGAAGCTCGAGGATGCTATACTGGACTGTTTGGGCTCGCGGCCCCGGAAGTGGGATCTGGCTTTCTTGCTGGTGCGTTGACAGTCGCCCTCCGAGGACCATACTTCAAAGCTAATTTCTTGAACAGGACATGATCGCCTCATATGCAGATATAAAACAGACACCATGTATCAAATGCCAGCGCCTAACGAACAACGCCGCCCAGCTACCAACCTTGCGCCGCGCCCAACCACTTCATCCAACCAGCGAACCACGCATTTTCAACTTCGACGCTCTACATTCAACCTGTGCCTGAATATATACAATACAATACAATCTATTCTAATGTCCTCATCGCACACAACAAATGAAAAGAGTCCCAACGAATGCCAACAACTAAAAATACAAATCCGAGCAAGAGCCCAACACTCCAGCTCACTCCGCATCCTCATGCGCCCCATAAACAATATCGTGCCAATGATTTGACGGATACTCATCGCCATTCCGATCCCAATACCGTCGTGGCACATAATGCCTCGACTCCTTCGACCCACCACGGCGCCATCCACCCGAATCGCCACGCGCACTGCAATACTCAACACGACTCCACGTACCCTGGTCAGGAACGACGTACTTCCGTCTCCGAAAATCGTACCGCTCGGCTTCGCTGCGGCGCGCCCATGGGATGGGGGTGTCGTCTTCGGCGAGGTCTTGGTCCCAGCGCGCCCAGTGGCTTGTGGAGGAGTTGGAGTTGGACTTTTTGGTAGTCTTGCCGTTGCCGATCACGCCGACGTACATGTCCGGCCCTTTGTTGGTTAACACGTCGAGGAATCGCCATCGGTGTGGCCAGCGTGAGGGATTGCCGGGTCGTGGGTCTTTGGGCCAGATCCAGCCGAGGGTTGGTTGGGACGGAGGCATCTTGAGGGTGTGATGATGGATGTATTGGAGGTAGGCTGTTCTTGGGAAGAGAGAAATAGATTGAATAGGAAATACACGTCTGTTCTCGCTCAATTTAATTATATCTATCCAACAGAATGCTGTAAAACACACTCCTACCCCCCAGCTACAGTTCTGACCTGATCTGATTCAGAAGACCTTTTCTTTCTTTGTGGTTGATTGATCCTCTTTCAAACCCACCATATTCCACAGAAGCTCTTTGATCCAAGACCCTGAGTCTGCTTCTCAATCCTTTTAACTAACAACATACATGTGTAAATCCCAACCAAACCAGCCCCTTCTCTGGTGGGGAGGTTGCTTGCTGCAGTAGTATGAGCTCAGCCTCAAAACAATGTTATCAAATGTAAGACTTGTGAGCAGCAAAGAGATCCAGGTGTTTGTCTCAGATTCTGATGTGCATCAGTCAATGAGAGAACGTGGAAAGGAATGGGGTGGTGTAGGTTGCTTCAAGCAGAATGTCTTCTAGAAACTTTTCTCTTCTTTTCTTTTGCCTGGGGAACTTAATTCAGTTCCTACATCAACTAAGACATATCAGGTCACTGGCCATAGATCACACAGTCTTTCTTCGACTTTGTAGTCAGGAGAATAGAGAGACGAAGAAGACAATCGATAAATGAATTACAACCCAGAATTAAAAACAAGCTTCACCCCGAAAACAAGATAGCTCATCCCCATGCAAAGAAACAGAAAATAGGCAAGGCTCGAGGCATGATCCATCCATCCACACACAACGCCGGTTTTCTTGCTATTATCGTAAAACCCAAATCAAATCGCTTCGGAAAGAAAACAACGGATGCACCCGAATGTCAAAATCAAAAATATATCCACGAAAACATCATAAAAAGGTGGACTGATCATCGTCAAGTAGCGAATGCTCCAAACCCGCCGGCGAACCAGGTGAACGACGCCACGGTTATGGCGGCCATGCCGAAGGTGAACTTGAGGCCCATGCGTTGGATGTCCGAGAGGGCTGAGTTGCAGGTGGCACATTTAAATTCTATCAGAGATGGATTGTTAGTATCTTGTCGTGAAACCGATCATACAAGCTAAGACTCACGTCCAAGAGGAGTATACGGCAGTTTGATGTACATCCCAAAGTCATACCCAACCAGGGAGCTCAGATGGCCGGCACTAGGAATATCACCCAGCGACTTGCTGGCATCATAGACGTAGAGCGTGTACGTGGCCGTAAGCAGCGGGACGGTCATGGTGGCATCGGTATCCCAGACCACGGAACCCGTAGGCTTGACGCTCATGTTCGAGGAGATGGTGTAGGTCTCGCTGTTCAGACTGCAGGACGCGACGACGTTGACGTAGGACGGGGTCACGGAGAGCGAGGTGTAGTTCCACACGAAGGTCACGTTCTGGCCGATGCGGTAGTAGGTTGTCGATGAGGATGCTGGCGTGATCATCGAGATGCCTCCTGCGGCTGCAGCGGGGTTGATCGAGATCGAGGTGGTTGTCGTCTCGGACTTGGTTGAGGTGTCTGTCTTCGTGTTGGTGGACGTGGAGTCGCTGGCGGTGTTGGTATTAGTGTTGGTATTGGTGTTCGTGGTAGTGCTGGTCTGGGGGGCTGTGGAAGTTTGCGCGGTGGATCCGGCGGACGGATCACTGTTGTCTGAGAGAAGATGAGAGGTTAGAGGAGAAGGGCATCACTCCTTAAGGGTCTGGTCGTACCTGCTCGCTTTTCCAGCGACTCACCCCCGCCCAAAAACCCGCCGAATGAGCCGAACGACCACGCCGACGACACCGTGCCCAGCAGCAGGAGAGCGTACAGCACGCTCAGGAGAAACGAACGCATGATGACAGTCAGGGAAAAGATGTCTGACAGTCCGAATCGATATCACCCCTTGCCCCAGCTGAGATCCACGAACAAAAGATTGTGTCGACACGGAAAAAGCGGCTGGTCGTCGATGAGCGAGCGAGTGATGGCAGCCTTGAGATCACCAGTGCATCCACAGCAGCGAGTGTTGCAGGGGTAGCAAGGACAGGCCAAACACGGCGTTGGGTGGGAAAAAGAGCCGTGCCTCTTTTTTTCGGTCTGGGGTGATGATCAGCGGGAATGTGGGTTTTGTTGGTGTGGAGGCACAACAACAAAGACAGCCACAACAACGAAGTCGGCGAGGGAGAACGGGAAAAAGAAGCACAAACGAGCGACTGGAAAGATGAAGTGACAAGGAAGTGAAGGAGAAAAGAAGAAAAGGAAAATTGACAGAGCAGGTCAGGCGGCTGTCGGGTCTAAGCCTAAAGGGGACATAGTGGCTGGACCGGCATGTGAGACATCCTATTAATAGTATTGAACGAGACCTGTATAATATTCATGCACTACACTGAATATAGCGACTCTATACTATGATACACATGAGAGATCATCGCCATTACTGAGCCTTTGACGATATTCTACTCCGGCTTCAGCTGGACCTTGCTGCAAGTCGAGGGGATGTGGGCCTTGTATTCCTTGGCGAGGAAGAACAGCTGCGGCACACCGTGGTACCAGTCGCACGCTAGAAGATGTTAGTTGATGGTAATAGACAGTTAAGGAATGAACGTACCCAACCAACCACCAAACTCCTGGTCCTTCGCTCCCTCCAGCCCAGTCTTCTGGACGGAAAAGCCCTTGCCGCCCGCGCCGGCGTTGACGTTGACCTGAACGGGGTTCCATTCTAAAGACATCTGATATTAGCTAGCTGTAACAGTCGCAATTGGTAATCGATGCATACCGGCTTCGTTGACAGTAACCAGCTCCATCTCCCACTTCAGGGGGCTCTCCACATCCATCACCACCGTGCCGTTGCCGAAGGAGAACTTCTGGGCCTCCTTGGCACCCTGCAGCACGGCGTCGCTGGTTGTCGACGACACGTGGTAAGTCGAGACGTACAAGTCGTTGAACTTGGGCTCGGTGGCGCCAAAGGTCTTCAAGTTGAAGAATTTATCCATGGGGCTGGCAGCGGCGGTGGTGGCCAGGAGAGCGAGAGTGAGGAACTGCATTATGATGGGTGTACAGAAAGATGATTAAAACGATTGTAGATGGTTATGATAAACGGAAATCGACAAATGATTCGATTGATGAGATGATGAGATGACGAGTGAGAGAAAGGGGAGAAGGATCTCTCCTTCTTATACGGATCTGATCCGCCGCGAGGCCCCAGGGAGAGATTGTGATGATCAGTGGAGAAGGCGGATCCTCTCTCCGCGTTGTGCGGCGTAACTAAGAGGCATGAGCACTACTTATAGCTTGCAGGATCTTGCAATCCTGCAAAGTTGCCGCTAGCTAGCTACGGGTCTGAGGAGGCTATGTTGTTTAGGTTGGATATCTCGCTAAGAATAAGCCAGCATCAACAACCTTCAGACTATCGAGGATCGCCCGACATGGTCGCTTAGGTGCAATTGATCCACACGGGGTGTCCATCCTCTGCCATGGCGGTTACAGAAATACTCCACCGACAGTTCGCGTGTGGACCCGTGCCAAGTCATGATGGCGATGTTGGGGCCGGATCGCCGCCCCAGGAACGGACAAGACAGGGATCAAACCTGCTTGGAATTTTTATATGGAATTTCAATCTACCATTGATTGCCAATGACATTTCGTGGGGCCCAACTAGGCACCAAAATCATCGGAAGACGCGTGGCTCTAGAGCGAATACAATGACTAAATCCATCTCCTGGTGATCTACACACTAATCAACCTCAAACCCCTGGGTCAATCTTGCGCTGTTGGCTGGGCACATCGTGGCGTCCATGGTACTTGGGCACCTGTAGCAGGTTGAGGAAGGGTCCGCAATAGAATCTGATACACATTGTTGCCTGCTGATTGTTTCGTTGGGAATGCATGTTTGTTTGATGCATTTGCCCGCTACAGTAGTAGTGACCTTTAGATTACCAGCGAATCCTTGCTCCAAGCCCCTAAACTAGGAACACCTCGAACGATTTTGTCTACATATTGATATTTTGTGATACAGAATCTACGCATTTATTTCAAAAGATAATGAAAAGAAACATTAGAATTAAACTGTCTGAGCTGTCCACTTTGGATCACAAACCACCATGAACCGACTAAGACTTGGTCAGATGATAAGCCTTGGTGATTTCCTTTCTCCACTTATCGATTGAAATGTGCATGCCATTCCACGGCACATGGTTCTTAGGCCGATTGCTGCTCATCTTCTCTTCATCCCACTTAGGGATGTAGAAGTGCTTGTGGCTCTCCCAGCAGACATTTCTATTCTTGATATCGTCCTTGCACTCGGATGTCAAAACTACATTGATGCAGTCCATGCACCACCACATATCCCCAGGCTCCTTCCACGTGTGGCCACAGGAGCAGGAACAGGAGATTGAAAAGCTGCCTCCCGGTGCCTCAAGCTTCATCATCGCAAGCGCTGCGGCAGCATTGACCTCGTCTTTGAACGGAATGACAGCGTAGAGAATTTTCTGGAAGGCCAGCATGTCATTCGTGGAATCATCGTCCGACAAGAGCTCGACGGCCATTCTCAGCGTGTTGTGCACCATGCTCCGGGCCGACTCCAGGTCATTGTAAATGTAGTAATACCGCGCGGCAAACAGGCTAAGCGGAAGGCGCATTTGGTTTTCCGTGACTTGCTCAGGGACAACCGAAGACATTCTGCGCAGCCAGTCCTTCGCCTCGTCCTCGTGGCCTGCTTCCTTGGCAGCCTTGGCTTTGTCGAGATAGATTGTTCCCAATCTATAGCCGACGAGGAAAAAGGTAGCAGCCAAATCCGTATTGGTATATGGGACGTCGGCAGCGGCGGCTTCCAATACTTTCATAATGTCATCGGTTGGGCAGGGGTGACGTGCGGCGAGAGCGCTAGCATAACCCCGTCGAAGACTGAATGAGGCGCGGTAACGCCTGGCTTTTGCGGCCGATTCAATTGCTCCCTTGTACACATCATCGAAGACACCAAGGTTATTGGTGTTGACACCTGCTTCCAGCATGGCAATCTGGACCATCTCGTTCCGAGGACTCTCTGTCAAGGCAAGCATCATGGGAGTGAGATGAGACTTGGAGCGAAGTTGCTCAATGACATCCATCATTTCGTTCCACCATTGAACTGACTTGTATCTCAACAAAATGGCTGTCGGAAAATGGTATCTGGCAGGCCCATGTTCAATACAGGCCGAGTACCATTTCTTCGCCTTGTCCAGCTGCTGGTCAGACCAGTACCGATGTCCTAGACCGAATTCCATCTGAGCGAGTTCCTCTCGATTCTCCGCCATCCAAGCCGAATCTCCCCCGTAGCGAGCGACAAGCTTCTTCAGAATGGCAATAGCGTCCTTGTTAGACTTGAGGAAACGAGCCAGGAGGACTGAAGCTCGCCAGTTGTTCGGATCAAGATCGAGGGCTTTGCAGCATCTTGCTTCGGCTGCTTCCTTGTCACGGGACCTGCTCAATACAAAAGCCATCTGGGTATGCCAGCGCGAGTTTGGCTGTTCAGTTGGGAGTCTCTTGAGACACCACTCTTCAATTTGCTCATCCGTAAAAGACGCCGCTCCTTGGTGTTCAGTGGTTGTGGCATGCTACATAGTAGGATTTGATTAGCATAGACAATAACTGCAAATGCAGAGAGACATACCTCGGTTACAAATCGCTTAACGATCTCAAAAGTGGCAGATGTCACTGTAAAATCCGAGTCCTCCTCGAAACAGTAATGGGCCATCCGGAGGACAGAAGGCTCGGCGATGGTTTTGACGCGATCTTGCCCGTCGGCCATCAACTTATTGAGCCAATCCTTTTCCTTCTCACTACTCTGGGTGTCAGCGGAAGTGGCCTTTAGCCACGTACAAATCAGTCGCACTGTCTCCTCGTCGCGTAGCCAATCCGGGAAGTCCGGGGTCTCTTTTTTCGCCCAGAAAAGATTGTCGATGGCGGCACCATCATGGAACAGTCTCACGAGATGAGGTCCAAGCTTGCGTTTTGAATCAGGGTCTATGCTAGCCAGATCCACTTCGTGCATGTGGTCCACCAAGTGGCGTACTGCGTATCCTCGCAGTACCCTCAGCTGGCCATGGGTCTCACTGGTCAACGCATGGAGACAAGCCCTAGCAAGTTGGAAATTGGCATTGTTCTTGTCCTCTTGATAGATCTGCTCTTGTCGGGGGCTTAACTTCTGGTCGAAGTGCTCTTCCAACCCAAGCTTTTGAACCAGGTCTGGGGGGCACACGTTGCCGAGGAAGTGTTTCAGGATGTCAACCTCGCCCTGGTTCACTTCCTCGTTATTCTGCAGGCGCTCTTTGGCGGTCTGGGCCCGCTGCGGCAATTTGTCCAAGATCTGCTCTGATCGGAAATTGACGTATCCATTGTTGTCGATCTCGAACAAGAGGAACTTTCTAAGCCGGTCCTCCAGAGGTCTCAAGGAGGCCGCGTTGTTCTTCAACTGAAGGACTGCCTTCATTTTCTCGATCGACATCCGCTCTTTTGCGAAGGTAATCCAAAGGACCACCTCATTGATCTCCTCCAACTCCTTCTTCGAGCGACGCCGGTTGAGATCGCGGACATCATCCTCAATATGATCGGTTAAACTTCGGCTCGCCTTGTCAAGTTCGTTGTAGATGTCGGTGTCGAGGTCCAATTTGCTGATCTTGTTGAGAGTTTTCTCCATCATGTAGTAGTTCCCTCCAGTTTCTGTGTAAAGCCTGGTTTGAATGATTTTCCGGATAGCATTGACTTGATCGTCTCCCTTGTCAGAGAGGTTATCCATCTTATCCAAGCGTGCATCAATGTACTTGCGGACGTCGTCCGCGTTACGGTCCATAGAGACAGTAGGACACTTCAGGCCACGACTCTGGAGCTTTTTGGCGGTCCCCTCGGTGGCGGTGAACAAGACGCGAACTGATCCTTTGCTAGCTCGCGAGGCGTTTAGCAGGAAGTTGAATACCCCATCATGGACGTTGTCGTCACTGTCGCCAATCTTGTTCAGAACAATGTAAAACGTCGCATCAATGGCCTTCAGTTCCTTGTGGTTTTCGAGGAGGAGACGAGTCAATAATTCTTTCGGTTCGATGTTGCGATCCTTTCTGCACGTCGCGGCGGCCGATTGCATGTACGATGCATCGTTCTGGGCGAATTGCCAGATGATAGACTTGCCGAGTACCTCGATCCCAGCATTGGCCTTCCTCTCATCAACGAAGTAAAAGGCAACGAGCTGTCTGGAGTTGATTGCCTCGCCAGAACCATTTGCAAGCAAGTGACTGGCGATAGAAGCTGCCAGATAGCTCTTACCCGAGGCTTCGCCGCCAGTAATCCCTAGAACAGGCGCTTCTGAATTCTTCTTCACCCAGTCCGTAAACTCGCGCTCCCCTAACAACCACTGGCCTGTTCCCTCCACGGTGCGGTGGCGAATGTTTTGATAAGTCGACCCCCAGGTTGCAATGGGTCCATTGCCATCCCAGACATCCGGACTTGTGCTGAAGTTCAGGACGCGTAGAACAATGTTCCTGTCCTTCTTTTCTTTGCTTTGCTCTGTTCTTTCCGTTCGGTCTTGCTCCAAGACCCCCATTATGTTTCGGGAGTTGTTGAGCGTCTCCGCGCCATTTAGGTACATATCGGCGCCGCGCTCCAACTCTTCATCCCTGGTGAGGTCATCCATCGCTCCCAAGGATTCCGAAAATTCATTCTGCTGAAGGAAAGCAATCTTTGCCATCGTCTTGATCTTGAACATCCGTGAAGTTCGCAGTGTCAATGCCTTATCGCAAATGTCCACAAAGTGGCTTAGAACCTCGCACGCTACCACACTCAATTCGCGGCTCATATTGGCCATGGAATATTTGTGTAAACGTCCTAAAAAGCTCGCACATTTTTTGAACAGGTCATTGAGTGTTTCAAATATGCTCGCGTAGCCCTTGTACGCGTTGATGACAAAGTTGAGGGCGTTGTAGCATTGTCCAGCTGGGGCGAACACCTGTCTCAAATGAGCAACACACCTTCTTTCTCCTAGAATTCATTTTGTACGTACCTGAGAGGCGGCATCGGCAACCATTCCTCCAACATTTGTGATGACGTCGAGGGTATTGCTGACAGTCTGCCGGATAGTCCCCCATTTCTCTGAGTTTTTCAGGCGTGCAGATCGTACGGCATCCAGATTCTTCATCACGTCTTCGGGTTTCAAGTTCTTGTCGTAGTCTTTGCCTTGAGACATTTTGGCAAGCTTGGCCATCCGCTGTTCCATATTGCCCCAAATTGCGGCGAGTTGCTTGTTGATCTCAGCGTCCGCTCCGGCAGGGACACTTCTGGGTACCACGGCGAGCGTTTCGTTCGCCTCAGCGTCAGTCCCATCAGGGATTTCACTGGGTACCGCGGTTATCTCTTTGCTCATTACAGCGTCTACCCCAAAGGGGTCACTGTTGGGCATCAGGGGCCGGGTTGCTACTGCTGTCATTGTGCCTCGTTATAGCGTCTAGGGAGAGAAGGAACTCTCAGGGGCAGAAACAGCGGAGACTGCAGAAGAAGTACCTGCTCGAGCGGAGGCATGACGCAAAACTTTCAGCTCGCTGCCAGCTCGCATAGGTTTGTTTACAACCCGTCGATCGGCACTGGCTGTCCAATAGTTTCATCTGGTGCCGACGTGGCGGGCCATGGCCCGATGGCGGATCGGCACGCCAGTATCGTCATGGCATAAGAAAAGACAAGGTGGGAAACCAAAACAAAAAAGGAACAGCCAGGTCAGCATTCATATATTCCGCCTGCTCGAGGTTGAGCTATCGTCTCGAGTAAGCTTCGCAATAATGCCTGGTCCGAACCAGTTCCAAGCGATCAGCTCTTCATGCGAGATTGCCCCACTGGACCCACTGTTCCCATCTGCAGGCATCCGATTGAGACGAACCTGCCCCATCCTTCAAGTGATAGATTCGACGGGAAGTTTAGGGCCGCTCCGCTCGGATGGCCCAGGCTGGGACCAATCAAGCCCGGCTTGACAAAAGTAGAATAGCAGTGGACTCGCAGGACTTTAGCCACCAATGAGAATCTAACTGAGCAGTTCTATTGGTTTGTGTCTGAATCCGCTTTCGGGGCTCCTTTCCAGGGCAAGAACGAGGGAGGGGGAAAATCTCTGCAGTTAGAGAATGTAGCTGGCTATGTACCTACTACTACCTGCTTGGGATGCGTCATTTGCTTGCATGTGGCGTGGTGCGGTCCGAGCGGAAGCGCAGCTTGCTTCCCATCCTATGTAGTATCCAATTATGTAGCACACTCTGAGATAGTCTTCATCGGATTGAATCACAGCATTCTTGCAAAGTCCCGACTTGGTACTCATGGCTCAAGCTACCACTATTGAGTAATTTTGCCACTTCGCGATGGCCTTCTCGGATGCATGCACGAGCGGTGAGCGAGTCCCTCCAAAAGGTTTAGTTGATATGGGCGGTAAAGACGAAGTAGTAAGAGGGACAATTTCGAGATGCCCACGTTGCGCCGCAAGAATTAGTAGAGTGCCTTCTTAACACATTCACCTGAATAATATAATTCCTAGCGGAAAGTAATTTTACTATGCATGCGTTTATCACTGGTGACTGCAGCATGGCTGAGCAGTGTAACCTAGCATCTCACTGCCATTGTGATTTTCTGGGGAGAAATGCAACCGAGATATTTTCCATTCATACCGCGTTATGGATATACATGGTGGATCATATTGTCGTTCTCATCAAGTCATACACTATACTGTCTTTCTATCATATACACCAACGGAACTGTCACCACTCCATCCACTACTTAACTTACTTACCTACTCGTTCGGGGAGTCTTTTTTTTTTAGCAAATTACAGGTTCAAAGTTCACTTCCCCGTATATCCGCCTGAAGCGCCTGAAGGCGACTGGTGTCATCATCGCTAGACGAGGACACGGGGAATGGTGGGAACGGTGCTGGTTCGAGGGTCTGCTCAAGCACTTATGAAATTAGGGAGACTTTGTGAGTGAGCGATTTGGATTTGAAGCTCAGGCATGACCAAAAGAGGCAAACTCCTGTAGACGGCGATCCTCCCTCGATCGGAGTTGCGGCTGTTCTTCTAGACATGGATAAGTATAAGACTATTATCCAGCTTTTTCCTAATAATTGCATTATATGGAGACTTGATGCTGGTCATGTTCAACGTTGTGCTTCACTGGATGATTCTATCGATCTAGTTCACGTACATATCTATAGACTTGCAGACAGGATGAGAAGCAGAGCTCATTCGGTAGCCTTGCTTGTTTAAATAGAACGAGAGTCGGTGGCCCCAAATGCACAGTCGTGTTGCAGTAATTATGGTTTTTGTCAAAAAGATGTACATGCCAAATATTTACATGCGTTATGTATGGTGTGTCCAGTTGGCTCCTTAGGCATGGCTGGGCAAGAATCACGTCGCCAAGGAGACCGCAATGCAGAGCTGTCAGAGGGGATATTAATAGAGTAGGTCATCCCCAGTGAGGCCGTTGTAGTGAACTGCGTTGGGGAGTTAACTAAGTATTCGTTCGTTGGTCAACTACAATCAACCATGTAGTACTGACTCCATCGTGGGATCCGCAGTAAGTCAGTGGTGAGGTAACGACTACAGTAATGCCGAAGATCACCACTCCTCGCGAGCCTTCTTCACTGTCCAAGTCTCTTCCACTCACTCACTCACAACTCCCTCCTGGTGGAATTGTTGTTGGATCATCCTCGACACCGCTCTTGAGTTGGCGCCCCATTCTGGCCCTCCTCGCCCGCCTTCCCTTTCCTTCTCTCACTCTTCTGGAGGATGAGCTGCCCATCCCCCCTTTAAACCCTTCCATCCCCCCATTCCCCGTTGGCGTCCAACAAACGCCCAACTCCCTTGCTGCCTGCGCTCGTGTGTGCCTTCCCCCCGGCATCCCCACACACTCCCACCCCCGGTCGCAGTGCATGTGCACTGTGGACGGTGACGGTGCTGGACTCGAGCCTGGACATCCCCCATCCGCCTCCGCCTCTTCTTTCTCGAGCCCGACCACGACGGCCTTTTCCCCGTCCTCCAGTTCGTCATGGATTCCGGATGGCAGCCTTACCAGGATCCCCTGATGGGTCGTCCCGCGCAGTTCAATACGGGGTTAGCGTCCCATCCCCAACAGCTCCCCTCGAAATACAGCCAGCCACCCCAGTCTCAGCCGCCGGTCGGGTACACGTACGAGACCTTCCAAACACCTGGCACCACCTCCAACCCCCCTCCGCCGGTCCCAACTCGAAACCGATGTCCATGGCCTCGTCGCCCGCAGCCACGCCACGTAGCCGGGATTATGTCAGTGATGCGGATACCACGATGGAGGATGCAGACCCGTTCAACCGAGCGAAGTACCCAGCGCGACCGAACCATCACAGCCGCGCCTCAGCTCAATTCCTCGCTCAAACAAACGAGGAGTCGTCGGCTGCGCGCAGGTATTCCCCAATGAATAATGTGATGTCGCCCCCGCTGTCATACCCTGTGAGCCCCGGCAAGTCCCAGGGCGCGTACGGCTTCCCACAGGGCCCGCAGAACCCGCAGAACCATGCTCGCCGGTCGCCTACGAGGGCACCAGAATACGCATCGCCTCCGCAGGGATATCAGTCACCGCCATGTGAGTGCCCTACTTGTGCCAAATGATGGCTATTCGGACTAACCGTGTACTCTCTCCGTCACAGCTGCAGGTCGCCCCCCTCGCCCCCCTCCGCTGCAATCCACCGACCTCAGCCCAGAGCAGTACTACCCCTTGTCAGCGAATTCGCACCCGAGCAGCGCATTTGGGCCTGGATCACGATCTCCACGCTCGGGATCGTTGCCGTCACAGGTTCCTGGACGCGGTCCGGTCCCAAAGTTCCAGATCAAGTCTGTACAGGAGCTGCAACCACGGACGAGTGTACAGCCTGCGTTTCGGCGCGCCAATCCGGAGGGAGGCTTTATCAGCGTACAGTTCCCCATGAGTATTTGCTAATTGACGTGGAGCTAATCCGTTCTACAGCCACTTCACGCACTGACCACCCACCTTCCGGCGACTTACCGCATATGCAATCCAGGTTTCAACTACGAGTCCTCGCGGAATCCCCGGCGTGTATTGACGAAGCCGAGTAAGGGGGTTAAGAACGATGGCTACGATAACGAGGATAGCGATTACATTCTTTACGTGAATGATATCCTCGGCAGTGAAGAGGCCGGTCACAAGTACGTCTCGGACCTCTTTGGTGAAAACATTGATCTGACATTTGTCACAGGAATCGCTATCTGATCCTCGATGTGTTGGGCCAAGGAACTTTCGGGCAAGTGGTGAAATGCCAAAACTTGAAGACTCAGGAGGTTGTGGCTGTAAAGGTCATCAAAAACAAGACCGCATATTTCAACCAGAGCATGATGGAAGTATCGGTTTTGGATCTGGTAAGCTTCGGTCTGTCCTCATCGCTCGGACGTCTGCTCACCATGCGCCCCTACAGCTCAACAGCAAGTACGACAAGAATGATGACCATCATCTCCTTCGGTTGAAAGACACCTTCATCCATCGCCAACATCTGTGTTTGGCATTTGAGTTGCTCAGTGTCAACCTCTACGAGCTCATCAAGCAGAATCAGTTCCGAGGTTTGAGTACAACCCTCGTGCGGGTGTTTGCGCAACAGTTGTTGAATGCATTGAGCCTCTTGAACAAGGCTCACTTGATCCATTGCGACTTGAAACCGGAAAACATCCTGTTGAAGAAGTGAGTCGAGGAGTCGTCCGGGTGGAAAGTTTTTCCTTCGCTGACATTCGAAAACCTCGCAGCCTTGAGAGCCCTATCATCAAAGTCATCGATTTCGGTTCTGCATGTGACGAGCGACAGACAGTGTACACCTATATTCAATCTCGGTTCTACCGCTCGCCAGAAGTGCTACTTGGTTTGCCGTATGAGACACCACTTCCCCCAAAACTTGCTGCTCCAGACCCATGCTAACGATGCCTTAGATATTCATCTGCTATCGACATGTGGTCGCTTGGCTGCATCGTTGTTGAGCTCTTCCTGGGATTGCCTCTATTCCCTGGCTCGTCGGAATACAACCAAGTCTGTCGGATCGTCGAAATGCTTGGCCTCCCTCCTACCTGGATGTTGGAGATGGGCAAGCAGTCGGGCGAATTTTTCGAGAAAACTCATGACGAGTTCGGGAGGAAGACCTACCGCCTGAAGAGCCTGGAACAGTATTCGAGGGAGCGAAACACTAAGGAGCAACCAAGCAAGAAGTACTTCTCGGCTTCGACTCTTGAAGAGATCATCCGAAGCTACCCCATGCCGAGAAAGAACATGAAACAAGCTGAGATCGAGCGAGGTACGATGCCACTTACTCCCCACTATCCGAGAAGTCTTTCTAATAACCGCAATTGCAGAGCTGAATAATCGGGTCGCGTTCATCGACTTCGTGCGAGGGCTATTATCAATCAATCCCCTGGAGCGGTGGTCACC